TCCAGCCACAGTAGTGGATCGTTCTATATAGCTCCCTTAATTTCCCCATAAATTGACCCCAAACTGTACTGCACATAGCTTAACATATAATAAACCGTAGTAACGTAGTAAAACTGTCTTAGAAGGGAAGCGCTTGGCGGGGTTAACGCGTGCGATATTTGGCGAGATTTCACCTGGGTGGTGTCATTGCTTCGAAAATGTAGAACTCATTACCACAAAGAAAAACTGTCCGGTAACTATTTTAGTGGTCCAGTCTTCACTACTTGTGATAGAATTACTTATTTCAATACAAACTGTAATGATATGTGTTGACAATTATGCGTTTGAAGCTATTTGTACTTGCGTAAGGCCTCTTAGACTATATCCATTAGCGCGATAATATTGTAGCTAGGAATAAGTAGGCAAAGTTTGAAGTGGATCCGTTAAAGGACAATATTGGTGTCAGTCATTATCACATATGTGATGGAACTCTTTAACACGTTCCAAATATAATTTTAACACAGAGATCATTGCTACGATAGATGCGTAATGAAGGTTTCTACAAAAGGAACTGACGAACACAAAAGGAAAACACGAGTTAGCCTTCTATATAACTGACTGAAGTGTCGAGTCATAACAGATACACGGGCCAATTTCTGTACACTAACAATTCCTTCGAAGACCAAAAGCTGTTATGTGAGACCAAACCAATAGGGATCATCCTTAGAAATAAGTATGTAGAGTCCCAAGACGATCAGTTAAACATGCATTATGCAAGAGCTAAATCTGCAAGTTTTAATTTAGGCTTCAGATGTTATAGAAATTATAAATTAGATCTTTATTTAAACAACAAGACCAAAATCAACTCTGTAGACCCACGGATGGCTCGGCTACAGCTCAGATTTAAATAGGATTTCACTAATTGATTAAATCAAATAAGGGGTAACCTGATGAAAATACGTCAGTTAGATCGAGGCTAAATGATAAAGTGTACTTAGCGAGGCCGCTGTAAAGCGTTTCGGTATGCCATTCAAAACTTTACTTGATAATCGAGATATGTAGGTGGAGTTAACGCCTGTCAATCAAACGATCAGCGAAGGTGAAGACACAATTCGCTACCATTTCTAGGCAAATATTACAACGATGATAACTAGGTTCAGAATAAAGTAATTTGACTGAATTTTTCAATATATTCTTCTTTCATCATCTACTTTTGAACTGTTATAGCAAGAATGGCCAACTCTCTATACAAATCTCCCATAATGTATCTTAAACATGCATTATGCAAGAGCTAAATCTGATTATTGCAAGTCTCAATTTAGGCTTCAGATGTTATAGAAATTATAAATTAGATCTTTATTTAAACAACAAGAACAAAATCAACTCTGTAGACCCACGGATGGCTCGGCTACAGCTCGGATTTAAATAGGATTTCACTAATTGATTAAATCAAATAAGGGGTAACCTGATGAAAATACGTCAGTTAGATCGAGGCTAAATGATAGAGTGTACTTAGCGAGGCCGCTGTAAAGCGTTTCGGTATGCCATTCAAAACTTTACTTGATAATCGAGATATGTAGGTGGAGTTAACGCCTGTCAATCAAACGATCAGCGAAGGTGAAGACACAATTCGCTACCATTTCTAGGCAAATATTACAACGATGATAACTATGTTCAGAATAAAGTAATTTGACTGAATTTTTCAATATATTCTTCTTTCATCATCTACTTTTGAACTGTTATAGCAAGAATGGCCAACTCTCTATAAAAATCTCCCATAATGTATCTTTAATGTTTTCGACTAAAATCGTCGATTTAGGACTTCAAATGTGGGCTAAATAGTGTTCCTTTTTCAAGGGAAACTAATATATTGCAGACAGATATGTTTCTCGGAATTGGTTTATGGAAGGAAGCACGAAACAACTTACGGAAAATGGACTGAATAATATACAATAACTTAGGTAAAATGGGTAGAAATAACCTTACTTCATATTGACCATTTGTTTATGTGACGTTCTTTTTTTAAAACAATTTTAGCGATTAACTTACAATATGAAATAAAGTTGTCAAACATCTATATCGTACCACATGTGATTGGGTCACTCGATATATTTTATAATAAACAAGTAGTTAAATATTTGTAAATGTTGAGCGCAGATTTCACTTCGCGGACATATTACCTCCGGGAAATGCGCGAATCTCTGTCTACTCTCCGTTGACTATAATCTGCGCGCGCGGAGTTAAGTCTTAAATGGATTATCGCGATGTCGAAGCGACTGTAAAATAAAGCTATTTCACACACGATAATCTGCCTAATCCTACTCGGTATTCACCATGGATCACTGCGTTAGTTTTGTTCGTTTTATAATGAATTTATGACCGTCATTATACTGGTACAAGTACGAGAAAGACGATACGGAAAGAAACGTGTGAGAGAACTTGGGTGTTTGTATTTGAGTAGGATACAGTCCACAATTTTAATGGATCGTCTTTAAACTTGGGATACTTATCTTTTAAATGACAGTACAGAATTCAGAAACACGTAGGCTACATTGCACTTCGCAAAATTATTTAAAAATGTCAACTATACTAAGCAGCAAAAGAAACGTCAGGTTGGTATGTTACTCTGAATGGACGCATTGCATAACACTTGCCAAATGTTTTTATTGTATATTTGTGACCACATCTCCAACTTCACCTGAGCAATAAGGCTCCTTCCCAAACACAGAATTTGACCCAAGAAATGTTCTCAAAAACGCACATATAAACACTTTCGACCAAATGAACACAGGAATATTATTCCTTCAACCACAATCACAAAAATTACACTAAATTAGATCATCCCACTTTAAGGACATCGCAACCTTAATAAACAGCATGAATTGCAAGACAAGGAATACAAAACAATATGATTATCTATCCGCTAAATCTGACTGCCGACAACGACATTTCTATACGCTACCAAAAATACATACAAATCCGGAAACAGAATGGTTCAAACCTAATAAATTACCCAAGGGACGCCCAATAATACCAGGCCGTCATGGCAGCGAGTCATACAACATATCACAATATAAACCATTTCTTATTACCCTACCTTAAAGACACCAACGATTTTATTAACTAAACCAAACGGTTAAGAGTCCCTTAGCACACCATCGACGTACAGCTAGAGCATGTACACGAACATCGATAATAACACGGGTATGGAAGCAGTTAGGAAAGCACTTCTTAGGAACCCGCAAGCATCCAGACCGGACGAAGAAATATTCAAATTACTCACATCTGTCTGAGGAGGAATGACGCAATACGAAGCCAACGACCAACGTGCCCATATCAGTATGGGCGCCCCATAAATCCGAGTGACATTGGTTGGGCGCCCACGACGAGATTGGTTTTATGGGCGCCTCGCCAAACATGTCGTTATATATGAGCCCCCCACCCCCCCAACGGTAAGGCGCATCATAACGAATCACACGATTAACACCACAACTTCACTGATCCGGAGGGGTGCGCATAATGACATGATTGGCGGGGCGCCTTATAATGACAATATAAAATATAATGATTGTCGGGCTGTACATAATGCATAGTGCCGACTTAGATTGGTTGGGCGCCCACGATTTGATCGATGGGGTGCCTCATACCGGAGGGGCGCCCATAATGCCAAGAGTGGTGGGCCGTCCACTGTACATAATGCATAATAATGCAGGGTGAGATTTATTGGGCGCCCACGGCTTGATCAATGGGGTGCCTCATCCCGGAGGGGCGCATATAATGCCAAATGAGATTGGTTAATCTTCAAAGTTCAAACAAGTCGCACTCTAACCCGATTCCGAACTTTTCGTATTCCTTCCTTCAAATTTTGATAATGTTCATATCAAAATATCATAATACGCCAATATCGCAAATTCAGTCTCAAAATTTAAATTTTCCGTCATTTTCATAGTTCCTCTCCTCGGGTGCAAGCCCTATTTTCCAGAATCTTCTGAAATATGGGTTTATCTCCTTAAGATCTCGGTTCCTTTCGATATTGGCATGTATCGGACCGTAACTTCATGGATTATGGCCCCTGATTGTATGAAAAATCGCGTTTTTAGCTTGTGGACCCTATAGATGTCACAATTTTTATCCGATTTTGTTGAAATTTAAAATGTAAGTTTATAACCCAAAGATCTCGGTCCCTTTCGATATTCGCGCATATCGGACCGTAACGTCCTGAATTATGGCCCCTGATTGTACCAAAAATCGCGTTTTTAGCTTGAGGTCCCTCTAGATGTCACAATTATTATCCGATTTAAAGAAAAAAAACGTTCAAATATATCACTGTTACACCGTAATTTTGGATGAGTTCGAATTTCGTGAAAATCGGACCAAAACTGCCGGACAAACTGGCTGCCCCTGGTAGTGTAAAAATGTGGTATATCAAGGTTGTGGAACCTCTAGAGGTCACAATTTTCTTCTGATTTTGATGAAACTTGAAATGTAAGTTTATAACTCAAAGATCTTGGTTCCTTTCGATATTCACACATATCGGACCGTAACTTCCTGAATTATGGCCCCCGATTGTACGAAAAATCACGTTTTTAGCTTGTGGACCCCATAGAGGTCGATATTCGTGCATATCGGACCGTAACTTCCTGAATTATGGCCCCGGACTATACGAAAAATCGCGTTTTTAGCTTGTGGACCCTATAGCGGCCATAATTTTTATCCGATTTAAAAAAAAAACGTTCGAATATATTTGTGAAAATCGGGCCAAAACTGCCAGACAAAATGGCCGCCCCTCGTACGCAAATAGTGTATAGCATCTGGTATATCAAGCTTGTGGACCCTCTAGAGGTCACAATTTTTATCCGATTTTGATATGAGTTGAAATGCATGTTTATAACCCAAAGATCTTGGCTCCTTTCGATATTCGCGCATATCGGATCGTAACTTCCTGAATTATGGCCCTTGAATGTACAAAAAATCACGTTTTTAGCTTGTTGTCCATGTAGGCTTGCCTTACCATACTCATATGGGAAAACCCACAAGTTATAAATAGTGCTTACGTCGTTACATGGCGTAATTTGAATTTTATGTATTTGCATTCCAGTTTCTCTATTCTTAGAACTCAAAAACTGTAAAGATTCACTGTAATTGCTGGTGTGTGTGTGTGAAATAGCTTTATTTAACGTCTACTTCCACCGAAATGATATCGCCTGGTGTAAACCTTATAGCTTAAACCAAATACATGTAGGCTAATTATAAACTGAATCATTTCTAAAGAGAGCTCCAGGAAAATAGTTCTTCGCGGAGAATAATAATATGCTGGATCTGAAACCACCTTTTCTCTTACTTCTGTTATTTCTCCTTCTTAAAGGTAGGTTATTTTAACAGATTCAATATTCCTGTGGGCTGTTAAAACACAGTAGCAGATCTAGAAGCTGTGAATAGGGGGACAGGGGTGGGGAGAGAGTCAAATCTAGGCATCCACCCACAATCCCACCTCACAATGAATGTCAACAAAATACTGATTATAACACTGCCTGAGGCCCCAGGGCAGTAGAACACAGATCGTATTGCCTATATTATAGTTTGTTCTCTCCCCAAAAAGCAGTTTTATTTAAAGGATTAAGTCACTATTATAATATTTGGGACCTAGAAATTGACACAAATGGATCGCAACGCATCTAATAATGTAATATGAATGTATATAAACTGATTTACATTCAACCATTCCCCTTTTGACTCTAATTTCAAATCAATTATGTTCGGCGAGATACGCCAGAAGTCTCAATTGAATGGCGCTGGTTATTCCAGTTTGACATGACTTGTGGAATATGTCTAACCTCGTTCTTCGAGTCCCTTGTTACAAATGGCGCTGTAACGCATTATGGTACACGATTCGTCTATCAATGATAAAATGTTTATTTTGTCTTAAATATTGGATATCAGAAGCCCATATTTTCCCTGTAAGATCACAACCCCAATGTTGATTTAAATTGACAAATAATTCGCGTGTTCAGTGTTGAAGGCTTTGGATGATATTGAGTTAGAGACTTAGGCCCATATTCTCGAACACTGTCTAAATTAGTCATTGATTAGACTTAATCACAGATTAGCTCATCAGAGATTAGAAGTTCATTTTAGTTGGTATTCTTGAAGCTCTGATCAGCTAATCTCTGACTAAAATAATTGTTAATCAATGATTAACACTCGACATAATCTTCCTTGGCCAATGTACCATAAACGAGAGACTATCCCTAATCAAAGATTAGTTAATCAATGATTTTGAGTTTTTGTCAATGATGTTAAGGGCCCTTGACAGGAAGTAGAAAGGAAAGGCACACAAAGGGGTTAATTTTATTCATAATCTTATTAAAGATCATTTAAAAAGACAAAGAAATCGCTCCAGTGCATTATCTTCTGAAATTCAAATTTTCATAGCTCTCAGATATGGTATATCAAGGTTGTGGACCCTGTAGAGGTCACAATTTTAATTTGATTTTGATGAAACTTGAAATGCATGTTTATAACCTAAAGATCTTGGTTCCTTTCGATATTGTCGCATCTCGGATCATAACTTCCTGAATTATGGCCCCTGATTATACAAAAAATCGCCTTTTTATATGCCCACATTTTCATGTGGACGTATATTGTCGTCGCCCCTGTCCGTCCACCCATCCGTCCGTCCACAATTGTTTGTGAACAGTCTACAGGTCACAATTTTTATCCGATTTCAATGAAACTTGAAATATAGAGGCGTTTTTGTGAACCGATTAGATTAGACCGATTAGCTACTATACGCATTTGTGAACCAAGTTGATTATGCTAATCGTTACATTTGTGAGACGATTAAACTCAACTGATTAGGCAAATCGACCTAATCGTCCCAGGAGGTGTTTAGGCGATTAGATTTGACGTTTTCAAAATGGCGGAATGTTCGACGTCGTAAGTAATTTTTAATGCTTATTGTTGTTTTTTTCCATAAAAAATGTTTTTTTAAAACGCATTTCACGTGTTTTATGTTAACTTTATAGTCCACAAGAATGTTAGATCACCTCTAAGCAATTTTATTCATTTACAGTTTTTTCAATATATTCCTCGATCCTAGGTTTTCTCAGGACACTTTTTACATGTTTTGTCACTTCAGTTTTCAAAAAAATACTTGAACTTGTTGGACATAGGAGATTGTTTCTAACGGCAACCATTTTTCCTTTTTTGCGTAGATAACCTTCATTTGTCTTTAACAAGTCATCAATAATTAGCAGAGACAATTTTTTTTTTTCTGATCGGTGTCCGTGATGGCAGCCATCTTACCAAATCGTAATTATCTAATTTCACATTTGTACACCATAGCTAATCAAATCGAAATCATACCAAATCGTACTAGCAAATCAAAACCTAATCTAATCGACTCACAAAAACGCCATAGGTTTATCACCCTAAGATCTCTGTTCCTTTCGATATTGGCATGTATCGGACTGTAACAATGGCCCCTGATTGTATGAAAAATCATGTTTTTAGCTTGTGGACCCAATAGAGGTCACAATTTTTATCCGATTTTGTTGAAACTTGAAATGTAAGTTTATAACCCAAAGATCGTGGTTCCTGTCGATATTCGCGCCTATTGGACCGTAACTTCCTGAATTATGGCCCCTGATTGTACGAAAAATCACGTTTTTAGCTTGTGGACCCTATAGAAGTCATAATTTTTTATCCGATTTAAAAAAACGTATTATTATATCACTGTTACACCCTAAGGACGGCTGAGTTCCAATTTCATGAAAATCGGCCCAAAACTAACAGGCAAAATGGCCGCCCTTCGTTCTCAAATAAATTTTCACCTGTGCTAACAATATCTATCATTATTAGCTATTGTTGAAGACCATAACTGTAGGCTACTGGTACTTAATCTCTATTCTAGTAGACCCTGTCATTTATTATCGCAACAATTTATAGCGACGTTCTCGTAAGGAATGAAACACTGGGGATACTGAGGATGGTAGCTACATGATGTACATGTTCCCAAAGCAACGACAACGAGTTTTACAACATCTATCCGTTTATAAGATGTAACCACAGGGTAGCTGCATAATCTGGCCAAAATTGTTTTTTTTCGGGCAAACTCTAAAATAGACGAGAAAGTTCAATTGATAACAAAAATATAAAAAGAAAAAATCGATTTTGGCTCCAGTTTTAAGATGCTGTCTGGTGAATGCAGCTGCAACAGTCTGATTGGTTAAAATCTGCCTGGATTAGCACTACGAGAGGATTAATAACCCTTTTATTTTTAAAATTTGGTGTGAAACATTGGGACCGATTATTGATTGTTACCATTTCTGTTCCATTAATCTATTATGTCTGGAAAAGCTTGTGAGCACTATAGAGGTTAGTTTTCTTGAAGGCATCCTTATCAAATTTGGTCAACATCCACGTTTTCTTTCAGATATGCTGCTGTCTAAGCTATATTTTTTTGAGGCATAGCTGCTATGTGGGCATTATTCCCACTTTGCATATAGATCTATCTTTCCTACATGAAAATGGTCTGATAAATGAGAACCATATCATACTTTAGGACTGGAAGATTTCACCTTATTGTCTCTTTTGAATATATAAAATAAATATTTCTCTACAGTAACAAATGGACAAGACAATGGCAAATGGTCCACTACAACAAGTACAGAGATATCAACAGTTGTTGGTTGCAAGGTAGAAATGGAATGGGTTAATGCAGGTCCTGTTGATGAATTCGCAATTTATAAAAACCAGGTAAGTGATTTCTCTAAATTATGATTTAAAGATAGGTTCCCAGAAAAATATTTATCGGGTGGTTATTTCCAATAAAAGTATATGGCAATTTTGGTGTATATGGAAAGTAGAGATATCCAATCTTACTAGAAAAATACTGGATTCCCTGAAAAACACTCATGGATCGTATACAGAACAAAAATGTAAGGGTTCCCCTAATCGACAGCATGCGAAGATTGAGCGCTTGGTGTACATTTTGATAAACTTTATGAAGAGTTAGACGTACAAACACTTTCTGAGATAAAAATCACGGAAAAAAGATGTGGGCAGTGGATAATCTGAGAATTTAATAGGATTCAATATTTGTAATAAATAGTCAGCGATTAAAGACAACATCGTTTTGTGTATACAATGAATTCTCCGACTTTGCCCCCGTTGCTATAGGTACCATGAGAGGTAAGTCACATGACACTAGGGTGACCACCTGTCCCGCATTTAGCGGGACAGTCCCGCAAAATGTTTCCAAGTCCCGCGTCCCGAAAACCAACCAAACTGTCCAGCAATTGCTCACATGGAAGATTTCTATACAGTAATATGCCTGAATCTAGTCTCGCTATAGTCTATTTGAGTATTAGTCTAGTCAAAATACTGAAAGACGAAAGACCCACCACAAATTCCTTTAGAAGCTCTTTTGTACCAACATGTAGATCACCTTTCCCTGTACATCATTCTGAAAATTCACCGAAATCCACCGGTGTGCCCCCCCCCCCCCTGTCACTGGTGCAGGACAGAGGGCCTTGGTCAACGTATACTCATTCGGATGAGACGCAAAAACATCCTTGGCAGTTGGAATTCGATATAAGAGTAAAGGCCGTAGCACCGGTCCCGGGCACAATTTCGATCATAGGACACAATATGGCGTATGCCCGTCTTCATTAGCCCAGTCGGGTGTTAAATCCCATTTCAATTTCGATATTTTAATGTAATAAACTTAAGAAATGAAAAATATTGACAAAATTCAATTTATATAACATTGACACCTCACACTACAACTACAACCCCTATCAGCAGCGCAACCGACAACACCACGACCATCACCATACTCAAAGAAAATTAAATTAAATTAAATTAAATGAATATAATGTAGTTGTTACATTATGAATCACATAAACAAAAAAACATTAGCTGACTACTGGGGCATTTGCCGTGACCGAAGGCTATGTATTTCTATTTTATATATATATATATATATATATATATAAAACAAACAAAAAAACTGGAAGACAACGGATGTATCGAATTGTTTGTTCCTTTATTTTGATATGTATACTTGGTTTAATGGAGTATCAATTACATTCGCTTTCGCTTTGTAGTCTCTGAATTAGTAAAATTCAAATATGTCCATTGATGCATAACTAATGATTGTGTAAAGGTATCTTGTATGTGATGATCAACCAGGGACAGTAAAAGATGAATTACGTAAGATTTAGATAAAGAGCTGACAGTTCTTGCAATAATAGTTTAAACATACATTATGCAAGAGCTAAATCTGCCTTTTGCAGGTCTTCCTTTAGGCTTGAAATGTTATATAAACCATTAGACATTATTAACAAAACAAGACCATAATCAACTCTCGATGGCATAGGATACTCGAGCTTGAACTAGATTAGAACGGTTCGCCATTTAAAAATTTAATTTAAAAATGGGAAAGCGAGGCTTAGTCTCGAATATACCAGAGAGAAGGAGAGATGGGTTTTAAGTCCACTCGACACAAACTAGGTCATTTTGGGACTAACACATGATTTAATTTTATTTCAATCATTCGCTTGCGCGTACGGGTCTTTAGCAGTGGGAGGAAACCAGAAGACCCAGAGAAAACCCACGAGGTTGGACAGACGACCGCGACACTCCTTGTCACGTACAACCGGGGAATCGAAACCACGCCAGTTGACTCACTGACAGACCTTATGATACAGCTCGCACGTGCTAACCATTCAGCCATCCAGCCCCCCAGCTCTTAAACCATGCATCTTTAACCAGCATAACATCCTTTATACTAAGTTATTATAAAATCTCAATCAGTTTCACAACATTTAGCATAATTAAACTTAAGCGATAAAATCTCAAAACGTTTCACTGCCTTCGGCATGATTTAATTTTAGCGATAAACGATTAATGTACATGGATGACAATTCGGCAGTCATTTGATTGTAACTTAAAAATTTAATTCAACGCCAACGCACCCTTTCAAACGGTTCTGTCGCACAAATTAATAATTTATATATTTTGTTTGAAATGAAAGATATGAATATTATATGACTTGAATTTATATTGTTGCTATCTATTATTATCCTAAAAGATTTGTGGTAAATATCATATGACACACGAATACAAACCAGGCTTGTGTGAATATTTCATAGTTTGATTTTCTATTGTTGCTATGACGAAAAGTGAAGTGACTATATCAACATTGTTATGCATACTGCCTCAGTTTTTTTTTTAAAAAAAGATGATGTCCCGCAATATGATCAAGCAAAGATGGTCACCCTACATGACACAAACATGACCTCTTTTGATCGATTTTTATAGCTGGGTATTCCTTGGGAATTACAATGTTTTGAGAAGGATTTGAAGCAAAATTATGATAAATTAATTAGTTTGAATATGTTTTTAGTCCAAATATATCATCAAATCACACAGTTTGTGCACAGGAATGTATCTTTAAAATCTGCATAGATACCTCTTTGTTCTACCATAACTTTTATGATTTTCTTAAAAATATCAATTTATTACAGGAGCACATATTGTCCTTTGAATCTGGTGTGTCACACAAGCGTATTGGAAATGAGAGATTAAGGATTAATCAGCTAAAACGCAGAAATGGAGAATTAATTACTCTAACTATAAACAATGTTGAAACCAATGATAACGGAATTTATACATGTAAACTTTTACCATCTAACCAAGCTAAAAATGTTACACTCAAAGTAACAGGTCAGTCTTTTTGGTGTATATTATTGTCCCCTATGAGTCCATCTTATTAAAACACAGATCCCATATCGTTCCGTTTTTATAGTTACACAATTTCGTTTTACTTGTCTTTACTACACTAGGATCTGAAAGAGCTGTTATCATTGACGTATTCTGAATGGTGTGAGGGATTAGCCAATGAAACGGTCTGTGTGTTTTGTATGGAACTGTGGGTAATCCACTAGTAGCGTCAATGGTGATTGGTTAATCAAATGTCTGACGTCATAGGTCAAAAGCCGCTCGTATGACCTCTGACGCGACCTATTGCTACAACCGGTCATATCTTCATGTAGTGTAGGCCATTGAAAGTATAAAAAAAACGAAACGAAATATAGATCTGTATTATAATCAGATTGCCTATGAGTGAATGCTTTGAAACAAAACATTGTCCCCTTTGAACAAATGCTTTTAAATAAATCATTGTCCCTTTTGATCGAATGTGTTTGTGTTTGAGAATTTTGATCTATGGTGCCTTTGAGCTTGAACTAGGACGAAAACATCATTCTCACACATGTCAGTATGTGTGTAAATACTATGTGACTAGCTCTTTCTAAATAATACACGGTCAACACACTATGCAGCAATTTAATTTCTGTATTCATAGACCTTTAAATTGATATGTGACATATATGCATTTTACATAGAAAATGGCCAAGATATGTAGCAGGCCAAGAACTTATGTCTCATCTAGCCAGAGCTTGTCACATACATTGCCATTCAACAAATTCAAAAGGTCACACAGTATTTTTGGTATGTAAATTGGTACAAGCCTACATTTAAATCTGCTTGTAATACAATGTGCCCTATCTGTGATGTACAATGTAGTAATATTGATGGTGAAAATTTGTGCTATACATGAAATATATATATAATGTGAGGCTAATATGAGAATTTTAGTTTAACTATGGCCTTGACTAATTATTGGTTTCATATTCATAGACAAGGCATATCTCACTTAGACAAACTGAAATGATTGATAAATTCATCCATAAAATCATCTTTAATTTGCTAAATATTTAATTCTGGGTTATAAACAAAATATCACATCTGACACTCCTGGTGGAAAGTTTCCACTGCCCATATAAGGGTGGTTTAGTAACCAATCATCATATCATCATAATTAATTTCATAATATTTGTCCAATTAAATAATTGACGGAGCTGTCTAAAGGCCACTGCTAATGATTAAAAGGCATTGCTTACATTAGTAAAACGAAGAAGCTATCTAGATTTCACCAGTTTCTGATAATATCCTGCATTTTGATTGGCATATCAACTTTTATTGTTATTTCAGAATTGAAGTGGAAAACAGGAAAAGAAATAAAAGCTGTAAACCCCTGGACACCAGTTCCGATGAGTTGGGAGTATATAGATTCCTCAGGTACTGGTATGGTTACTGCAGTAAGAAGAATGCCAGGAAATTCAGATTGGGTAATTTAATATCTTTTACATACAGACTCGTGGACTGTATTTTACTAGTCTCAGCTTTAACATTAAGCATGGTAGCCTCATAGGTCCCTCAAATCTTTTGTAACACCATGTACCAACGTACAGAGATGTATATTTTCTGAGATGCAGTGCCGTAATTTAGTCTGTGAGCAAGAATTCTATTGGAGTCAACTTATAGAAAAATGTGAGTGAACTATCTCCTTTAGAGCTGCAATTTCATATTTTTAAGTTATATTTTTAAAATTTATTAAAATAAAGCCTTAAAATAGATGGTATCTATAAACAGTCCTACCTTGTTAAAGAATAATCCCATTAATCCTATAATTCACTATTGCCAGTTGAGAAATTGGCAAAAATATCATTTTCAACTTTAAATTCAAACGTTTGAAGATAGTTATTCCATGGGAGGGAAAAGAAAAACAAGGGAGGTAATTGTGTTATTATTTCCGGGGTCAAAGGATTTTTAAGAGGGAGAATAATACCTATAATCGTATAATAGTGAGTTGACAACCTATTGAGCAAAAGACATAGAAATAATTATGTTTTGACTTTCTTAGAAAATATGAAATTATCGCTTTAAGGGCGTTGAGTAGTCTTAGATGCACACTAATGTTTCAACACCAATCTTATTAAGACTTTGCCCACTTGTTCTATGTGTAAAATAACCGAGAGGACACATAACAGTCCGACCATTTGTTGTGTAATAATGGAGATACTAACGTAAAGAAAAAACTATTTATAGCAAACAAGAAGGTTTCCCCAACCCAGATCACTTCTTGAATGAATTATGACGTCGTAAACACCGTACACGTCATTCACAATAAACTATCATGGACGCCCCAAGCTGTAGTTTCATACCGGATCATTGACGTCTATCTATATATGACATCAGAAAGAATTCCCTCTGGAGCAGCTTGTTAGCTGGAGCACTCAGCGCTATACAAATTGATTATTATTATCTAGGTCTACTATCTATCGCAACTGGAATTTCATTTTTTGATGGTCGAAGACTACTATTTTTGAATGTATAAAATGATTTGAGAGCGGTGGAGTAGTGCACTGAAGGGATTATCGATTTCTCCTTTTTAGCATGTACTGATAGAACATGGATACCAGACAAACCACAGCCTATAGCCAAAAGTTATTCTGTGGCTTTTTTGGAATTGCAATTAGCATTATTGTTCATCCAGGCATAACTGAGAAAATTTGACTTTTGTTGCCATCCGTAGGCCCTACTCTTTATTATCCTGCTTTTGGGTCAAGCTTAAAACATAATAAGTAAATAAAATTGGTATATTTTTGGTGATTAAAATATGTAGTTTATCACCCCATATAACAAAAAATGTCATATCTTATGAGCAAAAATTACAGTGCTAGTTTTAAAATGCATTTTAGACTGCTCAATGCCCTCAAATATCACCAGGGTTTTCCGACATGGTTTACCCCTTGTCAGTGGTGCAGTACGGAGGGCTTGACAAGGACAGCTGTCTAATCGTTCAGATGGTACGAAAAATTGAGGCCTGTGTATACATTGGCATGCACGTAAAAGATCGCTTGGCAGTTGGAATTCAATATGAGTAGGCTATTGTGCCGCTGCCCGGGCAAAATTTCCCTCATAGCCCACTGTATGGTGTATGCCCAACTTCATTAGCCCAGTATAGGAGCAGAACAATAGGATGTTAAACCCCATTTCATTTCATTTCACGCCCTTAACCATCTTCCTAAACAGGTGGAGTCATATTTCTGGGAGAAGGGGCAGGTATAATAATAATAATAAAAATAAAAAATTTATTTAATGAGGCAACTTATTTAGTTTGCAAAAAAAAACTAATCTCACATAAGTCCCTCCTAAGCTACAAAGACATATACATGTAATATCAGGAGGCCATATCTCTGTAATATTGAATTTACCTAGCACTACTGATGTGCAGTCCCTCTCACTATTGTCTTTTTCAATTGGGGGTTGGGGGCGAATGGTTAACATGTGCGTTGGATCAGTTCATTAGAAGGTCTGTCATTTAGTCAAGTGGCAAGGTTTTGATTCCCTGCTTGTACGTGACAACGAATAGGGTCACCTGTTCAACCTCGTGGGTTTTCTCCGGGTGCTCCAGTTTCATCCAAAAGACCCATATGTAATTCCTGACATGGCCTAGTTTGTGTCCCATTTATCTCTCTCTCTCTCTCTTTTTCAATTGCATGTTGTATTCTTATTCTTCAGGCAGAACCGTTGGCACGTTGGGAAAACAGTTTTCTTGTTCAAGTTAATGATCAACTGAGAAGTAGATTAGAAGTGGCCAATTTTACAACAACTGCTACTGGCAATAAGAGAACATCAATGGTATTGAAAGATGTAACCAGAGATGATCTTTCTTACCAATATCAACTATTATTGGAATTTGGAAAGTGTCAGAAATATTCTGAACCAATAGAATTAATACCTGGTAAGGTAACATACACCCACCAGAAACTTTGTCATCCACGCTGAAATTGAAATAAGACACTCTAGAGACTACACATGTCATCCGATCTTTTTATACGCCCACATTGAAATGTGGTCTTATATTGTCGTCGCCCCCCCCCCCCCCATCCGTCCGTCCGTCCGACGGTCCGGCATCCACAATTGCTTGTGGACACTCTAGAGTTATGGCCCTTGATCACTTTGAAAAATCTTGTGGATGCTCTAGAGGCTAAAGTTAATATCCGATTGACTTCAGATTTATACAAAGTGGTTAAGGTCATGAGATGAAGACATCTATTGATTTTCAACGATTTCGGTTAATTACTGGTATAGCTATTGCCCTTAATCATTTTGAAATACCTTTCAGGCTAAAGTTAATATCCGATTGACTTTAGATATATACACAGTGTTTAAGATGGCCCTTGATCATTTTGAAAAATCTTGTGGATACTCTAGAGACCAAAGTTATCATCCGATTGCTTTTAGATTGATAAACAGAGTTTAAGGTCTTGAGACGAACAAGTATATTGATTTTCATTGAATTTTGATAACTTGAACAGCAAAATCAATGATATTAAATGTTTCATATACTAAACGTTAGCATGTGTCAGAACTAAAAGCCAAACAATTTCTAATGATTTTCGGATAATTACTTAATGCGGTGTTACTCTTTAGCAGATTTAAGTGTATTATAAATGTTTCATTACTGACAATATACAAAATATGTGACAACACTTGTTGACTGCTCGGATGACTTAGCTGCTGTGAGTGTATGTTTTGTTGCCTGGCAACCTATTTATATGTCGGTTACATTAGTGCGTTGAAGAAGCCTAGTTATTTCTGATAATAACTTCCTATGATATGGCCCTTGTAGAATTTTGTGTACACCCTACAGACAAAAGTTGTCATCCCTCTGCTTGCAATTTATATGTCCTGTTGAGAGATTTGTGAAACAAAGATGGCCATCGAATTTCAATAATCTTAGAAATTTATGTGGATTGTTTATATTAGGGAAACAAAGAATCCTATCACATTTCAACACATAACATTTATATACTTCTAAAGTGATGGCTCTTGCTCACTTTGAAGAAGCTTGTAAAGGCTGTATGGAAAAAAAGGTATAGCATCTTTTGAATACACTACCAAACTATCTTTACTTTTTGGACTTCTACTTCTGAAATACTTGACAGCTTTAAAGCAAATTTGGCAGATGTTGTTGCTAATCCAATTGTATCTGGTACAACAAAGGAAATGGAATAAAAACTTAAAGAAAAGGAAGAACTAATGGAAAAACATCTAATTTTAATCAGATTGCTATAGAAACGAAATTAATGTTTTTTATTGTAGAAAAATGTGAGGCTGTGCCTGAGTGTTCGATGACAGTAAGAAATGTGTTGATAATTTTTGTTGTTCTACTCCTACTGGCTCTAATTATGATAATCATTTTCTTATGTATATTACGAAGACGTAAGTTATACTAAAAGATTATAAAATAACAATATGTATGAGGAATGTATATGTGTGTTAGGTTGGAGATGATAGGAGGCATTATCTATATCTTCTATATCATCTTCTGCTCGACAAATGATGTTTGTTCCATACATATATGGAGTGACGATCAAAAGACCATGTGCAAGAGAGTTGTGCAATGTAAAATGATGCTTGTCATCTGAACTATCCTTCATAATTGGAAATTCATTATTGTCCCCCGCCTTTCGAAGAAAGCAAGCGGACTCTTAAAATCTGTCTCTGTCTGTCTGTCCGCCGTCCATCTGTACGTCTTTTTGGGACATACAAACACTCCTTCTAATTGAGCTAGAATGCATTGATGGAGTTCGATGATGAGCATTTTCTGCATAGGGTAAGCAGAGATAATTAAGTGAGAGTGATAAAACTTGGTCTATAGTTTCATTACATCAATACCTTGACTAAGTTCGATAATGAGCATTTTCTGCTTAGGCTAAGTAGCGATAAGCAAATTGATTGATCAAGACTTTGAGGTAGAATGTTTAAACTTGATGTAGATGTTCATTAGGTGATTGTCTTGACTGATTAACTTATTAACATTTTCCACTAAAGCTTTGGGACAAGATAACTTTGATTCTATCTGATGGAGAATGATGAAACTCACCTTTTAATTGAGGTAGAATGTTTAAACTTGATGTAGATGTTTATTAGGTGACTGAGTTTCCCACTAAAAGCTAAGCAGAGTTAAGCAGCAGTTTCATTGTTGGATGCTTTGGGACACGATAACTTTGATTCTGACTGATGGAGAGTGATGAAACTTAGTGTATAGTTTCACTACCAGGTACCTCAAAACCTTGATTGAGTATAGATAATCAGTTTGATTGCTCAATACTTTTGAAAATGATAAATGTGAAATTAATCAATATGTGTCACCTATTTACCTATTTATTTTGGCTTGTTCAGATGGAATTACTGCTATGAACAACACGCTAGTACACTCTTCTGCGTGTCGACAATTTTAAAGCTGCCGATTTTAATTTGTGGGGTTTTGAAAATATCATCCCCCAAAAGTGGAATATCATTCCAAGCCGGTTATATAATGTTGTGAAATTGAGACTCAATATTTTTGCATTAAGTTGTGAATTGTAGTTAATGATAGTGAACTATTTTGGGTGATAAAGTAAACACTATTAAAAAATTCTCTTTTTATTACGTTTCTATGAAATGTGGGGTTTTTTGTTGGTTGGGCTGATTTAGCTGATGAAATTGAAAGTTTTTCAAAATTTCTCTGAGTGCCTCCCTAAACCAAATATTCTGCATCCACCACTATGTGTTCTGAACCTGCAGTTACTTTGTGTCAATCAGTCAAGAAATTACCTTGGTCAGAACTATAAGGATCCTATCCTAGTGAAGATCATGCTCAGGTTCGAATTATAACCTTGTGGGGGCCCCGGAACAAGTCCAGAAAGATTTGATTTAGTGCATTCTGAGGTATAATCAGGGTGTGTAACTCAAGTTAAATAAAGTAGAGCTATTGAATATTTTTTGGGTATTAGAACATAAATTTAAAACATAAAGGTACGAATCCCAGCTAATCTGTCGCTATTAAAAGGCTAAATGAAATACCTTTAGTCAAAAGTCGATCATGTTACGAACATCGGTCAATCTTATCAGTTCAGAAGCTTTTGTTGTGATTTAAGGGTGGTTTGAGAGGTTGGGTAATCAAGTGGTATTACTTTTTGTATTGAAGGTTTAATTCATGGTATTGCAGTAGCACTAAAGTCAAAAGAGACACCAATAGATTCAGCGTTACCATTAGTTCCAGAGAATGGGAATGCTTCTAGTACTAAAAATGGTACATTTGGGAGCGATGGCATGGATGAAAGTAAAGTAAAGTCAAAAGAGACACCATTAGATTCAGCGTCACCATTAGTTCCAGATAATGGGAATGCTTCTAGTACTAAAAATGGTACAGTTGGGAACGATGGCAAGGATGAAAGTAAATCTTATAACATGGAGTGGTAAGGAAGCCTCCTGCATACATAGGATTTTAGATTTTGCTTATTTGTCATAATAACACCTAATATACTCTAGTAGTTCGGCATTCAATTGTACTTATGTAGAGGGTCACCGATTGATGTACACATTGTCACTTACATCAATGATTTCATAGATTATAGAATCTTGTTTTCCAAATTTTTTTAAGTATAAAATTGGGATGCTTCAGCATGTTTTAGCTTCATTTAGACCAATTCAATTACATAAATTCATCTGGCCATTAGGGTAGTAATTAAAATGGTGTTACTATGAATTCTCCAAAGAAATAGAGTTTGTAAAAAAATTAAATGACAAAGTGTAAAGAACACAAAATTGGTGATCCGAAGCTATACAATATTGTAAATATATTATGTGATCAAAAAGTTAATTTTTATGCATCTATATTTTTATACATCCATAATTCTTATTAACACTCTACATGTCAAAAAAATTTGAGAATTTTTCCAAACTTGCTAGGTCTATCGAGGAATCCTTTTTTGCCGAAACCTTGTAAGCATTCTACTGATCAAAGACTTTTGTACTTGTTTGGAAATCTTGCTGCAATTGTTCAGCTAGTCCGAAGGAGGAACCCTCTCAAAATTTAAAAAAGTGCAATGACAACCCTTTTCACTGAAATTCAGACTTGCCCATAAAGTTTGGGCGTAGTTATTGCCCTTATAAATTTGAAAGCCTTCCTCGAAAATGCTGCTGATGCGTGTATTTGTTTTCTGACAATGCTATAAATGATATTATTTAATTTATCACAGTGTCTGATCAAATATTTATGTATTTATAAAGATAGATCTGTATATAATGGTGAACCTTTTTTAATTTGTTAGTAGATATTAATAGTCATGTCTCAGTATCAACACATATAAGTCTTCAAATTATTGTAACTGTTTGGCTGATGATTGATAATCCAAATAATTTGAATAATCTCCAATGTTTATGTTTACATTCTACTATTATATATTTGATTTAGAAACTGTTGAAAAGGCCAAATCTTCCAGCTGTGAATCATCAAGGTAATATTTCTAGAAAGTAAGATAAAATTCATTTGAGAAGGACTAATGATATAATTCAAATGATCCTAGGCATTTTGAAAACAAAATCATTGGAGAGAGTGAATTCCTGACATATTTCAGAAAACAAGTAATCAGAGTTTAGAATAGTACTGTATTTTGTTTATTTTTGGACATCTGTGGCTCTACTGAGACTTGAAAATAATTTTGTGATAAAAAGAAAGATTTTTGTTGTTATTTAACAAGTTTTATATTTGTTACAAATGAGTGATATATATGCTTTAATTGTACATAGTCTTCGTTAAATTTCATTTATTATTTATGAAATTTTATATCTGGTATTCTGGTGGTTGATACAGCTTCGCTTATTATTATTTGATTTGGCAGGGTATCACAGATTGGCTCAGTTCATTGTGGATATGGGAGACTGTACACTTGAATCCCCCCCCCCCCCTTAAAGTGTCCTGCTAATGATTAAAAATCGGTGAAGAGGTTACTCTGAGATTATCAAGGTGCTGTAAATGCATACATATTCTGTAGCAACCAATACCACTTCTCAAATGTGATAATATGTAATGAATGTATATACCTTTTTTACTAGGTAATTAAATCCATTAATTACAGTCATTTGATTTTTTGTATTTAAGAGGTATTTTAAATTTTATGATTTGCATTAGGACTTTTTGTCATTTCATTTTTTATATTTAATCATTGAAAATAAATATAGCTAAGCATTATTTTACTTATGCCAATCATACATCTTCATATATGAATGTTGAATATTTTCAAACATTATGTTGTTCTCGCTGAATTTATAAGAACAGGGTCTCTTTTACGTTTAGTATAAAACGGTCCATGGTAAAAGATAGCAACACAGCTCACTTCTCTACAATGAAGATCCAATTTACTTTTTAGAAATGCTTAAATAATTCAAAAAAACGTTATTGAAAAATCCAAGGACTGACCTATTTCCTGAAAAAAAATATATATATACATGTATGTTTCTATGCGTAAATTGAGTTAAAATGGCTGTATATGGTTTGACAATCTAAAATTTTTAATTCAATCTAATTTGAACAACCCAGATGTAACCATAATACAGAACAAATATCATGAAAAATCAGGGGGAGGGGGGCCAATTGATGAAGACAGCTTCAACACTGTTTCCTGTTTAAACTAGTAAAACTTACCGGTACTAAAAAAGACCGATTCCAAATAATGTTTTTGAATGGAAAATGGAGATCTCACTGTTAAGTTGCGTTTAAAGGGGCATTACTTAAGATGAGGCAAAAAGCGGGAAATTCTTGCTATGATAGTTAAAAATAAATAATGAAAACAGAATATGTGGAAAATGTCAGTCAAATTGCCCCTCTCTGAACCAAGATATTAGCTATTCAATTTTCGGCTAACCTCGATCATCATCACTGCCATTCGTACCATAATAAACAAAGTCTTCATTATCCCTTTTTATGTTAAATTATCCATCACAAAACGTATTCAAATCCACATGCTAACGATGGCATAGAGAGTTGATTATGATCTTGATAATTTAATTAATGTCTAATTAATAATTTAGATAACATTTAAGGTATAAAGAAAGACCTGCAATAGGCAGATTTAGCTCTTGCATAATGCATGTTTAAATAAGCATTTTAGTTTTACAATAATCAAAGATTTCCTGTCCATTTTTAATAATTCATTTTATTGACTGCCAGTTAATTTAATTTATATTTTTTTTTCTAAGTTATGTTAAGTATTATTTTTTTTTTGTGAAACATGTTATCACATTTATATTTTTCTTGTACCTTGATGGAATTACAGTAAATTTTTTCTTTGATATAGTCTTCATCTATAAGGCAGTTAGAAATGGAAAGTGCATAAATATTAAAAATGTACAGTTGCATGGATGTTTTAACTTTTAATTTATTAGTTTGAAATATCTGACCTTTCCAAAATATCTGGGACTGAATCTGATTAAACTCACATGGCAATTACTTTTCATTTTATTTTTGATGTTGTACTATTGTATTGACATCTGGCATAGTTTCTTTGAAGCTGGTGTGCAGAACACACATGGATAATTTATATTTACACAAATTTTTGAACCATTCATATTTACATGAATTTATGGACCATTTAAATTCACATGAATTTATGGACCATTTAAATTCACATGAATTTATGGATCATTTAAATTGTATGCGTAGTTTTCTGGTGGCGACTGTAAGAGTTTTAAAACCAGCTGGTAATATATAACAGTGCCTAATTGGCTGTGATAGAAACTATGTTAATGTAGGATAACAAAAACATAGAAAAATAAATGAAATTATAACATAATTTTAATGGTGAGACCAATTTTAGCATCGGTGAGGAAAGTTATCTCAAACTAGTTTATTATTGAATAAAAGTTAATGAATTACCTTATTTAGTTAGTATCAGATGAATGCCTATGCATTGCCATGTACACAACCATGTCTGATCTTTATGCTTTGTTCAAGTGTTTAACTACGTTCTAATTCAGTCAATGATTCTGCTGATACTGTACATTTATTTTTTTATATATATATAATAATCAACTGTTGCTTATACTCTGTGCATTATTGGGTTTTTTTAATATACATGCTTTTTATATATTTTTATCTTTGAAAATACTTAATGTTACTTGATGATCAAAATCATCAAATAAATATATGTTTTAATGTGATCTATTGTCTTTGTCTATGTGAAATGGTAACCACAATCAGGCATTGCATATTCAGTTATAAAGTATATCCCAGGGGAAAGCATGGAGTTAATCCACTATTTAGTTATTTTAACAATAGATAGATTAAAGATGACAGCTTCCATCCACTTTTGTCAATTGGAAGTGAATAAAATGACTAATGTAAAACAAACCAATTAACTAAAAAAAACTCATTTGAAAAAATCAAGAACCCATATTGAAAGATCTGGTAGTGTTGATGATTTCACTAACAGATTCTTGAAACAGGGCACCTAGAGTATTTATCTTTCATTAGAATTTACATATGGACTTTCTCTTTTAAATATATAAATGGGCAAATCGCTTCCTTTTAATGTTATCATATTTTGCAAATTATAATCTCTTATGAAGTCAAATTGGGGCATATGCTAAAAATATTTTACTATAAATTTTAGAGTCTTGTGTGAAAATAATATGTACACTTACTTGCACTGTAAATTTGGTTTCAAAATATTTCCTATGTCCCTGTCAAAAGATTTAATTATTGATTTTAACACTAATTCACAATTACCCTACAAAGTTTGAAAAATGCATTATTACCTGGGTTATATTTTTGCATATCAAGGTGCAGTTATTAACTTAAATTTAACTTGATTAAACAAACACTGCATGGGCATAATGTACAGCTACCAATCTCTCTTAGAAATAAGCTATGGTAGGAATAAAGATGAATAATCTACAAATACGATGTTCAGTTTGCTATATTTGGATCCCAGTCTTGTACCTGCCAAGGAATAGGGTTGCCTGTCCTACTTCTTGGGTTTTCACCATATGTTAGTCCCGAAATAACCTAGTTTATATCTCCATGGTAAATTTCATCATTAAGCATAGTTCCTTAAACAACAGTATTGGTAGTATCTGGTAGCATCCCTTCAATATGATACTGGGACAATCCATATTATCTTCATCTTTATGGAGTATCCAGGACATACTCAAACTTACGTATTCACTAGAAATTTTGAAAATTTCCCTTATACAGCCCCCCCCCACACACACACACACGCACACGCACACACACAAAAAAATGTGAATCTGTTCACCAAAAATGAATTATTATTCTCATGTATTGTTCAGGTTATTTATTACATTCAGATATTTTTTGGGAACAACATTAATTGCTCAAAATTCATTAATTACTCAAAATTCATTAATTGCTCAAAATTAAAACAGTTTTAAACATGAATCAGTTGTGGCTCATTTATGATATCTTTATATGAACTGATAACAATAAAATGTTATCAATATGATATACCAGAGTTTTTTTTATCTGTATTAACTTTAGCATTCTGCTGCGGACAAAGTCAAGTGATAGACGGGGAAATCGCCAATTGGCTTTATCAATTAATTTATCTTCATGATTTAAATATTTTGCAATAAAGAATATTATCCACCAACCATACAACTGGAACATTTTTAATTTTCACATCTGAAACGTAATTTGTTGCGATTAATATGTGAATTTGGATAATATTTTTGTCAAAATGACCTATTCTTGGATTATCTGCCTGGGTTTTATCTATTTGTTAACTTTGTGTACAGCCCAGTTATATAGTTCTTGTAATGATGTATACAACACAGAGGGTGCCACAACACCTGATGGGGAGTATGTTATATCTGTGGGTATTGGTAAAGCTGTTAGTTTCTACTGTTACGGTAAGAATATTAGTTTAGATATTTTACAAATGTCTCAAATCAAATGCCGCTAATTACTTTAAAGGCATATTGACACCAAAGATATATTTGCCACTGACATCCCAAGTTCTCGTCAGTCACAATCTGACTGGCAAAACAAGCATTCAAAGCATTTTGGGTTGAGCAAAGTATAGTTAAAATATATTGTCTAATCTTTCATGCAATTGCAGAATAAACCCAACAAAAACTTTGAATTTGTCAATCATTAGGGATCTGCATAGATAGAAGTTGATTAATCTCAATGAACCATCGCAAAATATTTGAGAGGTTATAAGAGTCATCCAAATAGCAGTCGTAATTGTAAATGCTATTGACACTTCGCTTTGAAGACATGTTAATGTGAATTTCAACACAACTTTTTCTCTCATTTTCTCTATTGAACAAGTTAATATAGAATGTGATATTCTTGCATAATACACGTTAAATAATAGATTTTAGTAAGAGAATACTGATCCTACATAATAAAGGTTAGATAATAGATTTTGATAAGAGCATACTGATTCCTACATAATAAAGGTTAAATAGTAGATTTTAAGAGCATACTACTAAGTAAAGTTATTCAAATTGATTATATTTGACTTATGGCTGTTTAAAGTTTACATGTTAATAGTAATAATAAATAGGGTCTCATTAGCTTCGGGTCTATATTCTTCATCAAGGTTTTTTATACTTGGATGTTCTAAATAAGAAACCATAATAAAATCATACAAGATATGGCTTGTTGTTCCTTTAATACTTTATTGAACAAAAAAGAAATGTATTAAAAGTTTCCATCCATACTCTCATTCATTTAGCCTATTCTGTTGGGTGGGGGGGGGGGTGGATGGCCGAATGGTCAGCACGTGCGCGTTGTATCATAAAGCCTGTCATTGAGTCAACTGGCGTGGTTTCGAATCCCCAGTTGTACCTGACAAGGAGTAGGGTCACTGTCCAACCTCGTGGGTTTTCTCCGGGTGCTCTGGTTTCCTCCTACTGCTAAAGACCCCTACGTGCAAGCAAATTATTGAAATAAAATTAAACCATATGTTAGTCCCGAAATGACCTAGTTTGTGTGTGTGTGTGTGTGTGTCTCTCTCTCTCTCTCTCTCTCTCTCTCTCTCTCTCTCTCTCTCTGTGTTGGATGTGTACTTTTGTAGAATTAATTAAATTCAATTTATTTTCCTTTAAATTTTTTATGGACAGAATGTTCTACATACAAGTTAGATAACCTTGCTCGACAAAGATAACATCCCCCATCCACTACATCTGTGTGTTTTTGTATATCTGATAGTGGGAATGATAATGTTTCTGCTGTTATACCCCATATAGATATACCGGTAGATATAGACTATATGTCCTATCAATAAATAATTCTCTCTATTTAGTGAATTAATAAATATTGTTTATCCTGATGAGTTAATAAAGATATGACAAACAAATACCATTGATGATTTTAATTTTCCCAATTTCTCTGACACAGTATGTTCCACAGTGATGGTGGATATTGTGTTTTGGGAACCACTAGCACACACTGTTCCCCCTATTTGTTATTTTGTGGATTTTGATTGCCTGATGGATCTATATTATTGTGTTCTGAAAACAAAAAGAAACCACACCCACTTTTAAGCATGGAAAATAAAAATAAAAAATGCAAAAACATTTATTCTGTGTTTAAACATGTTTTTGACTGCGTATGGGCTCAATCTAGACTGAATGTGTATGGGCTCAATCTAGACTGAATGTGTATGGGCTCAATCTAGACTGAATGTGTATGGGCTCAATCTAGACTCAATGTGAAAAACCATTCTAATGTAAAATTGGAAGATTATGTTTGTGCTTTGTTTTGCCAACAAAATAAATATTTCAATTGTGTTTTGTTTTCCCATACAGGTATTAAAACAGGGAGACCTCAAACCTATGTCACATTAAAAGCTGGAAGACTGAATAATTATGCAATGTATTACCAGTATGTAGGTGAGTATGTTATCTGATTTGTCTTTCATTGCTTCAGGAAACATAAATTGTAACATCAGAATGTGCATCCTACAGAGTAAATTTAATCCTCTCTATAATGAACCATTTCATTCATTAACTAAAACCAATATTTGTGGTTAGAGAGACAGATAATTTGATTGGTTGATGCTTTGGATCATGATATAACTTTGATTCTAACTCAGAGAGTGGCATCTATTTAATTTAGCTTTCCTCTGTTTCTAGTTATGGACTTCAAAATGAATTGTATTGTTTATTATATACCAAACAGTCATTATCGGTTAATCAAATGCACAAATGATATAATGATAAAAATGTTATATTTTGTAGGTAATGCAAAAGATTGTGGAGATTCCCTACCTAAGCAGAATTACACAGCTTGGGGTAGGACAGAGTTTATTAGGCTTCGAATTGACCCAACCACATTCACTGTAGATTTAACAGACTACAGATTTACTCGTCAATTTGGTCCAAATAGAGTATGGTCAGTATTTAAACTCACTTGTACTTTATAGATTCCTGCTTTTTAACACAGGGTTAACAAACTGTTATAATAAATACAATAGAGGTACACTAGTCCCCAAATCATGATAGGTTATCACACATTATCTGTTTCAATAGTGTATAAATTATAGTGATCCAATTGCACAGTAAAAAGCTGAAATAGGCTTCAAATGTCAGCAAGTAATTTAGAGAGAGACAGAGAGAGAGAGAGAGAGAGAGAGAGAGAGAGGGGTGGGGTTGTAACATCCACTTAATACAAACTAGGTCATTTTGGAACTACATAGGGTCTTTAGCTGTGGGACTCAGAGAAAACCCAAGAGGTAGGCAGGTGACCCCACACCACTTCAGTCACTGACAGACCTTATGATCTAAAGTGCATGCATTTGACCATTCGGCAACCCAGCCACCCAGTAATGCTGTAGACAATTAGATTGGGGCTAAAATGACACACACTTTGGTCAATTTAACAGTCTTGAAATGAAATGTAGGTATTAGTTTCCAGCGGGTAAAATACATAAGCTTACGGTATGCTAATAAAATATTAGTCTGTGAGCAGGAATTATCAAAGACGATGTAAAAAATACAAAAACTTACTTTGAGTACTGTCTTTCCATTATATAGTAATGCTGTCTATTTATTAACAGTTTTGGATGTGCAGGTGATAAGTTCTCTGCCATGCCAAAATGTCCACCAAAGGGAAGGTTTAAAATGAGTTTCGGTGGAACACCATTTGCTGTAAGCGAGTCCATACAGTGGACATGGGGTGGAACATTTGCTGATGGATCGTCAAATGGTCAACCAAATATACAAAATACATGTAAGATTATTTAGTTCTTAAGGAAGCAATCTGAAATATATCTGAGTAAATAAAACTGGTTAATTATGTTTGAAAGACTCTTTGAAACTTTTGTCTTTGTCCTGTGCAAATATCTGAGGCTCTGCGATACTTTAAAGTTTATGTTTCCATGTGTGTGGAATATTTCGATGAAATGTCGATTACCAGTATTTGCTTTACTAGTTTAGGGTATATTTGAAATCAGGGATGCTATTTCAAAATTTTGTACATTTTAGTTGGGGTTAACAGCTAGAGTCCAGAATTAGGTCACCAGAAGTGGTTGTAGGCTTCAGGAAATAAGGTCAATAAGCTTCCATTCACTTTAATGGACATCAACTAGAAATATTTCTAATGTTATGTAACATATGGTGTTCTGAATAATGTTTATGATTTGTACAAAAAATTAGTTGAAATAGAACGACCAAGGTTATAGTCGTAAATTATCATCATCTATTCACTTAACCCCATTTTTGAAATCTGAAATGGTTCCCTAATCCCTTAGCTGAATAATATAAATGTTAAAGTATAAAATATTGTAATATTTGTATTTATTCCATATTGGATGTTTTGATACGACATTGTAATTTATATTTATTGCAGCAGGATATATTGGATGTTTTTGTATTAGGCGTAACATGTATTTAATGCAGCATATGTATTGAATGTTTTGATATAACAGTGTAATTTAGATTATTACAGCAGCATGTATTGGATGTTTTGATATAATAGAGTAATTTATAATGTATCTATTACATATTGGATGTTTTGAATTTTGCAAAATAAAACATAACAAGTACACAGACTAGTCATAGAGACATAGAATGACTCAAACTAAATAAAGAAAAACAGCTATGAACTTACTTTATTGTAGAAATCTTCTTAGTGTGCCGTTCAAAATTTTGCAGCACACTTAGGAAGATCTCTTGCACAGGTGTGCCACGGCACATGGTTGAGAATCACTGGTATAAAGTGTAATTTGTCCCCCACCTTTTGAAGATTTTAGTGGGAACATCAGCCTCGCTGTTACATGGATTGTTTATATCTACTACAGCAAATATTGGATGTTTTGATACAACAGTGTAATTTATATTTATTGTAGCATATATTGGATGTTTTCAAGACCATGCTGATAGATTATTACCAGTTAAATATTTTAGGGATAGTGGTATGACTGTTAATAAGTGTATACAACATTGTGCAACTAATGGCTTTGGATACGCTGGAGTTGAGGTATGTTCTTCCTTCAAATGCAACTATGTGATGAATTCCACTTTGGTCTGTCTTTCTTGTTAGTCTCAAAATGATAAAGGTTTGATATGATGAGTTACTGCGATGAGATCTTTGGGTTTTAGGGTTAAGCTGAAGTCTTATTTATTCATTTTAGTTTCATTTGTATCCAATTTTTATCCATATTCCTGAAGCAATGACCTGAGAAATCCCTCTCTGGCCATTGCTGGATTGGCTTCTGATAATTGAGCTTTTGAGGGAGTGTATCTATTCTTCCCGTTCAATCAAATCTATCCCAAGTACAGCAACATGAAAGCCCTTCGTTTTATCTGGGGTCTTCCCTAAAACTTTTGACAGTGATTTAAGGTATCAAAAACAGTGAAATTATTGTTCGTCTCCAAACAGTATTGTTTACATTGTATCCGTGTTGATAGCCTCGTGTGTCACGCAGTTAGTTTTTCTGCAATATTCTGCTATGCACGGGTTAATTAGGCATAATAAAATCGTGAGCCATGATGTAACGTTATGTAAACATATTTGGTCCAATTTTGAGCTCTTTTTAAAGCGTAATGATATTGTTACGCAGTTGGTTGTTAATCAAACTATTGACCAGTCATCGTTTGAAACAGAAATTTGCTTCCTTTACAGCTGTGTTTGAAAATGCAAAAAAGTGTATTTGACTAATTTCCCGTGATACACCCTTTTTGACACTTCACCGACGATATGCAGCCGAGTGCCAAATTATATCAAAAATCGCGATTATAGGTCTATCTCCCAAAGATCTTGGTTCCTTTCGAAATTGGCATGTATCAAACTGTAACTTCATGGATTATGGACCCTGATTGTACGAAAAATCTCATTTTTAGCTTGTGAGCACTTTGGAGGTCACAATTTTCATTCAATTTTGATGAAACTTGAAATGCATGTTTATAACCCACAGATCTTGGTTACTTTTGATATTTAGGCATATCAGTTCTTAGCTTCCTGAATTATGGCCCCTTTTTTAGCTTATGGTCCCTATCTAGAGGTCACAATTTTTATCTGATTAAAAAAATGTTCAAATATATCACCGTTACACCATAATGCCCCTCGTACGCAAATAGTGTAAAAGTATGTAATACCAAGGTTTTAGACCCTCTAAAGGTCACAATTTTGATCTCATTTTGATGAAACTTGAAAGGTATGTTTATAACCCAAAGATATTGGTTACTTTCAATATTCACACTTATCAGACAATAACTTCCTGGATTATGGCTCCTGATTGTACAAAAAATCGCTTTTTTTTGTAGCTTGTTCTCTTTCCATCTCTTGCAAAATGTGGGCTTATCTTGCCTGGCAACCACTGGTTATCCAATTTTGATGAAACTCTTTTGAACGTTCAACATTGAAGCATAAAATCAGCTGTATCTCGACATTAGCTGTCTTTGTAAAGCAAAAAGATGTTACATTTTTTACAACCCATTTACTTTTTTATATATGAAATGTACTTTAATGTAATCAATTGTAAATGTATCCAATTCTAATTCATATGATGAACCGGTACCATAGATTTTTGCAATGATGCAATATTTAAGAATTTCATTATCCATTGTAGCATATTCTAGACATTTGAACATGCTCAAAAATTTCAAATTGTTTTATAGCTGATTATGACTAATTGCGGAATGTGGCTTCCTTCTGGGGGAGGTATAAATTGATACACCACACCACTATCATGCTTTGGCGGTTGGGATGGCCTATTGGTCGCGAGTGTCGCACTTCAAACTCTAGCTGGCGGGTCATCTCTGGCTTGTGGTTGTGGTTTCGATCCCAGGTGTGAGCATATGTGGCCTCTTATAGGGAGGTCTTCTCAACCTTGTGGGGTTACTCCGGGTACTCTGGTTTCCTCCCACGGGAAAGACCCCTGCGTGTGCGCTAAGTATAAGAAAATAAGACAACTTGTCTGCGATATCACACTAATAGAAGAACTATCACGCTTGTTTGTGATAGCACCCAAGGTGGAAGCAGATGTTAAGCCTTAAGTAAGAACACTATTATGACCATTTTGACATAACAGGAAAGATTCTTATCTCCTAAAATAAAGTGCAATTGTGTGTTAATGCAGCCAGCACAGATAATATGCAACAAATAGCTAAGATGGACAGATTTTTATATCGCTGGAAAAATCATAGTGTGTGATGCAGACTTAAAAAGTAGCTATTATAAGTCTCTAACTCATTATCATCCAAAGTCTTCGACATTAAAAAACACAAATTATTTGTCAATTTAAATCAACACTGATGTTTTGATCTTACCGGGAAAATATGGGCTTCTGATATCCACTATTTAAGACAAAATAAACATTTTACCATTGGTACACGAATTGTGTACCATAATGCGTTTCAGCGCCATTTGTAACAGGGACTCGAAGAACAAGGCTAGACATATTCAACATTTCATGTCAAACGGTGACGCCATATTCTTATCTTGAGAGCACGCGCAATAAATACTATCGATGTAGACTGGAATAACCAGATGCCCGAGAGTGCCATTCGATTGAGACTTCTGCTGTATTTCGCCGAACATAACTGATTTGAAATTAGAGTAAAAACAGAAATGTTTGAATGTAAATCAGTTTATATACATTCATATTATATGCGTTGCGACCCATTTGTGTCAATTTCTAGGTGCCAAATATTAGCGATTTTAATTAGCTCCTTTAACTATGTGTTCCCATGTTCTTATGATATATCTCAGAGCATTATCTTATATAGTATCTGAACTACTAGTAATTTTCTATTTTTCTATTTCTTCAATAGTATGGATCTGAATGTATGTGTGGTAACAGTCATAATAAATATCCTATAACTAAAGAAGCTGCTTGTAATATGAAATGTTCGAAAGATCCTGGTCATAGATGTGGTGGAAATTGGAAAATCTCAGTTTATTCTACTAGTAAGATTCATAATGTCTAGCTAGATGATACCATGTGATTCTCCCGAAAGCCTTCTTTTTCATCATCCAATATTAACATTAGGAGATTGCATCATGTCAGCAAGCGTCAGTGTGTGCTTGCCAGTCACAAGAGAAGGAATTGTTTTGGCATTGTGTTTAATTTATTAATTATCACTGACACATACACTTACAATACAAATCTAAATTTTGATTGTTTTTACTTGATTATTTTGTCTATGGATGTTGTAAAAATATCTTATATTACATTGAAAGACATTCCAAATTTTGATGAGAAACAATGATGTGTGTCATAGAACAAACCATACACCAAAATAATGAATTGTGATTGGACATGTTGGGGGCCTTGCCTTATGTCCATCTATATGAACCTTTTGGATATTGACTTATTTTGAATGGACATCTTCTATATTGGACTGTATTTTGCATGTTGGGCATTTTGGCTTTACACCATTTGGAATGGACAATATCTGCCTGAACCATTTGTTTTAGGACCTAGTGGTTATTGGAACTTTTTCATTGGACATTTTGTCATAACACCATTTGATTGACTGTCTGTCTAGTCATGGTCAAAGACACAAAACACACTTGGCAGGATGGAGATTCTGGCAAAGAACAGCATATAGTTATTCGGATTGGACAAAAACCGAGGTCCTGTGTATACATTGGCGTGCACTTAAAAAAACCTTGACAGTTAGAATTTGATAAAAAAGAGTAGGATGTAGTGAAACTGTCCATCTAAAATTTCTCTCATAGCACACTGTATGGTGTATGGCTATCTTCATTAGCCCAGTTGGTGCAGAACAGTAGGACATTAAACCCCCATTTCATTTCATTTGTACAAAACACATTTGACTTAAACATGTCATTAGATATTAAAAGGAGTGCCCATATAATTAAACGGAACAAAAAAAAAAACAACTGTGAGCTACTATATAATACTTAGTATGACTGTTGGCTACTATCAAATTAGATGCCATTTATATTGTTTATATGAATATTTCAGGAACCGATCAGGTTGTGGAAGGAACGTGTGGTGGATACCCAGGCTATTGTTTTCCTGCTTTTAAATCCAAATCCCAACAAAAGACTTTCCAATTAACTATTTCTAATTCTCAACCATGTTTAACGTAAGTTATCAGAAACTCTTAATTTTTTTTCTTTTGATTTAAAACAGCTATTAATTACTATTTGATTTGCTGATATCTTTAATTTATTTCAATTCTATTTAAAGATTCTTTGGTATGAATTTAGTGTTCTTTAAATCTATTATCTTGTGCTGAGTATGTTAATGTTGATGTATAGTTAAATCTCAGAGCTATTTTCATCAATTAGGCATGATATTGGCGGCTAAATGTTTTAAGTAAGACAGAAGACATTCTCATTAAAGATTAGTTGTATTTTTTATTATAGTAATGTTTGTAAGAATGAAGCAATATGTATTGCTTTAACAGAAGATAAATATAAATGTGCCTGTCAGTCTGGTTATGTTGGTCCATTATGTGATCAGTTACAGAGTAAGTAAGCAAGATATCTTAATGTTTTTAAAGATAAGCTGCAAGAAATCAGATATTAAGGTTATTAATTAGCATCCATAATTCAACTGTATCAAGCACAAGTTCTACAGAATCCTATCCTAATAAAGCTATCAGATACTGACAATCCCAGGCACAAATTCAGTCATTGTATGACACAGTTGTTTTGGTACACACCTTTCGGTTTGGCCCTGGAATAAGCAACTCGGTGAGGAAACACCATGGTCTCGAATATTTTTCAAAGCTACATGGTCTCTAGCATCATATGGGCGTATATCTGGGGTAACTGGAGGTCACTTGGATGGGATATAGTCACACGTGGTCAATTTCAGGTGACACGATCTGTCACCATCTGGTCTCTTGTTCAGACATGAACAGATAAGTTCCGATATGATTGTCACTATTGAGTCATTGATCTGGTACTTGCAGATATGTTCAGATACGCTTCAATACGATCATCAAGAACCGATACCCTCCTCGCATACCCTTACGGAGACTAGAGCCTCAAAATCTGATTCGAATCCTATCCACATCACAAGGTACCCACATTCAGAAAAGTAACTGGTTTTCATCTACTTTTTACCAAAATTTTTTAAAACATTACTCAGCATACGTCTGTGCCCCTCTAGACTCCAGGACCCTGGACAAGTGTCCCTGCTGTCCTTCCCTCTCATAGGCCCTGGGTCTTAAGATACCATAGCTATAACTTTAATTGGAACTGGGAATATGATTTTGATAAATCAGTTTTATAGATCAAAGATTTTAATATTTATATGATTTATATTAATGATTTATATTAATGATTTATATTAATGATTTTAATATTTTCTATTGTATATTAATGATTTTGATATTTATATTGTATATTAATGAATTTGTTTTCTTATCAGCTGTTGTAACTACAAGTGGGTCTGACTGTCCTACTGGTTTACAAGCTGAACAATGTTCTTGTAATGGTCAATGTACTGGTGCTAGGTTTGATGGAGATCTATGTGTTGTTTCAACAGGAAAGGTACACACAGCATCATCTTCAGATTATTTTCAAATCATTAGCAACATTTTAAAAAATCTTTCCAGTGTCTCAACTTTTTTCATCTTTTTTTATCTTTAGAAGCCTCCTCCGCACTACAATACTACATGCCAAATGTTGACAAATTTTCAGTTTATCATAGCTTTGTAAATAGGGTTGTACATTATTTATAGTGGTTTTTAAGGAATTAATTGAATGCTCCTGCAAAATATCTCATGCTTGGTAAACCAATGCTGGGATTTCCGATAATTTGGTGAGCTAAAGTGAAAAAACCCCTTGGAGTTGTCTGAACTTTGGATTTTAATTGACCTATAAATGCATTAGTACATAAATTATATTTTAGCCAAAAACAACATGTCGATATGATGATCCAGGACATGTAACGCTGTTTAATATACTTGGTAAAACAGACGCTTATTGTCCACCAGAAACAGAAATAGTAGGCTGTAGTTACTGGGACAGGTATGTCACATCACTTCTTTTCTATTTATTGTTCTCAAAATAAAGGCCGAAAAAGAGCAATCCACGTAATTAATCTGCATTTTGGACTTTAATGTTCGAAAATTATGTATTTCTTATTTTTTTTGGGTGGGATCGGGAGGGAGGTATTTATTTTGTTTTTACTTTGTTTGTCTGCTTGTTTGAGACATCATCTACTTGGATGTCTTCGCAGGTTGGTTTAGAAATAATTTTTAATTTGTTAGGATTTGACTAATACTTACTTTTTGGGGTGTTCAGAAATTATTCGCTCTAAAACAGGTGAAAAAATAAGTGCGTGTAGGTTTGTTTAGAATATGATGTTATATAAAAATGATTATATTTATTTTCTTGATGAGCGTGGTAGGCTTGGTTATCATTATTCTTTTATAGTAAAAATAAGAAGAAAGGAAATGGTATGGGTGTTATGGATACTGACAGCAGACATTGTTCTATAAAATCTTGTACAACTTGTACAGTTACAGCTAGATGTAAAAGTTAGTTATTTAATAGCTTTATAGTTAGTTATTTAATAGCTTTATAGTTAGTTATTTGATAGCTTTAAAGCTAGTTATTTTATAGCTTTAAAGTTGGTTAGATTATAGCTTTAACGTTAGTTATTTTATAGCTTTAAATACCGGTAGTCTAGAGGTTATCAACTGAAGTTATTGTTCTCTGTTAATACCGTTAGTCTAGAGGTTTTCAGCTGAAGTTATTGTTCTCTGTGAATGCTGGTAGTCTAGACATTATCAGCTGGAGTTATTGTTCTCTGTGAATACTGGTAGTCTAGACATTATCAGCTGGAGTTATTGTTCTCTGTGAATACTGGTAGTCTAGACGTTATCAGCTGGAGTTATTGTTCTCTGTGAATACTGGTAGTCTAGACGTTATCAGCTGGAGTTATTGTTCTCTGTGAATACTGGTAGTCTAGACGTTATCAGCTGCAGTTATTGTTCTCTGTGAATACTGGTAGTCTAGAGTTATCAGCTGGAGTTATTGTTCTCTGTGAATGCTGGTAGTCTAGACAATATCAGCTGGAGTTATTGTTCTCTGTGAATACTGGTAGTCTAGACATTATCAGCTGGAGTTATTGTTTTCTGTGAATACTGGTAGTCTAGATGTTATCAGTTGGAGTTATTGTTCTCTGTGAATACTGGTAGTCTAGAGGTTGTCAACTGAAGTTATTGTAGTTGACGATTAGTTCTCATCTAAAATAATTATTATTATTATTGTTGTCATCTTCAGCAATGTGATACATGAATCATTATTATATTTATAGAAAACTATAAATTAAGTTCTATGATTGTATATTAAAGGATATGATTGTATATTAAAGGATATGATTGTATATTAAAGGATATGATTGTGGTTGTGAGAATAATGGTTTATGTAGTAAAATAACAGGAAGATGTGCATGTCCAGATGGTTATGATGGTGGAACATGTGATATATTTGACTATTGTAGTTTTTATGAAGATAAATACAACAAAACTGCTTGTCGAGCTGGTAAGGTTATTATTATTGACTATTAGCTTGTGAACGCTAATTTATTCTACTTCCTCTACAAGCATCCAAAAATTGCTCTTGTTGAAATGCATTGTGTTGGGGCGTACAAATGGGAGTTTTTGCTGTTTATTACAAATTTTGTACTAAAATAACACTCACAAGTAACCAAAGGACGATACCATGATTTATAAAATATTTTTTGCTGTTTAAAATGATAAGGAGGAAATAAAACAACTGATCCTAATCAGTGGTCAAATGCATTGTATTGTATTGTATTTTATAAGGTGATTGTCAGGCAGTACCATCTAGTGATATTAAAGCTTTTGGTGGAGATACTGCTGGAGATCATTGTATATTCCCCTTTACTTACAATGATGTAATGTTTAGTAAATGTGTTGAAGATAATGAAGTAAGTAATTCTATAAATCTGTTATTAATAATGATATTATGTTTAGTAAATGTGTTGAAGATGATAAAGCTAGTATAAATAAACACCATATAGTTATCACATTTCTTTTTATTTTGAAGTTGATTGATTTATTAATGTGCATGTTTAGATATTATTTGAAAATGATATGATAGAGAACTATGGTTTATTGTCGTCACTACCAGCCACTGTACGTGGTACGTCCACAATTTATAAGAGTTTGCAGGAATTCTTTATTTGGTTATAAGGAGATTAAAGGAAATAATATGGTTAAATGTCATACTTTTCTGAAGATGAGTATACACTGTGCTGCTCTGCCAAGGGTTATTTTAGGTACACGCCGACAAGTACACAGGATCTTGGCTATTCATACCGTTCGAATGACTAGACAATGTACCATTGCTCAGCCAGTCACCCCCCCCCCCCCCGGTCTTAGACCACTGTTTACTTTCTTATTCTTGTACTATTTCTGTTTTACAAGGTGGGTCCACCATTTGCATGTTCTAGTTATTTTGATGGTAAAGATGATTATATAGATTTAGGATACTGGAGTCCAGGGTCAGCTTATTCTATAGCTGCATGGGTTAAACCTGATGTTAAAGATTCAACAAGACGGGTCAGTTAGTAATTTTGTTTAATATTTATGTATGATGCTTGTAGCTGAGGAAAGTTGTATTTGTTTGTAATATAATGTCTTTTAGACATCAATTCATATCAATGTTAATTTGATATACAGATAGATGCTCTCATTTAATTAATTATTAAGACAAAGTTTATCAACCATTTTTATATGGTTTTTGTTCTGTTTTTGTTCTGTCTGTAACAAGCAGATTTCTTTGAGAATACAGCCCTGGCTTGAATTTTGATTTATGTTTGTCAGAGAATTTATTATAAACTTTGTTTAAAACTGGCTCCAGTTACATTTGTTGTTTTAAAAATCAATAATGTCTCCATGTTTTTATTTCTGATATATAATCTAGACTATAGTTGGAGGTGTTAAAAGTTGTCGTGATTTTGGTATTTATATTCAAAATGGTAAATTTATGGCGTTCTATAATTCGGCTTATAACACTACCTGCAGTCAAGCTTTAAGTGGTGGAGCTTATTCTATTGGACAATGGTACCTGGTTGGTGTCAGTAATAATGGTACTGATATATCAGTATTTGTCAATGGGAAACTCGTCAATACTGACCATGTAAGTATTTGAACAATTGTTAAGCCATATTCCAACAGATTAAAGATATATAAGAATATAAGCTAAATTAATTTGAGAAATGTATGACCTTGGAAAAAATAAGCTTTTCACCTTTCTTTACTTTTTCTGCCTACTTGACCATTTATACAACTGATGTACAACTGTTCACAACATTTTCTTTTCTTTTTAAAAAGAGAAATGCATATAATTTCAATTTAAAGTGACCAGATGATGACATGTAATATATCAATATATATAATAACCCTATTGTCTGTCTTATACAGTTCTAAGTTCAAATGGGGAAATTATGTAAAAGGGTCACAACACAATCTATTTTTAGAGAAACACATTCTCTGTCTTTTTTTTAATAGGTTCAACATTATCGAGTTACTTCCTCTACTGGTTTTAGAATTGGAAATTCAGTTTGCTGCCCTAAAGAAACTTTTCAAGGCTACATAAAGGTAAGAAATGCAGCTATAAGAGATATTTGAAAAGCTTTTTAAGATATCTGTTTCTGCTAAAAGTCCATGTCCGGATATCTGACAATGAAGAATACAGCAGAAGAATATATAAGTGTTATTTCAATTAATACCCGCTTTATAATAAACATCCTAGTTATATGATTTTATTTTTCCTGGTGTTTAAAAACATCATGTATGTAGTTTTAGGGTCAAATATGTGACTTATTTCACCTCCAGGAAAAATACTTGGTACTTGGAAGTAGAGTGCAGTGAGAATATGACATTTGTCTTTCAGGCTGTTAAGATATGGAATAGACCTTTATATATGATGGAAATGACATATAGTATGAGTCCTCTAAATGCTGTTAATTCAACGGTAAGTCCGTTCAATACTCAATACATTTCTTCATAGGTGAGTATTTCCTGTGTTATTTATAATCAGACGCATGCAATTGATATATTTCAGTCTTATATATTTACTATTTCTATTAATTGTATTATTCTTATTTTGTTTTTTGTATATTATTTTCTTATCAGTTGGAAGCATTGTATGGTGGATTAGTAGCACATTATGAACTAGGTCATGATGTCAATCTACCATGTCATGGTATAGATCATGGTGGTGATGACTGGAAGATTAAAAACTCTCAAGAATTATCTGGTAATGATGCTATTTTTGTATATTCTTGTCTTATATTTATTATAGAAAAGTACAAGTTAAATAAAATGTGAAATGGGGTGTTCTATAAAGAGTGATCATACTCTTCCTTGTCAATCATTCTGTTACAACTGATTGCTACATGGAAGATCGTTTGGACTTATATTTTATAAGGTGACCCTAGGGGAATAATCATCAATTAAATAATCTACCAACTTAATTTGGATTAAAAGTCCAACAAGAATGAAGGATTTGGTGACGTTTAAAGCGATATGCTCAGGATGTGGTTTCAATCTCAGCTTCTGATAGATTATCTGGCAGCTCTACTGGTGCAGCCCTAGTGGCTAGTATATTATTGTGTTGCATGAATGTGAAAGTTCATTTTGGTCCTTTCTCACAAACAAGAATAAAATTTTTTCTAATTGTCCCCCGCCTTTCGAAGAAAGCAGGGGACTATTAAAATGGGTTCGTCCGTCTGTCTGTCTGTCCGTCCGTCTGTCTGTCCGTCACACTTTTTGGGACACAATAACTCTCTTCCTAATTGAGCTAGAATGTTCAAACTTGGTGTATGTGTTTATTAGGTCAATGCCTTGATGGAGTTCGAAGATGAGCATTTTTCGCTTAGGGTAAGCAGAGATAAGCAATTTGATTGGTTGATGCTTTGGGACACGATAACTCTCTTCCTAATTGGGCTAGAATGTTCAAACTTGGTGTATGTGTTGATTAGGTCAATGCCTTGATGGAGTTCGAAGATGAGCATTTTCCGCTTAGGGTAAGCAGAGATAAGCAATTTGATTGGTTGATGCTTTGGGACACGATAACTTTTAATTGAGCTAGAATGTTCAAACTTGGTGTATGTGTTTATTAGGTCAATGCCTTGATGGAGTTCGAAGATGAGCATTTTCCGCTTAGGGTAAGCAGAGATAAGCAATTTGATTGGTTGATACTTTGGGGCACGATAACTCTCTTCCTAATTGAGCTAGAATGTTCAAACTTGGTGTATGTGTTGATTAGGTCAATGCCTTGATGGAGTTCGAAGTTGAGCATTTTCCGCTTAGGGTAAGCAGAGATAAGCAATTTGATTGGTTGATGCTTTGGGACACGATAACTTTAGTTCTAATTAAGTGAGATTGATGAAACTTGGTGTATAGTTTCATTACAGTAATACCTTGACTAAGTTTGATAATGAGCATTTTCTGCTCAGGGTAAGCAGAGCGATACGCAATTTGATTGGTCGAGACTTTGGAAAACAATAACTCTCCTACTTTGATTGTCCCCCGCCTTTCGAAGAAAGCAGGGAACTATTAAAATGGGTTCGTCCGTCTGTCTGTTTGTCTGTCTGTCCGTTCCGCTTATGGTAAGCAGAGATAAACAATTTGATTGGTTGATCTTCGAATTGAGTAAATGTTCATGCTTATTGTCCCCCGCCTTTCGAAGAAAGCAGGGAACTATTAAAATAGGTTCGTCCGTGTTGCTTGCCATACTTTTTTTTTACCTGAATAAAAAAAGAAATATGCATCAGTTTTTCAACACTTGGTCAACATGATTTACACCAAGAATTTCGTTTTCTTTATTTTTGAATAATACTGAACTACTCGTCTAGACACGACAATTTCAATTATTATCGGAGGGGTAATTGTTTGTGATTGTGAAAAATCACGGACTTCGCATATTACAACAGACCTTTAATGTAACAAATATTTTCTCGTTTACTTCTTAAAAATTATAATCTGTGAAAAATACAAATCGCGAGTTCATGTCAGTTTGCTTATATCGCACGTTTACCGCTATTCAATTACAATGCCAATCAATGGCTCATTAAATAAACCACGTGCTTTGTTCGGTTACGATATCGGTTCACTGTTGTAAAATCTTTTCTTCCCCATAAATCGTACATTCCAATAAAATCGTATTCAATATTTAATTTTAACAAACCTTTTCACATATCACAGAAATGTAAAATAATATTCGGGGAAATTTGACCGTTGATATCTAGGAAATACCTGTTAGCAGACACAGCATGTACAAATTGTAGCCTGGGAGTGGGAGCAGTTTATTAATAGATACATTTGGTACCGTAGTTGTGTAACCAAGGTAGCCTATTCTATAAATAGCGATAGAATGAGTGACAAATAGAATGCCGATAAACCATGAAACAAAATATTCTATGTCATAGTATTTGGTTTTGTGCATAAACAGCTTTATACCGAAGACAACATATTAAAAATAGTAAGTCTACTAAGTGATGACGTCGAGTGAATAATAAAATAAATTAAGCGTCACAAATAGAGCGCGTGCTTTCGCCGTAAAACGGTGTCGTCTGCTAGAAAGACAAAACGTGATTTATCATCACCCAGTTGTGCAAACGAAACGTCTTTATACAAACTTTTCCTTTTTATAAGCTCGTTTATATAGTTTATGCTTTAGTTCTTGAAGAAGCTTTCCAATGTATTACCCCTGTAATTCCTCCTCTTTTATCTGTACAATATTTTCGAAAAAAATGAAACGAAATCCACTTATGTATACATTTAGGTTACATTATAGCCTACATGTCCCGACACCGACTCAACTTGCCACATTACAAGTCATAATATTATAACCAGGTATTGATAAAAGCATCAATTGAGCAATTCCAATACAATCCAATACAATGAATATAGGCAAGGTAAATAAACAAATAAATGGAAAAAACAAATTGAAAAAGAAACTATTATAAATTAATTAAATATGTAGTATGCAATAATGAATTGACATTTAATGACAGAAAGAAAACAGTGAACTTTGCACAACTTGCAGCAAGATGGAAAATAGACCCGTTGATACAACCAAACTCTAGATCTGTAGGCATAGAGCATGTTTTCCCCTTAATATGCTATAATTATTCCATCAAAAACATTGTATGCTTAGACTATAAGTAAAGATATACTGTTTGATTGTTCAATACTTTGTAAAAGATAATTTGTGATAAATTTATATGTGTCCTCTAATTATTTTCCTATTTCGGCGGGGGACATCAGCCTCACTGTTGGCTTGTTCTGTTTTCTTTATTGTGAAAAGGTATCCACTGCAATGTGACGAGATTCTACGTACCTCAAGGAGTGACAGCCTATGTAAAACCGTATGATGGATCAACCAAAGGAAGCTTTGAGGTTTATGCTTTGGTAGGTTCTTCTTTGTTGTTGTGGATATAAGTTACAATGGGGAGTATAATTTATACAATTACAGTTATTTTAAAGGGCCACCAACTGTTTGGGACCTGTCTCTCAAGACAAAGTAATCAAAAGAATTTAACGTATCTAAGATATAAAGAGAAGCTGCATCCTGTTTTAGGTAATTTTAAAAGGTCGCAACCTAGAGGCTTTAGTTGGGAATTATATTGGGGCCTCCTCTATTAAATTTAAAAATTCAGAGCTAAAAACGGAATATGTGGACTATTCTGGCGCAATTTACATAGGAGTTTATTTGGCTATGCGCAGCCTTTTTTGCATGAAAACTCCGCACTAGGAAGATAATACACCACTTTTGTTACGATAATGTTTGAATTATAGTTCAAATTCTAACATCACATCAATGATCAACATCAGAACTCAAATTCTTTCAGTAACAAGGGTACACCATTTTTTTCAGCACAAGGTTTTTCTTATTTTCGAAGCACAAAATTTTCATTTCAACGCACATTCGTGCTCCAAGGCACATCATTTTAGGCCCTGCTCTGCTCCTCCATTCCTCTGGTCCCGCCGTCTCCCCTCGTCTCTCATCTGCATCCTTCTAACTGTCAGCAAACTGATGATTATATACCTTTCAACTGGATCTACACGCATGAGATCATTACTATATATGCCGTTTACACGTTATCTTCATTAGCTGGCTGTTATAAATATATATGGAATTGATAGTCTTTAATTAGTGCATAGCTGTTTAGAACAAAATGTATAGTGAAAAGCCAATATCATATATTATCAAAACCAGCTAGTATCAATAAGTTCACTGCATTTAAATAATAGTTCTTATTTTATATGATAGACAATTTTATAAAAGTTATTGAGCACTTTGTCGCATATTTCATTGACTAATTAATCTAAATGGAATAATACAGATTATAGCTATCGGCTTGGGTTTTATTTATGAGATGTTCTCTAAAGTGGAGTATTGTAGCTTGTTGAATTTCCTCTTATGTACAGGTTACAAGTTGGTTAAATAACAATATTTAAAATGAGAACTGATTATTAATCTTATAGGATATTCAGATAGATGGTGCATTAGATGCTAATGCTGCAGGTTATAAAGGTGGAGCATCACCAAAAACATCTGGTCAAGATGGAATACAGGGGGAATCTTACAGTGGTAAGGAAAGTAATGCTTCCGTCATTTAAAAGAACCCAATCCATTTATACCTGTTTTACCAATTTTGCATATTCGTTATAAAACCTATTCAGTTTTGCAATTTTATGATAAAAGATTTGATGATCTGAAAATTGGTAATGCAGAAATTGCCGCATACATTAAATCAAGGTTTCAGTGTAGTCCGTAAGATACTAATTTGTATTATTTCATTTATAACTTAACTCCACAGAATGTTTTAAGAATGTACCAAAATTTTAATTTGATATTGTATATGTTAATACATTACATTATTCTTTAGGACTGGGAAGTCCTTTAACAACTGCAAATAGAGGTGGTGGTGGTGGCGGTACAGGAGGCCACACAAATACCAAGGGTATGGCTAGACCAGGTGCTGGAGGTGGTTATGCTGTAACAGGGTACTCATTTCTTTTATTTTAGTATTAACTTGTGTTTTTTGTAAACTTAATATTGATAATATAACACAGTCGGCAGATCTTTAGTTTGAAACCCAACAATCTGACTCCTTATTGCTTTTTAGGGATTGTTAGTCAGTTTTTAAAAAAACTGAAGAAACTCCATTTAAAATCTTGTCGTCATGTGTTGAAGAAAATAAATTGGAACAGCAGACCAAGGATTAAAGGAGCTAAATCGCTAATATTTGGGGCCTAGAAATTGACAAAAATGGGTCGCAACGCATATAATAATGTAATATGAATGTATATTAACTAATTTATATTCAATCGTTTCTGTTTTTACTGTAATTTCTAATCAGTTATGTTCGACGAAATACGCCAGAAGTCTCATGTGAATGGCAATCTTTAGCCTCTGGTTTTTCCAGTCTACACCGTTGGTATTTATTGCACATGCTCTCCAGATAAGAATATAGCGTCACCATTTGACATGACTTGTGGAATATGTCTAGCCCTGTTCTTTGAGTCCCTTGTTCCAAATGGCGCTGAAACACATTATGGTACACGATTCGTGTACCAATGGTAAAATGTTTATTTTGTCTTGAATATTGGATATCAGAAGCCCATCTTTTTCTTGTAAGATCACAAGACCAATGTTGATTTGAATTGACAAATAATTTGTGTTTTCAATGTCGAAGATTTTTGATGATATTGAATTAGAGACTTAGCTACTTTAAGTGTGTCAGTTATGGTCCATGAAAGACAATGGCCTAACACAGTTGTGTAACACAACCTAACTTTGATTTTATTTCAGGCAGAAGCCAGTACCAAGAGCTAAGGGAGGGTCTGGGTGGCCATCTCCAGGGGCCCCATATGGTAATAATGCACTAGCTATTTTGTATTTGGGCTCTGGAGGAGGAAGTGGTGGAAATGCAAAAGTTTTAACGGCAACACCCCCAGGTATGCTAATTGCTAATGTCAAAGCAAGTATTAATACCATCAGTCAAAATATATAATGTCAAAGCTAGCTATAGTACTAATACTATCAGGCATAAAAGTTAGGTCCATTCCAGTATTAATACCATCAGGCATCTTATTAAGGTAATTTTAAACAACTAGTACTTGTACCTTCAGACATATGTCTTAATGTCAAATTTAGTATTAATACCATCAGATGTGTAAGCTTATGTCAAATCTAGTATTAATAACATCATATTACGTGTAAGCTAATGTCAAATCTAGTATTTATACCATCAGACGTGTAAGTTGATGTTAATACCATCAGTCATGTAAACTAATGTCAAAACGGTGCTGATACCATCAGGCATGTATAATGTCAAAGCTATTTTTTGATATCGATTGGAAAAGTAAATTGATAATTTGTTGTTTGTATTGCCTATCTTAGGTGGTAGAGGAGGGAATGGTGGAGGTATTATTGGACTGTATGCTAGTCGTAATGTTAAAATAACAGGAATTGTTTCTGTAAATGGAGAAGATGGTCATGGTGACATTGTGTCCAGCCCAGGGTAAGAACCATGCATGTCAGTTTGCATTCCCCTTCTTTAAACACTCATAACTTAAGAAAGCAAACAAACATTAACTATGTGGAATTACTGATAACAAGAGTTTTACCTAAATAACATTTCTTTTCAGGAAACGAAAACTAATTGCCACTTGAATGTATTGTATTCAAAAGCATTCAATTATATTCTTACTCTTGTGATTAGATATTTAATGATTAAAGATCTAATTTTTAACATATTTATGTTGTAGTTGTCAAAGATGTCCTCTAATTTGTCAAGATCAAACTCATTGTACAGCAAGTAACAATAAAGCATGCTGGGATCTGTCTGGAGCAGGAGGAGGTGGTAGTGGTGGTAGTATTTATATCGCAGGTCAACTTGTAGATATTGGTAAGATATTCGTTCAGTCTGCTAATTGGTCAATCTGCTGAATAGATTCAGATTTTATAGAAATTTAAAAAGTTCTCTCTGCATCTTAGAGAGATTGGTATAGGTTAGTTTTTCATATAAAAAGTGAGGAGATTAATGGGTCCTTTGAGGTTCCTTAGGAAACTTGAGTGGATTAAGGGTGCTGACTGGGTCCGGCAAATACCCAAGGCAACTTGGATAAATTAATTGGGTCCTATTATAACAATATATGCAAAATTGTTTGTATTGAGGCCTGATAAATGCAATATTGATACTTTAGTCATTTTTAAACTGTCATGTGTTGGAATACTATAATTTATCCATGTTTGAGCAGGTCATAATCGTGTATGGGCTGTTGGTGGTAAAGGTGGTTATGGTGGAGCTGCTGGTTGTGGTGGAGATGGTTCTATAGGTCGCATACATGTTGATGCTCAAACATTTAAGGGATACATCGCCCAAAATCTAAATGGTTTCTTACACACTACTCTAACTCAGTCACATTATACAGTGAGTGTTTTCAAATTTTTTTTCATGATCAGTAGTAAAGAAATATTGATTTTTGTTGGTTTGCTGCAAGTGAAAAGAAAACACATTATTATTTGTCAAGATCTTTGATAATAATCACTCATGAATTACTAAAAAAGCATATCCCCTCTCCTTTCATAGTAGGAAATATAAATGCACAAACTGATTTTATAACTGTTTTGTGTGGGTTAAATAGATTTTCTAGAGAATAGAGTAGATGTTTATCTGTAAATGTTGGTTATATAGTGATATAGCAGATTCTTAAAATTTCAACACAACAGTGGAAAATTTATCTTTTTTATGATTGTCCATTCCTTAGAAAGCTTTTGGCGATGAATACCCTTTCATCTTGTGATTCGTTAAGATATTATAATTTCTTTAACCATATATTTATTAGGATTTATCAATACCGGGTCAAAAATTAATATATCCACAAACAGCTCTTTGGGGCAACGAGGTCTATAGAGGCTGTTTTCAGGATGATTCCAAAAACCGACATTTTTATAAGCAAGTCGGTACAGCTGCTGCTGATGCTAAAAAAATGACACCCCAGAGTTGCATAAAGCTTTGCAGGTAAGTTTATGCAATCCTTCATTTCTTAAGTTTTTGGACAAGGAACTGGCCCAAACCCTACTCATCTTGTTATTCTTCTTCTTCTTTTTCTTGGGGGCGTTACTCTTCGAAAAAAGCCTACAGAGTAAGGTACGGCCAATTCAAGTGTGATGGAGACAAAACTTGTGCATCAATTTATAAACTTCGATTTTCGATATGAGGTCACAATTCAAAGATGGCAGTGATGACACCATGCTCAGTTCCAGGTCTATAGTACTTGTTTAGTATTTGATTTACACAGGAATTATTATAAATTAATTGAAGTGGTTTTTGATGATTCAGCATTCGCCATTACCTGACCATTTAACACTTCATTAAATTATCAAATACCGTATCTAATTACAGAAATGCTAATTTTAAATTTGCTGCTGTTGAATATGGAAGAGAATGTTTTTGTGATAATGGATTTGATTGGTCGTTAAAGAAACCAGATGCGTAAGTAAGCCAATAATGAAGTCCATTATCTTTCCAGTAATTATTAAATAGATCACACTAATAATTTTTTTCTTTGTGCTAATAAATATTTATTAAACACACATAGAAACATTATGTTATTGTATTATTGTTTAGAGTAATTTTGAAAATTGCACTTAGTTTTCTTGGTGAGTCATGAACCAATTTTAAAATTTGGTTCTGGCAGATTAAAAAGAAATAAAGAAGAAAAGACACTGGATTATAATCTTTTATGTAGTAATCAATTATTGGCGAAAATATTATATAAAGCTCTTTTTTTAGACAGGATGTAAATGAGTACCATATTTATTACAGTATTACATTCAATACTTAGTGTTTTTCTTTTAAAGTGACTGTAATATGCCATGTACTGGAGATAAACTTCAGTATTGTGGGGCAGCAATTAGGATGGCTATATATGGACCTCATCCTCAAACACAAACTCCAGGACATAATGGAGTTGTACAGAAATGTCAGCCATGGTGTGTAACAGCAGATGCCGATACCTCAGACGTAAGATATATTAAAATCATAGTTTAGAATCTTAGTTGCCTCTTAGAAATAGTAGCACACTCGTAAAAATAAAGATTTTATCACCATGACATATGAACCTTTGTGCAATTCCAACTAACTGAATAGGTACATATAATTATGCTTTTCATGCAACCAGAGGGTTAAAAACTTACATATAGATATCTCCTTGATGTGGAATAAACCGAAATATAGAAGGTGTTTACATATTATTTCAGCCTAAATGGGGCCAATGTGATTTGACTAGTCAGAAGACATCATCATATAAAATACATTGTCAATGTCCAGCAGGAAAGATGGGTCCAGCATGTAATCAGGTAAATCCTTATATAATTTTTCTTCTTGGCAAATTTCAATCAGTAAAATAATTTATTCACAGTTTCCTCCATTTGGTTTTATAATATGTATAAGCCAGATGTTCAAATCAATTTTCAAAATGTCTTTAAAATGATGTAGAAAACTTTGTCAACATTTACATGATTGCAACAGTGTTGATCAGGCTATACCGGTATTTGGCTATTCGTGACTAAAATAAATATGAATAGATAAACTTCATTTTTCAGTTTCAAAATGGCTATTTGTTTTATTATCCTTTCTTTTTATTTCCAATTTCAGTTTTGTCAGAATTCAACATGGGGTTTAAGTTGTAGAAATAGATGTAGTTGTAATATGACTACTACAGCCGAGTGTAATGCTATTGATGGTTCCTGTCATTGTAAACCAGGATTTACTGGTGATACATGTCAAAATACATGTCAACCAGGATTCTTTGGACAAAACTGCAAAAGTAAGTAATTTTGTTATCAAAAGTGCTGGTGATATACACCTTGGTTCCATTTTTCTACTTGGCTATATATGTCGGTCATGACAGCTTGTGTTAAAATTTGACAAAAATGTCTTGGGACCAATCAGACAATTTACATGCTGTAAAATTAACATATTTTTTAAACTTTCAAAATGTTTTGTAAGGTGACAAGAAAAGTCCTGTCACATCTTGTGTAATGAGTTTGAGTATATGTGCGCCATGTGCAGGGATTTAACACTTCATAAAGTGACATATTATTATTTTCTTTTAAATAATTAATAAGTAGTATAGATTTTCAGTATTTTAGATAAATCAAAAGAAGAGGTCAATATTTGTGTTTTGTTATTAAAACTAAGTTTGCTTACTTATATGACTGTCTTTGGTTTTACATCAGCTCAATGTAATTGTAAAGAAACAGAAGAATGTGATCCAGTTAGTGGTACCTGTAGGTAAGATATAAGATATAAGTATTTATGTTGAATTATTGATAAAAGGAGCTTATATATAACTTACTTGCTACATATGTTGGTAGTTTAAAAATAATAGTTTGTGTCGAGTGGACGTTAAAACCCATTTCTCTCTCTCTCTCTCTTTTTCTCAAATATTACATTTAAAAACTCTAATTCTTAATTTGTAGGCAACCAAAATAAGGTTTTAATATTGCTGACAATACATTCTCCTGCACAACGCAGATCCCAATTATTATTATCATCATTCAAGTAAAGAGACTGTCTGTTTCAGGTGTAAAGATGGTTGGACTGGCACAGCATGTAAAATACCATGTCCTCCAACGTTTTTTGGAAGGAACTGTAGTCAAAAGTGTAATTGCAATCAGGGGTCGTGTTCACCAGAAGATGGAACATGTGATTGTTTTCCAGGATATAAACTACGTAAGATTTTAACATTTGTGACGATTTCTTAATTTGTACAACTGTTTTGAGAAAAAGATTTCATTTTGTTCTTCTTACTAAATTGACCAGAGCTGTGTAGAGCTGGTATAGTTTTAAAATGGTCATATCAACGATATTTTAATAATTTAGTACACACATTTTAAAACATAAATTTGTTAATCATTTGGAACATTTGGATCGTAAATTTGTTAATCGTTTTGAACACCAGAATTATAAATTTGTTAATCTTTTTGAACATCAGGATAGTAAATTTGTTAATCATTTTGAAAATCAGGATTGTAAATTTGGTAATCATTTCAAATATCAGGATTGTAAATTTGTTAATCAATTTGAACATCAGGATTATAAATTTGTTAATCATTTTAATATGTTCTATGTACCAAATGGATTAACGTAAATCACTACCAGAGAAAATATATTTTTCAGCGTTTTGTGCCGAGATGTGTGATCCGTATAATTATGGTCCTAACTGTATGTCTGATTGTGATTGTTCTAACCAAGGATGTAACAGATTAACTGGTGTATGTAATTGTGGAGCGGGATTAACTGGCAGTAGATGTGAACAGGTAAGAAAAATATAAACACAGTTTGAAGTAAAACCATTCCTGTTATGGGGGAGTGAAGTCTAATTCAGAGTAAGAAATTTATGCCCTCATTGTAATATTTCCTGTTAATATCTGGCTTTTTCTGAACAAGCAGGTTTTTTAAATCATCTAAATGCAATCAGAAGCAGAAGAGTGTCCATATAATTGGGTTGATAAAACTTTGGAGTGTGCCTTCATTATCCCAATCACTCATTTATGTAGAAAGTTGTTTCTAGCGGCTTTTATTTATCTATTATTAGAAAATAGAAGTAGGTGGACAATCTACTTTAAGTGTCTAATCGTAAGTTGAGGGATCTTTAATCCCACGCAAACTATAATTTTGTAAAAGTTGCATGGTTCACTTCCGATCATATCAGTATGTAAAAAGATGAACTGAAACTTTGTCGAAGTTCGGCACCATCGTCATAGAATATAAACAGGATATGGTCAAAAGCAGTGTCAACTTAAATCTTTCAATCTGAAAGAATCCAAGCAGGGAGATTACATATACTGTTTTCTTGATTAAATGTGAAATAATCCATTTGAGTGCGATCTAGTCTGCGGTTAGGCTGTGAAAAATTAGATATTGTCCTAAAAAATGCAAATGACAATCATTGATTTTAAGTACGGTATTGTGTATAATTTTTACAGCTGCCCAAAGGGAACCTGAAATGATGAGAGGTAAAATTTATATTTTATAGAGCTGTTAAAATGTGTGGTGATGTGTGTAATATATCAATTAGTTTGTATTTTTATTTTTAAGAACTGTCCTCATGGTACATGGGGTGATGGATGTAGTAAGACCTGTAAATGTGATAATGATGCTGGTTGTGATGGGGTCACAGGTGAATGTTCCTGTCCACCAGGGTATGTTGGTGAGGCTTGTGATTCAAAGTGTTCTACTGGAAGGTGAGATATGCAGTATTTATGACCATATTTATTGTCCTGGTAGTAGGGTAGCCATATTTCTCAGACAGAACAGTGACAGGGGGAAAATGAAGTTAGTTCCTTCAATTTACAGCACATGAAATCACACAATATATATCTCTATGACAATTGCTTCTATCTTTGTTGCCCACAAAACCAATATACTTTAAAATTATTTTGTGGGGATGTCATGCCTTGCCAATCTAAATAAAAATAGTCAATGTATCAAAGGCATGCCAGAATGCAGGATAGGAGCATGTCTCCCATTTTCTCAGCTTCTGAATTTCAACATACCGTGGTCAAAGATATTTTTCAAAATATTCATGTTTGTTTCCCATCAGTTATGGTCAGGATTGTATCCAGCAATGCCCTTGTGTGGCCAATCAGTCAACTGGGTGTGATAATGTATTGGGAACATGTTTATGTAAAGCAGGTTTCCAAGGTAACCATTGTGAGAAGCCATGTTCTGTTGGATTATATGGACCCAATTGTGGTCTAATATGTTCCTGTTTGAACAAATCACCATGTGATCCCGTAAGTTTATTTTGAATTGATCACAAACAAAACTACATTCATATGCTAACGCTTTCACCGCGATAGCGGCGGCTCTTCAGGCATTTATTAAACAATAATTCAATTAATAATTATTGTCTAAAACACATAAACATATGGCATTGTGTAATCAAAATAAAAACCAATGTAAAGTATAATTGAACATAAATTATGTTAGAATTCATCGATTTAAATATTTTTGATACCAAAATTCTTTTGTATAATATGCTTTTGATTGTGTATGACTTAAACTATTTTTGGAACCATTATTCTGGCAGTTCGGGTCTTTAACTAATAATGCCACACCTTTTATTATTTTTAACTGGAAGAGATGTCTGGTTATCAACATTATTATTTCAGGTAAGCGGTAAATGTAAATGTTTACCTGGGTTTTTAGGATCTAAATGTGAACAGCCGTGTCCCGACGGAAAATATGGCGTCAGCTGTACTAAGAACTGTAACTGTCAAGATGGCACAGTCTGTAGTAAGAGAGATGGAACTTGTATTTGTAAGGTATGTCTACATTATACTTACCATCACAGACAATGTTTATTGTTAAATCTGTTATTAAAGATATTTTTAAGTGTATGTTTACAACAGAAGAATTCTGAATTAGGATGAGGTCAATTGGAATAAGGTGTAAACTTAAAGGACAATATTGGTGTCAGTCATTATTACATATGTGATAGAACTGGTTAAATACATTCCAAATATAATTTTAACACATAGATCATTGCTACGGGAGACTTGTAACAAGCACGTGAAGAAACGGGAAGTGACGCCAAACATGACAAACACGAGTTGTCTTTCTATATAACAGACTGAAGTAACGAGCGGTAACAGACAAACGATCGAATGTCATTTCACTGATAATTCCGTTGAAGTTGAAAAGTTATTATATGGGACGATGAGAGGGTATCTCACAATTCAAAAATAGAATTGGCTGTCATGTTTGACGTCACTTCCCGTTTCTTCACGTGCTTGTTAGAAATCTCCCGTAGCAATGATCTCTGTGTTAAAATTATATTTGGGATGTATTTAACGAGCTCTATCACATATTTTATAATGACTGACACCAATATTGTCCTTTAACTAGGCAATTTAGAGAAAAAACAAAGAGGTCAACTACTACCACGATTCAAGTAATAAATGGAGGTTACTGAAACATGGCGATGTTGCCATGAAATTATTAGTATTATCAAATGTAAATGCAGTTTGGATGAGTGCGTCGATTCGATTAAATTTTTGTAAGGGGGTATTTTTGGAAGTGTATAATCTTGTATATTTGTTTTCTGTTCTGGCTGCTGTCCCATAAACTTCTATACACCTTTTATTTTCAGGGTGGAAATTGTCAATGTCCGCCAGGTTTTTATGGTCCGAATTGTAAAAATGTGTGCAAATGTCTCCATGGTAGCTGTGATCAGGTCAGTGGACAATGTAACTGTTTACCTGGATGGATTGGAACGGTTTGTGATCAGAAATGTCAAGCAAGTAAGAGAAGAGTATTTTATTTTCCGCTTTAAATATGAAACTATAACAAGGATTGGGATGTTTTGTTTTACTTTTAATGTGTATTAATTGTCAGTGTACATTCTCCTTACCAACTGTCAATGTTTTTTACATGCACATTGATAAACCTTAAGTTTCTCTCTTCTACAAACAACTACGCATCTTTCTGCTCTTCTTGGCTTACACTGTGTGAATATTTACTTAATGAATACAATTATTTCTACAGATAAATATGGTAAGGATTGTTCAGGACAGTGTAAGTGTAATACTGGTAAATGTGATTTTGTTGATGGATCGTGTATGTGTAATTCAGGATTTACTGGAGATCAGTGCACCATAACATGTGGGGTAAATATCAATCCAATTAAAACACAGATCCTAGTTCATTTCGTTTTTATAGTTCAAAATTTCGTTTTACTTGCCTTTACTACACTATGATCTGGAAGAGTTGTTATCATTGACGTGTTCTTCTGAATGGTGTGAGGGATTAACCAATAAAACGGTCTGTTACGGCGAGCTTTAGGCATGTTTTGCACATAACTGTAATCCACTAGTAACATCAATGCTGATTGGTTAATGAAATGTCTGACGTCATAGGGTAAAAAACTGCTCGTATGACCTCTGATGCAACCTATCACTATAACCGGTCAGATCTTCATGTAGTGTAGGCCATCAAAAGTATAAAAAAACGAAACGAAATATAGATCTGTATTTTAATCAAATTGGGTAAATATATCAGTTTATATTAAAGTATATATGATCTATCTGTACATTGTTTAGAGGATAGATATTGGTCCTGGCAGTGTATTCATATGAAGTAGGTTCAGATTAACCATTGAGGTTTTCTAAATCGGAAAATTGATTTGACTACCAAGTCATACTCCAAACTAAAAATAGCTATAGATATTAGACAATACACAATAAAAGTTTACAGGTAATTCATCTATACCATGTACAAAATGCTCACAATAGTATGTTATGTAGGTGTTTCATTTAATCGTCAAAATTACTAGCTAATAAACAGTATTCAGCCCTTAATTTTAAATATGGATAGTGATTATTGCCTTTCGGTGTATTTATGAGTGTCCTTTAGAGGGTAGGGTATGCTTGATATTTTAAAACAACTTATAATAATTATACTACTTACCATTCCCATTGTTAATAGTAAGTATTTATTTTCAGGGTTCAACATATGGTGTAGACTGTCAAACACCATGTCCCGCTTGTGTTCATGCCACAGGTTGTAGTCCTGTGAATGGAACATGTATCTGTTCAGCTGGTTACCTAGGCAAACAATGTGATGAGCCATGTCAGCCTGGTTTCTATGGTGATGGATGTAAACAAAAATGCAAGTAAGATACGCTTTTCAAGTTTTGGTTTTCCCACAATGCAGATATCAACAATTATATACATAGAGTTGACACTTTTGGTACAAGAAAACCTCTAAATGCCACATCAATAGATAAATTCATGTATGAATTATCTGGTCCATCAGAAACAAATAACAAAATGCGTAATATTTTTATGCAACAGTATATGAATTTTGTTGGTTATATGACATTGTAATTTCTTCATAAGACCCATTCAATTAGGATTTGTTTTGATGTCCTGAGGTCCCTGTACACCTTGGCGTGCAAGTAAAAGATCCCTTTACAGTTTGAATTCAATTGCTGTCTGGGCAAGATTTGCCTCATAGCACCCTGTATGACATATGCCCATTTTCATTATCCCAGTTGGTTAAAAAACGTAGGACATTTTCTTTGGTGACTTTATTGAAGCGGATGTGTGATATAAAAAGTTTTTAGAACATTTTACTGTATGAAGATTATATATTACAGGTGTTCAACTAATGGATATTGTAATAGTGTAAATGGTACATGTTATTGTAAACCCGGTTTTAGTGGACCACAATGTAATACTACTGTAAGTAGTAGCTATAGTAGTTTAATGTGTGTGTGCTGTAGATCAAATTGAACTGGTACTGATTGAATGGGAATAGGGTTTGCTTGCTTAAGCAGCATGGATTCATCCCAATTTTATAAACCCCTTTGTGCATCAAATTGTTGTTGGTCCTGAACTGAATGCATTAATTTTACATGGTTTGTCATACTGTGTGTCTGTGTGTGTGTGTTCGGAAACCTCACCATAACAATTCTTAAACTATATGGGTGTGTTGTCCATTGAAGCTTACCATGTCAATGAGTCAATGACCATAATGTTTGTGTGTTGAGTTGACCATCAAGTCATCAACCATTTCAGTGATTGCACTGTGGGTGTTTTGTATGTGGAAAGTAAAGAAAGTAATGACAATCATAACCTTCTAGACTACTATCTCGCTGGTGATATATTTTGATTATTGTTCCCACAATAATCATTTGATGATATAAGCCATTGAACCTTGCCAATATTAAACTTACAGCATCACAGTCGTTCATTTCATTTCATTTCTTTGTAAAAATAAAAATAAGTATAATCAAATATTTTTTAAATTTCTGTTAAAAGTGTGCTGATGGTAATTGGGGACCTGGTTGTATAAATCAATGTGATTGTCCTACTCATTCTATTACATGTGATAAATCTACAGGATTATGTGTCTGTAACCCAGGTTTTACTGGAGGTAAATATCAATACATTTTCAAAATCATAAACATCATTTTATTTTTTATCTACATCAAATTAGAAACTGACTGTTTTGAAAGTGTTTTAATTGTAGATAGACTCATTAAATGTAGTGCTTTTAGCACTAAATAGATAGATTGGAGTACACTATAAATATGCATTATTATTACTAAATTTAATAAATTACTCCAAAAATTATTCAAATTGACCAATTTTAAGTTAAATGACTTCATCCTTTAAGTTTATATTTCATTAGTTTCTACTGAATTCACAACCCCAATAGCATCAATAAGCCCATGTTTTTATTTTTCAGTAAAATGTCGTCAGAGTTGTGTCCAAGGTTTATGGGGTACAGATTGTAGTAATACATGTAAATGTAATGGTACAACTAGTCTATGTAGTCCATTAGATGGTGCTTGTCAATGTTCACCTGGATATGTAGGACCTACATGTGATCAACGTAGGTTATTAAACAGTTCTTATTGTTCATTCTTTGATGAAAAGGTGTTAGTTTTTAACAACTCAACAATAACAAAACTTTAAGTAATAACACAAAACTCTTGAATACAAGGCCACAATCAATTTCATGTTCTACAAACTTTCAATAAACCAATTCTATGTTTTACCACCTTTCTATCAAACTATTCCATGTTTTACCAACTTTCTATCAAACTATTCCATGTTTTACCATCTTCCAATCAAATTATTCCATGTTTTACCATCTTTCTATCAAACTATTCCATGTTTTACCATCTTCCAATCAAACTATTCCATGTTTTACCATCTTTCTATCAAACTATTCCATGTTTTACCATCTTTCTATCAAACTATTCCATGTTTTACCATCTTCCAATCAAACTATTCCATGTTTTACCATCTTTCTATCAAACTATTCCATGTTTTACCATCTTTCTATCAAACTATTCCATGTTTTACCATCTTTCTATAAAACTATTCCATGTTTTACCATCTTTCTATCAAACTATTCCATGTTTTACCATCTTTCTATCAAACTATTCCATGTTTTATCCACTTTCAATCAATGAAACTGTCAATCACAACAAAGGATTGTAATCAAATTTGGTAGGTATGCTGCTTGGACGGTACTCAAGATTTGGAAAATTTAGACTGTCATATTATTAATATACTCAGCCGAATTAAAAACTTGACACTCAGGATTTTTGGGACTAGATTTTTAATATTTGGTTTAAGGCAACTATTTTAGTGTTATGTTGTGCACAGACGACCTTGACATCAACAGAAAGCAAGAATACGTCTCGCCGAAGGTCCTTGACATTGATAACGTTCGTGATGTCACAGTACCCCCAAAATGAAATTCACAGACTTGGAGAACAATGGGAATAAAGTGTTTAGTAACGGTTGTGGCCTCCTCTAGCGTCTCGTACTGCCACACAACGTCTCCTCATGGATCTCAGAACATTAGTAAACACTACCCGAGGAAGACGTCGCCACTGCTCAGCAAGAGCATGTTGAAGGTCCTGCAACGTCAGTGGTGGATTCACTTGCTGACGAACAGGTCGACCCAGTTCGTCCCAGATGTGTTCAATAGGATTAAGGTCGGGGCTAAGCGACGGCCAATCCAGGACTTGGACACCGGCATTTCTTTAAAAATTCTGGGTAGCAATTGCTGTATGGGGTCAAGCATTGTCTTGTTGAAACGTTAGTCCAGGCCCATGTCTCTGCATAAACGGAAGAAAAAAAAGGTTGCAAAATCTGATCCCTGTACTGGACAGCATTTAAGTTCCCTTGGACAACAACAAGAGGAGAACGTGCATGTGCACAAAAAGAACCCCAAACCATGATGCTGCCGCCTCCAAATCGGTCAACTTCTCTGACGCATACTTGAGCGTAACGTTCACCTCGTCTGCGGTACACTCGGACCCTGCCATCGGCAAATCTCAAAGTGAATCGAGATTCGTCACTAAAGACAACCGAATTCCACTGGTTTTGAGTAAATCTTATGTGTCTTGTGGCCCACACAAGTCGGTTACGGCGATGAAGACGTGTCAATATTGGTCCATTTCGAACAGTTTGTGCAGTTACCCTTCCACCAAACATCTCTCTACTTGTGGAGGTTGCAGTGACAAATCTGTTTCTAAGATGACGTAATCATATTGCTTGATCTACCTGGAGTGACGTCACACGTGGCGCTCCCGCCTTTGGGCGGTCGGCAATAGTTCCAGTTTGAAGCACTCTCATTCTAAGATTAATTATTGTCTGGTGTGAACAATTAAAGGCTCTTGCAACAGTGACCACAGACTGACCTGCATAGAGCCTACCTATAGCACGTAGACGTTCTACATTTGAAAGGTGCAGCATTTTCTAACAAAGATGAAAATAACAATTTTAATTTGTTTTTCCAGTTCAAGTTACGTGTGCATGTTCAGTTTAAGCAAACTTGCATCGATTGACCTCACGAGTTTGTGTTTGCACGTGTTTTTCAGGTTTTTCATCTTTATATGCTCAAAAGTCACGTGATCCACGTGACTTTACAATTTTATGAAATTAAAGGCTTCTTACTACTTACTATCGTTAGAAACACTTTAAAATTTATTTGACTTACCAGAAAAAAAAATTTTGTTGAAATTCATCAGTGTCAAGTTTTTAATTTGGTTGAGTATATATTGATAGCGTAATCCAGCAGAACAATAGTCAATTAAGGCTACTTACCCTGTATTACAATATCAGTAATAAAACAGTTGACATTAATTTATATTAGACAGAGTGAATAACCTATTTTTGTTTTCAGATTTCTTTTAAATACCAATCGAGTTGCAGGGGTGAGACCGAGGTTCAAAACCAAGTCACAATTTTGAATTTCTTAACACTATGACAATGTATACCACATCTTCTTTCAATTAGGAGTTTCAGAAATTATTTGAAGAAATAAGCATGATTACTATCAGCATCAGACATTCACAGAAAATCACATTAGAGAATTATAATGATCAACTATCTGATAATGTGTTTTTCAGCATGTCCTGTAGGAAGCTGGGGTAAAGACTGTACACAGACATGTTCATGTAATAATAAAGGTATCTGTGATCATGTGACTGGTAGATGTGATTGTCTACCAGGTTATACAAATACAACATGTGATACACGTAAGTATTACATAGTTTACCAGATTATACTAATACAACATGTGATACACCTAAGTTTTACATAGTTTATCAGATTATACTAATACAACATGTGATACACCTAAGGTTTACATAGTTTACCAAGTTATGCTAATACAGCATGTGATACACCTAAGTTTTACATAGTTTACCAGGTTATACTAATACAAAATGTGATACACCTAAGTTTTACATAGTTTACCGGTTTATACTAACACAACATGTGATACAAATTGGAGAAATAGATGGACAGATATAGAAGCTATAAGAGATGTACTGAGCATATTCTGTAAAAATAAATACAAGATATAAAAATGATCTATATTTTTAACTTGCACTATAATCCAGCTCATTTGATACACCCATGGTGACTCTGCTGGTGACCATTGATCCCAGTAGTTTCAGCTTCTGGAATCCAATTCCAAATTATAGTCCAGTAGTTATAGATATCATGCATGAGGCAGGATATTCTTATCATTCTAAAACAGCTGATACCACCTCTCATACAAAGATTTCACATAGTTACTGATTTTTGTATATTTTCTTACAATTGTTTTAATTTTTTGGTATATTAGAATGTGATCAGGATGTTTTGTGGGGTAAGAATTGTCTCAACCCATGTAATTGTAATGGTCACCATTGTGATCATAGAAATGGTCTCTGTGAATGTCCAGCAGGAAAGAAAGGAAATCATTGTGAACAAGGTCAGTAATAGTGTGAAATTTTATAATAAACTAGCAATCTTATTAAAATAATTAGACCTTTATTTCAGTATGATTCAATTATGTGTGGTCCACACTCCACACTTTAACGACTCTGTGTTATCTTTGAAGTCTAGCTAAAGCCAGTATGATTGGTTTAAAACATATTTGTCCAAGACTCTGTGTCTCTTGATTGGCTAAATGAGAGGTCATCTGAAGTCAGTTAAACACAGACCTAGATGTTGTTCTACTGTATAGTTGTATAAAGGTAAACTTAATGAAATCGACTTATAAATAGGACAATTATAATTTCCCTATTGATAATGCCCTATTCATTTGCATTCATATTTATATATTTGTCAATCCAACCAGTAGGCCATGTACATTTTTGTGAGTACTTTCTGGACATTTTCTTAGTGGAAAATGCCTCTTTAAACAATGTCACTAATATAATTTATTCAATTTTTTATTTCAGATTGTGAATCTAATTATTTTGGTTTCCAGTGTTCACAAGTATGTCAGTGTAAGAATGGTGCTAAATGTGATGCTAAATCTGGTGAATGTGAATGTCCTAATGGAGTTACTGGCAAAATTTGTGATCAAGGTAAGTTCATAACCAACACATTTTCAGATGGATGAATATATAGGTTCATTCTTACAAATATGTAGACTATTTACAGTCCCTGTATCTCTTTTTCCAAAAATCTTTTAGAGGTGATAGTGTTTACAGATTCTTTTCAAATTTGGTTTGAAGCAATGTGTTCATGAGATAACAAAACCTATCAATAGTCAGACTCCATGACCTTCGGTGCCGGAATTATGTCCCCTTAGAAGCAAGAGTTTTTAGAAGATTCTTTTCAAATTTGGTGTGATTATTGTCATGAGAGGACAAACCATATCAAACTCCAGTGTTCTTCAACATTCTACAACTTTTCATTACCTCCCTTTGCCAAAATAACAGATTTGGACAATCTTTTTAAAAAATTTTTAAGCATTAGGACTGTGAGAATACCACTATTGGTTTTCAAATCTTGTGTGAAACTTTGTTGACTGTTAGCATTTTTGGGATTTTCTGTTCCAGAAATATATTATGTATCTGGAAAAGCTTGCGAATACTAGAAATTAGATTTCTTGAAGTATTACTTTTGAGTGAAATGGTGTTGAGACATAGCTGCACTGTGTGGGCGTATTTCCACGCTTTGCATGACTATCTTTAATTTGAAATATATGGCAGACCATGATCCTTTCCATGCTCAGGGCCTCTAGAAGTCTTAATCCCGCAGTCACTGACCCTGAAAACATGTAAGCCACTCCTCAAAATGCAGCTAGTGGGCATATATTTTGGTGTATTATTGTTCCAGGACAAGATTCGAAACTTGTTCAAGAGGTCTTTATTACAGTTGACACTATATACACATCAACCTATTATAGCAGTATTGCTTTTTGCTAATTATACATTTTTTGGTTGAATAATGTTTGTTACCATGAAAACAAATTTGATAAAAAAGGGGGGACGGGGTGAAAGAAAAAAGCAGCAAGTGCACACAAATGCCAAATATAAAATCAGACTGTCAAATAAATATGTTAATCTATTTTACTAAAGATACATTATGGAAGATTAGATAAAGAGCTGGTAGTTCTCACTATAATAGTTAAAAGCTAGATAATGTAATGGGAATTTGCTGAAATTTACAGTCAAATTGATCCACATTGAATCGAGAATTTAGCCATTGAATGAGCGTTGGGCTGCAGATAGGATTGTAATCCAGTAAATATCGTAGGCTAGCGATGACATCGAGAGTTGATTATGGTCTGGATAAGTTAATTAACGTCTAATAATTTAGATAACATTTCAGGCCTAATTAAGAAAGACCTGCAATAGGCAGATTTAGCTCTTGCATAATGTATGTTTAATATGACCAACCACCAAAATAATACAAGTTTTTTTATTGATGGGTGTAGCATGTCCTACTGGTAGGTATGGTGAAGGCTGTAAATTAACCTGTAGTTGTGCAAATGGAGCAGCTTGTAATCAGGCGACCGGAGCATGTTCATGTACTGCTGGTTTTATGGGCACCTTTTGTAATATAAGTAAGTAATAATGTAGTTTCACTTTGCATTATCATGGTATCATTATTTGACCTTCATTATCAAGATTCTTGCCTAAATTCAAATAACAATAATCTGTGCATATTTAATTAGCCTACTAAACCCAATAACTTTACTTCAAGTGAGTGGATATAGTTGTTTGAATGGAAGTGTTATTTGACACTATTTTTCTCTGTTTCCCATGGAATATTTCTTACTCTAGACATACATGGAATGATTATATCATTTCTTTTATATTTCTATAGGTTGTAGTAATGGGCGATGGGGTGAGAATTGTGCAAGCAGATGTTCATCATCATGCCCAGTTGGTTGTTTATCTGATACTGGTGATTGTAAATGTCAGGTCTGGTCATGTTTAAATGGTGGTACTTGTGGTCAAGATGTAAGTTAAGCAAACCAGTGGCATGGCGTGGGGGGAGACTCCGGTGTGCTTGTTGTGACGGAAAGTTCGTAGGGGGCGCATAATTGCAAAAAAAGTAAAAAGTTGTAATAATTAATAAACTATAGCTAACCCTCCCCTTCAAATCTAATTAATGATACAAAGAAATTTCAAACAGTTTTTCTACATAATGGGACAAATAAACTTTGTCACTTAACATTTTTGCTGTGATCATTGCTTTGCTGACGGTGTAACAATTTATTATTCCACATTCTTCTGTTTCAACTATGTAACTTATATATATTTCCACGCAAATGAATGTAAATGAGAGATGCACTTAAATCTTTCAATTTTAAATGTAAAAACATCTGATGTTGACTATAATGTGAGAATGATGTTGTCATGATTATGTTAAAGCACCACAGATTAATTATCTCAAAACACAAGAAATGAATTGGATAGAATGAGATTGTTTTAAATAATGATTTTATGGTGCAGGCTTGGGGTATAGAATGTGACCTTTAACAGCTAGGGTCAGTACAACTATGGGTACAGTTCTCTGGAAAACTCAAGATAAATGTATTTGGAATTTCTAGGTTGATTCACCATATCTGATTGACTGATTCGGCATATTTGAAGCCAGACTTTAGTGCAGAAAAGTAGGACGTTAAACCACATTTCAATTCATTTACAAATCCAGGCAGACATATGCAGCATATTAGACGGAACAGAATCAGTGGTTGAAAGCACAAACTTCCAAAATAGTGTGGCAACTGTAAAGTCTGTTTCTTGTATTGTAATAGTTGATGGATATAATGAACCATTGTACTTGAGGGATATATTTATTCGCTTCTTCTAGATTTCAAATATTTTTTATGGTTGATTGTATTCGTAGGGACGATGTCAGTGTGTAGATAGATTTAAAGATATGTATTGTTCTACACCCGTTAGTGGTAGAGATATACAAAGTACATCAAATGATTTTAGTAAGTACATGTTTTAAATTTAGAATAAGTATCAACTCATAAATAATTCAGTTCACGATAATTATTTTATATTATCTTAATTAGCCCTGTTCAATAAATATTGCTTTCTAACCTTTTGAAAACCAGATCAGGTCAGTGGGCCTGGTTGTTTCTATTACTTCCTGTATCAATTTTTGCTAACGTACAAGTCAAAGTTTTTTTAGTCCATCTCCATAGAAACATTGTACAACTGTATTTACCAAAACTCACTAAATTGAACAGGCTAAGGGGATATTAATACATATATGGCTAATGTTTATTTGTAGGCTTTTCTTTGAGTGGTGGTGCGATAGCAGGTATATCTATTGGTATTGTTGTGGCTATTGTATTAGTAGTGGTTTTGACAGCTTTTATAATGAAAAGGAAATTCATGGCCACAGCTGGTGCTGGACAGCAAGTGAAATATGACGGAACACATCAGGTACATCTTTTTTTTATTGGCTTCTCCTTAATATTTTATATTTATATGTTCTGATGTTTGCAAAAAAATAATCTTTTTGGTATGGTATTGATTATTTCCCATGTTATTGCTTATTCGAAGAAAGCATGAGATTATTAAAATGGGTCTGTCCGTCTGTCATTCTTTTTGGGACACAATAATTTTAACTCTCCTCCTAATTGAGCTAGAATGTTCAAACTTGATGGAGTTCGAAGATTGGCATTTCTGCTTAGTGTAAGCAGAGATTAGCAATTTGATTGGTTGATACTTTGGGACATGATAACTTTAGTTCTAATTCAGTGAGAGTGATGAAACTTGGTGTATAGTTTCAATCAGTACCTTGACTATAAGTTTGATTATGAGCATTTTCTGCTCAGGGTTAGCAGAGATCAGTGGCGGCGCCAGCCGTCGGTGATTGGAGGGGCAAAGCTGGGGCAAAGTCCAAGGTTAAGGGGGCAAAGACATGAGCTTTAACTAGGGGTAGGGGGCCTCCCCCAGAAAGTTTTGAAAAACAGGTTGCCGGAAATGCAGTCTGGCAGTATTTCAGGCATTGCTCGATGAGGTAAAGTGTCAAACGAACAGACTTGCGAATCCCGACGAAGCCCACTCAAGAGCGTCAAAGTAGGGAGTCCTTCCCCAGAAAATTTTGAAAAATAGACTGCCGGAAATGCTGTCTTACAGTATTCTGTCAGGCACCGATCGTCGAGAGAAATAGATCTGACCAGATACCGTCCGTCGCCTGATTACTAGTTTATCCGACTAGAGAACAAAATGTCAAACGAACGGACTTGCGAACCTCAACGAATTCCCCTTGTGAGCGCCAAAGTAGCGAGTCCATTGGGGACCTCGCCAAGAAAATTGTGAAAAATAGACTGTCCGAAATGCTCTACAACATGCAAGTTTATGACTGAGTGGGGATGTGGGATTTATTCACCGTAGAAGGTATTGATTACCGAAACGTATCCCAAATACTTTTTTTTTTTTTCTAAAATTATTGGGGGGGGGGGGGCAAACAGAGGGCAGACACTGGGCCAGAGATATAAACAATTTGATTGGCTAAGACTTTGCAAAGCAATAACTCTCCTTCTAATTGAGGTAGAATGTTGAAACTTGAAGTAGATGTTCATTAGTATAGGTGTATGTCTTGACAGAGTTCAATGATTAACATTTCCCTCTAAAGCTAAGCAGAGCTAAACACAGGGCTGTAACTAGCTCAGACAGAGCAACAAGGGGGGCGGGAAGTTTTCTCAGGGGTGCTGTAATATTGACGGACAATGTATATCTATTTTTTTTATGGCTGAAAATCTTTTCACGGGGGGGGCGAAAATTTTTGCAAAGAAGCCCGTCCACCCCACGCCTAGTTATGGGCATTACTAAACAATTTCATTGGTCGATGCTTTGGGACAAGATAACTTTGATGGAGAGTGATGAGAGTGTATAGTTTCAATACCAGGTACTTCAAAAGCCTAACTGAGTTTGATTGTGAATATTTTATGCTAAGACTAAGTACACAGGCACTTGAAGGGATTAAAATAAAACTTCTTACCACCGCTTGACTATAAGCAGTAGCAAGAAGTTTTATTTTAATCCCTTCAAGTGCCTGTGACTAAGTATGGATAATCATTTTGATTGCTCAATACTTTTGGAAAAGATAAATGTACAATTCATCAATATTTGTCACTGTTGGCTTGTTTTGTATATTACCGGTTAATTCGCATGGTATAGGTTATTTGGTATGGGGGTTGTTTTGCATGGTGTCAGTTATTTTTTATATTTTGATTTGCATTGGGGGCGGGGGATGGAAAACTGAATGGTTAGCCATGTGCTCGCTGTATAATAAGGTCTGTCATTGAGTCAACTGGCGTACGTGGTTTCGATTCCCCGGTTGTACGTGACAAGGAGTAGGGTCGCCTGTCCAAAATGGTGGGTTTACTCCAGTTTCCTCCCCCTGCTAAAGAAGCGCAAGCAAATTGTTAAATAAAATTGAACCATATGTTAGCCCCGAAATGACCTAGTTTGTGTCGAGTGGACGTTAAACCCCATTTCTCTCTCTCTCTGTTTTGCATGGTATCGGATTGGACTGGAACAATTATTTGGTATGTCGGTTGTTTGACATTGTTTCATTCCGATGGGTTAAATCAGCCACCTTAGTAGGCCATATTACTATTAGACCACTTTGAAGTTGCTATATTCACTGATGGGCCGTAATAGCACAGCTCTCAAATTTTCTTGGCTAGGTCCCTCCACGGTTATTTGGATATGTATATTTGTCGATTCACAGAAGAATGTAATAATGATAATAATAAAATTGATATAAAAAGATAGGTTGCCAGGCAACAAAACATACGCCCACAGCAGTTAAATTGCCAGGGCAATTGACTTGGGTTGTCGCATATTTGTCCCCCGCCTTTCGAAGAAACCTCTTTAGAATGAGTCTGTCAAGAACATACTCTTTATACAGTTACCAAATATCCAGTACCTCACTATATAACTAGTGACCTAAATCTAAATATAGCTTTTATTAGTCTCGATTATTTAGGCGTCTACAAGCTATACATAAAACAATACTAACAAAATGAAACTAATTTTGACACACTTCTTTACCTCACTAATGTAAACAATATAATTTATATCAATTTCAAAACAACCAGATGATAAATGTAGCCTGTAGAGTGTTAACAAGAAATTGTGGACGATGGACAGGGGTGACGGCAAAACAAAGTCATAGTATCACAAAACCATCTTTTATGGCATCTATTAAGTTTCATAAGTGTAAAAACATACTTCCTCAGAAAACAACTAAAAGATGGTTTTGTGATACCCATGACTTTGTTTTAACCACTCCTACTACCGGTGTCATCACATCAAGTTCATTATGACTTGGCAATCTGTTTCACAGAGAATTACGGGTCTAGTAATATCTCTGTCAAAGATGACTGCCTTAACACGTGCCGTCACAGCACGCGGCGTCAGTCATTGGCTGAATTGCGTGTGCATTGTTTACATAAGACGTTACTGCTTCGGACAGAATGCTGCCTTTTAGTCATTTTAATACCCATTTACACTAATTAAATAGGAAATAATTTTTACCAACAAATACTTAAAAAACATGTTTTAGAATTTAATTTGTCACAGGAAAAAAGTTAATATTTCTGGCTCATTAAGTCGCATCGATGTCATCCTTATCAGTGATTGTAGCGGCCTAGCGTAAATTAACTGCTGATCACCCCCCCCCCTCCTTTAACGGAACGGAGGGACTGACAAGGGCAGCTGTCTAGTCATTCGGATGAGACGAAAAACCGAGGTCACGTGTACAAATTGGCGTACACGTAAAAGATCCCTTGACAGTTGGAATTCGATATAAGAGTAGGCCGTAGTGCCGCTGTCCGGGCAAAATTTCCCTCATAGCGTATGCCCGTCTTCATTAGCCCAGTTCGGAGCAAAACAGTAGGATGTTAAACCCCATTTCATTTCATTTCATTTCCTTTAACGGAAAAGAAATTCCAGGCTGTTTTGCACTAACAGAACTGTTTTAGATGTTTATTTATCATGTTACCACCACGGCATTAGCAACTATGTTGACTTTGCCAAGAATAATTTTGATCCATGCTAGATAACTAAACTCTTTTTCAATTGCATTATCTTAGGTGGAGATAGATTCTGGTTTACCTGTACAATCAAGAAATAGTGAAGATTATAGGAGTGGCAGGGGTTTTGTTAACCCTTTAACTGTGGATGACGAAGTTGCTAGTTACACTGAACTAGCAAGCAAACCAGTATTTAACTCCAGTGATTCATAATACATGTCTTTATAATATTTACCTATATATTACCATTATAATAATTTATGTATAGTTATTTAATAAATTTATCATAATTTTGGTTGTCGTAATAGAAAATTAAAGATGTCTACCTATAGATAGGTACTGACAGGTATCATCCACTTATAGATAGGTACTGACAGGTATCATCCACTTATAGGTAGGTACTGGATGACCAGTATCATAATAATCAAATCTCTAGACCTCCATTCAAACACTGCACTAAATTCCTGTGACAGACATTTTACATCAGTTTTTTTCCAACTTGCTTTGGGATCAATATCTTCCAAAAGCAAGAACTATGTGTAGCCACAGCCTTTATCAAATATAATGGGCCTTTGCATAACGGCACCTTTGCCTTAATACTGGCCATATAAAATATATATTCTGATGAGTTTGGTGTATCAACTTCATGGGTTATGATGAATTGGAACACAAGAGCATAAAACCCATACCAAGAACTAATGGTGCACTATTTAAAGATTTTAGACACCAGACCTTGTGTTTTCCAAAGAATTTAAGCCCATGCAAGGAATGAAACAAGGATGCACTCTACTGTTTCAACCCCAAAACTGCTTGTTTCTCTTCAGTCAAATATAGGTGCCCTCTGACGGATCATACTTGTTGATCACTCTTCACGATTTGTCTTTCAGTAGAAATCAAATTCTGCTTCCTGTATATTTCCTTAGCAATACCACTAGCCAATAAAGATGGACAACCTACTTCAGTTAAATCAAAACAACCTTACTGAATGTTATAACTTTATCACTGGTCAAAAGTAGTCATAACACAATTGTCCCGCTGTTAGACTTTTGCTAGAATTTTTGCTCTTTAAATTAAGGATAGCATTATATTGTATTAATTAATATCTCTGGCAAGTTAGTATATTTGTACTTAAATCAAGTTAGCGAATGAGTGACAGATGGTTACATAAAAAAGAGTTATAATTTGGTAAACATTTGCTGGTTTTGTGGGAATAAAAATATCATGTATTACACGTGATAGGAAATTTACGATTGCATCATTCAGCTTGTTTAACCAATCTCTATACCTATTTACATCATAATTGACCAATTAGATAATTGAAGTTCCAAAACCCAAAGCTACTTGATTCCAGAAGGGAAAAAGCAATTTCTATTAGCAGACTCGCTTTCTGGCTGGATGAGGTTTGAGAGAATGACCTTATTCTATTATGCATTGTACCATATGTAAGCAGCTATGATACAAAACTATCATACTTGTGAGAATTCGCTAGACAGCAGCTTGATTCCAGAAGGGAAAAGAGGTAGCAATTTCTATCAGCAGACTCGCCAAACGAGTCTGACTGGATGAGGTTTGTTAGACTGACTTTATTCTATTTGGTGCACGTGACTAAAAGATCGAGTACCATGGAAGAAATTTGGAAGAAGAATACATATTCTATTTAAAATTGGTGCCGTACCAGTGCCGTACCTCAGTTTCGACTTTTAGGGTAAGCAGCAAATTTGGAAGTAGAAAACCCGTACAAACCAGCAACAGGAAAAAATCTGGTGGAAAAAAATATTGGTGGAAGAACATTTTTTTTTTGTGGAAATATTCCCAGAATTGGGTAAATACATTTTTTTCGGGAAATGCAACTGTATAGAGAATAAAATATAGTCATAATTTATAAACAATATAATATCATTAGTTAGGTATGCGTATTATCAGGTTAACATGACCTGCAGTAATAAATTGAAATTAAAGAGGTTATAAGGGGTAGGTTAAAAAAATTTGTTATAACTAAGGAATAATAATAAGGAACGGAATAGGGAATAAAATAAGGAATTAATGTTGTCTCCAGGTTCAGTGGAATGGCATAGATCAAAATAGAAGTATGCGTGCTTAACTCATAATCTGTTGTGACTGGGTTTTTTTTGTACTGAATCCGTTGTTTCGATATGTTCAGCTAAGTAAAGCTAATATAATTTTGAGGCTCTAGTCCAAGTTTCAAAATAATGGTTTTAGTCGAGTTAGACTAAATTAGGTATCGGTAGTTTAACTTTTGAATAAAAGTTTAGATGCTAAAAATACGTGTTTTGTGTTGGTTCGTGTAGTGTCTAGATAAGTACAGCTAGTATAATTTTGAGACTCTTAGTTCAAGTTTCAAATTTATGGTTTTAGTCCATTAAAGACTAAATTGGGTAATTTAGCTTTTGATTAAAGGTTGGATTGCTATTATTTGTGTTTTGTGTCGTCCATATGTGGTTAGTTAAGTAGAACTAAGTTTTAAAATTATGGTAATTTAACTTTTGAATAAAAAGGTGGGTTGTGTTAAAATCCCAGTTATGTAAATCTAGGGGTGTAGGTATAGTTTTTCCTGGAGAAAAAAAAACAAACTAAAATTAACGGCTCGTTAAATTGTGAGATTATCGCAGTCATTAATACGAGGTTAAGGTAAGAATAAGACACTTTTTAGAATAGTGGGAGATTATACGGTAAATTTTATCCGTATATATATAATTTTCTGTAATTAAATTTTGCTTTAGAAACGTAATATAAACGTTAAATATATATTTGCTAAATGCTATTTTGTATCATTAATTAAATTTTGCTTTAAATTGTTCACGCGAGGTGATTAAGAATGTGTAATTTGACATGTCACATTGTACTGTTTCGTCTGGTTATCGGAGGGCCTGACAAGGACAGCTGTCTAGTCCTTCGGATGAGACGAAAATCCGAGGTCCCGTGTATACATTAGAATGCACGTAAAAGATCCCTTGGCAGTTGGAATTCGATATAAGAGTAGGCGATAGTGCCGCTGCCCGGGCAAAATTTCCCTCATAGCACACTGTATGGCGTATGCCCGTCTTCATTAGCCCAGCATAGGAGCAGAACAGTGGGACGTTAAAACCCATTTCATTTCATTTCATTTCGTCTGGTTATTATAAACAATAGTTTTCACACTGTGTTAAATTTGATGTGTGTGAAGTCACGTGATTTCAGTGGCGCGTTGAATGAAATTATGTGGTAATGAAAAGCTAGGCATGTCATGTTGATATAAATATAGACTGTGTTCCCGGTGAATGAACTACAGTCGTTTGCTTGGGATATTATTCTATGTAATAATGGGCCTGCTTGATTTGTACAAGGCGTACGCCGGTCAGGTTACCGTATCAGAGCAAATCAAGAGACTCGGCTGATAATAAATTTGGCGTCGGATAATATTATAATATTAAACCGGTAACATGACATGTGTTAATAACGATAGGTTGCCAGGCAACGAAACATACGCCCACAGCAGCTAAAGCATCCGTGCAGTCAACAAGAGATGTCGCATATTTTTACTTTTTTCGGTCGTGAAACATTTATAATACAATAAAATCTGATTAAAAGTAACAACTCATTAAGTAATTATCATGTTCTGTCACATGCTAACGTTTAGAATACGAAACATTTAATATCATGGATTTAGCTGTTCAGTTATCAAAATTCATTGAAAAATATACTTGTTCGTCTCAAGACCTTAAACTCTGTGTATCAATCTGAAGTCAATCGGATGATAAATTTGGCCATAACGCTGGCGGTAATTATCGCTGAAAATCAATAGGCTTCTTCGTCTCATGACCTTAAACACTGTATATAAATTTAAAGTCAATCGGATGTTAGCTTTGGCCTCTAGAGCGTCCACAAGCAATTGTAGAAGTCGGACCGATGGATGGACGGACGGACGGGGGCGACGACAATATACGACCACATTTCAATGTGGGCGTGTAAAAACAGTATTCATGAAAGCATTACTGTAAGTAAGTGACCGCAAAATAATACAGAAAATGATTTGTAGTATTACCGAAAAAAATAAATAAATAAATGACATATCGTCGGTGGGGAGTCAAAAGGTCGTATCTGGCATATTTTGCGAAATTCACTTTTTTGCTTCTTTAGAATGAGGATTTTCTTGCGCATCTTTTCATCTAGTTGTGGTATTTCTAGGCCAATAAAAAGAGGTTTTATAGATATTGTTTCAAAATGTCGTATATGGGGTGTTCCAAAAAAAAAAAAATATTAAGAGTGAAAATGTATTTTTTTTTAAAAAATCAACTTTGTGTCTAACCAAAGTATTATAATCAAACGAAATGTAGCCAGTATTGTTTTTATAGTTAAATATGTATTATAGAAATTATTGTTGAGCGTCTACTGTGTGAATTCTATGAAATTGAAGCAGGTAAAGGTGAATATTTTCCTGACATACGTCTTTGCTGTATAAAATTGCAAATAACTAGCTTTCACTCTTTATTTCTGCACTAAATGTTGAGCTTGATACGTATGGATAGTTACATATTGTTTTAATGGCTACACATACACTTTGTACAGAAATATTTAAGAAAAGCTTCAGAAATACGACATTTTACATACGACATTTTGACGTGACGGTTTTATTAGACATTTTGATTCTTAACCTCTGTGTGTTTTTTGGCTCTCCCGGACAATTTCGCAAAATCCAGATACGACCTTTTAACTCCCCACCGACGATATGAACATCTGGTTTTACGAAGCCTTAATTCAACTTTAAAGCATTTGGTTTAATTTTAACGCTTTAATATTCGTGTTTAATGACATTCCTAACTAACGTGAATTTTATCTCGTTCAAAGCGACGCATTCGGCGTACGCCGCGGCCGAATTTTTGTCGACGTCCGGTTAAATCAAGTGACCTCGCCGGGGAAACTGCCGAACTGTGGTCAGCCGGTATGCGCCGGTATGGATAAATCAAGCTGGGCCAATGTTATATTACACTAATGTTGGAATAGGCTAAGAATCCTGCTTTTTTAGACATTCAGCGGTGTACGATAACCAGGTCCATAGCCAGCTTGCTAGCTTCGGAGGGCCAGTGAAGTTTTTAGGGGGGCACACCCGGCACAGTCTACAGTAGGTATTTTACAACTGTGGTCGGCAATTTTTTTTTCGGAGGGGTGCCCCCCTCTGGCTACGGGCCTGACGATAACAATGTATGGTTGTCATTTAAAAAATAGAAGTTAAAATTGTAAATGATTAGGTCAAAAAGGTCACATAACTGATGGGGAAATATAAAATAATAATGAAATTGTTTTAGCTGAGTGAGATACGGTCAAAGAGGTCAAAGTTAGTTTGAAGATTTATAATTAAAGAGACACATCAAGTTTATTAATAATTAAATGAAGTTTAATTTTAATTAAAAGTAAGAGTTGATAATAAGATTTAGGAATAGTTAGTTCTTGGTCTGATGGCAATGACATGTTTGATTGACGGAGAAAATTTGTATTTGGTCTCAAACCAATGATCTTAGGCGAAAAAAAAAGTTTACAACTTGAGACTATGGTAGCTGAAACAGACCAATGGAAATCCAAGAAGGAGAAATGGTTTACCAGTTTACCAAATTGAGATTTCCTGAGACAGAATTTGAGGTTAAACCTGAACTTTATAAATTAGAAGTGCGGTGTTATATAGAAATGGTACCACTACTGATGTCTTCCGCCTTACTCCAGCTTAAAGTAGCTAAGTCTCTAACTCAATATCATCCAAAATCTTCAACATTGAAAACACGATTTATTTGTCAAATTAAATCAACATTCATATTGTGATCTTACCGGAAAAAGATGGGCTTTTGATATCCATATGGAAGACAAAATAAACATTTTACCATTGGTACACGAATCGTGTACCATAATGCGCTTCAGCCCCAGTTGTATCAAGAGACTCGAGGCACGAGGCTAGACACATTGCACCAAATCAAACGGGTGTGTAGACTGGAATAACCAGACGCTAGAAATTTGCACTCGCTTGAGACTGCTGGCTTATTTCGCCGAACATAACTGATTTGAAATTAGAGTAAAAACGGAAACCATTGAATGTAAATCAGTTTATATACATTCATATTACAGTATTATATGCGTTGCCACCCACTTTTGTCAATTTCTAGGTCCCAAATGTTAGCTCCTTTAAAGCTACATATTGTAGCTGGGTGTTATAGTGTTTTGAAATTAGGACACATGAAGATTTAAAGAAAGACAAATTGTGTTTTCTGTGTTTAGGCTTAGTGAATTTTCATAGGACTTTGAAGTACATTGATGAACTATTAGAGAGCTTTTACGTGCGACTTTTGATTTTTATTTGTGTTTTCATTGATACTTATATTTTAGAACAGATTGTGATCATATGTAATTTGTATGTTAATCATATAATATGTGCATGTTGCATGAATAATTACAGGGTTAAGCATAGCACATGGAGGTTTTTAAGAGTCTCCTACTTGTTCATTTCGCATAAATCTTACAAGTAGGGGAGGTGGTATATACTCTTCAAAAAAAAGTAGGGGGTATTCAGAAACAATACAAAACTGCGGAAACCAGTGTATATTAAAGTTACAATTTCATATTTTCTAAGAAAGTCAAAACATAATTATTTCTATGTCTTTTGCTCAATAGGATGTCAACTCACTATTATACGATCATAGGTGTCATTCCCACACTTAAAACTCATTTACACCGGAAATAATAACACAATTACCTCCCTTGTTTTCTATTCTCCACCATGGAGTACTTATCTTCAAACGTTTGAATTTGAAAATGATATTTTTGCCAATTTCTCAACTGGCAATAGTGAATTATAGGATTATTCTTTAACAAGGTAGGACTGTTTATAGATACCATCTATTTTACGGCTTTATTTTAATAAATTTTAAAAATATAACTTAAAAATATGAAATTGCAACTTTAATAACAGGCCAATTGCCTATACATGAACATAAACAGTTCATATGGGTGGCTTATCTGACGGCCCCATTTCACTCGCAAAGAAATACACTGTCAAAAGTAAAAATGGACGTTTTTGATTTTTGTGTTAATGAGTAATTGTTCCACCAGTTAACCGTCCAATCACGATTTGAGGCAATCTGACCCACTCCTCTTCCACGGTCAATTCTTGCCGGTTGACGAACACGTCTACCGATCATGTCTTAATGCTCTATAGGGGAAAGGTCGGGACTCCTGGCTGGCCAAGGCATATGGACAATATGGTGACGCTGGGGGTAGTCATCCACGACACGTGCGCGGTGGGCACGGGCATTATCACGTTGAGCAAAGGGCAGAACTATCGGTGTCAGGATGTGGTCACGGTAGTACACACCAGTGACCCTTCCTTGAACAATATGCAAGTCCGTTCTGCCAGTCAATGTGATTCCTCCCCACACCCGAATCTGTCATGCTGTCTGACGTTAGCATGACGCTCATTTACACGCCTCCAATATGCGCGCACGCCTATCGGTGAAATCCAGAGTAAATCTGGACTCATCTGAGAACATTACACGCGCCCATCGATGATTACCCCAATTTCTACGCTGCCTACACCATTGATGCCTGTTTGCCATGTGCTGGCGAGTTAACGGAGGCACAACACACGGTCGTTGCGCATGCAAATGGGCTGCATGTAGCCGATTTCTAATTGTTTGGGGTGTAACTCGAATTCCTTTAACTTGGTACAAGTTTACAGAAAGCTGATTGGTCGTTTGTCCTAGATTTCGCAGGACCTCTGTACGAATGTATCGATCCTGGGCTTGTGTAGTGGCTCTAGGACGACCTGAACGAGGTCTATCATCAACATTGTGTTTGTTGCTGATCACAAACTGTGACATTAAGCATGTTGTCTACTGCTCACTGTGTAGAACCCATTTTAAGCATCCCAATAGCAAGTAGAGGTTCATCATGTCTAAGACGTCTCATTGCAAATTAAACGTAATACACTAAAGCAAAGATACGCTAAACAGTAAATCTTATGCAAGAACCGATAGGAAAGCAACCATGGATAGGATAAAAAAAGCACACGGCAGTTTTCATCAACCGGTCCTTGAAGTTTCAAATTTGACAATGAACCCCTCCGACGTGTATGGTGATATTGCGTGTCACACGTGCAGCTCAGTGGTTCTGTTGGGGCGACAAGTTCTTCATCTGTGAACATACTCTCAAAGCATGTCCATGACTATTTATCATATCACAACCGGCATAGGTATTTGCATTTCAATATCCCCTACTTTTTTTGAAGAGTATATATTGATTTCCGAGATTTCTGCTACACGTATGAATACTCATAATTCTACAGATGTTAGTATGATTATTGTAAATGATTCAAGGGATCTTTTACCTAATACCGAGTAAAAAATCTAAAAGGGACGAATGTAAGACTTTTGCTCTTTAAATTAAGGATAGCATTATATTGTATTAATTAATATCTCTGGCAAAAGGTGCGACAGAACGACAAACCCCATTTTAATACCACCCTGCTTTCCTTGAAAGGACAATCAATCCTACACAAAGGGAAATAGATCCTCAATTTAAATTTAAAAAAACAAATTTTATATCAAAAGTTTTTTTTAATTCACCCACAAGATGAGGGTTAATATACACAGGCTAATAATTTACATAAAACAAACAGGACAGAACAGGCAGTAGAAATTTCACAAACCAATGTTACATTGTTAATTCCTGAAAATGAAAAAAAAAAAAAATAGTTATATAATTCATTCAATTCAAAAATCTATATAGGCATATAATAACTTTATATATTTAAACTTGCATCAGATATGTTTGGCTAATAAAAGCAGCACTTTATCACCATACATCGTTTAGTTGGGGAAAGTATTCATCATATGCAAGTTTATGGTAATCTACTCTACATTGTCAAAAACACGCATAACTTCGCAAAGAATAAAGTAATTTAACTGAAATTTTCAATATATTCATTATCTTACATTATGAAACTTGATTTAACTTCAACTTTACTACACCTATGCAACATACAGAAAAAAAATATCGTGATATCTCGCAATATTGGTAAAATAAATTATCCCGATATCATGGATTATCGTCTGGAGTAAATTATCGCGCAATTAGCGTGCTTCAAAAATTCAATGTGCTTCAAAAATTCAATATCGTGATAATTACTGATATAAAATTGAAGTGTATAAATTGATTAATGTATCTAGTGCAGTGTATTTGGTATTTAGCAATGTATGTGAGATGTACTGATGAAGTGAGACGTATATATATGCTGGGGTAAGATTATTCCTGTAGGTATCGTGTCACCTCAGATCATTTTATTCTGATCAGCTGGAATGCCCGGAATACCGAATATTCATTAACTCAATATCTGGTTAACAGACTTGTTGGGTGTTCTATTTAAACTAAAATATCCCCATATGATTGACAGAAGAAATGCCCTTTTTCCTGTCAGCAGCAGTGTGTTTACGCAGTCTGTCGAACCGTCATCAAAAATATTCCGATTGGCATTGACAGTTTCAAGCTCCGAAACCATTTTATTCAAAGAATAAAAGAAATATTATCCAGACGATTTTTCAACGTAAAATATCAGTGTAATTTTCAACGGACTGGGTAATCCAACGATAAACCACCTCTTCCTTTACTATGGCGACGTATATTGTTGCGTGCAGTTAACTGTATCATTCCAAGTAGGGGTATCCTTACCGTTATATCAATCGTAATAAATATTGTGGATGCTTTCTTCGTGGGGGTATGGGACCAGACTATATCAAAGCGTTGACTATATCAACGTAAAATATCAATGTAATTTTCAACGGAATGTCGTCAAAAATATTCTGATTGGTATTGACAGTTTCAAGCTCGGAAGCCATTTTATTCAAAGAATAAAAGAAATATTATCCAGACGATTTTTCAACGTAAAATATCAGTGTAATTTTCAACGGACTGGGTAATCCAACGATAAACCACCTCTTCCTTTACTATGGCGACGTATATTGTTGCGTGCAGTTAACTATATCATTCCAAGTAGGGGTATCCTTACCGTATATCAATCGTAATAAATATTGTGGATGCTTTCTTCGTGGGGGTATAGGACCAGACTATATCAAAGCGTAGCCAACACGTGTATGATAACGATTAATATTATTCAGTGAAATGTACTTGATACACAAGAATAATGTTGGTCAGTTGGTCCTAAAAACGACTGTCTCTGTTGTGGAATTTGGAATAGATCTAGTATTGGCAATTGTTACAATTTGATTTCTTCTTCATTTTTGGAGTATTTTGAAAGGATTTAATGTGAATTCTGATTAAAAATGAAAATATCGATATTTTTTTGAATTACCGCGATACATCATGATAAAGCAATATTTGAGATTTCAGACAATTTTATCGCCCGACCTAATTATCCGATATATCGCCATCCCCAGGGTATCGTGGCAACCTTATACCAATCATGCTAATGAAAACGGGGATACACCATGCCTATGCAGTGTCACAAACATTCAGTAAATTTAAACAATCTCAGATAAAATTTAATTAATATCTGGGTTAAGTTTGTCTATTTAAATATATTGTGATTCCCCACCGTTTGTTGATATCCTAGAAAGATTTAAAATATATTTTAGACACTGGAAGACTTCTACAAATAAAGGCAAAGAAATTGTATACTGTACTTATTTTAGATTAACTAATCTTGTGTCATATGTTTGGCTAATAAAAGCAGCACTTTATCACCATACTTCGTTTAGTTGGGGAAAGTATTCATCATTCACAAGATTTCATTTCCAAAAGTACACATTACAGAATTTGTTTTAACGTATTGCTGATGTTTTATGTTGGGTATTTTAATATCAAAATAGGTTATTTTAATTTACAATGTGAAAGTATTTTCTTTTTCGGATAGTCGCTTTTTTCCTTACAATTTAATCTATATCAAGACTATACCTTTATAGTCTAGTGAGACATTAAGTAATATATTGATACTGATGGTGGTTGGGGAATTTATGATAAACTTAGTGTATCATCAACAAATAACCCTGCAAATAAATATTTTGCTTCTGAACAATAATAGCATGGTTATACATCTATAAGGCCAACCAAAAATAAAATACTGGTTCTCAGATACCGAATCGTCATCAAAAATGGCCACCATTTTATTTAAAAAAACAAGCCAATAATGAGACCGATATCCCTCGCAGAAATACCAAACACATCTGGATTTATATCTTAATTTGACTTGCATCCACAGACTGTTCATTTATAGTAATGACTCGGGATTCAGCGTCGTCGTTTACTACCTCAATTTGAATATATTTATCAAATGTGTCGGTGACCTGGCCAACATTTAAATTTGACGCAGTTTGAGTGATGTTTTCCTTTGTTTTTCCTATGAAAAATTTATGGCAATAATGAGCTGCTGGCAAATCCCTTTTAAACAGGTTTTGGGGTACTATACCATTCACACTGTACGCCGACTCGCCAATGTCAAAAGTAAAATTATACGGCACACCAAAGACTGTCCAGTCAAGAAATATTGTTGCTTTCTGACAGATTTTGAGCGAAACTATCAGTCCGTACCCTCTGCCAGACCCTGCCCTCGGCAAACCTCAGCAGATTTACATACACCTAGATGTAGAGTAATGGAATCTGCCGAGGTTTGCCGAGTGCCTGCCATGCTGATTTTCATAAGCCAGGACTAGCCCGAGTCGCTTTTTCATTGGTTAATATCGATAAGATTAGACGTTTCCTGTCATTTTCATCCAATAAAAAGTATTCTTACTTAAATTTAGACGTTAGCACGCCAGCATTGATTTAAGATCCATATTTTCATTGGACGATATTAATCGAAAACACACGTCTCTGGCTAATGAAAGGCAATGGTACATTATCTACGGTATACTGAAGCCTTAACTATGTATAATCGATGGCTATAGACCTGAACCGGCATACTATGAAATTGTAAACATTCGGAGATCGCTTATTTGGTTAAAAATTCGCATTTTTTAAATATTTTTATTTTGTGTTGAGAAGCTGTGCGGGCGATTTTCGTCTCCCAATTCCTAAGTGCGCGGGCGAGAAGAAACAAGGTATCGAATGTTAATTATCATTTGCAAAGATGGCGACAATTTTACAGTCATCTGTCATTTTTACTATCAATACATTTCCCGAGAAATATGACATGAACAAAAAATATTCTACATGGGTAGATCGAAGACCCAGACTACAATTTGAAATTGCCAGTGAAATCCAAGCTTTAACAATGAGTACGGTATCGATAACACATACCTAATTGTTGCCAAAATAAAAACCGCCAGATTTGAAAACATTTTCCAAAGAGTCAATGTAGATAGATGAAGTCACAGAATTATTCGGATGTTATTTCAAGTTCTTTACTCTTTTTTTTCTTAAGAGTTAAAATATTAAATTTATACTAATTTTGTGCGTTTCTTAAAAATGAAAACCGAACTTTATTTTGAATCCCCCCCAACCCACATCAATTACTTTTAAAAGGATAATTTTTTTTGTGTGGCCTAACCTTGCAGTCAATCAAATAAAATACAAGACACTTGGTCTTGTATTTTTTTTTAAAATCAAGCTTATTAAACTTAAAGAGCAGTGATCAAATAATCTTGTGTCAGATATGTTTGGCTAATAAAAGCAGCACTTTATCACCATACATCGTTTAGTTGGGGAAAGTATTCATCATTCACAAGATCAAATTTTATTGGTCAATATCTCTGTGTATTATATTTATATTTTATTTGACAACTGTCAAATCTTAATATACTTACCATAATGGCATTAACAATATCATTGCTATTATTTTTAAGGGCTTTAATAGCTTTTGATCTAGAAACATTGGCTTGAGACATAACGAGTTCAATATCTTTTGCTTCAACACCAGTGTCATCAACCTGAAAATACATGCAAGGTACATCTTGTAAATCTAGAATACATCTAATGTTAAAACATACATTTTCATAATAGAAGCAACTTGCATCAGATATGTTTGGCTAATAAAAGCAGCACTTTATCACCATACATCGTTTAGTTGGGGAAAGTATTCATCATCTGCAAGTTGCAATAAATTGAATGGGGTGCCAATATATTTGGCTTTAACAGTTTTAATAAAGGCTATTGACTAATAAACAACAGTAATCTTGTAACAAATTTGTGTATAACTAGATAAATTTTAAAATCATGTCTGGGAAGGATTTAATGAGCCAACTGGAAAATTTAGGGAGTAAATTACTCTTTTACACAATTATTACACAAGTTTGTTTCATTAATTAAATTATTAATTACCTCTTCGTCATCTTCAGATTCTTCTTGTATAGGTTGTGAAACAGTTCCAGTGTCTAATCCACCTGCACTGTCTGTTGATTTGAATTTTTCAGCTGCAGATATTTGGGCTGCTTGATTCAAATCTTCAATCTAACAAAAGAAAAAAAAATATTCTAGAAAATTGGTAGGATCATTAAATTCAAAAAGGCAAGAGTGTGTAGAAAAAAAATTCTTTGCTCAGACAAGTTTGGCATTAAATGCAGCGATGATTTCTTCATACATCGATATGTTGGGGAAAGTTGTCATCACAGCAAAGTAAAATCTACATTTAGGACCTGTACATTTCAAGAAACAAGTTAGGGTTTTGTAGATTTGGCCAGAACACTTTAGCATAAAAGTTTTCTTTAATTTGTAGAACTACAACACTGGATAATTTAAATGAAGGAATAAAATACATACATGCACTTACAGGGCAACAATACCATGAATTATGAACAATCATTGAAAACCTGAAAACAATCTGTTAAGAATTCTAACTGGCAATCCATCACAAAATTTGTAGACTTAATGATGACCGGGACAAGACATCAATATATGTCCACATTATTAAATGTGTGAAGTGTAGTTTTTCATACACTTACCTTTGCTTCACCAAATACTATGTATGTATCTGAAGCAGGACTTTTAAAAACATCGGGTCTATTTATAACAAATAATATATTTTTAGATTTTCTTATCGTGACTCGTGTAACTCCAGAAACAGGCTTTAGACCTAAAAATAGAAAATAAAATATAAGTAACAACCACTTGCCACTATGCTGAAAATTGATCGGCAAGACTGAACATAGAACCACCCCAGAAATTTACAACAACTGTGGATGCACCCAGTAGGAGTGACAAATTCCCATATGAAATGTGATTATATATACTCTTCAAAAAAAAGAAACACACAGCCCATTTTTTATCATTTTTTTTTTTTATTCGAACGGGGTCGTTGTTTCCATAAAACTTACTTGTTTTTAATGTTATTACGTAAGGCTAAAAGAAATTCATTATTGGTTTTAAATGTACGGTCACTGACTAATTGTGACTGGTCATACTTTAACAACTTTGCAAGCTTCTCGCATAAAACCCAAATCTAAGGCCTTTAAAATTCTGGGGTTCTCGGTTTCAAAATCAGTTGCACATGTAAACACTCAACATGCCACATCTAAACAAAGACTAATGCAACAACACAAACGGTCGGTTACAAGCAGGTGAATCCCAGACAGATGTAGCCAGGCTGCTGAGAGTTTTCCACAGTACCATTTCTCGCCTTTGGGATAGGTACCGACAGCGAAGTTCAACACATGACCGTCCAAGCTCAGGCCAAATAAGTGTGACCTTACCTGCCCTGGATCGTCATATCTGGTTACGTCATTTGCGGAAACAGTTCACAACAACGAATTTTACTGCAGCAGCAATTCCTGGACGGTGTAGGATCTCAGACCAGACAGTCCATAAACGCCTACGTAAAACCGGATTATGGGCCAGACATTAGAGTTGTTGTTTTGAAACACACCAACATCATATTATCCGACTTTAGTGGGTTCAGAGCCACAGCACGCTGCAGAACAGTTTGTTTTAGCAACTAGTCGCGGTTCCTGTTCCACCGAGGCGAGGGTTTACTGATGACGAAATGCCACTATGCGTTTCTTTGAAGAGTATATAAAAAAGTTTTTATTACTTGCATCAGATATGTTTGGCTAATAAAAGCAGCACTTTATCACCATACATCGTTAAGTTGGGGAAAGTATTCATCATCTGCAAGTTAATTTCTTTGAGGTGGACTTTTTGGATATTATGCAAATAAAAAATACTTAATTGGGTAAAGCACATGTTAATTTTCACTCGCCTAATTTAGCCATTGCCTTTCTGGCTTTTTTTTCACTTCGACTTTGTTTCTGTCGGCTAACTAATTCTTCTGGGAGACCAGCAGCCTGGGCCATCTATAAAAAATAAAAAAAAAAATAATACAACATTCAATTAACGAAATTTGTGAAAACATAAATAGTAGTTTTTAAGTAATGGTTTTCTTGCATCAGATATGTTTGGCTAATAAAAGCAGCACTTTATCACCATATATCGTTTAGTTGGGGAAAGTATTCATCATCTGCAAGTTTATGACAGTGTCAAAACTATTCTGATATGATCAAGGGACAAAATGACAATTTAATATTATTTACCTGACTCTGTCTGGCCATAGCAGCGGCATCTTGTTCTTCTAATTCTGGTGGAGAATCATCGTCACCATCTGAATCATCAGAACCAGAAAGTTCTTCAGCCTTTGTCTCCTCATCTAAAGGCTTCTCCACTGCTTCGATAGGCATGCTGAAAACACAAAGTCAATGATGTATTGCCTATCAGATAATTAACAGTTGGATACTGGTAATAAATAGAATAGGATTAACAAAAATTTGCTCAGACGAGTTTGGCATGATATGCAGCAAAGATTTCTTCATAAATCTATATGTTGGGGAAAGTTGTCATCATAGCAAATTATAAATTTAAACATGCATTATGCAGAAGCTAAATCTGCTTATTGCAGGTCTTCGAGGCTAGCCTAAAATTAAATCGCTAATATCTTGGTTCAGAGGAAACGAGCTGACTGAAATTTTCAGCATATCCTGTTTCCATTATCTCTTTTGTAACTATTAAAGAAGCATTATGGGACGATAGGTTGCAGCCGATCAATTTCGAGTTGCGTAAAAATTTTGTGTGTTTGCTCTCTACATCTCTGATTTAGAGCCTCTCAAAATACTCAAGAGAAGCAAGTAAAACCTATTTTAAGCGTCGTTATTTCATTGATACTGTATTTACTCTAATGACTGGACGTTGACAGGAAGTAAAGCGCTAACTATTGCCATGAAAGCCAAAATTTGATTGGGCTGAATGTAAACATTTAATCGTGTTCTAGCCAATCCAAAGCCTTCTATGAAATGTGCTTTAATGCTTCCAGTGCGGCAAAATAGGGGGTCTCAGAATAGCTACACATAGAAGGATTACTGCCATGAACTTAAAATAGAATGAAATAAGAGGAAATATAAAAACCTACGGAGACTACTTACAGTAGCGGTGTGTAAATGCCGCGTGATGCACAGAAATTGATGATGTAGTGTACAAACTACGAAATAGAATAATCTAATTATTCTCACGCCAGGGAAATTTTCTGCCTTTATTTTGAAAAAAAATGTGCGACCTCTGTATGGAACATTAGATAAGAGTTGACTGTTCTCGCTATAATAGTTAAACAAGCCAACAGTGAGGCTGATGTCCCCCGCCGAAATCCCAAAATAAATAGATGACACATTAATTAATAGCACATTTATTTTTTTTCAAAAGTATCAAGCAATCAAACTGATTATCAACTATACACTATGTTTCATCAATATCGGATTATATAATCAAAGTTATGTTGTCCCAAAGCATCGACCAATGAAATTTCTTAGCTCTGCTTAGCTTTACCTCAAATGTTAATCGTTGAACTCGGTCAAGATATTCACCTAATGAACATCTACATCAAGTTTAAACATTCTACCTCAATTAAAAGCAGAGTTATGTTCCAAAGTTTTTACCAATCAAATTGCTTATCGCTCCTAGTCCACGCAGAAAATTCTCATCAAACTTAGTCAAGGTCATGATATAATGAGTCTATACTCTGCGTTTCATCAATCTCACTTAATTAAAACTAAAATTATCGTGCCCCAAAGCATCAACCAATCATATTGCTTATCTCTGCTTACTGTAAGCAGACAATGTTCATCAAAGAACTCCATCAATGCATTCACCTAATGAACGCCTACACCAAGTTTCAACATTCTAGCTCAATTAGGAGAGTTATTGTGTTCCTAAGTCTCGGACAATCAAATTGCTTATCGCTCTGCTTACCCTGAGCAGAAAACGCTCATTATTGAACTTAAGTCAAGGTATTGATGTAATGAAACTATACACCAAGTTATCGTGCCCAAAAGCATCAACCAATCAAATTGTTTATCTCTGCTTACCCGAAGCAGAAAATGCTCATCTTCGAATTCCATCAAGGCATTGACCTGATCAACACCTATACCAAGTTTGAACATTCTAGCTCAAATAGAAAGAGTTATTGTGTCCCAAAAAGTGTGACGGACAGACGGACGACCCAATTTAAATAGGTCCCCTGCTTTCTTTGAAAGGCGGGGGACAAAAAATAGAGAACATAAATAGAATATGTTGAAAATTTCAAATTGCCGAGATATTAGCTTTTGAACTTTAAGCCTAGCCTCGATCATTACTGTACTAAAGTTGGTACCATAAAAACAGTCTTGATTATCCATTTTTGGATTTAATCATCAATGAGCGGTGAGCAACCAGATCAGATTCAAATCCAATGAAAATCTGACACATAAGATGACATTGAGTAGGGGTTTCAGGTCAAAGTTTTAAATAACATTTTTTTTTTTTTTTTTTTAAAATGTGAATATACATAAATTTTTTTTCATCAAAATATTCTAATTAGATCCTAAGTTATGGAATTTTAAAATCTAAGATCGACGTCAATAGTGTAGTCAAAATGCTCTATACCAGTCAATGCGTGGCATGGCACCAAAATATCCGAGTGACGTCACAAGCAGTATTTTCCCTTCAGAATCGCTAGTATGAATTTCAAAAGTGAAATCCGACCATTATAGTCAGCTAAGATTTATTAAAATCGTAATAATTTGAATGATAATGTCAAATATTTAAAATCTGGATGATACCGCAAAGAAAAGATAAATCCTGTTTTCTACGATTGTAATTGTCGTAGCTCGGGGTATTACACACCATAATAATCACAAAAATGTTATCCATTGTTTTATTGGTTCTATATTACAATCCCCGTGAAACTAAGGTGCAGATTCACCAATGAAGTGAGCCGTAAAAATTCTGATGGAAAATCCCTGCCCGTCTGACGTCAGAGTCGAGTGGTATTTCCCTGTGAGCATCTCAGACTGGCCTAATACGACATACAGTGTGCTACGAGGGAAATTTTGCCTGGGCAGTGGCACTATGGCTTACTCATATTGAATTCCAATAGCCAAGGGATCTTTTACGTGCACGCCAATAGCCCAATGTATACCAGGACCTCAGTTTTCCGTCTCATCTGAATGCCTAGACAGTTGTCCTTGTCAGGCCCTCCGTCCTGCACCACTGACAAGGGGAAACCATGTCGGAAAATCCTGATGAACTTTCTCAGCCAATCCATGGTTCGTATACGCCACCTCCAGACTAGCGAGCCAGCCTCTTACCCACTTAGCCACCGTGGCTCCGCGCTGAAACAGACATTTTTCATTTTTTCAATAAATCAAATGCCAAAGACAAGAGCGCGGTAGATTTTTGTATCGGCTAGCTATTTGACTATAGTCAATAACAAGCTGATCAAACATGCAGATTGATAAACATCAACATAACAAAATATGGACAGTAGCCTACGTATATTATTTATCACGCTTATTTATTACCATTTTACAATTAATTTCTCCTCAAATTACAAATTTAATTGTAGGGACTTAGCCTAACAACATCAATTCAACGCATAATTCGCAAAGATCGACCTCATAGATCGTGGATTTCGCTAGATTAAAACTCACATGGATGATAAACTTGTCTCGCCGGAATAAGGTATGGCGGAAAAGGGTAGATATTTGACGTAATTTCCGGCAAGTGCGCTTGCTAACCGGTTTCAGTTTACTGTCATGGCGGCCTAACAACAAATAAACATTTCACAAAAACAGACTTTACATTTAATAAGGTATGATTTTAAAACCACGTTACTAGGTCTAAACGATTTATTTAATCTGTTATAAGTAAAATATTAGATACATTTTTGAATAACTGATTTGGAAAATGGAAGAAGCATTAGGAATAGTTATGTAACAACAGTTCGTGCTGACGAGAAAATAGCAAGTTACTGCATGTAACTAAAAACTAAATAATTATGTACTGTAGCATCCTATATTTTTTTCAGCTGTTTATTGTTTGCCTTACTCTTACCTGTCTTTGTGCTATGTATTTTTAGATTTTCTAAGTGAAGAATGCTCTACCGTCGTACGTGTGAAGCCTTTTAACTTTTAATTAGCTTAAAACAAAGAAATTGAAAATAATTTAGAAAAACAAACCTTGGTATTATTTATACACTGGTAGTGGTCTGCTTGCTGCCAGACAAAGTGAAAGTCATGTTTTTCTTCCTTGCTTGTTTTTTTTTGACCAAAAATGTTATAGTTTAAGAGCACTAACAAAATTTCAATTTGTGAACCAGCCATGCCCATGGTATTGAAATTACTCCTAGTAGAAACTCCAGAATCTCAATGATGAAAAGTCATATCCATATGATAGCTATTGCACCTTTGGTGTTCATTGACATGATACTGTTATTGATATTTTTAACACAACCCTGTTTGTCATTACTGTTGTATTATATCTTAACAGATTAGAAGATGCCCAGTGCCGGTGCCCTTTGTGCACCAGTAATAACTCCATTACGTGATCCATCAATTCAACTTCCAGCTAGTCATATTAATTCGTCTACTCACATAGCTTGTTCTACAGGTGGGATGCTTATTTCTTTTAAATTTTAAAAATATTTGTTTTACATTAAGAAGTCTGACATTTATTATGACTTGTGATTTGGTAACCTCCTCTAACATAGGCCTACATAATTTTTTTAATTTAATGTTTCTTTTTTTCTGTTTAATTATTTCGTGTATCTTATTACACCTGATGAACTCTACTACTAACTTACTAGGTATTTACGTCCGCTGACACCTCTATAGGGTGATATCGCAGACAGATGTTTACAAGAAAATGGATCATATGCAGTCATTGTTTTTTAAGGCGAGCAATCGCCCTCGAGCGCCTGCCGCTCACCTGAATGTCGACCGAGAGAAGGTTTTTTCACCTCCCCTTAAAATTGATAATCGCTCTTTTTTAAAAAGTCATCAGGGGTTTATTATCAGGTATGAAACCAGGAATGATTCCTCCCAAACATGCAGTTATTGATCTTCAGTTCAGAACCATTTCCCATACACACAACTAATCATTCACCTTTATATAAGATCACACTCCTTAATTCCTAAATCACTCTTCTTATTGAAACTGGGATAGCTTTTTTGTGGGAGTGATTTTTTCAATTTGTTGGTTAAGGAGAGCTTTTTTCGGCTCTCCTCTAAAATACAAACAACAACCACTGCATATCTTCGGTGAAGTGTCAAAAGGGTGTATCTAAGAATTTCTAAAGATTAAGAAAATAGAACCTTTTGCATTTCAAAATTTCAACAAATCAAGATACAACATTTGGACACATGATACCCAGAACAGTTCTAATTAGCGTAGAGATACACAGCTTAGACAGAAATGTGCATATTAATTGGGAGATTTTAAAAATGCAAAAAAGTGTATTTGACTAATTTCCAGAGATACACCCTTTTGAAACTTCACCGACGATATGTACAAAACTAGTTGAAAATGATGTCCAATAATGAGCACTCGGCTAGGACAGGTGTAAAAAGAGCCAAATGATACAGAAAACGGCTCATCACCATGACCCTAGAGGGGGACCCGATAATCAATGACACTACATGAATCTTTTAGTGTATTTTATTAAATTTCACGGGTTAAGCTTACTATGTATGCATCTTTCTGAAGATTGACTAATTTGTTATTCAGCTGTAAATAAATGTGCGATTTGAAATTAATTTTGTAAGACAGTAGTGATTGTTTAATCTAGCTGACCTTTTTCTTTCTGATCTTTCAGATTGTGTTGTTGTTTAAGTTTTTTTTTATGGTGATAAAAAGTTAAAAGATTAACATGCCTACAGTTAGAGGAGGACTCGATCCCCCAACCATTACCCCTTTAAAACCACCAACCCCAGACAGACCAAGTTCTTATGTTGATAATTATACTTATATAGAATTGAGCATAGGCAAGTGCAATGTCAATTATTTAGATCTTTTATTAATTAAATACTAAAAAACCTGTTATTTAAATATCTATTTCTTCTGTTTACTTAAAACCTCTGATCGTGATTTGTATTGTTTGGACAATGTCTAGTTTTTCACAGCATAGTCATTGCTAAAATGTACAGGACTCATATTGCTCATTTCAAATCTAATTAAAACTCTGTTCTATGTGATAGATCACCAGTCATACTATAACCTCAAGTCCACCAGAATCACACTTATTTGAACATAGGTTTTCTAAAATTATCATAATTCACCACAACACAAAATCCTATATAATATATATACTTATCAATATAGAAAATTTAAAATCTCTGTCTTAAAAAAAATTCAGATATCAATGTAGTACAACAAGAAATAAAAATAAAAAATAATTGATATCTGATTTTAATCAGTTTGTAAAAGATGGGGTTATCGAAAAGAAAGATTTATTTCTTACTTTATTTAATGTGAGCTTTAACTAATCACTTTCAGTCTATAATATTGGTTGTCTTGGTAATAAGAAATAAACTTTTATTTAACAATAAGGTTTCATTTTACACCTTGAAGGTATATATTATTAAACCCATTAATATGTTTTTGTCAGACGTTGTATAAGTGAACAAGTAAAACGTTTGAGAATAAATTACTGATCTTGTAAACCATATAATCTTTAAAACTAGACTTTCTACTCATTACGATTAAAATTTATAAAATCTTCATTTTAAGTAATTTATTCATCTTTTTAGATTCACCAAGTTGTAAAATATTTTTCACAACTGATGGAAGTAAACCATGTCCATTTCAACGTAAAATATCAGGCAAAGAATTAACATTCAAATATATTGCTCCATTTACTTTAAAACCAGGAAAGAGGGTATTAAAAGCAGTTTGTGTTAGCAGGTATATATAAAGTCAACAAATTTCTTTAATTGTATTTTGCTTGTATTACCTTGTTACTGTAAGTCTCTGAAAATACAGTTTATGATGTCTCATATTGATTAAGTGTGATACTAAAAGGTCCTGCAGACTTATGTTCAGTGAGTACTCATTCCACATACAAAGAGCTTACAATTACACATTGTCATCCAAATTTCTCTGAAGAGAATATTAATGATACCTTCAATGTAACACCGTTGAAAAAGGCAGTGGAGATTGCCCCTTATTTGATAGGTCACTTTTTGCCTGTAGTGTGACTAAGTGAGTGGGTTCATTTTCAGTGTTGGCCGAGGAAGTTCCTCAGGATTTCCCTTTGTCAGTGGTGTAGGAGGCACAAATCCTAGAGAATAAACTCTAAAGATGTAAAGAAATTGCTGACATAGGTTTATATTTTGAGCTGATCAATTTGACCCTGCTAGTGTTGGCAACGACCAATTGAAATTCCACTGCAGTCCAGTTTAATTGTCATTATACACTCTGGGGCTACTGGTTTATTATGAATCTTACTTCCATCTCCCTTGAGCATAACAAATCTTCGATTGGGGAATAAATATTTAATGGTTTATTGTACCTAGAAGTCAGTATACTGAAGGAGTTGAAAATTCATCAATTGATTTTAAATGGGAAATTTGATGAATCAAATCTTTGTCATTATTCTCAAATAAGGATATGTACTTAAATATATCATATTTTTATTTACTAGAGATGGGCTGCAAGAGAGTGTTGTTGTTACTAGGACATTTAATGTAGAAGACATTAATTCTACAACAGCTACAGAAAGTGATGGCTATGGTTACACTAGTCATAGTACCAGTAGTTTCTTCGATACATCTGACACAGATAATACACCAACCAGATCTCGTAGTCGCAGTAAATCTAAAAGAGGGAAACCTCTGGTAAATATTTCAACATTTGATTAATTAGATATATTTTACTGTAGATACCCGGCTACACTTGACAAATATACCCCTTATCGACTTTTATATGTATTAAAATAAAAAATTTGACATCCAGAAAGTATATTTTACCGAAACTGTCGCTCAACTTAAATACTTGCATAGCAAAATCAAACCACGTTTATTAGCCTTTCCCCATTGTATAAAATTATTTATACTATTCCAAATGCTTGTTAAATTTTTTTTTAAAGTCATAACTCCCATTCAAAATATATAATCATAAAGTCTAGAAAATTTCATCGATATAGAATCTTTCTATTGACGTTATCTGAGAGAAAATGCATAAATTGAATGGCATATATATGCATATGATTTTTAATAGTCAAGATCCAGTTCATTAAGGAAGTCTAAGAATGGACCTAAAGAAGCATGGGCGAGTAATGGTGATTCTGAAAGAGAATCTGGTGCATTTAATGATTATAATGAAGTGTGTAAGTATTTTATTGATTCATCAAGAGAGTTTGTAAACCAAAAATACTACAAAAATTGTTAGCTATGTAAATATCTCAAATAATATTAAAGTGGTATGAAATGTCGTAGAAAGAGATTGGCGCGATTGGTATGAGGGGTGCTAATTATAAAAGTAAGCAACAAATCTCAGGCATATTTAGACAAAATTGCTAAAATTTTGATTAAAAATTTTGAGAGTGGGAACAGTGATAAAAGAATATCTACTATTTTTTAAACTAATGACAAAGAATGTCCTAATTAATGCTTTTTTTTAAAAAAAAAGTTAATTTAATGTAAATTTTATTTCTTTAAAGCTATACCAGATGGACCCTTCAATCCTACAAACTATGCTGGTACACAGATAAATGTATGGGGTGCCCATCCTGGCTCATTACAAGGTTTAGATGGTACTAACGGTTTAGTAAATCTAGCAAATCAACCAAAACAGCCGTATCCGGTTCAATATGGCTACCTCACAGAACAGATGATACAGGTATATTTTCTTAATATAAGTACCAAAACTTCAGATGTAATGCTCATTAATTTCATTCAAACACCATGATTATGTTTTCCCCATTTAATAGGAATATTTTTTGATGCCCTAAATATCATTAGTGTTTTCCTGTATTTTGAAATCAAAGATATAGTATTGAAGATTTCAAATGTCAGTGAAGTAGATCTTTAGTGGCTGACATCAAGGCATGGACCCTTAGAAAGAGAGAGAGAGAAGTATTTCTGATTGTTATATTCTTATATACTATTCAAAAAAAGTAGGGGATATTTGATTTTTAAGTGTTATTAAAGTCACCTAATGAAACTGACGAAGAAACAAATGACAAAATGAAATGAAGTTCACATTCATCGATTTACTCCAAATGATCGTTAGACTAAGTAAGGCACAGACTGACCATTATAAGGGTAAAATGATACCCGGGGTCAAACAGCAAAGTTACCACAGCATCACAACCAAGTCAGTAACGGGTAAATCCTCCTCTGTTTGCCAAACAAGCATTGATCCGACGTGGCATACTCCTAATGAGACGTCTAAGGTCATTTTGGTCCAGATTGTCCCATTCCTGTTGCAACGCAGCAGCAAGTTCTTGGACATTGGCAGGACGTTGTTGACGTTGACGTAACCTCTGTCCCAGACATGCTCGATGGGGGAGAGGTCGGGACTCAGTGCTGGCCAAGGTAATGTGGTGATGTTCTGTTGTTGGAGGTAACCTGTAACTATCCTGGCCCTGTGACATCTTGCGTTGTCATCCTGGAAGATGAAACGGCGGCCATGACGTCGTGCGAACGGCACAACATGGACTGCCAAGATGTTGTCCCGGTAGTACTGGCCTGTAACACGCCCTGCAACAACATGTAAAGCCGTTCTTCCAGCAACAGTGATGCCTCCCCACACCATAACAGAACCACCCCCAAATCGATCATGTCTGATGACGTTAACGTCTTGGAAGCGCTCGTTTCGACGACGCCACACCCTCCTACGTCTGTCCAAAAAATCAACAGTGAACCTTGACTCATCTGAAAACATCACATTGCTCCAGTGTCGATTATCCCAGTGTTGACGATCCCTACACCAACGACGTCTTGCCTGAATGTGATGATCTCTCAAACAAGGGATCACGCGAGGACGTCGGGCGCGAAGGTGACCCCTATGCAGTCGATTCCGAATCGTCTGGCCACTCACTCTCACACCAGTGTCTGTTTGAAGACGAGCGCTGATCTGATTTGCTGTGATGACACGATTTCTCAAGGCCCAGTTACGGATAAATCGATCCTGGGCTTGAATTGTCGCCCTTGGTCGACCTGAGCGTGGTCTGTCCTGTACAGATTGTGTATCACGGTATCTGGACCATAGCCTGCTTATGACAGACTGAGAAACATTCATCGTCCATGCCACAACCGCCTGTGTTGTGCCGATCTGTAGCATGCCAAGGGCACGTAACCTTTCATTTTGGGTAAGCCGACGCATATCAAAATTTGTTTTCTGGTCACTAAAACAATTAAACTGATGTTTCCACCCTGGAATTCAATGCCACAATGACTGTAACATTCAAAGTCAGAGTCGTGCAAATCTTGGGTTGGACCCCCATGATGATCCCAAGCATCACCTGCATTCCATGCGGTAGCTATTGGTGCGTTTGGGCGTCACATGTAACTGGAAATGTTTCTTCTGTTAGGTTCTATAGTGACTTTTTTCGTAGTCATTTGCATATTTTAGTATTATGCCCCCAAAATCAAATATCCCCTACTTTTTTTGAATAGTATACATTTATATATAGCTGACAATGTCTCTTTTTTATTCTTTAGAAATATGATTTTAAGTTGAATTTTTTTTTGTTTCTCAGAATATGAAACCACATGATCCTAGTGTTACAGTTGGAGATTTAAGGAAACTTCTCAGTGAGCAGAATTCAAAACAAGTTACAGTTGCCCCTCCACCAGCTAAACCTGCCATAGAATATCAGCCTATTTATAAAGATCCTCCACTTAATGCTGTTAGTCCAGGAAATGGTTAGTTTCATATTCTAACAACAACATTGAACTTTTAAGTATAAGTCATAGTCAAGCCTTTAAAGAAAACCTCTCCTTGCTGTCATCCGTGGTAACTGCTTCGGATAGCAATTTGTGCTGTTCTCATTCATCATGCATTGGTAATGCATCAGTGCACAGTAGATTTTGGTAATATGATCACTAATAGTAATTACGTGAAAGGTAATTGTGTATATGTTCTGTAGTATGTATCGTAGATGGCTCGAAACTAAAAGATATGTGGAAGTGTAAATAGGAAATATTTGTCTTTTGGATATGGAATCAAAGCAGTTGATTTCTTCCATATTTTTGGAACAGTTAGGTCAATAACTGCACAATGTTTTAAGTCCCAGTAAATTTCATTTAAAAGATATCACTTTATATTTCAGGGGATTTTAAAGATAATATATTACACATCTATGCTCATTTACTGGAGAGAGCTAAGAAAAATTCTGACTTCAGATTAGCTATAGCAGAACCAAAAATTGGGAAGGTAAATTAAAAGCATCTAACAATAATTATTTAATCTTGTTACTCGTATAACAACAGATACTATTGTATTTCTGTGAATATATTTCATGATTCTGTGATTTATTTTAGGTACACGATGCAGAATTTAAAGATGAAGGAGATAGTTTCAAGTTAATGGTTGTTTTAACTAAACCTGGTGTAAAGCGTTAGTAGTTATTTATTAGATATCTCATTTACAATATTAATCAGATATGTCAATTAAGACAGAATGAGTAGGGTAATTATTTCTGAAAGATTGAAATCAGTACCGTATTGAAATATTAACCATTTCTTGTGGTGTCAAATGACCTTGATGAGTTACTGTTCATCTTAGTTATTTCCATACAGTGTACAATGAAGTAAATTTTATCCTATGGTCTCTTATTTCAATTTTCTGCTGTTGTTTATATTATACACAAGACCTCAGTCTTTTACACCATTCAAATGACCAGATGATTTTCTTGGCCAGATGCTTTGTCTGGCACAACTGACAAGCGGAAGCTGGGCTGGAAAATCCAATGCAAAATTTGGAATTCTTGATTATTTAGCCAGTCCCCACACTCAGCAGGCTATTGTGGCTGAATTTAGGAATGAATTCAATCCCTTTATTACATGAGACAAAGAATGAGGTTTGATTGTATGCGCTTCTCCCAATTTGGTTACCTATTTGAAATTATTGTATTTCTTAAGTTTGAACTTATGTTATTTATTTATTGATGTAATTTTGCTTTTAGCCGGTTCAGCAAAGAAACCTGTTGTTAATAAGAAGAAAACAACAGGAAGCTCGTCTGATTCTTCAACAAAAACTAAAACACAGCCGGTCAAACCACCTCCAGCTCCCGTTAAAAAGAAATCAAATCCATATTTTGATATGGAGACGGAAAATTTAAATGTAATTTATTTTTTATCACAGTATCTGTTTTTGCTTATTGCCTTTTGATGTGAATTAGTTTTGTAAATGTACAAAATGTACCTTTTGAAATTAGCCTTAAATGTGACATTTTCCCACAGCCTTGCATGAAAATGGGTAACTGTCATACATTGGCCAATCATTACTTTGAAAGGCTTTGAAATTTAACTTAAACACCCAGTTGTTCATAAAAGTTGAAGGCAGTATAGTGACAAAATTGTTAGCTTTCAAGCATGGAAAGTATTGTTAATTCGGCACAACTATCAACATACCTGACTTTATATGCAATTCCTGTCAGATCTTATAACTAATTAGTCCTAAAGTTAAGTTATGTATCACCGTAGCAAGTATCAGAAACATGGAGTTAGATGTAAAAACTTATTTTTATGTTATCCATTGTTTCTACAGACTGAAGGTACAGTTAAAGAGTATGCCAACTTTAATGCGGAACAAGATGCTGAAGTATTGAGAAAAGCCATGAAGGGATTAGGTAAATCAAACTTTTAAAAGTCCATTTGCTATCAACTGTTTGGAAATAGTATTTGTATGTATTTACAGCAATTGCCCTTTTGGTTATTTCTTCCATTGAGGGTTGTGGTCTAAGGGGAGATAATATGGACTTAGGGAACTATGGACAGTTATGTCCCTTTAATGCTTTTTTCTTCCATTATTGTGGTGTTGCACATGCTGTCAGTCTTAATATCTGTATTTTATTTATATTAGGTACTGATGAAGATGCCATTATTAATGTATTATGCTACAGATCTATTCCACAAAGACAAGAAATAGTTAAAACATTTAAAACTATGTTTGGAAAGGTAATTTATGATACCTTTTAGATAAAGTTTGGGGAATTCATTTAGCCTACTACTTTGCACATGGCAATTAAATTCTGGATAGTAAGCTGTGTTTTATCTAAACACTTATTTATTAAAACATTGCAGGTAAATCTTGACAGTAAACTTGGAAATCAATGCTTTTCTTTAAAACTAAAACAACGTCTTTTGACCAGACTTGTTGTACTTTTAAATTTTTTGTTATATTTGTAGGATTTAATAGATGAGTTGAAGAGTGAATTAAGTGGAAACTTTTCAGATACAATAAAATGTTTATGTATGGCTCCAGATGAATTTGATGCATATCAATTACGTAAAGCTATTAAGGTAAATACTATCTTAGTGTATTACTCTTCTTTGATTTATTCTGATATATTAAAGGCCCAGTATTCAAGAATAAACTACAACTATAAACTTTTAGCCATCTGTATTTCTATTTTATTCTTGAACATCGAGGTCAGGATTGTAAGCCTTATTTTTGTAAGATTTTAAATGGTCGTCGGCTTTCTGTTGCAGTGAATTTTTAAGCAATAAACTTTGATTAATATTTTCTATTTTTTTTTGGTGTTATTTAGGGTTTGGGTACAGATGAAGATGTTTTGATTGAGATATTATGTACGAGATCCAATGCTCAAATTCAAATCATCAAAAAAACATACAAGGAAAGTAAGTATGAAATATCTGATGTAAAAACCAGTGCTTAGACAGTGTTTTGCCCCTGGGTCTCCACCCTTCTTGAATATGACTGTTATATTTCAATAACACAGCATTTCATTATGTAGGATTTGAAATCGTGTGATAGACAAGATAACTCTGCATGGTTTGTGATTTTCATCAATTACATGCACTTCTGAGGCTGAATAATCAAGCCTAGTAACTCACTGAAGGCCCATTGTTTTTGAATATACATGACTATTTCTTGTAATAAGCTTTGTATTACCTCCTCAAAACTTAATTTTGACATATTTTTTGGACATAATTATGTACTGAATAAGATGATTAGCCCATAGGTAATAAATAAAATATTATAAAAATGGATCAGTAGGTCAGGTGTTGTAGCTGATGATCAGCATGTGAAGATATTTTCCTAGTGCATTAAAACAAAAAAAGGTGGATAATCAGACTGGTCCCTTTACACTTTCATCAGGAAATTAATACTTAAGAAGATTATGTTTATGTATTTTTTGCAGAGTACAATAAAGATCTAGAAAAAGATATAATAGGAGACACATCTGGACATTTTAAACGTCTGCTAGTAACATTAGTACAGGCTAATCGTAGTGATAGTAAGGAAGTTGATAGAAATAAAGCTCATCAAGATGCCCAGGCTTTATATCAAGCTGGAGAGAAGAAATGGGGAACAGACGAATCTAGATTCAATGTCATTCTAGGATCTCGTAGCTTTCCACAATTACGAGCTACCTTTGAGGAATATAAAAAGATCTCTAAGAAAGATATTGAACAAGTATTAAAGAGTGAGATGTCAGGAGATATTTTAAAAGGGTTGCTGACAATAGGTAAATAAATGAAGATTAAATTAATTTATCTTTAAATAGCAGCTTGAATATCTTTTATAATTAGATCTTTTCATTTTTTAATCAATACATAGTTGAATTATTTTGACGAAGTCTAAGAATACTATAATAATAATGATTCACTGAAAATATTTTCGGCTAAATGTTCATCCTCATCTTCAACTATTTTTGGTTTAAAATGTAAAGTGTGGTCTAAGGGGAGATAATATGAGTGTAAGGAAATATATACACAGTTACCTCCCTTCAGTGTCATTCCTCATACCATAGATCGTATTATGATAGTACAGTTCTATGCTCACACTAACTAAATAATCCATTGTACATTGGAACTAAGACTGATTTCAAGTCACAGGAATATTAAGATGTATTCAGTAATAATTATAGCAATAATACTGCTGTTTCAAACAACTAAGGATTTATGAATAATTTTACAAACATTACATGTTTTCTATGCATGGATCAAAAGGTTTAATTGTTAATTGCAAGGTTGTCATCTTGATTGATAGCTTATACAGAGAGTCTATTTAAAAGCTGTCATAATATTGTCATTTGATTAGCGTATCTTGAGGAGCCACCCCACCTCTTACAATATCTCACTAATTGTCCTATTCTGAACATTATATTGACTTGGATATCAGAACATAAAGAATCAGTATAGTCTAACTAGAAATAGACAAATTTATAATTGAGTAGAACTATTTCCTTTTTTTTTTATATAGTTAGATGTATAAAGAATAGAACGAGTCATTTTGCTCGTCAAATACAGAAGACAATGAAAGGTCTAGGTACTGATGATGAAACATTAGTTCGTGTTGTGGTATCTAGATGTGAGACAGATATGGTTCAAATTAAAGAAGAATTTGAAAAATTGACAGGACAGACTTTAGAACAGTATATTACAGTAGGTAGAATCTAGTAACTCAGAATTACCCTAGCTAAATTGGTCAGTTAGTTTTGTGATTTATATATTCAGAATTAATTTTCTAAAGAACAACAGTTAAAGCCCAAACATGCTAGAATAGAATTTAAATCAAATAAATTTCATTCAAACATTATTCAATTAGAGCAATTCTAAGTTAATATATTGCCATTTATAGGTTTACATTATTTTTACATCGCTGTCTTAAACAATTATACACGTAATGATAATTCTGATCTTTTTTGTACGAGACAAGCTATCACATTTTTTGAATGAAAGTTTTTCATTACTCAGAGGTGCTCCATTATATAATAACAAGAGCCTTTACATACCAGTATTTTGAACTAGGAGATGTATGTAAACGTTTTGCCTTTAAACTATGGTATATGTTTTAACTTCAATCCTTAAAATAAATGCCCCCTTCTCAGGGTCATTTCAGACTTGATACATATACATATATATTGTTATTATCAAACTTGATACAGATATATTGTTATTATCAGACTCGATACAGATATATTGTTATTTTGTTTTTGTAGGATGATATATCAGGAGATTATCAGAAGGCCATATTATCTTTAGTTACTGGAGGAGATCCACCTGATACTGCTAGTAAATGTAAGATATAATATATAAACCATAATTATTGTATATATCTCTTGTACAGCATTTCCTTAAAATTATGTGTAATGTCTAATAATGTAATGTACTTCTTATTGTATTATATGTGTTAAAGGGACTTAAACTGATGATCACTATTTGCATTTTTCAGACAATATCTAACTTTTTACTGCTTAATCCACACTAAAATGTGCTCAAATTGATTATCATGCTTAGATATCTTACAATAAGAGGACCAACAATAATTTCAAAAGACACTACTTGCCAAAAACAATAATGGCTACTTTCAATTTCATGAAAACATTTTTTCAAGAATCTACAAAATTTTCACTCTCAATATTATATTTTTTTATTCAGAAATACTGCAACTAGATAAAAATTCACAAAAAGTGAATTTTGTAAATTCCAGATATGGAAATAGTTGAAATTTAAAATGTACATTAATTTCTTGTTTTTTGTGTGTGTTTTGTTCCTTTTGTATTTTTAATTTTGTGAAAATGCTTTGATAATAATAGTATTTTGATATGCCTTTTTAACAGGAGAAGTGGACTTCTTCATTTTTGTAGTTAATTGTTAAACTTATGTAGGTCTCTCTTCTTACTATAATTCTTTGTTCTGTTATTAATAATTGTATGCATTATGTTTTTGTTGAATGTTCCTTGGTAGTCGCGTTGGCTCTGTAAGGGGCTGGAAAAGAATAGCGTCTAGTTGTATGGGACACTGCAGCGTGCATGTAAAAAAAACCATGACAATTGGAATTCAATTGCTGTCTGGCCAATTTCCCTCATAGCACATGTATTGTGTATGCCCATCTTCATAAGCCTGGTTTGAACAGAAAAGAAGGATGTTAAAACTCATTTTATTTTTTCTTTCATATCATGTGGCTTTTATTTTTCATCAGTATTATTCATTGTGTTTTATGCTATGTATGTATTCTTAATACTATACTAACACTAACAGTTCTCTAATGTCTTTCTTTGTTAATACTAATACAATTTAATAAACATTTTACTCAATTAGTTTTAGTTTTTTAATTTTATGTTCATCATCAAAATCAATGAAATTTAACAGATGAAAACCGAAAATTAAAGAAAGGTCATGTTATATTTTAGCGGGTAAAGGTTTTGTTGAAGCTGTAAAAAATAAAACAGATGAACAATTAGATGAAGAAGTTCGACTGGAGACAGAACCTAAACAGGTAAAATATTAATAGAATTTTGAATTATATTTAAATCAATTTAAATACACGTAATAGTGTCCAATTTCCAATTTTCACATGCTGAGTAGGTTCAAAACCAATGTTTCCGAAAAATTAATCTTGAAAAGTTAGTTGTGAAACGTAATAGATTTCGATAGAAATAATATTTAGTTAAAATCTGACTTCGATAAAATCAATATTTAGTTAAATCTGACTTGGATAGAAACAATGTTTAGTGATATCTGACTTGGATAGAATTAATATTTAGTTAAATCTGACATGGATAGAATTAATATTTAGTTAAATCTTGTTTAGAAAATATTTTATTTCATGTACGACATTAGTATATAGTATACTTATGTCGTACACGAAATAAAATATTGTATATAGGCTATACCTGTTTCCCAATCCCTATCCAGATACAAATCTGAATAAAATATTGTTTACAAATAGAAAAAAATATATACAGTCTGAAGCTTACATGTATATTAATTCGTTAAATCTGACTTGGGTAGAATACTTAGTTAAAATCTGACTTGGATACAATCAATATTTAGTTGGATAGAATTGATATTTTATTATATCTGACCTTGAATATGTCAGTTTGGTCCTTTGGGTTCCTTAGTAAACGGTCTGGTCTATGAGATAATTTTCATAGAATCGGTTCAATTTCCGAGGCAGTAATTGTTGTCCAAAAGTCAGAGTTTCTGGATATCTGGCAATTAGAAATACCGATCTTCATTGTTATATGGAAAATGTAAAGGTCAAATAAATGGCTATCTACACTGCAACAGTGGTACTATTTTTATGATTTTTTTGCATATTTTAGGAAGATCCAACTCTTAAACCTTTTGATGGTTTTAATGCTGAAACTGATTGTGAAGTTTTAAGGAAAGCAATGAAAGGATTTGGTAAGTTATTATAGTCTTATTTTTCAGATTAATGTGTATCCAAATTAAATTTATTAAAGATTGTGTGCATTTATTGATAGATGGGATAGAAAACGTATAATAATCATATTTTTGTGTACATTTCAGGAACTGATGAAAAGGCTATTTTAGATGTTTTACCTAAAAGATCATTTGAACAAAGAGCAGAAATAGCCAAAACATTTAAAACTATGTTTGGCAAGGTAGCTAATTACATTGTATTAGTTAAACTCTTACATTTTATAAATTAAAGCCATTGTTATGAACTGATCATTGAGTTAAACGTGGTATCAGGTGTTTTTTCTTCAACAGTATGAATACTATGTCTGGTACATAACATCTGTCACATCTAGCACCAACACAAATACATTATATCCCAAGGCCAGAATATTAAATTCTGTTCGAAATTTACAAAGATATGATGAATTTAAATTTTGGTAACATTTGGCATCCTGCTGTAGACAATATAGATAGCCCAGCACCACTTATAAGAGTTAGGTAAAGTCTTTTGATGGTACTCTTTTTAACCTGTTAAGTGCGTAGATCGTTATATAACATCCTGGACAACTGCCACTCACTGTGTGTAGGGCGTAATATAACGCCTTGGAGGTATTTTCCCCAACCTATTCTTAGAACATAGTACATAGTTCTTCGTCACTTCGTCAAATTAATTACACAATAGGGGGTAGTTAACGTTTTAAAAACGTCACGCTTAACTTGTTAACGTGATTGAATCCAAAGCCAGGCATTAAGATTTTACTAGACAGGATATTTTTTGTTTTTCAGGATTTAGAAGCTGAGTTAAAGAGTGAATTAAGTGGAAATTTTAAAACTATTTGTACAGGTTTATTATATGGTAGTGCAGACTTTGATGCTAAACAACTTAATAAAGCTATTAAGGTAATAGTCTGTTTATATTTCTAATTATATTTCTGTTATATATTTGGTTATTGTCAGTAGAAGCATACAATAACAGTGTATTGTAAAATGTTTTATTGCTTTGTGTATGCTAATGATTATAATAACAATTCCTTAGATATTTGGATGTGTCGAGAAAGTTGGGTGCTACTTTCACAAAGACCATAAGAATTAAGCAATTACTGTTCATGCATTATATTAATAATTATAGAAAACAAGAATTTTTTGTTTCAAAATGTTTATATTGTATACTTCAATTTTTGTTTTGTCCATGTTGAATACTATTGATATTTTCAGGGTCTAGGAACAGATGAGAAGGTTTTAGTAGAGATTATATGTACCAGAACTAACGAACAACTTAAAGCTATTAAAGACAGTTATAAAACATGTAAGATATAATAATCTCCAGAATTTTGAAGGAAATTAGGCTTGTGTTGTGCCTTTCCATTTTGTCCAGGAAGCGTATGTCAAATACAGTAAATAGATAAGATCACTCACTGGGGAACCCTTCCATCTTGCCTGGATGTAGTTTTGTGTAATACAATGAAATGTGGATGCTGGATATTTGGAATATGGAAAGGATCTGGCTTGGGTTTCCTCCCCCAAGAAAATTTTGAAAAATTGGGCAGTCAGTAGTGATTACCTTAATCAAAAAAAAAAAAAAAAAAAAAAATTTACACTTTCATAGAAATAGAATAATAAGTACAATTTTATACTGGTATTCCTCTAGGTTATCCACTACTTTTGTAATTGGAGTCAAGATCTTTTCTTTGATATTGGAAACATCCTGGTTTTCTTTAAAGATTACATTACATTTCAACTTGTAGTTTGTTATTCATATATAAACTAACACAAACTTAATCACAGTGTTTCATTTTTATTTTCTAATCTTAGTGTTTTCGAAAGACTTAGAAAAGGATGTAGTAGGTGATACTTCCGGTAATTTTAAACGTATATTAGTGTCAATATTACAAGCTAATAGAGATGAAAGTACCACCTTTGATAGAAACAAGGCTAAACAAGATGCTCAAGCCCTTCATGATGCAGGAGAGAAGAAATGGGGAACTGATGAATCACGGTTTAATGTTATAATAGCATCTCGAAGTTATGCACAATTACGAGCAACATTCCAAGAATACGCTAAGCTAGCCAATAATGATATTGATGATGTCATCAAGAGTGAAATGTCTGGTGATCTAAAAGAAAGCATGTTAGCTATTGGTAAGTTTAATAGGGGTTATGTTATGGACACATGATGATAGAAATATTGAATCCTGTCAACATAGTTCTAAGATAAAAAAAAATTGGATTAAAAGCAAGCCAAGACAAGTTTGAAAACCTGATCTTAAAAATGTATCAATACAAAGAATTGCCCTTAGAGTCTTTGTTTATATTACTTATATTGTGGTATGTGATGTAAGAATATCAGAATATGAAATGGTTATCCATAATTATATTCACTATTCAATTTCAGTAAGATGTATACGTAATAAAGCAGCATATTTTGCGAGTGAGTTATATCGATCTATGAAAGGTCTAGGTACTGATGATGATACATTGGTTAGAATTGTGGTGTCACGATGTGAAGTAGACATGGTACAAATTAAAGAAGAATTTCAAAAGAACTATAAACAAACGTTAGGAATGTTTATACAAGTAAGTACCCCCTATTTCCTTTAAGGGAGCCGTGGTGGCCCAGTGAGTAAGAAGCTGGCTCGCTAATTTTGAGACTGGGTTGGTTCCCGATGTTGGCCATGAAAGTTTCTCAGGATTTTTCAGCGTGGTTTCCCCTTGTCAGTGGTGCAGAATGGAGGGCCTGATAAGGCATGGAACAGTGTCTAGTCATTTGGATGGGACAAAAAAACGAGGTCCCATGTACACATTGGCATGCACGTAACCCTTGACAGTTGGGATTCGAAATAAGAGTAGGTCGTAGTGCCGCTGTCCAGGCACAATTTTCCTGATTGTACACTGTATGGCATATGCCCATTTTCATTAACCCATGCGGTGCAGTAAAGCACTATGTTAAACCCTTTTCATTTTATTATTTATTTCTTTTAAAGTTTGATATTTTAATTTAGGTACAATAATTAAATATATTTTAAAATGAGCAGCATAAAAAGATTTAATAAATAGCTACTGGCCGGTACATTAAAACAAATTGTAATTAGAGAACTGGTATCAAGAAGTACAAAGTATGACCATACCCTGCCTTGTGGTGTTAAAAGGATATATTGTGTAACAATGTTAGACATGTATTAAAATCATATGTTTTTTGATAGGATGATACATCAGGAGATTATAGAAAAGCGTTGCTAATTCTTATTGGTGAAGAAAAAATGATCAAAAAGAAATAGTAAGTATCTTCATGATGAATATTGGGGTAGCAGGGAATTTGCAAATTATTTGTCAACCATTTATAGGTGAAAGTCCATCTAGATTCAGATAATTGCATAGGACTTACATAAAGGTTTCTTAAAGGATTCCACACAGAATTTAGTTTAAGTCATCAAAATATATCCGGAAAGGCTCAGTTGTCCATTATAAATTTGCTGACCTATTGCTCACATCTTAAATTCTTCTCTGAGGTCCTTAGGCATTTATAGACAATTTTCAAATTTGGAAGAACAATTGATAATTAAATGCTAATTCTTCAAATTTGGGTGTTTAATAAGAAAGAATTGATAACTAAAAGCCCATTCATCAAATTTGCAGGGTTACTATGGAAGAATTGTTAACTAAATGCTCATTCATCAAATTTGAGGGGTTATACTCATACTATATATTTTTTATTTCAGAATGAGATGTAATTATTTGATATTTAAAAGAAATATTTTGTAATTTTACCATGTAGCAGCAAGCTAGTATATATATTGCATATATGAACTATATTATTAAATGGTCTAAATTTTATCACATTTCTTCTTATTTATAATTATTAAATAGATCACAACGTTTATGTAATCAGACTCTTCTTGTGCCTTGTATTTGTCTAATGGTCTAGAATGCTATTGATATTTTTGTTGTTGCAAATATTAATGTATATTTACTGGATGTCTCACTTTACTTCCATTTATTATCATGAAACAGCAAAAGTGTTAGTTGATAACCTATAGATATTATTTTTTTTTTTTTGTTTCTGTTCTCATTCAAACTTTATTCTACCATAATCATGACTTAAAAAGATTGAAGAGACTGGCGAAATACCATAGTGGTCCCAGCGAATAAAAAGCATTTTAAGGCAAAATTAGGTTATTTTCAGAGGATAATCATAGATATTTCTTGCTAAGGTACTGTACTATTTTCGGTAATTATTTATAAAATTTAGGAAAACATTTTACATCCTTCCTATACTCTGTGAACAAAACCGTTATTTCTGGTATAACAATGGTCTCGCTATGAAAAAAGCACACAAAACAGCCTTAACCCCTAGTGTTATGTTTTATACATGTATCATTTACATTTATATGTATAATTTTGTCTGTGATAAATATTTTAATATTTGTATTTGATTTATATTAACTTTGTAATTTATTTCAATAATTCCATCCAAAATTTTTAGAAAATATATTACTTATATTAAATCTATAATCTACATATTGTATATCTAGATTTTACCCTTAATCCATGACATGATTATTAGTTTATACTGTCAATTATAATTTTGTTAGAAACTATATGTACTTCTATATAAAGTTTATATGGTATTGTTATATAAGATCCTATATATCTTAGAAATAAAATGTTCAACTTCAATAAAATATTTGGTAAAAATAAGTGTGCCTAATACACCGGAAAATACCGTATTAGTGTCCTTGTCAGTTTTGAAATGGAGGTTCAACATCCTACTTTTCTGCACTGACTGGGCTAATGAAGATGGGCATGTCGTGTGCTACGAGGGGAATTTCCCCAGACTGATGTTCTACTACTTTGTCTTATTTCGAATTCCAACTGTCAATTAAGATTGAGTTCTTCCTTATGACCCCCTAAAAATCTAACAAGAATAAGTAATTGTGGATTGACAGGATGATAAATGACCACATTAAAATGTGAGTGTTAGTAATTGATAAGGTGCCACATGACATCTATGCTGCTCTACAAAAGAGAAAGGCACTATCTTCAAAATAGTCATTTTGAGAAAATCGACATTAAAGTTGTCACTTTCCTGCATTCATAGTTTTCAATAAAATAATGCAATTTGTTGAACGTAAGGAAATATTTTGGTTGTCTTTCGATATAACTTGTCGATTTATTTCTCTGTGGGACTGAGATAATGCCCATTTTATGACTCTGGTTTTACAATAGGCACTTGAAATGGTCCAAAGTGAAAAGCAGTATCTAAATATAATATATACTTTCTAATTGTTTCTGTGATGAACGAACTGTTTACAAACTGCATATTTAAGCATAAATATTGTGCTAGACATTTCCACATTCAGTTGAATCCATTGATATAATTACTGCCATAATTACATACATTTACTGCAAACACCTCGACTTAGATTGTCATACATGTACCAAGGAGAACGACAGTATCTACACTTACTGAAATGAAATGAAATGAAATGAAATGGGGTTCAACGTCCTACTGTTCTGCTCATCTACACTTACTGCTTTTCTCCTTAATTATACCAGGGCGATTTACATTTACTGCCCAAATCGACACTGTATACCTCTTTACCTAATTGAGATACAGGAATTCAATTTTTACAAGTGCTGATACTGCTGATCAGAAGTAATTTGGCCAAAAGTGTAGATATTGCCTTCTTCCTTTGCATGGATATAATCAGTACAAATCTATGAACCAAAAGTATTAAAATGAAAACTTCACTGCTGAGCAATATGAGCAAGCAATTAGTATATTAATGAGAAGCCACTGTACTAAGCTGCACAAGTTGTTGCAGTACTACAGACTGACTGCTGGGACTTGGCACATTTGTTTAACTCAGATATGATGGCTATCATTAAATCCTGCTCTCACTGAAGTATACACTGAGTATTAAAAAGAAAAATTATTTATAGTCCATGTTTTCAGTACTTTATTCAAGTGTTTGAAAAGTAAATAAGCCAGAATAAGTAGGCGTAATTGCTAATAACAATTCTAGCAAACAACAGTCAAAAAAGCTGACCAAAAATATAAAATATCTGTTAAAATCAATAAATTAACCGGATCATGATTAAAACATAAGTTTCCAGGCAGCAAAACATATACCCACCAGCAGAGCAGTCATCAGAGCAATAATGAGCTAAACTCAAAATTGAAGCCTCTAAAATGCTAACAAGATTAGGTTAATAATTACAGCATATAAAGTTCTAACAAAGTTTCAAAAAGATATGTTGTGCTAACAAGAAATATAAAAATGACAGACAGACGGATAAGGGACATACAGGGGTGATGTCAATATACAACCACATCAAAATGTGGGCTTGTAAAAATTAAACATATATCACAGATTATGTAAATATACTAGTAAATAATTTAACTGTGAACAAGAAAATAGTTAAATGGATGAGCTTTTAAATTGTTTGGATCTTTAAAGGAAAACAGAATATTTTGGAAACTTATCTTGTAACATAATAACCATTTTCTTATAATTCCAGAAGAAAATCACTCACTTTCTATTTTTAATTCATATGAAATAAATAATGACACCAATCTATTTAAGACTAATTTGTATCCAACCAGAAATGACAAGTAGATCCAAGATATAAACTGTATTGAACCAAATGTACTATAAAATGAAACTGGACAAAAGTATAAGATCAGTCCTTTACATCAAATCATGCCTTTGAGTAAAAAACCCCATAAAAAAACATGTTTATTTGTGTTTAGTTATGGGCAGTACTGTAAAAACACATATTGTTTATTTGTGTTTAGCTATGGGTAGAAGTGGTAGGATTAAAAACACATGTTGTTTATTTATGTTAAGTTATGGGTAGGAGTGGTAGGACTAAAAACACATGTATAATACTCTGCCATGTATAACATGCACTTCTATTTTGATTCACAAATCCAACAAAAACTGATATGAGTACAACACACAGGTAAAATTTACTGGACAGAACATTGGCCTGTAGAAATGATATAATTTCAATTGTCCACCTTACATAACTTAAAGATATATAAGGCACATTCCATAAGTCTGTTAATCCACGGTCTCTTGTTGATTTGTTCGTGGTTAAATTTCTTTTGTAATTAGTTGCACTAGATAATGACAGTTTGATTTAAGCCTCTGAAATTGTCTAACAACTGACACCAGAGCACATGTACAATTGTTATCCATTTTCTCCCTCATGTGCAAAATAAAGTTGGAGTAATATTTTTGTGGATTTTGGTACCTGTAATGAGACATCTGTCATATTTATAATCTGTAAATGAGTTGTATTAATGTCAAATAGCTAGTGACATGCAATCCACTATACGGAACGTGTTGCAACAAAGACATCGGTCTTTTATGCACAAGTTTAAAAACATTTTCCCTTGAATAACACCCCCACCTAGTTCGGAAGGACTACCCAGGGCAAAATGTGTGTGATTTTACATGAATTTTTATGGCAATGATACTTTACTGACATGGTTGAGATATATTTGACATAATCACAGATTTCATAATATTTTTTTTATACCATACAGAAAATATCTCAACCAATATGTTTAAAAATTATTTGTTGTTGACACAATCAAACACAGCCCTGCCAATCCCTACAAAACATAAAAACAAATATCATTAACTGAACAAATAACGATCCACCATTTTAATTACAAATGTTTTTAAAAATTGGTAGAAACAAGAAAACTGTTTTTTATTTTCCACAGGTTCAAAATGAAGTAGAACTGCCGTACTTCCAGATTCTACAAGCGGTTTTAAGACACATCGGAAACCTAATTTAAATTTGATTTTTTCACTTTTCTCAAGGATACGCTTCGAGACCTCCCTTTCCAAGTCTAGATTCTCTGGGAACCCTTCTAATAATGTTTCCTTCCGAACAGTTTTCCTTCCATTAAAAGTGGCACATTCAGATGTACACATCCAAATTAACGTTCCAAAATCATTGTTTGTTGCTTCCACAACATGATCTGTTAAATTAGATCTACTACTTGTTTCTGAATCCATTATTGCATCTACTGCTACAGACGATTCCATATTTTCCTGATGATTACCATTTGCACTAGAGTCTGTGGAACCATTTTCTCCTTTGCATGAATCTGGGGAATGTTCCAGATCTTTAATTTCAAGCAAAGAAGAATTTTCATCTTCAGCAGGCACATCATTAATGTCTGCATCTAAACAAGTTCTACATCTTTTTGACTCACTTTCGTTGTTTAGAGAATCAGACGACAATCGTTTACTTCTGTTGACGTCGATTATCAGTCCTGCTACATATTTAGCAGACGCCTCACAATTCAACTCTTCTGTGTCGTCTAATGTTTTTTCGTTACAATAATTCTCTGATACTGAATCTGATATGTCACAGTCTGTGGAAGAGGGTGGCATCTCGTTCTGAGATTTCTCGTCAATTGAATCCGATATGGGTTTCGCAAATTCATCTGTAGATTTTAGACTAGTATATTCTAATTGTACGTTAATTAACAAAATGTGCGACAAGAGTTTCTGTAGAAACGAACACACATGTAAACACCAATGATAGCGGTAATCTCCTTTCGTTTGGAGTTGTTTAAAAGCGATTTCTGATAACATGGACATTTTAAAAACAATTGGAAAACTGTATACGTCATCACATCTTATATCTTCGTGTTCAGATTGATGGGATTCTGTAAATTCATGTGGTAATTCTTCCGATAATAACATCATCAAACCCCATTGGTCGTCTTGTACTAATTTTGATTGGTCGTCAGAAGACCAATTACAAGACATAAGTGATGATATACGAAATTGATCAACTATTTTATGTTTTGTTTTTTCATTGACATTCAATGTTATGTTGTGCTCCAAAACAAAAGGATCTTGAACACTGATTGGACCAAACTGGAAAGAAAAAGCCTTATATTTACAATTATTTGTACATGTTTACTTGTTGTGCAATAAACTAAAAAATATAGATAAATAATTCAAGTCATCTGCTGACCGTTATCTACGGTAGATGGAAATTTTCATTTCAAACTGTCAGGGAATCTTTAGTGTTCTTTAGTGTCATACAAAGAAACTTGGTTTTTCGTCTCATCGAAATGAATAAATACTTGTCGTTTCCAGGCCACCTTTCCTGCACCACTGAAAAGGGCAAACCAGAGTGGAAAATCCAGCGGAATCAGAGACCTCCTAGTTAGTGAGCCGGTGCCATACTCATCAAGTCACTGTGGCTTCCACCTTTTCTACAACACTGAATAACACTTCCTTATTCTTTAAGAAGTTCACAAACTTGAATTAACAATTTTTGTTGTACTACTGTATGATCTTAATCTAAACCTACTAAACATTCCTATTCAAGCAGACTAGAAAAGATTAATTATGAAGAATATAACAAACAGTTGGCACAAATTAATAGTCTAATTCTCTTAAAACCATGAAACCGCAAATAAATTGGCATCCTGCGAGATGTCACCAACATGAAACCGCAAATAAATTATATTTCTATAAAAATTACCTTAAAATTAATAAGTTGAGATGATTGACTCATTTCTTCAGCAAAAGCTGTCAACAATTTAGGTTTACCATACTGACATTGTAATACAGCAGCACTAAATTCTGTTTGACTGTAAAACTGAAAAAACTTCTCTAATAATTGCGCTGAAATATATAATATATTCAATTTGACCATGTTGTTACTGGCTACTGTGTAAAAAAAAAAGACATTTTGAACTTAATGAATCATGAAATACGTGCTGTGACATGCCATATCTTACTCTTTTCTATAATAACAGCTACCGGTAAGAGACTTCTTGTAACTTTAACTGAGTAAAGGATTATCCTATGTTCAGCAGAAGTAAATGTGACCTTATAAGCATTCTGTCATCGGGAACCAAAGCTTAGTTATGTAATCTTTTATTACAAGCCATAAAACATATAGATAAATAATTCAAATCGTCTGCTGACCTTTTCTGACAAAATAAAATGAGGTTTAATAACTACAACATTGATTATCTGACTATAAAAATTAATCGTCCTATAGATAAACCTCTGATCAGTGAATACATATAGCCCTTTTTTACTTCAATCAATGCTTTATATCTAACTTAATTAAATAGTTTAGAAAATAATAATATTTCTTCAAACATTTCCTCCTCATAACATGATTTGCACTAGTTAGGGTCTCATGACGCAACAATTTTCCAGTCTTAAATCTTAGAGGGAAATAACAACCTCTCATGCTATCATGGTGAAACACAAACCTTCCACCAGCATGATGTCTGAGTATAAATTAAAATACGCTGGAAATTACCAGATTTTATTGAGGAATACTGATTGATTGATTAGCTATAACCTGCCTATCATTTTTGTATATTTGGTTATTATTAGGGGAGTTAAGTTTGATGATTAATAATGGGGTAACTGCTCCATAATTGTTTGTGTTATGGAAAAGAAATGCATATACTGATAATAATGTGACTAATAATGGGTTAAATTTAACTCATTAATTTCCTGTTTTATAGACAATACTTGATTGAATGTTCCGAAATTGAATTCTCCTAATCCGGAAAGGTATTGATCCAAAACATCAGAATTTCAGACATGTGCCAACTTAATATATACACCAAATCTTGATTGTAATTCCATCAATTTAGATTGTTCAAAATTGACACTCAAGTATCTACACACACAGTGTTTATTTTACATTTGAAATTAAAGTCAAGTATTAATTTTCTTACCTTCTGAAGTTGTATTTTGTGTTTCTGGTATAAGATTAATATCTTTAACAAATGAACAATCCCAGCCATCTATCATAGTTGTACTATCTGTAACAAACAGAAGTAATATAAAATATAAATGTAGATAGGTTCAAACTCCTGTATGGTCAACTCCATACAGTACATCTGTGTAACATGTTTCTGTAAACTCTTTTCAAAAACATTAGCGGTCCACAGATTTCACCTGTCTGTATAAAATCAGCCAATCTTTTGCTGTGATATAAATTTTTGAAGATTCGTTCAAGGTGAGTAGATTTGTTATTTAGGTTTGTAATAAAAGGATGGAGAGCCTTATCCACCTAAATGTGTCTTAATATGCTTGACGAATAAGAGAAATATGGATACATTCAAAAAGTCTGGATTAGGACAGCAAACTGTTGAATCTACCTATAATAAATTGTTTCATTGTGTCTTACTGCTTTTCTAGCATGAAATATTGAAATATGGATGGAGGTTTTTAACACAATAGTGACCTCTGAAGTCATTCTTTGTAGTAAAGATCATGGAGAAAAAAAAAAGATGGTTGGTTGGGCATAATGGAACACTGATTTGCAAACTAAAGTAACATACGTACCTGATAATTCTGCTAGAGTTTTAACAGACGGTAATACAGGTGGTGAAGTATTTTGAAGATAGTACACTACAAGTAAAGTCAAAGCATAGTTGGTCAGCCTTGGTCCAGCATTTTCATTTCCGGCTATCTTGCGTAATTTTGCCCAGTAACGTATTGTAAACACTAATAGTTTAACTCTCTCATCTAGACTACTATACAAGGCTAAAAGTTGGGTATTCCTCAAAGCTAATCTACAAAAGAAATTGCATGAGAACATAGAAGCATTTTAAGCAAGTTGACACAATTCTAATTTTGAAAACATTTTAATATTTAGATAGTGAATAATATATTAACAAATGACAATGATTGGACAATTTGTGACCCATTACAGCAAAATGAGTCGGAATGCGCACAATCTAATTATGAGATAATGACAAAATAAGTGAAAATATTGATTTTGATCGAAATTGAAATTTTCACAAGAATGAGTCTATAAATATACTATCTCTCGACCCAAAAGATCAAAATAGCAATAAAACATTTTAAAACACCTTTATTTGGACGTTTTGTAAGAGTACCATATTCTTAAATCTGTCTTTTTCTGAATATTCTTAACGAAAATAGATAATTTTCTCCGTTCGCAGCGGTCAATCCTCTTGCATAATACTTGGCATCGCTGTAAAGCGGAGAATCTCTAGTTTATAAATATGACCAAAGTATTGCCAATGAATTCATTTTGAAGGAATACAAATGAGTTTTAAAATCCCTAAAAATGTAAACAAACTCTGCTTGTTGCTATGCTGCCAACACGACTCGTTTGCTGATTGGCCCAGACACTGCATGCAAAGCATTGTGGTTATGTGGCCGCATCGAGGCTCAAACGGACGATAGAAATTTGATTTTGGCAATAATGTTATAGGGTATCTACATGCGACTCATTCTGGGAAGTGGCAGAAAAAAAACTTAATTCTGATCATATATAGATAGCCATTGAGTGTTAATCAAAACTTTGTAAATTAATAAACAAGCTGTTCGTGTGATTGAGTAATATTAATCTGTAATCACTTCTCATGGATTAATGATTAGTTGATTGATAATTAACAATGATAAGGCCGTCGACAACTCATTATATATTCTGAATAATTAATCAAAGCAGTGATTATTTGATATCTCGTCTTGTCTGTTAGAAAATAATTTATAGGCCTTAAATCGAATAAACAAAATAGCCAATAATTTTCTTTTCGAAGAGAATTTTATTGATAGCTAAATTCCGTTTACTGTCGCTTCATATATTGTTTCAAATTTGACAGCTTCTTGAATAAAAATAAAATAATAACTATACCTGTTATTAACAGATAGATCACACTTGAGACCAGACGGTTCATGAACAAATCTTACAACAGGACATCTTGTACTTGGTATGCAAAATATATCATTACATCCTGGTCCTTTCTCACACAATATCCGTGATACTAGTTTTACTTTATCATACAGAGACATCTGTTGGAGATCGTGGGAATATAAAGGTCCACAACTCTTCTTTAACGTTGTAATATCACGAACATATGGCAATTGTACAGGGGTGTGCTGGAATTGTCAAAATATTTTTCAATATTATATTGTGCTAAAAACTCAGGATAAGCTTGAAAGAAAGCTTAGCAAAAGATAAAATACATGCAGATATATTCAACTATTTCTATAGAAATAATACCAGTTTCATCCTTAAAAATCACAACAATGTGACACAATGCAGTACAGAATAATGGATTGCCATAGCAGTTGGCACAAATAACAAACTTCTTACGATACTGTTGTGATTATTTATCCATTTTTTTATCAACACATCATTTTTCAAATCTTTGGCATTTTTGGGACCAAAATTGGTGCAAACAATTTGGAGACTAAATTGTTATGTTAATTGGGTAAAACCTATGTACAAAAGTTTTGTTTATAAATGTATTATTAGAGTGTATTTCTTTCAGTCAAATTAGTCCAAGCTTGATTTCAAACAAGTTTAAAATAAAATTACAGTCTTCGTGATTGCCAATCAAGTCAATAATTTAAATCATATTCTAGAAGCGATTTGTACATTATAAACACAAACCTGTTTTTGTTTTGATTCCTGTTTATCATCATTAAAATCTAGAAATAAATCTAAATCACATCCCTTTACACCAAAACCATTCACTGATGATCCAAACTGATGTAATGTACTTTCTGAAATCATTAGAAAAGCAATTGTGTAAACAGTTTATTGGGGTAACTCTTTCAGAGCATTTGCCTCCAATTTTGCATTGGTTGACCTGATAAATGCAACTCCTCGAACCTGTTTGTAAACGCGGCAATAACCTGTAAAATTTCATTACCCACTGGAAAGTACAGCAACTGGATAGTTCTACAGGACAAGAATAAAGGGTTCTTCTAAGTGCCTTCACACAGTTTGATTTTATTTCGAGCCTAGTTACGGGTGTTGTAAAAGGCCACAAAAACTAGGGCTTTCTTAATACTTACCAGGAAAATATGGCTTCAATACCTCTAGCAACATTTTACAAATACTATTTCGTTGTTTAAAATCCTCTTCTGTTAGAGCCATAGAATCTTTTAACATAGCCATTTGTTCATTAATCTGTAAATTATAAAAAGATTCAAATCACAATTATTCTTACCATAAACACATTAGGATTGACTAAAACAGAATCTTTCTACTACAGTGCAACCAGATTCTACATACATGCATTGTACATTGACGGTTAAACATCCCCCGGAGGATCAACTAAGCTTTCTTTCTTAAGATCAGCATATTATTATATTTTATAGATGAAACTCTAAAAGATCCTGATCATCATTTGAAGGATTTTGAATTCCTAGCAAACTACAATATTGTGAAAATTGAAATCTCTAAAATGTAATAACGGTCCAAAAATGGTTCAATTCCTCTGCAGAAGATATAATTAAGTCAGTGCCACCTATAAGGTAAAATCTTTTGATGGATGAGTCACTTTTTATCTGACTGAATCTAAGCTAGGAGATAATCTACTGTTTGCTTTTGTTTTCTAAATCAAATGTTTAATTTGAGTACTGGTACATGTAAGTGTTGATCAAGCCATGAACAATGAGATACTACTTAGATCAATCAAATGCTTTGAAAAAAAAAAGTGATTCAAATCATACTTACACTTTTAGCATTTTTAAACATATGTATAATAGCACTGTCCCCCTTTTCTACAGTTTCCTCTTCTCTTGTACATTTTGCTAATAATTTTTTCTTCTTGTTGGGTTTGGTGTTTGGTTTAGATCTGATTTGTGATGTGGATGCCATTGGTTTATTATGTACTGGTTTATTTTCACGTTCCTTAGCAACCATTGTATAACCATTTAAACTATGGTGTCTGCCTTTGATAACCTGTTGTGCACTTTCCACATGTTCATATTCAATTATTGCAAAATGTTTCTGAAAGTACACACATGAATGAATTCAATAATTGAAGTGAGGACATGGGCATAAATGCGATAGTTTTGTCTTTCTGTGATAGAAAATATATTCTTATGGTGATCAACAATAATAAAAACATAATATTTTGTTTACTAATAAATATTCATAATGATTTTCCAATCCCCAAATCTTGCTGCTATGAATTTCCAGCAAGTGGGCAAAGAATTGCAAAACTTTTGTTAGGCTGTCAAATTTGAAATCCAAACCACGAGGCTGCACTATAGATAGATGAAAAATAACAACACTCTTAGACCTGTTGGAACTATTTTGAGATCTTACATGAAACATTTTGAATGTAAATAAAGGATGTCTAAAATAAAAAAAATTAATGCATACTTCCTACTAGTAATCCCCCTGAAATGTGATAATTATAACAATTTTCATATTAATCCTTTCATGAAATCTGTAAATTTATACATCCTGGGACAACAAAAACTAACAGAATACTCACCCTGTTACTATCAAAATAGAAGCTCAAGATTTTTCCATACTCTGAGAAGTAATTTTGTATATCAAATTCACGAGCACAAGGAGGAAACCCTCGGACAAAAACACTGCACCGGATTTGGCGATCTCTTAAATCTACAGTTTTAGCATTTTTAATATGTTTCTTTCCCTTTAGATGTTGTAGCATTGCAGCATCTGCAAAATGATATTTAGAACCTGTTATTCCATAAATTATAAAATAGGCAAATGGAAATATGCCCATACATCAGCTATGTCTCGGAAATAAAGATAGCCATAGACAGCTTGGCTGTTGATAAGGATCTGTTATGCCTTGAAAAAATCTGATATCCATCGTGTTCACAAATTTTTCTGGAAGCATAGTTTTCAAGACTTGTAATATATATATGGAACAGAAATTCCAGAATGGATGGTTGTAGAATGCTTATTGATAGGATTCATACTTTCATGAATCAATCGTTTCCCCACCAAATTTGATACCAATCTGTTAAAAATAGTGACTCCATCAAATTCACACATTTTTTGGAAAAGATGACGTAACTCCCAATGAAAGGATGCAAGATGCTGAAAATCATGACACAAATGAGAGGATGCTCTGAAATAAATATTCACTTGTGAAAATCCTTTTGCAACTCTTGTTCTTAGTATCTAGCTTCAAGAACAAATGTACATTTACATTATCTATTAACCAAAGAGACTTTAACTATTAAAAGACTGATGTTTTTCTTGCAAATCTAAACTATCATACATACATACTGGTTAAATCAATTTCTTTAATGTAAGAAACTACAAGCATTTACCTGATGGTACAGATGTTTGGCATATTTCACAGTAAACAACCATCTCTACTATATAAATCTATTACTTATATATCAATATAGCCTGAGGAGAAAAAAGATAATTAAAGGTAATAGATCTGTATACATCTTTTAAAATATGATTGATTGAAATTACTGATTTAAAGTGTGTGTGTGTTGATATTCAAAATTGAATTTCATTCATAACTTGATTTGAAACAAAGGATAAACAGCGGGAACTATTTTGAGACTAACAGACAGTTATTTTCTCTTCAGTCACATACACAATTTTAGGGAGGAGAGTTTTGCACAGACACCAGCGTTTCTTCCTATTCATAATCGAATCAAACTTATTTTAAAACATGATTTCCAGTTTAGCATTTTCAGGTGGAACATATCTTTGTATGCTAATTAGTATGCTACTCTATTTGGTATGATAGATTTCTTTCAAATCTACAAGAAAATATTAGTTAATTAATTAATTACACAACTGTTAATATTTGATTGATTATGTATATACAAATAACTTCCTTAAAGATACATTATGGGAGATTAGATAACGAGTTGGCAGTTCTCACTGCCACAGGTGATATTTGATTTTATGTACTGGTATTATTGTTTTGGACAGAATTTTCAATATAAACAATAGTCATTATAAAATAAAATATTAAAGCTTTTGATCAATTTGATTGATGTGTTTCTTGGAAAAGCAAACACTTAGAAAAATAAAAAATATCAGGCCCTTAAATTTCTTTATGCTTTTTATCAGATGATCTTAACTGATGGGAATGTCAGTAACTGATTAAAAGTTCCTTTAAATAAAATGAAGCAAAGTCACAATGAAGAGAGGTGTATTTGTGAAATTATTCTTTGAAAAATTGGAAGTCAGTATTAAACCTACTCATACTCAGGTAAGGTATCTTGTTTAAAAAATGTTGGTCGTTGGAGGACACTGGAGAGAGTAACCAAAAGTTTATATCCATATTCACTTCCACCCTCTTGTGATTTTGGCATCTAATGCCAGATTTGCTTGATTTTTAGTTTGACTTTTCGAAGAAGTACAAAACATGTATCTCTTTATATAGTTTGAGAACACAAAAGAAATTTTAGTAGTGGACTAGCCTACATGTATATACAGGGATCTTAATTAGCTGTTTTTGTGTCGGCTTTAGCCGCTTGAAGTTCAATCAAGCTGATGATCCAATTTCGTTTTGTTTTTTATAGTTCAAAATTTTGTTTTACTGGTCTTTACTACACTAGGATCTGGAAGACTTGTTATATAACACACGTTCTGTGGGTAACCCACTAGAAACATCAACGCTAATTGGTTAATAAAATGTCTGACATCATAGGGTCAAAAGTATCATATAAAATATGAAACTTAACTCAGTAAAACAATCTCTAGATGTCATCACCTAAACCATGACTGTGACAGACGGGACATTAATTTGCATCCATTTTTCAAAAGATTTATTCAAAACAAAATTTCTTTCGCAAATCAAAATTAAAGTACATTGTTATAGTGATGTCAAGTTTCCCATAAATTAAGCATCATATCTGTGGCAAAGATGAGAGCAATCATGTTAAAAATATACTTTTAGGGGTGAGTTTGTATGTGTGACAAATGGGACAATTTTGGATAAGAGAACTTATTTGAAATGATTAAGTAATTGGGAGTTAATGATGAGCGATGAAAACTTGTCTTCTGATGTTTGAAATCCATTCTATGATTCTAATGGAGATGTTTAACTGTTATCTCTCAATTTTTGGAACCATTTCGTATCATTCAGAATTTGTTTACATGTCAATTCATTTATTTTTTAAAACAAACTACATGCATGACAAATATAACACTGATTAGACAATTCATAATAGAATGAAGATTGCTGTTTATTTCACATGATAAAAAAAAAATCTGGTACATTTACTTTAAAAAAATAGCAGAATACATTTATAATAACATTTATAGATGGATAATCTTGAAGTAATTTGTCATATGTCCTGAACGAATATAAATATTTTTAATTTGGTATATTTGGATATGGGGGCTTCAGATACCTAATCTGCAATCCTAAATCAACATTTCAAAAATTTCAAATGGGAGCAACTTTGACTGGGGTTACCCAGAAATTCATTAAGTTAGCCAACTTTTGTGGAAGTATTACTGTAGTTTGTTGATAATTACAGCTGAACTATCAAATAATAAAAAGAGATCAATGACAAATGATCTATTAAAATTCAACAATGTTATTACAAGCTTCTTGAAACTATTTGAAGGTTAAAAAAAGCAGATTAAACCAGGAAAACAGCATTATGACTCTTGTGACAGACAGGACAATAGTGACAAGATGGGACACATTTCAAATACAATTTTCACTTTGTTGATTCATGTTGGATCTAATTAATTATATGTTCTGAATCAGCCATATAAAGAGGGAGATAGCTATTATTAGTATTACCGGTATAGTTAAACTTTTAAATATTACCTAGTTCTGTTAATACAGAAACTTTTTAGTGTATTCTGTGACAGACGAGACACTAATCTATTGTCAAGATTTTGAGCTTGAAAGATACTTTAACTTACCATCAAAGGAATTATATACACTGCACAGTTTATTACAAGTTTATATGATACAAATATGCCACCATCATCATTTTCTACCCCTATTTTATTACAACTGAGCGAATTAAATTTAGGCTGCTAAATCATAACTATTTTTTAAAAATGACCAACAACTTTGGTGCCAGGTATTTTGGTGATAACAAATAAAATATCAACTTAATTTAAATAACTTCAGTATAATTATATCGAAAAAAAAAATTGCATTGAACTTCCTCCTTATCATTTTATTTTTGTTCTAGCTACCGTGAAATACCAAACTAAAATTTTGGTACAATATTTCATAAAAATGGTTATTAGGTGGTCTGAGTTCCAGACTTTTTTTTTTTTTTTTTTTTGTTTCTCCGGAACTAAATCCAAATGGTTCTATATCAGGCCTACAGTACATGAAATTTTAAGAATAATGTCTCGGTTCTTACATAAACATTGTCTTACACTTTTCATCCCAACTACGAAGGCGTGTGATTACTGTGACGTGTGACATCTGCTTCTACTAGTTTAAAATTCAACGGTTGGCTTTTTTTAGACAGAATTTTAAATTATAAGTTATGGTTAAGATAATAGTATATAGTTCGTAACAGTTTCGTCAATAATAATAGTCCCAACTTTCCATTTTCCACGAAAAGGTAACTCTAGTCAATTGGTTCTAGTTTTGATCAACCAGTCTAATAGTTGTTGTTTAGCATTATGGAGCGACAGTTTAACCAAATATTTTCTATTCCCATTTTTATACCCCCACATTTTCATGTGCACGTATTGTCGTCGCCCCTGTCCGGGACGCTCTACAGGTCACAATATTGTCGTCGCCCCTGCTCTACAGGTCACAATTTTTTATCCAATTTTGACGAAACTTGAAATATAGGTCTAACTCCCAAAGATCTCGGTTCCTTTCGAAATTACTAGGCAGGTATCGGACCGTAACTTCGTGGATTATGGCCCCTGATTGTACGAAAAATCACGGATTTAGCTTGTGTACACTCTAGAAATCATAGCCAGAATATAATATCTATAAAAATCTGGCTAAAAATCTCTCTATCTAATTTATCCATTCCAATAAAGTTTGTTCTATACGTCTGGGAAAGGTTTCTTTGCGTTAAAATAGTAACACTACCCATTCTGTGAAAGCCGGTAATGTCATCGGCTATTCGATTTTAATAACATGGCAAGCGGGGCTCAGATATATAGGCTGTACGCGTCGATCGCCAAAGTGGCGATTTGCGATGAAAAAAAAAAAAAAAAAAAAAATAGAAGTGGTGATTAAAATTTGATTTTGGCGATAATGTTTTGGGTTACTTCGAGGTAAAAATCTTTAAAAATTTTAATCGTATATATATATATATCTTGATTAACCATTACCTTGAAATTGAATGTCAATCATAACCACGTGGCGAACGGGCGACAAACGTCAACTACAAACTTAGTAACTAGTAGTCTCGGTCACGCAGAACCTCCAAGTCTTCAATTACGAATATTCGTAGAATATTTTTTGGGATGATAGAGACTAAAAATTCTTACATTAAATTTATAAACAAACATGAATCGTGACGACGAATTAGGATTAATTTAAAAACATAGAGATATGGCCCATGGAGAGAGAAATTTTACAATAAAAAAATTTAAGAGTGTTGGATATTGAAATTGAACTGGCAATGCAATCAAATGGATTTTTTGAAATGGTATGTTTAAATTAATTTCATTGGCATCGACACCTTGGTTTTAGGACTAGTTATCTCCTTTAGACTTTGTTTATGTTAAAATGTAAAAGACCATTAAACCGGTTACAAACACGTTTTGGCGTCGATGAACTATGTCTAAAATGGATACGCTCTTATCTAACTGACAGGTCACAGTATGTAGTCATTGAGAAAGCAACATCGTCTCCCAAAACCCTACGCTTTGGAGTTCCGAAGGGGTCGGTTCTTGGTCCCCTTTTATTCACTGCCTACACAACACCAATTGACTTGAGGCTTGTATAGATGACATAAAAAATTGGATGAATCTTAATTTCCTAAAATTAAATGATGATAAGACAGAGGTCATCTTAATCGGCAGAAAATCTCTTTCTCAATCCGTTAAAATCGGTGATTCAACAATAACATCCTCTCAATCAGTTAAAAATCTTGGAGTTTACTTTGATCACGATCTTAAAATGAAAAGTCACATCTCTACTACCTGCAAATCATTAAATCTTCATCTTTACAACATTGGTAAACTTCGACCATTTATAACGTCAAATATCGCTAAAATGTTAACTAACGCTTTCGTTCTCTCCAAACTAGATTACTGCAATTCGCTTCTATACCAATTACCAGCATCAGATATAAACAGACTCCAGAAAATTCAGAACAAAGCTGCACGTATCGTTTCTCTAACTAAACAATCTGAACACATTACTCCAGTACTCCAAAATCTTCATTGGCTACCAGTTTATCAACGAATTAATTTTAAGATCGGTCTTTTAACTTTTAATTGTCTAAATAATAACTGTTCCCCACAATATCTTAATGAACTTTTAACCCCGTATAAACCAAGCAGGAACCTACGCTCTGCTGATAAAAACTTACTTCATGTTCCTACAGTAAAAACTAAAACTGGTAAACGGGCTTTTGTTTACGCCTCTGCTAACGTGTAGAATGAATTACCTAGACATGTAAAAGACTCTACTAACGTTGCTGTTTTTAAAAAAAATCTTAAAACCGAACTTTTTAAACGTGCTTTTAAACTATGAACATGTCGACATTTTAATGTTTTAGAACTATTTGTTTTATATTATATGTAATATTTTAATTGTGAAAAGCGCCGCGGAGCAGCTGTTAGCTGGAGCACTCAGCGCTATACAAAATGATTATTATTATTATTATTATTATTACTTATAGGCGCGATCCCCTCGTTGTAATGACCATGCCAAATGTGAACAAAATCTATTAATAATTATAGGTACAATCCGGTTATTGAGATGATTGATCATGCTCATCCATTTTGAACCAAGTATGTCAATAATTGCCACCTGTATAATATAGTTACAGACAAAATTAGTATTAACGAAAATGTGGGCGCGACACTGCCCCTGGAGGTCGGGCATGCACCAAAATCAACAATTTTCGTTCTGTCTAAGGACAAAGTATGTCAAGGGAAAAGATGATCCATTCAGAATCGCGGCCTCTATGTGATAGGCCTACATTAAGTTGGGCGTGGCACGTTACCGCTTTTGGGGGTCGCGGCATGCACCAAAATCAATAGGTGCTATAACTAGGGTACGTATAAGGAATAATTCGTATACCAAATTCGAAGATGATCCATTCAGAATTGTGGCCTGTAAATTTGGCGTGGCTCTTAAATTCCCCCTGGGTGTCGGATATGCACCGAAAACACAGGTATCATCCTTGGGTAATAAGGAATAATAATTATGCCAAGTGTCAAGACGATCCGTTAAGAATTGCGGCATGTAGGCGATATATAGACACATATACCCACGCACAGAGACGGGGCGATAAAAAAATATCCTGACTGCCGCAGACCGTCTGATGCTTTTTACGCAGGGTATTATCTGAACGAAAGTGATTTTTGGCGTAAAATGTATACCATGTATTGATCGGGACCTAACCCTCAAAGACAAACATCTATGATTGCAACAGGCTTAAACAATCGCTTTTAAATGATTATATCAATAAATATAACAAAAGCGTTGACAAATATTGATAATTGATGATCAATATTTGAGACCTATCTCTCATTTATGAAAGCTTTAAGAGAAAAGCAATTTTTAGAATTTAGTCCTTTTCTTAGAGAGTATTTGAAAAATGGCAGCGCCCATGGTGAAAGTGTTGAGGAGAAGAATTATCAATACAAGTGCAATAAATAACCACAGTAGATATGTTTCAAGTGCTGAACATATTTGGGACAGTAAACTAGGTGATTTTCTCCCTACAAACGTGATTTCCCGTTGCATTCAGTATATCTTTATAGATTAGTGTAACGTACAAGTTGGGCGACCTACCTCACCAATCATTCAATGTCAGATTGACCATGAGACTAAGACATGATAGTTCTATGGATTGATGTGCTGTTGTTGACTTTGTTCTTAGAAACAACTGTAATGATTGGTTCAGGTTCTAACAGGAGGTTGTGGTAATGGAATGTCGGCTCTATTTCAGTATCGCACCTCTACCAGTTCCCGGGGTCGTAGAGACTTGAAATTTTCAGGGGATTTTCAGGTGGGCTAGCAATGACCTCACACCAAATTTCAGCCGAATCGGTCATGGCTAGGCCCCATGAATACCCCATGAAAATTTCAAGTCTCTATGATCATGGGAACTGGTAGAGGTGCGAATACAGTATGTGAATTAGTTTTTGATATATATATATCATAAAAATAGGCCTACATGTATAATATACATGTTGTTCAATATATAGTTACTCGTACAAAGATGAATATCAAAATATCATCATTACTCTACTGGTTGTCAACCACTAAAAGAGCCATAACAAAATTCAGGAAAGGAGTCAGAATTTCGAAATAGATCTACATATCCTTGTTGCTACTTCACTAATTAATCTGTTACTCTTTTTTTTTTATATAGATCATAACAAATGGCCCACAAAAGTCATATCATATAGAATGTTCATGAATAAAAGGCAGAATGAAGCATCCAGATCTGTTTTAGTTAAGATAAACAACAAACATAATGTTGAAACAGTATGTAGACAGCTTAAAGATGTGGGAGCTGTTTCTAATGCTCTCCTTTATAAGGTTTGTACATTGATATACTTATGCTTGGTTTTATAAGTTAGACCAAAATGTCTGTAGCCAACTTATCTATATTCAGTCTTGATAAAGAAAGATTTTAGTTTTTATAGAGGAATTGTGGAAAGTCAGAAGTTGTGCTTGACATTTTCAGTGATGGGTGGTTTATTTCCAGGCTTGTAATTTAGAGGCTTTTTATTATTAACCATGACAAAAGAAACTATGGTATATACGTGTAAGCTGTTATACATAGTGATAACACTAAAAGCTTTCAACAAAATTCATAAGTGCCGCCCCTGTTTTCCACATGCATAAATTATGTAATTAGCTGATTCTCAACCAATCCTGTGGCAACTGTCAATCTAATCCTATGTTATGTTTGTTTCGAATCTGATTGGTAGTATTAAGCTATGATTGTACAGTTGCCCGACAACTCTGTTGGGTTTTCTTCAGAAACTTTCTATTAAATTTGTACAAGTTTTACGTAAGTACAAGTAGACCCAATTCTCCAGCCAAACCATCTGATTCTATTCATTTTCACCGTACTACTTTTAATAAAATAATTGTATGAAATCTAGTAAACATGATACAGATCAGAACCGTATTGATTTTCAAAATTTCAAATATGTTTTTGGAAGTTCTGTAATCAGTCATATTTTGACTTTAAAGCTTGTTTACTAGACAATACAATTTTGCTGCTGGTGGGCATATTATATGAAAGTGCCTGAAAATATCCACCAGGTATTTTAAATATACAGTACAATGGTTTTTTGTGCGCATTTCCTACAATATGTATCACACCGATAACATGGCTAAAATGATGTTATTACTTATCTAGTAAATGATTCAACATTATTTCCTTCTTGTGATATAACTGCAACCTACTCTTATTTCGATTTTTGTCAGGGGATCTTTAACATGCTGTCAATGGTATTTTGTCCCATCCAAATGAGGCATTTTCCATGCAATCTATTCTGCACTACTAACAGTTGGAAACAAGGCTGGAAAATCCCAAGGAAGTTTGCCTACCCCAGAATCAAACCTGGGACCTCTTTATGAATTGTAGCAAAAAAGAGCTATGTGTGCCAAAGAAAATTCATCTTTGAACAAATGTAATCATCAATTTAGTTTTGATTAATGCATTATATTTAATTTCAGAATATATTGTTAGTAGAATTTGAAAAGCAGGATAGTGTGAAAAAGGTTTTATCTAACCTAGGTATAGCCCCACCACCAAGTAGGCCTAACCTAACTACTTTACCTTTAGAATCACGACTATTAATGTCTGCTGATCAAGGTAAATATAATGACTGTATACTAATTAAGTTGCATTTAGTAGTAACAATGACATTTTTATAATCTTCCTTATTTATCTCTTTTGCTTCTTAAATGTCTGATGCTCACTTGTTTGTTAGATATCCTCTTAAAAGGTTATAAAATATTTATCACATACATAAAGTTATTTAGGCCCCAAGGATTTATGGGTCCTGCATATAAATGAACTCAACAATATGATTTCACCTACAGGAGTCAGGTTTTGAAAAAGAGGGTTTTACTAGTGGAGTTAAGAGGAAGTAACTCTGTTTTGACTCATAATGTTTCCACACAAATGTAGAGTTTTATTTTTACATTGTATAGTATCACTTTATTTGTAGATTCTAACAGTAAACTTTACATGAAGAAAGGAGTGAATATACAGAATGAACCTAACCATCAAAAATTGGATGCACAGAAACTGAATGAGTTGAAATCAGTGAGCAAAATATTTGAATTTTGGTTTGAGAAGTACCAAGTAATGAATAAGTACATGATCAAATTTAAAACTAATTAATAAATGGAGGTACCTAATGGTTAACCAATTCACATATTTTTTAAATGTGGTCGTATATTGTCTTAGCCCCCCATCCATCCGTCCGGCGCCCACAGAGTTATGGCCTTTGATCACTTTGAAATAACTCGTGGATACTCTGGTGGGCAAAGTTGATATCTGATTGACTTTAAATTTACACACAATGTTTAAGGTCTTGAGATGAAGAATCTAGGCATTTTCAGCGATTTCCAATAATAACTGCCAGAGTTATGGCCCTTGATCACTGTGGATGCTCTTATTGCTCTAGAGGCTAAAATTAATATCCGATTGACTTTAAATTATACACAGTGTTTAAGGTCATGAGATGAAGGCGCCTATTGATTTTCAACGCTTTCCGATAATTACTGCCAGAGTATGGCCCTTGATCACTTTGAAATAACTTGTGGACGCTCTGGAGGGCAAAGTTGATATCCGATTGACTTTAAATTTACACCCAGTGTTTAAGGTCACGAAACGATGGACCCAAGGCATTTTCATCGATTTCCAATAAAAACTTTGAAAAATCTTGTGGATGCTCAGGAGGGCAAAGTTAATATCTGATTGACTTTAAATTTATACACAGTGTTTAAGGATTCTAGTCATTTTCAGCAATTTCCACTAACTACTGTCAGAGTTATGGCCCTTGATGAATTTGAAATATCTTGTGGACACTCTAGAGGCTAAAGTTGATATAAATTGTAATGCCCACACCATGAACCAAGTTTTGGAAAATTATTATAGTTTGGATTGGTGAAGGCTTGCATGCAGTAAAAAATATTCCAGTGTAAAATTTAGGATTGGATGACCTTGACCTTAATTTTCAATGTGTAACAAAAAATATTCTAAACTAATATGCAAAATCATATTAAAACAATGTTTATTTAAATTAACCTTGAATTTATCAAATTGTATTTTATTTCATTTCAGTATTTGATCATTTTAAAACAAATGCATAGGATAAAAAGAAAAATTGCAAGAACAAAAAAAACACCCCAAAAAGTCAAATTTTGACAAAAAATTAATTTCATTGGTTGTGGTCTAAAGGAGGTTTAACAATGAAACTGTCTGAAATAGTTTCGGTCTTTCTTTAGACAAAGGGTAATTTTACATTTAGGGCATCTTATATAGGAGAACATGGACGAACCCTTGCATAAAACACATCTGAGACGTGATAACTCTCATACTGGCTAATGATCTTAACCATCCCTTCTTGTGTCTTTGCAAGGAAGTGGATTGTGTTGTCTATGACGTTTTAATTCTATCTACAAAATGTAACTTTGTCATGAGGGTTTAAAATCTAGAATGGGACATAACATCTGCAATAGGAGCATAGCAAAATTTTGTTGCCAATAGCAACGAATGTTGTCCATTTGAACTAAGCCCATGTATAGGTAAACCCCCAGAAATTGCTCTATTTTGGTTTTAGACGTGTTAACAGAAACGTAATTTGTTTGTGTACTATATAAGTTAGTTTCAAAGGTCAAAGAGTCTAACATGCTATCGGGGGGTTGGATGGCCGAATGGTTATCGTGAGGGCGCTGTATCATAAGGTCATTGAGTCAACTGGCGTGGTTTTGATTCCCTGGTTGTACGTGACAAGGAGTGGGGTCGCCTGTCCACCCTCATGGGTTTTCTTAGAGTCCTCCGGTTTCCTCCCACTACTAAAGACCCTTACGTGCAAGCGAATTATTGAAATAAAATTGAACCATATGTTAGTCCCGAAATGACCTAGTTTGTGTCGAGTGGATGTTAAACTCCATATCAACATTTATTGTAAATGCTACAAGTTCTTCATCTGGTTCGCCTGTCTGAAGTATGATCAACCTCATTCGATTGAGCATGGCAGTCATGTATTTGGAATTATTCATCTTCGGTTTCATCTGATTGGTCACTAACATCACTGTTGTCTGCATTTAATTGTTCAAGAAAATCTTTCACTGTGAAAAACCAGGGCTTAGTCATCTGAAATCAAACAAATTTTATAATGAAGGTAGTGAAAACATAATGTTACGCTTTAGTGTGGTTAGAGGATGGAGTGGGTGCATAAAACAGAAATAAAGTTAATGACATTACTCTTTTTCGAATTCCAAATGCAAAGGGTTATTCTACATGCATGGCAATATGTCTGCAGGATTTCGGTTTTTAGTCCTCCCAAATGACTGCACAATGTTAATTGCCAGGCCTTTGGTCCAAAACCATGGACGAGGGGAGACAACAGGGACCTCGGTTTTATGTCCCATCCAAACAACTAGACACTGATCTTTGCCAGACTTTGGATTCTGCACAAGACAACGTTCCATGCCACGGACGAGGGAACCTCGGTTTTTTGTACCATCCAAATGACTAGACATTCTTCCTTGCAAGGCCTTCTGTCCTGCACAAATGAGCCACGCTGACCTCAGTTTGTCGTAACATACAAACAATAAGACAATGTTTCATAATTTAGTCATGTTCACGTGGGCGGGTTGGCAGCAGAATTAATATGTCCATAGTATTGATACCAGGGAAGGGTGTGGGGGTGTACACGAATCAGTGCTCTGTAATACACATATATAATTGATATTATACAAAATAAACAAATGACTGAATTTCAGGGCATTTCTGGCACTCTTTTAACACATAATAAGAACACTGCATTAAATTCTATATATCAATAAACTATTGCTCAGACCCATTGTATCTTATAAGATACACTAAATTTCGACATTTCTTTCCAGAAAAAAATATTGCTTATTTTTAAATTTGGATTGGACTAATAAAAATATATATTTTCTGTAACAAATACATGTAGCATATAAATAAAAATAGATTTACTTATTGTTTATTTTTTGAAATTGAAATCATTCTAAAGCTTTTATTGACATTCCAGAAAGTGTAGAGTTGGTCCCAGGTACTTGTGGCCATGGTCCTTAAGGTGTACAGCTGCACCAGGTCACCAATTTTTATTTAAATGGGAATAAGTGATAAATCATAATTATTATAAAAGTAAATAATAATATGTATATCAAAACAAATTCTAATGATTTCTGATAACTACTTAATGGGTTATTACTCGTAAACAGATTTGTGTTGTAAATGTTTTCATTACTGACAAAAGAAAAAATATGCGACAACCCTTGTTGAATGCCTGGACGACTTAGCTGCTGTGGGTGTATGTTTCGTTGCCTGGCAACATATTGTTTTAGCAGATGGGATAGAAATGAATCGGAATCTACTGTTTATTTACTTTTGGTCAAATATTAAATCCATCTCTAAAGCTGCACCATATATCAATAAATGTATAACCCTGAACTATAAGATGAAAAATTTACTATATAACACAATTTATCCAGAATTTACAAAAGGAGTCAAGAAATCAAATACATACTCTGAATTCACATATTTATATTATACAAGTGCAAAAAAATTTCTCGTAACTCCCTTATCAGAAATTTCCTGCTGGTACCGGCTTGTAATGTTTTCAGTATGCATCCTTGACTTTCATCATATATATATATATTTTTAGGTTTCTGAACAGGTGGAATTTCTGCATTCAACACAAAAATTGTCAGAATTTGGCTTGAGGTACAGATTTTTTGCCAGTTCTGTAATAGAGGAGTTTTTATCACCAACATTCTATAGGTGTAAAATTGAACCATTTGGTTCTTGTGTAAATGGATTTGGTTCACAAACATCAGATTTAGATTTAGGTATAAATACTGTTTCTAGAAAGAAGGTAAATATGCGACAAATATTATAATTTTCTTGTGTTGGTTTTGTACAAAGAGTCTTACTGAAGATTGTACTATTATACCTAAAATATTTTAATTGTCAGACAGTCCTAATCCTTCAAAAAAAATCTAATGTGGGAGGAAGTTTTAATTTTATCAATTAGATTATGTGGCTAAAGACTTCTCACAAGGTTCTACATTTTTCTCATCTGTTTATTCATGCTGTTAATTAGACAGGAATTCATTTATATAACTATTAATTCTTGTGTAACATATCTAAACCTTACTGTAAGACAAGCTAAAAACTGGTATATTTACAAGCAGTCACTAAATGTGGTCTCAGTCTATGGACTAAGCACAGATTTTGACCCTTTAATAAATGTTCTATGCTAAGTTAATAAAACTAACACGTACAAATTTAAACTTTGTATATTTCAGAAATCAGGATTCAATGTAGAATTTATGCATAGCAATGAATATAATTTAGGTAGAATTCACAAATTGTTGAGGGAATTTTTACCGTTTCTATCTAATTTATATTATGTTCGTCATGCTCGAGTTCCTATTATAAAATGTAATCTGGGATTACTGGATGTAACCTGTGACCTCAGTGATTCTAATTTGTGAGTACTTTTCTGGATATTGAATGATTAGTTTACTCTCAAAATGTAAATTAGGCTATATTGAAGAAACATCCTGTTTATTCTCTACTGAATGTGATAAAATAAATTCAGACTAGCTCATCAATTGTTGAAAACTTGAAACTCTGGCAATGCTATTTTGATTAGAAATGTTGGCAATTTTTTTACCTCTTATTATAGGTCAGGGTCCAAGATGTCTGAATTATTATATCTATACAGTCAACTCGACCCAAGAGCCCCACCTTTAGCATCTATAATTAAAGTATGGGCCAGTCATCAGGGTGTCACAAAGTCTGGACCTGGATCATGGCCAAGTAATTTTATGCTACTTATGATGGTCATATTCTTTCTACAGAGTAAATCAACCTTACCATCAATATCTACTATGGCTTCAGCATTAGGTATGTCCAGATTGTTATTATACAGCATTTGAAACAAGAAACTTTTGTTTACCATTATGGTATGACTCAAAAACTGTAAACTTTGTCAGATTACCTTAGTCTCGGCAATTTGGTTCCTATTGGGTTAATTGTGTATAGTATATGGAAAAGTGACAAAAATTTAATGAGCATTTGTCAGTATTTAAAAGCTGTCCTGTGGAAACAAAATTTATGCCAATTGTAGATGCTGAAACACAAACTTTCTAACTTTGATAAATTATTTTGTTTCTTTATGTGACAAGTCGCAAGTGAACATAAACTAACAATATATTACCACTGGCCAAAGAATTTATGGTTTAAAAAATAGAGTTTTGAAAGGCAGCAAATGTGAAAACAGTTTTCTTTAACTGGTAATCAGGAAATATATCTTATAGAAAAGCTGACACTGGCCTGCTTAAAGGAACTAAACCTCTTTGATTTGGGTCAAAATAAAGTATTGAATTATGTTGATCTGATGTTTTGATTAATGATAGGATAAGCTGTTCTATTAAATTTTAAATTAAAAAAATTAAAATTTGAATGCATATTTCGGCTTACAATGTGGACAGAAAACCACAAACTCAGTTATATATCAACACTGATATTTTCTTTATCTAAGTAAAATTTTAAAAATTATCATCCAACAAAACAAATCAACATATCAAATCCAATGAAATTGATTGTTTTATTTTGACCCAAATCGAAGAGGTCTGCTGATCTTTATAAATGAGCTTTTTCATTCCCACCCGATGTAATGGAGGCTCTGGCGGACTTACATTATTTTCTATTTAGCCATTATGTATGTTAAAAGAGCAGGCGAACTAGAAAAATTTCACTGACTGTTACTCACTAAATAATTTGATTATATTTCAGGCAAGAAGAACAATGTATCCCCAGTTGATCTGTCATTTTCTTTGACTAACATAGAAAGATTTGTTTCTAATGATAACAGACATCAAACTTTAGGTAAGGAAATCATTTTTATACTCCCACATTTTCACGTGGACGTATATTGTCGTCGGCCCTGACCGTCCGTTCACATTTTGTTTGTGGACTATACAGGTCACAATTTTTATCTGATTTTGACAAAACTTGAAATATGGGTTTTTATCCCAAAGATCTCAGATCCTTTTGATATTGGCATATATCGTATGTTAAATTCATGGATTATAGCTCCTGATTGTATGAAAAATCGCAGTTTTATGACCTAAAGATCTCGGTTCCTTTTGATATTGGCACATATCGAATTGTAAATTCCTGGATTATGGCCCCATGATTGTATGCTTTTTTAGCTTGTTCTCCGTTCATCTCTTGTAAAATGTGGCAACCACTTGTTAGTTTTCTACCCCCAAAACTGATATGCCATCTTAATGGGAAATACCTCTCCCACTTCTGGGTAAACCCTTCCGCTGGCATGATGCCTGAGTTTAAATTCAAATATGTTGCAATTTATAAATGCAATCTTTAATTTAGTGATATGTTTAAATGAACAGGTCTAGAAAGTTTTTAATAGTAAATTCTAGTTGTGGTCATATTCATTGTCAGAATATAGAAACACACAGACAATATCAAGTAGGTCAATCAAAGCATATGAAAATAAATATTGTTTGCTATTAAACCTTGTTTTATTTTTTTCAGAGGAACTTCTTGTTGAATTTTTTCAGTTTTATTTAAAATTTGACTTTAAATTAAAAGGATTTTCTCTGATAACAGGGGAACAGGTTGATAATGTGAACAATTCAGCTATGTATATTGAAAATCCTTTTGTAATTGGTCATAACATAGCCACAAATGTGAAATTAAGGAATTTAATGATAATGAAGGACAGAATGGAATCTTCGTTGAAAGATTTGGAAAGTTTAGATATGGGAATCATTCCACTTGTGTGTGGTGAAATGAATGTTAAAAATAGGGTAAAGGAAAATGTGTTGAATGTGGCATCCTTATATACAACAGTATCCGAAACAGAAAGTGAGAATAGTGATTCTAGTAACTTAACAGATGAAATGTGTACAGATAAAGTGACAAACTTTGATACAAATGCAAGTGATATTAATACATCAACAACTGAATCTAATCTTACAAAAGACAAGCTGCTTGAAAGGAATAGTGTGTAGGGTGACTTATTATATACAAAATTGTAAAGTTTTTAACTAATCAGAGGGTAGGGAGGCCGAATGATTTAAGGTGTGTTTGTTAGACCAAAAGGTCTATCATTGAGTCTAGTGGCGTGGTTTCAATTTTCCACTTGTACATTACAAGGAATAGGGTCTCCAGGTCCTCCAGTTTCCGCCCACATCTAAAGAACCCTACGCCTTAAGGTGAATTATTGAATTAAAATTAAACCATGTTTTAAGATATGTCACATACAAATTTAAAGGTCTTTGGATACAGAAGTATTGCATATCTGTACTCTTGATTTCTCGACCCATGTCTCATTTTCCAATAACCAGTTACATATAGTCAATGAACAATAAAATAATGCCAATAAATATTATATTTTATACTCTACATGCTTTATTTCATCTATAGTCAGAGAACTCGGATCTGTACAATAATGCCAATTACTATTATATTTTATACTCTACATGCTTTATTTCACAATATATCCCCATTATTATACAAATCAGGTTCCAATTTCACAAAACACATGTAAGCTGCAGGACATATTTGAAATAGCACAAGAAGTATTTCAAAAACATTTTTTAGTGCCATATGAATTTGAATTTGTTTGATTAAAGAAAATGGAAATACTGGACAACTATTTTATTTGTTATTCATGTGAAATGGTTACATTTTTCAACCTTTTAGTGTCTATCGACTTGATTATTACATGTACTTAATTATTTAGGCAAGGCAGCAGTCGTCAATTGAAATACATAATGTGAGTAGGGGAAAACATCCTATTGATTGACACCTACATATAAGTGCTGAATTCATTCCTGGGAAGGATTTGACCAAAGACCACACCCCTTTTGGAGAAATAATCTTAGGGAATTTGTTAAAATAAAAATAATATTTTTTTTTTCAAGTTATTTTTTGGTTGTTATATAATTTTCAGAATGTCACAGTGAACACAAAAGTTTTTGAATAACATTTAAAGAAACATTATGCTTTCCGTTCTTTCTATATTTATTCCAACCAGTTGTTGCCAGGCAATATACGCCCACATTTCGCAAGAGATGGATAGAGAACAAGCTGAAACAAAATCAATTTTTTGTACGATCAGGGGCCATAATCCAAAAAGTTATGGTCTGAAATACTCAAATATCGAAAGGGACTGAGATATTTGGGATATAAAGATATATTTTAAGTTTTATCAAAATCGGATAAAAATTGTGACCTCAAGATGGTCCACAACCTTCGTATTATAATGACAGTTTCGTTTCGATTTTCCCGAAATTCGAATTCAACCTTCATTTTGGTGGAATGGTGATATATTTCAACAGTTTTTAAAAAATCAGGATAAAAATTGTGACCTTTAGAGAATCCACAAGCTAAAAATCACAAATTTTCGTACAATCAGGGGCCATAATCCATGAAGTTACCGTCTGATATGTGTGAATATCGAAAGGAACCAAGATCTTTGGGTTATAAACTTACATTTCAAGTTTCATTGAAAATTGCCATGTGATTTCTAGAGGGTCCACTACCTTGGTATTATATACTTTTACACTATCTGTGTGTGCGCGAGCCATTTTGTCCCCTGACAGTTGGATTGTGGCCCCTGATTGTACAAAAAATCGTTTTTGTTTTTAGTTTATTCTCATCCATCTCTGCAAAATGTGGGCGTATCCTGCCTGGCAGCCGCTGGTTTCAGTAGAAGTCTGGCATTCGTCTTATAGTCCGTTTTGACTTATATACGGATGGCATTGGCATGCATGTAAAAGATCCCTTGACAGTTGGAATTCGCCATAAGAGTAGGCCATAGTGCTGCTGTCAGGGCAAAATTTCCCTCATAGCACACTTTATGGCGTATGCCTGTCTTCATTAGCCTAGTTCAGAGCAGAACAGTAGGACGTTAAACCCCATTTCACGTAAAAAAAAAAAACATTGACATCCCGAAATTATTTTTGGCAGTAACCGTCGCTTCACAATACAGAGCAAGTGACATCATCTGCTGAATCGTGTAAAACAATTAACTACTTACATTATTCCATATCGTAAAAAATTATCCCGTTTCCATCTCTAGTAATTTCACGCGTTTCACGAGTTTTCTACTTTAGATTCGAGAGGGCATGGAAGTCATGTGGTTAGGCTACTTGAATTTTCTGCGTTTTGATAGGCAGGGGATTGGGTGGCAGAGTGGTCTAAACCAGTTCTAATGCATGTGCTTTAGATTGTAAGTTCTGTCAATGAGTCAAGACCCAAGCTTGTATGTGACAAGGCGCAGGTTCGCCTGAACTACCTTCCGCTTCTAAAGACCCCTTTTATCACACTGATCCGCAGTGAATATTTGCTTGGCCGCGACAATCACTGATAAGGATGACATTGATGCGGCTTAATGAGCTAGAAATATTAACTTTTTTCCTGCGACAAATTAAATTTTAAAACATTTTTTGTATATATTGGAAAAATAAATAAAGGCGTTTGACGTATTTGTAGGTAAAAATTATTTCCGATTCAGTGTAAATGGGTATTAAAATGACTAAAATGCAGCATTCTCTCCGAAGCAGTTATGTCTTATGTAAACAATGCACGCGCCATTCAGCCAATGATTCACACCGCGTGCTGTGACAGCACGTGTTAAGGCAGTCATCTATGACAGAGATATTATACGAGACTCGTAATTCTCTGTGAAACGCAACCAATTATTGAAATACTAAATGTACCAAATCTCTCAAAATAACCTAGTTTCTCTTGGATCTCGATGTGTGTCAGAGCTGAAGAGAAATGTACTTGTCCTTTGGATGGGACAAAAAAAACCCTAAGGAACCTTGTTGCGGTTCGACTGGGTAACTGTTAACTCAACAACCTCTTCTATTTATTATAAAAGAATGTACCGAACCAAATCGGATACGGAACTAACCCATGAAAATATAACAAATTACATATTATTTCTGTTGGTAACAGGACTAAAGATGGGGCGGGTCAGGCTACCCATAATAAATGACATTCACACAGGTTTAGCTTCCTTTGCCAATATATATACCAGATCTATGTTTTTTCCCCATCTGAAAGACTAAACACATCTTCAGTTATCGGCAAATAACTATTAGCCTACTATTAGTTCGCAGTATTGACATAATATTTTATATGGTGGGTTATATAAATATACAAATAAATTACATACAAATAAAACAAAGGTTTTTGCCCATACCTACTAACAAAAGAATAGCCATGCATAACGTAATAATAACGCCTACACAGCAGCTATGTCTAAAAAAAAAGAAAGGAGATAATAAACAGCAGCTTATACAAAAGTATATTTCGGAGGTTGGTCAAATTTGATAAGGATGCCTTCAAGAAGTTTGATCTCTGTCGTCCTCACAGGCTTCTCCAAATACGTAATATACCCCTGAAACAAAAAGTTCGAGAATCCTGAAAAACTCCAGGGTTCATAATCTTTGATCCAGATACTTCACATCAAATTTGAAAATAAATATGTTTCATCCCCCGGCTAAAAATACAGCACTTCTCATCTACTGAGTCCTAATGCTTCCCACAAAATTCGAAAAAAAAAAAATCCATTAAAAACTGTAGTCTTTTTCACGTTCACAATGTTATGGTTCGTTCTTTCATCACGCTAATGCTTCACATCAAATAGTAAACAATCTGTTAAAAACTTTTAAAAAATGGGGTTAATCCCGGAACGCTGAAAATCGACTGCATTGTATACCGAAAAAATCAGAAAAATCCCGAAACACCTATTTTTTTTTAAATATTATTTACATAAAAAATCCTAAATACCGAAAGATCACTAAATACCAAGAAAAACAACACTGATTACCGAAAAAAAAAAACCAACCTAGGTTACACATACAAATTGTTAAGTGGGTCATGGTTCAGACTAGGCCATGGGCAACCTAGAGTGTCTCACTATATTTATGCGTGGCCCAGCGTGACCTATTACCCACCTAGAGTGGCCACCATTTTTATGCGTGACCTAGTTACCCACTATTTTTATGCGTGGCCTAGCCTGACCCATGACCCACCTAACACTTTTTATGCGTGACATAGCCTTACCCATGACACATTGAGTGTCCCACAATATTTATGCGTGTCCTAGTCTTATCCATGACCCACCTAGAGTGTCTGACAATTTTTATGCGTGATCGATGACTGACCTACAGTGCCGCACAAGCCCTATGCGTGACCTAGCGTGATGCATGACCAACCTGGAATGTCCCACTATATTTATGCGTGGCCTAGCGTGACCCATTAGCCACCTAGAGTAACCACCATTTTTATGCGTGACCCATGACCCACCTAGAGCCCCCTACAATTTCTTATGCGTGACCCTAGAGTGCCCAGAACTCTCACGCGTGGACGCGGGGGTAAGGATGGGGCGGAGTGTAATTGTCAGGGGGTAATATTGCGGGGGTAACTGTCCCAGAACCACTTCCCCGGATCCCAGTGGAGTTAATGGGTCCCGACAGGTGTTCAGTTTGTCATTGGGCTCACCCTGGGATCCACGTGAGTGACCATCCGTATTACGAGCCCAGGCAGCCCATGAGCACAATATGAGGACTCGGATCGGGCCCCGGGAAATGTATATGGTATCAAAAATACATATCTTGTATCATCAGAATGTAAGTCTGCAGGGTATATGGTGGTGGGTGTGGTTGTGAGGGCTGAGATTCTGGACATGAATTCTTGAGCTAGATTTAGCTCAACAGTGTACCACATGAAAATCGCACAGCAGTGTACCTTACATCCTCAAGTATTACAAAAACACCCCGACAGACATTTTTAGTGGTGGGGTGCCCCTGACAGAGTTATTTAATTGCCAGATCAAAGCTAGGCTAGATTGGCTGAAATCTGTACTACCCTAAAACTGCTTGGAAGTTGTTCAGCACCACCACATGAATGATCACTGCCAGACAGTTTGTGTGGTGGGTTGTCCCCGACAGACACACCCCAAAATACCACACTCCCCCCCCCCCCCAACTAGGCTAGATTAGCTGAAATCTGTACCACTTAAAACTGTTTGGAAGCTGTTCAGCATCACGACATGACATGAATCAAGTATGACCACTGCCAGACATTGTGTGGTGGGTTACCCTTGACAGACACGCCCAAAATATCACGTGCCCAACTGGATTAGATTAGCTGAAATCTGTATCACCTAAAACAATCTGATTAAAACACAGATCATATTTCGTTTCGTTTTTATAGTTCAAAATTTCGTTTTCCTTGTCGTTACTACATTAGGGCCTGGAAGAGTTGTTCTATAACCCGCGTTCCTATTGATGTGAGGGATAAGCCAATGAAACGGCCTGTTACGGCGAGTTTTTTGGCGTGTGTTGCATGGAACTGTGGGTAACCCACTAGAAACATGAACGCTGATTGGTTAATCAAATGCCTAACGTCATAAGGTCAAAAGTCGCTCGTATGACCTCTACAACTGATCAGATCTTCCTAATATATAAAAAAACAAAACGAAACGAAAAATATATCTGTATTTTAATCAGATTGCACCTAAAACTGCTTGGAAGTTGTTCAGCACCACCACGTAAATCAAGAATAACCACTGCCAGACAGAGTTTGTGTGGTGGGTTACACCTGACAATTGCTTGGACGTTGTTCTGCAACACCACATGGATCATGAATTACCACTGCCAGACAGTTTGTGCGTTGGGGCACCCTTGATAGACAGTCCAAAATTCCACGCCCCGCAACCAATCTAGATTAGCTGCAGTCGGTACCAGCTAAAACTGCTTGGAAGGTGTTCAGCACCATCACAGGAATCAAGAATATAGTCTACCTAATGTTTTTTGATGGATTATATAACTTCACTATGTGTAGATTCAGAATCTGGACTATATTTCCATGTCAAAGCTTAAAATAGGGTTTGGCAACCGGGCATTCTCCTAATCGATGTTGCTGCATATAATAAACACCGATGAGCCGTATGTCTGTGGTCACTGAGTTGAACCACTACTTATTCTTCTTCATACGATTACTTAATCTTTAATAGATATTACATATTCTTGAAAATATGTAATACGTCTGAACCAGTTGATAAATCCAATTCTAATTTTGCAGGGGGGGGGGGGCTTGGGTGTTGTGTCTGTTGGGTGAACCCCACCACACACACTCCCTAGCAATGGGTAGTGTTATCTCTTGGTGCTGTAAACAATTTCCAAGATGTCTAAGGTGGTTCACACTTCAGTTAATCTAGCCTAGTTGCGGGGCGTGGCATTTTGGGCGTGTCTGTCATAGGTACACCACCGCACAAACTGTCTTGTAGTAGTCGTTCACTGTCCCAAGCAGTTTCAGGTGGTACAGGCTTCTGCTAATCTAGCCTAGTTGCGGGGGCGGCAGTGGTAATTCATGATCCCTGTGGTGGTGCTGAACAACTTCTAGTCTAGCCTAGCAATTACAGAGCTCTGTCAGGGGTTTCCCACCACTAAAAAAGTAAGGTACACTGCTGTACCATTTTCATGTGATACACGTTTGAGCTAATCTAGCTTAAGAATTCATAACCAGAATCACAGCCTTCACAGCCACACCCACCACCAGATACCCGGCAGACTTACATTCTTCTGATGATACCAGATATACATGCAATGATACCATATAGGTGAAAATTGGTAAACTTTCCAGATAGGCTGACCCCCCCCCCCGCCCTCGGCTCCTGCTCTAGGTCCCTAATTTTTCATTTTTTTCGGCAATAAGTGTTGTTTATTCGTTATTAAGTGGTTTTACGGTATTGAGGGGTTTTCAGATTTCTTATGCATTTTTCGGTGGAATGGAAAGTTACATGGAATTTACTTACACCTTTCATAGATTTACATATTATTTTTACAGAAATTCTGGCAATTATTCATAAATCTACATAGAAGTAAAATAGTTTCTCTTATTTTCACTAAGTTCTATAGATGTCACTGATTGTCCATTAGAATTATGATGTAGGTTAAACACTTCATTGTCGTAATTTTGTTGTCTGTTAGAATGGCCAAATTGGTGGTGACCTGTTGTACTTGACTTGAATATAGGTGGCTGTATTATCATCCTCACCAATCCGATACATATTACAGATAAGAACAGTAGAGCTAATACCACACTTATTAACAGAGCTTCCAGCTAAATCAATAAATAAAATATACCACAAATTAAAGAAGAATGTATTTTTATCAATACTATCTCACCTATTTATTAAACTCAATATTTTCTAAAATACGGTATTCGAAATTAAAAACACGAATTAGAATTCAATATTGGTCTATTTCAGCTATTATTGATGATGTTCTTATCTTGCTTTGGAAATCGGTTGTACGTGACAAGGAGTAGAGTCGCCTGTCGAACCTCATGGGTTTTCTCCGGGTCCTTAAAATACAGATATGACGTCATCCTTTGATGTTGGCGCACCATTATTTCCAATGATGTACAAGCAACTTGCCAATCGTACATTATCTATACTAGATGAAATATTGGACTCGCGTGATGTATTTCATTGAAAAGCACGTGCAGGATAGTGTCTGCATTTTAAGTTGTTTAATGGTCTTGAGCTAAAGACATTGCGTAATATATTGAAACAACACTCAGTTAACGCCTCGGGAAGTATCAATATATACTCTTCAAAAAAAGTAGGGAATATTCAGAAACAACACAAAACTGCGGAAATGCACTGCTGTTTTTATTAGAGGTAACCAGTGTATGTTAATAACAGGCCAGTTGCCTACACATGAACATAAACAGTTCATATGGACGGCTTAATTATCTGACGGCCCCGAACAACGCAAGTTTTACCTACCACCTTTACCACACCATTCTAGCCAGTAAAAGGGAGCTATTTTCTGCATCAGGGACTTTCTATTGGACCCCCCCCCCCTCCCCCATTGACTCCCAATAAGCTCCGATGTGGCATTTGCAGATTCACTGTGACTTTTTCATCTTTGCATTTTCAACTATCAGATTTTCTCCATTGCGTTTTCATCTATTACAATATCTCCAACTTAACTCACTATACGAGGGAAGGGGCGTATTTCGGAGTTCGGCCGCAGTTGACGTCATAACTGATCGGTTTTTGTCGTCTGGACTAAAATTAATGCTCCCTCAAAGGGACGATTATTCTAAATAGTAAGGGAGTATTTCAAATACAATATTCTGGTTTTACAAATGTATTCAAATTTTGTGAGATATTCAAACATTATTATTGTAGAAGTTCTTAGATTAACGCATACATGTATTTTTAATATAAAACTTGTTTGTCCTAACCTGGAGCCACGGTGGCTAAGTGGGTAAAACGCCAGCTCGCTAGCCTGGAGGTCGGTGTGTTTGATCTCTGCAATGGCCGAGAAAATTCATCGGGATTTTCAGACGTGGTTTCCCCTTGTCATTGGTGCAGGACGGAGTGCCTGACAAAGACAGTTGTTTAGTCCTTCAAATGAGACGAAAAACCGAGGTCCCGTGTATACATTGGCATGCACGTAAAAAATCCCTTGGCAGTTGGAATTCAATATAAGAGTAGGCCATAGTGCCGCTACCAGGGCAAAATTTACCTCATAGCACACTGTATGGCGTATGCCCGCCTTCAAATGCCCAGTATAGGACGTTAAACCTCATTTCATTTCATCCTAACCTATTCACTTAATACAATATCGTAAATCATTAAAGGCCCCTTTAGCACGGACACGCGACATCGTAAATCAACGCTAATGCATTCGGAGTACATTATCATCATCGATTGCAAAGGTAAATTAAAATATTCTGGTATGCCGACCCAGGAGAACAATAATGCACACCTCTTTTCAGAGATATTTTATTTAATTTTTAAAAGTTGAGGGGGGGGGGGGGCATTCAACGTAAATTTATTTCATCGTCTAATTCTTTTAATTGATTAAGGCAGCCAGACATCTCTTCAGTAGTTAGCCTGCACTTATTTCAGATATAATGCCAGCAATCCACTCATATTCATGCCGATGTTCTGTCAAAGATTCGTCCGGTCTTTTTAAGACAATGAACCAAATTCGATGATATAACCCATTAAACAAAAAGTTGTCTGACATGACAACCAATGTATTTGAGTTTTTCTAAAACAATAATCAGTAAAATCGGACAATCTTAAGAGTCATGAATAACCCAATGGAACATTGATTTTAGCCGAAACGTTAAATTTTAATATTGACGTCCTATGACATCAACTTCGGCTGAACCTGGAACCACGCCCTCTATCCTTTCGATTGGAGAAATTTTGGTGGTTGAAAATACAGTGGTATATTCTTATAGATGAAAATGCAAAGATGAAAAAGTCACCGTAGAAAGTGAAAAACATTTTTACATTGTTAAATTTTGTCGAGCAACTTTTGTTTTGATACTAATGTATATAGTGAGTTTGTGTTATGTAATATTTACATGATATTTCCTCTTAATATGACAACGATTCGACTCCATACATTGCATTATAAATTATAAAACTAACCTGACCTTGGGTCATTCCCCATGTCTTTTCAAAATCTGAAATGACAACCACAGAATAAATTAACAAATTTTAGCCTGGTGGATCAGTCAAGATTGACCTTAAAAACCTTGGTATAAAATGAAATGGTTATTGGTTATTTAATGTCACCTAATGTATGTTGTTACAAAGTAACGGTCTAGTTGTAAAACAAAGCCTTTGAAAGACAAAATATTAGGTGTTGCAATGGAATTCCTATTTATTTTTTAGCTTTTCTACTTTTTTCTGGTCCATTTTATAGAAGAATCGGCCCTTGGACTGACCGGCTATTTTAGTAGATAAACAAACGAAAACTGGACTAAATACAAATGATGGGGGTTGTTTATAGTTTGACATTTCAACGCTGGCCATTTAGAAAAGAAAGGGATCCCTTTCAGGAAATATAGGCTGATGTTGCCGTTCCTTGGGATTTTCCGGTTTGGATTCCCTTGTTAGTAGAGCAGAATGGGAGGCTTGGTAAGCAACAACGTCTAGTCGTTCGGGTGGGACCAAAAACCGAGGTCCCGTGGTGTACACGTTCGTGTGCACGTAGAAGAACCATTGGTAGTTTGAATTCGTTGAAGGTTAGACTGAAACGCCGCTATCAGGGCAAATTTCCCATATTTAAAGCACACTGCACGGCGTATCCTCATCTTCATTATTCAAAATAATCATCAGCTATTTATTTTTCTCGACAGATATATGTCAAAATAACATGTAGCATCAATTTTGAATATTTGTTTTACTGACGTTGTTCACATTGGCTATAATAATATTATTATTCATTACTATTTACCAAGTAACATGTATAATCTTACACAGTGGATGACCACATGTTATCATGATCCCCCATAAGATCGTTCTTGCTATCCAGAAAAAATGGCGTACTATTGTTTTGCATGGCTAAATTTATTTGTTAAGGCCAGTTCAATTTTTTGTCAAGGTCACTGAGATGTAAATAAGGTTAGGGTTGGGATTAGCACTAGACCTGTTTACGTCTCGTGACCTATGATGAAAAATTGAGCTGGCCTTATCATATAGCACTAACCGTTTTGCTTTGTCAATATGTTATTAGTGGGGCGACGAATTGAGCCATCGTTTGCTTGATCCACGCGCAAATGCATCCGCACATGGACCAATCAGGCGATGGCACAGTCAGACGTTCCTAGTCAAAAGTCCTAATTATAATCAATGATGTCGTTTAGTGAAACTTTACCTTTACCTGCAATTTCCCAAATAGTATGCCACTTGCTAATAACATAACTCAAAGGACAAGGATGGCCACATTTAAGACTTTTCGGTTTCATACAAACTAATTCTTATAAACCATAATGATTACTTTATTCTGACAATCATTATATAATGTCAAAAACATACCACTTTTCAAAGAAGAATTCAAAAGGTGCTAATGTTCCAGTGCAATCGATAAAAATTAATGCCATATTAGATAACGATATTGTCTGAGCGAATTGTAATATACTGTCCTGCCAATATCATACATCTGACGCGTATCTGGCGGAATAGGGCGAATGGTATTCCTGAGATGTCACTGTCTTTCCGTTTGGCGTCGTGCATCTTTATTATCCTGGTCAATGGTCATAACCGTTGCCAGGAAAGTCGGTGATCAGGGCGTATACTATACTGCCCACGGGCGCAAGAAGGGGTCTCGCGTATCTACAGATCCATCGCCTCGATTATGCGAGTTAATCGGTTTCGAATATTTATAGTGTGTCCTACATAAAAACGTTGTGGCTGACGTGTACAATTAAATAGACAAATCCAGTATGTTAGGTAACTTTGCGACGTTTTGTTCAGCTTCAAAGATCACAGAAAATTGCAGCAATTTCCATGGCGGAAAAGTCGGTCAGCGGTTATTTGCCAATTGTCATCGCTGAATCCGTGACAAAATAAAATCTTAAATTAAAAATATAATTTTGGATATCTGTTTTGCAGGTTTTTTGCGCGTATGAGCTCGTTTCGGCGACTTGGATACTTTATTGAATTTTAAAAAATAATTTTAGCCACAAGACCGATGGGTAGAAGAAAATGTCATAAAAATATGGCCAAGCTTCTGGCCTATAAGTAAGATAACTAGAACAAACTTCGATGTTCACTTCAACAAATACAATCAAATTTTCATGTATCATGCGTAGGGGTGGCTCGATCGTGTAAAACGTCGAATGACATCATCAGTGCGCAGCGGAGTAACTCGAATTCTATTACAAAAATCGTGGACAGAAATATGCATCCCATACCCGATTGATCCGCGTAATTCTATTTTTCTAGTAGTGCCCGGAATTTGAAATGGGTCGCTGCGCGACTATGGTTACTCGCCATGTGGGTCCAGGCGTCCAGATAAAACGCCTCTGCAAGCCCCCAAGGATTACCATGTGTCACAACTGTCGGCCAATAAAGTCCACGGTTCGGATATGGTCGTCAAATCGCAGGACAGACTGCCCTTTTACACTAACAGCACTATCTTCCGTTTTATATAATGAATAAAACAAATCTTACCATTCTGGGGTTGAATTATCCTATTATCAATAGAGTCATGCTCATCCACCAAGGCTATGTCTTCGGACACAGTATTTGTCCCAACTAAACTTAATACTCCTGGAACAACTTTAGCCCATAAAATAGCTTCCCTGTTTGGTAGTAGGTTTTTTATACTCTGAACCTTCAGCGATGAATTTGGTGAAATTACCAGGTAAGTCTGTGATTTGTTAAACGGTTGCCATGTGATGTTTCCATTATCATACATAGGATATCTAAAAAAATAATAACATGGAATTGAATTTAGTTCTCCACGTAGTATCTTCTATAGTCCCTTGTGGGGAAACCTGGGATCTAAGGATAAAATACTTGGTGCTGCCATGGCATAAGACTATAAATTAACTGAATATTTTGCTTTGTTCTAACATCGAAAACATTGTTTATTTTATTTTAGAAATGACATGTTTAGTCACATGTCAATTTGTCAGTAAAACAAATGTTACCAAATCTGTAAACAATAACTTAAATATATGGAAATACAATTACCCTGTTTTTGAAAACGAAATCCAGGCGCTCATTATAAGTTGATGGACTACTGAGTGTCTTGAAGGCCGATAGTTGATATCATTATCCAACATTAAAGGTAAATGCCCGGCAGTAGAGTTACTCCAAGTAGTCGCTCCCGTATTAAAAGAATAAAGAAACGTTGAAGATGACATGGCGTGTTTCTTTAAAATATTTAAAATTTCACTTAATTCAAAATCCTCTTTTGCCTTGTGAAAAATGTTGGCATTTCCGTCTGATATTGTTTGGTCTGATTGATAGTGAAAAAGAACTAGCGCTAGAATGGTGTCCCTAAAAAGTTGATATTGCTTATCTGAAAGTGTTTGTCTTGGGGGCAAAGTTCGTATGATGTCTCCCAAAAACGCACTTGCTGTAGTCGTAGTAATAGACCTCGTACCAGTATTGATTCCCACAAGATATGGTACTCTGTTATGAATTTGGGAAGAATATAGTTTATAAGGAGGGGAAGGTAAGAACAAACCATCAATAGTTGGAAGGAATGGTCCAAACATATCTTTATTCAAAGATATTCTCAGCAATATTTCGGCATCAATATTTCTAAGACAGTTTATTCGAACTAGCATAGTTGGACCACTTTCAATACAAGAAGTGACAGCCATTAAAATATGCGTATACTTTCGAGGGATTTTCGTCACAACATCGTTGAAATTTAGTCCTCCATGTGAAACAGCTTTGGTGAACAAGGTTTGAGATATTGGGCTGATAACATGTAGCCCAACAGATGATCCACCAGCTTCTTCACCAAATATTGTAACATCGTAAACATCTCCACCAAAATATCCAATATTCTGATTCACCCACAATAAAGCCATTCGCTGATCCAAAAGACCCCAGTTACCGGAAGTCCCTGAATCCGTGCCCATGAAACCAAATACACCCAGGCGATAATTGATCGTCACCACTATTACATCTCCCTGCTGGGCTAAATGCAACGCATCAAACGTATTTCCAGAACCGTACTGAAACTGTCCACCGTGTATCCAGACCATTACCTTGCGTCTGAAACCATTCTGATTGTTCGTCAAGGGAACATAGATATTCAAATATAGACAGTCTTCAGAAATGGCATTGCTTTCTAAGAAAGCCGCATTCGGTATAATAATTTTAGATATATCTTGCAGACATGAAGGTTTAAATTTTTTAGCATGAATATTTTTACTTGGTTTCAGGTTGAGTGACTGGGGTGGGTTGAATCTTAATTGTCCGATTGGAGGTTGAGCATATGGAATTCCCAAGAAAACGGTAACACTATTTGATCCAATCTTTTCCACATATCCAGTGATATTTCCATTGCTTGTTCTTACTGTTAAACTGTCGCACCGGTACGAGTTCACAAAATATAAAACTAAAACAAATAGTAGCCGTAGATTATCCATGGTCAGTTTTTTTTAAAAAAAATAAGCAGAGTCTTTGCATAACTTCAACGTTCTGAACGAGTGCTGTTATCCCTTCCTTGGTTTTAAATTCATGGTTTGCAACATTTTACAATTCATTCGGCTCTACCACTCCAAATGTCAAACTGTTAGGCCGAAATAGGATAACGGTGACAATACAAATACGTGTATCATTATCGCCTTACATATACGTATGATATCTTTGCCCTATTTAGCTGTCCACCGAAAACAAAATGTTAAAATATGGAGACCTAGTTTCTCATTCACGGCTATACATCCTAAACAATGTGCACATAGAATAAATGATGTCGGGTTGCAAACTTAATGAACGAGTTACTGTGACACGTGGGTCTATCAATTGATGGGGTCAACCCGGAAAAACTACCATGACTTTTTCAAATCAACGTCTTAAGAAGAGTATGCACTGCGGGTGGGTTAAGGTTAGTTTGTGTTAGGGTAATTAGTGATTGTAGGGATAATTTCTTTTTACCCAAATTAGAGACATAGATAGTGATAGGCTTTATAAATTTACTGCGGATATGGCAACAAGTTAGACGTGATTGTGTACTGATTTTATAGGTAGGGTTAATCTATAAAAACTCCAGCGGACATAATAAAAATTCTATAGGTTGATAAGAAGTGTGTCCGTAGTTTTGGTTTTGTAATTTATTTTTGCGTATCGTACCTTATTGACAGTCGGAAAATCATTAGGTAAGCCCTGTATTACTAAGGAGACTGTCTGCTTTTAGACACCGGTTGCAACAGTTGTTTAAACAGGAGCATACCAAATGCGTAGAATGAATCAAACTAAAACAAGATAAGTTCAGGTCGGAAATATCCACATAAACAAATCCGTATTAGAAACTAATATAATAATAAGCGAAATTCCTCCACTGCGCATACTGTGAAAAGAACGAAAAATTTGATAATTTAAATTTACAAAACGATTACCATGCTCTCCCCGTCCGTCGCAGGATATGGTATTAGCCCACTTGTGGAAGCTCCAGTCCGATAAAAAATTCTTATTGAATTAGAACTAATAGACGAGATTCATGCAATGTGTGCCATAGTGTCATCAAACAAGTATACGGTCTATGTGTATTTGTATTGTAGCCACGTGCTTGTAATTGTTTTTTTTATTAGTGCGCATTGTTTAAATGACACGATAACGACACATGTCTGCCCAATTTATAACTTTAAAGGTGCCGGTGATCTATGGAGCGAAATTCTATCTCTTAAATTAATAATTGCGCAAGCTATTGTTTATGTTGACTTCCATGCATGTAACTTATTTCGAATTCAAACTGTCAAGTGTTTTTTTTACGTGCACCACAATATGTATACGCATTGTGCTGAATGTGCAATGTGCACGCTAATATGGTCTGTCTTATACACGATTGGTAATATTTGTAATGTTAGGTGTTTGTTTTAGGAGTATAGTTTAAATAGTAAAAGAGATTTTGAAACCTGTTTTAAATATTGACTGTCTCTCATTAACGAACATAGTTGGTCAGTCAAAACTGTTTGAGGAATGTGTGGTTCTAAACATAACCTGTTTAAATTACGGTTTCCATTTAAGATATTTGACTTATTTATAACAAAATGTATTTAGAATTAGTGATATTTGATTTTTTTTTTAGCATATTTAAATAAGAAACCATATTAACTAAATGTAAATGCCCTTTGAAAATGAATTTAAAACAAAATCGAAAAACATTTTTTTTCCAAATGAAAATTAACAGTTAATTCAAGATACAACAAATGTTAGATTGTTGTACCATTGCATTGAAGTGTGTGGCTCTGTTTTACGGTTGCATAGACTTTCAAGATTTCAACCGCCTGCATTTCCCCAGATTATGTGACATTTTGACAGCGAAAAGTATTATTCTCGAAAACATCACCAAAGCTAGTTATGGGGATAAACAAAGTGATTTTAAATTCATTTAGTGTACTAACAAGATTGTCGCTGCCCTGTTATCCAGAAACACTTCCAAATAACGCTCTTTAAGTAGGACGTTGAACCGCAAGGCTTTTAAAGTAACCATTTATTATAATCTGCATATTATTATACCCCGTTTAATCAAAATAGATAATAATTTTGGTCCGTCCTTCAGTAATCGACTTGTGAACGCGACAAAGTCTACTGTTTTTAAGACCAAGTAAGCGCCCTCGTGAGACACAAGTCCCCTCAGACCCAGTCCCAAATTACTTATTACCTGGATTTTTTTTTGCGCCTATAGTAGCACTAAAAGCTCGGTTACATAAATATTATACGTAGCTATCTGAAATCTTTCGCGCCTGCGGTGCTCCATTCCATTATATCACCATTCTTCCACTCTTGATCTGTGGTCTTATATCACTATCATATTCACGGTTATAGTGAATCGCCCACTTAGTATATCACTAGTGAGTGGGTCGTGTGGCGACAGACTGTACAAATGTTCTATAAACTCTCACAAAACATAGACGGAATTAACATGCAGTCCTCGAGATTCTGTCCCATTTCCATCCCACCGGAACGATAAGATACTGTACTTTACCTAACACCCCGCCCTTCACAAAATTGGAATTCGAAGAGTAGGCCGTATCGGTGCAGAAAAGAAGGACGTTAACCCCATTTCATTTCATTTCATTTTATAAAATCTGGGAAAGGCGGACATACGGAAATTGACGCAGAGATTTAACAGTTAAACAGCTGGGGTTTTTTTATTTGCCATTTATTTTACAAATATTATACATGTTATTAGAAGGAAATGAGCATAAACAAATGTACATACCAATTATCAATACATAATATACATGTAGAAATAAATGTTACATGAACTAAAACAGACAGGCTAAATATGTACATAAGTGCAGAGCGGATAAAATGGTAAATAAATAATAATATACATATCTCAGAAAAAGAACATTTTTAACACAATTAATTGAATAACAAAAAAAAAATGTTTTTCTTGTATAAAAAGGCGCCCGATTTCATGATAAAGCTTATATTTGTATGTATTTATGTGGTTATAAACAAAGCTTTAATCAAATTAAATCTGCTTTCAATTGTCATCGCCGCACCTGCATTGTTTCACTCAAGAAAGGCCTTTGTATGATGTTTCAAAGGTTATACTTTTTTGACCAAAGAAGTTTGAACCATACAACGTATCTTAACCAATGTTTAACTGTATTTTAAACTTTACTAACAATTGTATTTCAAATAACAGACAGCTATGGACTTTTGAGGGGCTGGGTGGCCTAATGGTCTAACCATAGAAATAAATATGCAGTATCAGTATCTATTCCTCATGGTCTAACGCTAGATATTTAGACAGCCATGCTCCAAGATGGCTGCAAATTTCGGCTTTTCTTTCACAGAAATATACACACTGGACCGATTGTGCGGATTTTTAAACATCCACATTTTTATGTGGACGTATCACGTTGTTGCCTATGTCCGTCCGCCGAAACGTCTAACGCTCGCCTCGACGTCCGGACGTCCGTTCACATTGTCTGTAGATAATCTAGAGCCCTCAATTTTTGTACGATTTAGATGAAACTTAAAATATATTTGTAAAAAATCAATCAAGTAAGGCAGTTAGGTTTGACTCGACCACAAACAATGATATTTCGTTGCCTAAAAGTCCACCATCTTGAAAATTGGCCACCATGTTTGATTTTAGAATAGCTATGGGCTTTATCAAAAGAGTAGTCCTCAATGAGTATTATTCCAATTTTTATACATGTATCCACATTTGGACGATTTCCAACTGTTTTTAAGCAGTCAGTTACTGTACTATATCTTTGCCTATAGTCAAAGTTGTCCACAACAATAGACCCCTCACCTTTCTTAATACATCACTATACTGTATTATTTAGGATAAAAAGGCCAATGAAAGACATACGATGTATATTTCGAGAGGTAATTAATTAAGCTTGTGATGAATGTCTTTAGGAGATCAGTGTGGAAATTCGCACCCCCCCCCCCTCCCAAAAAAAACCCCAAAAAAACCCCATGACCTTCGAAGGTTGGGAAAACTGACAAAATTCCTCCCCTTGTCGTAGGTCCCCAAATCGCTATTAAAAAAAAGCCGAGGCAAAGAGACAGACATATCAGACTATAAATATATTCTGTATTAACAATCATACCTGAGCTCTACGCAAGAATGGATCTAAAATAATGTTTCTCTTAACTTAAAAACTGCATATATAGTAATATATCTAGGCGATTAAAAATACAATTTATTTCTTCTTTTTCTTCTTTTTTCCACCTTTCTTTTTACCAGAGGACTTCTTTCCAGATTTCTTGCTGCCCTTGGATGTCTTGGTACTTTTTGCACCCTTGCTGCCCCCTTTTCCTGGACTGCGACTGCGACTACGGTTAAGGGTACCCTTTTTACCTCCTTTTTTAGCTTTTGCGTCGTCTGGATCAATCTGAATTATGACAAATTCAACCTTCTGACCTTGGCAGTTTTTCTATAATAAAATTATTTTTAGTAATTATTTTTTATCTAACAGAGGTAAATGTGGAATCTGAACAGTTGATATATTTTTCAACTCATTTAAAGATACATTATGGGAGATTCGGTAACGAGTTGGCAGTTCTCACTATAATAGTTAAAAACTAGATAATGTAAAGGCAATTTGGTGAAAATTTCATTCAAATTGATCCACTATGAACCGAGAGCTAAGCGACTGATCTTCCCATAAGCCTCGGTCATCATTACTAAAGTCAGTACGATAAACAGAATAGTCTCGATTATCCATTTAATCGTTTAATCGAGAAGGAAAGTTATGCAGTAAATCGGTTTACAATCCACTAAAGATCGCAGGCTAGCGCTGCCATCTAGAGTTGATTATGGCCTGGATAGGTTAATTAATGTCTAATTAATAATTTAGATAACATTTCAGGTCTAAAGAAAGACCTGAAATAGGCAGATTTAGCTCTTGCATAATGTATGTTTAACATCTCATCAATTTTTATCTGGTTCGTATTAATCAATATTATGTAAACGAGAAAGAAAGCCATTAAGGATACTGAGTGAGGACAGGAAATCAGGCAGCCCCCCCCCCTCACCCAATAATACTCCACCCCCTAAACTAATAACCTGTCAACAGGTCAATGCTCTTTTCCTGTGAGATTTAGCACTCGCTCCGCTACGCATATTCAAGGGCTGAAAAGTTATATTTCATAAAACAATATTTTCACCCCAAATCAAATTTATCCCATTTAAACATACCTAGTGACGTGTGCGACGTCTAGAGCAGCCCACACCACTTCTGGTTATTTTGGAGTTCATCTATATCTTTTAAAAATTCTGTATTTTTGAGTTAATTTATAACGTGTGTCAATTAGATTACAATGATCGTTTAATTATTATAGTGAACTGTATAATAATGTTAAATATGAGACAATTCGTAACAAACCTGGTTACATTTTCTACACCTACTCTCTTCAAACATATGACCTGTATAATCACCTTTCATACATTCTCTACAATATCTAGTACCACACCATTTACACATAAACGTCTAAAAATTAAATTGACAAAATTAAAGGGTTCCAGTTTTAAAAATATACTTAAAGTTCATGAAACCGTAGAAAATCAATACCGATGCCCTGGTAAATTGTCACCCCCGATAATATCGTTACGATGGCTAACATTCCTTAATATCACGTTTCTAACATTTATCCTCCAAGGCCTACCCGTCGCCCCACCCCCATAAAACCGCTCAGCTCCACTACCGGAAGTGGTCATGGCCCGGGACATAATTATTTCCAAGCTTAAGTGTTGTGGTGAAGTATTTTTTAAAGGGTTTTATTTCACATTTTAGCGTCGGCTACTCGTGACACAGTGATCTTAATATCTTAGACATATAGACTTACGTGCTTAACTCTAGATAACTCTAGATTTAGTTACTCCCTCTAGCACTCACCATATAGACGTTATATACTGATAATGGTTGTATTCATTAGTAAAGTTATTATACTTACGGTGTCGATTCCAGGGCACCCCCACCGACACATGATTAAGGCACGATGATTATCCAAATAAATAAACGGATATAAGGTAATTGTGGATTATCCCATTGTTATTGGCTAATATCATTATAACCTTTAAATTATAACTGTCTCATGTCGACTATCAGTTCCGCGTCGTTAGTTACAATAGTTGTCAAGCGCACTTGACTGTCAATAAAAATCAATAACAGGGAGACAACTCTTTTTAAGATTAATATGAAAATTGACTGGACAAATTGTTTCAGCAAATGTGTATTCTCTAAATCTAGAGTACTGTTACACCAACCAGGTCATTTGGTATAATATGGGGGATGATACCATAAGTTCCAGTAAAAATAGCACCAGACTCCATGCCTTGTGACGTACAAGAGTAAGATCAATGCTGGATTAAGGTACAGGCCAACCAGGGGCCCCGCGTAATCATTCTTTGAGTATGGTTCAATAAATCCCCTCAATAATCTGCTGGTGTAGAGCCCTGATATAAGCAACTTGAAAATGCTTATATCATCCGATTTTGCTTATATCAGAGCAAAGTCTAAATTACTTATTTTATGGGTTTTATTGGTAAATTAAGTGAAAGTTTTATAGTTTCCCTTTTTTAAGTAGAATTTACAGTACATGTACAGTGCTAATAACAATAACAGGTAGTTGCACTTATGTAACACTATTTGTGTGAAGAACCAGTTTCGTTCAATTGTCGGACAAGAGAAGTTTTGTTGACAATTGAGTCAGACTTCACCAGATGCACAGACTTTGGAGGCATCATTGCAAAATTCGCAAAACTCGAGAGATCTAGAAAAAAGCTACGTAATTACGTGTAATGTCACGTCACCTATCTAATATAAACTAATGCAATACACAAAATGTAAAATATATATGCCACTGTTATTTCTTTTGATATGATGGATGGATGCCTACTCCTCCCTCGTGGAGTCATGCAAAATCGAATGATACTTGACAGGTAGATTGTAAGGAATACCAGTCCCCTTTTCTTTACTCGTAGGTCGTATAGTTCTTGATTGTTGCTAACTATGTTCGTGTTCAGATCTTCAGGACTTAATCATAATCCCTAAACCAAGTGTCAATGTATGGTTTGTCATGGCTCAGATATAAGTAAAATCGATTCTAGCATGTGCAACGGGACCAAAAATTACCCGGTGCCCCCCTTAAAGTCCTCTAACTTTGGTCTGCCTACTCTCCTCCCGATTCCCCACTCAAGAAATTTATCGGGTCATTGCGTCATGCATACGGTACTGTAAACTGACGCGTCTCAATGTGTTCTTATTAGAACATTTTGCGTTGAAATGTGAACACGTGATTGTTCACGTATGAACACATCCTCGGTATCCCCAGTGTACCCATTCCGTCCTACTCCACTATACCCTGGGTTAATCCATAGGGTTTCCACGATTTCAAATTATCTGCCCTGGCCTTGATTGTAGCTATAGTCTACGAACCAATCAAAAAACAGTTTACAAACCTGTCGTTTCGCTTTCGTTTTTATAAGGGTAAATGACCATATTCATGTCCATTTACTTAATGATTTATGTAAATAATGTATATATTTCTAATTCATTTATGTATTATCAACATCTGTTGTATGTTTCGCTGATTTCAAATTATGTATAACATCTATATGTTTGACTTTTGTTATTATTATTACTATTCGTTCTTTGTCTGAAAGGTTTCATTCTGTTATGTTTATTATTATTGAACTTATACTTGGCAATTTGATTCCCAATATCACAATATTGTTTGCGATATCACCTCGGTGGAAGTGGACGTAAAATAGGCCTACAACTAACTAACAAACATTCATAATGAGTTGTCTACTATATCACGTGGACGTGAAACTCCGCGAACGAACGAAATAACGATTCTCAATAAAACTCTTGAACCTACATAAACGTCCGGCCTTCATTAATATAATATTATATCGAGGGCTCAGAACCAGAAGTGAATATCTCCAAAAAGATGATTTTGAGATAATGGCCTTTGAATATTTCAAAGCTTATATTAAATACAGATACGGATATATCTATTTAGATTTTTTTCTATTTGTCAGTTTTGGGCTCATACTTTAATATTGTAACAAAATTAAGCTATTTTGTCCTCAAAAGTATAAAATATCCATATTTAATGTATATATTCACTTCTGGCAAGACAATTATTGACTTTTCGTGGTTGATATTCAATTGGAACATTGGATAATAGTGATTTGTGAAACAATTAAATGGGGTTCTAAGCGTAACAAAGCTTGAATTTTATTCACATAACAAAATTACACAAATTTTTTTTATGATAAACATCAACTTCAAGTATCAACTTCAGCTTCGTCGTCAGAGTCCTCAACAGCTGGTTCAGGTACTGTATCTGTAATCCTGTTGGACGTTGGGAGAGCTCTATACCAGGCTTGTACTTCTTGTGGTATGATCAATTGATCACGCAGTTTTACTAAATCTGTTTTTTTGGCCTCACTTATAGGGAGCTGATGAAAATATAATGATGAAATTGAATCTGGGATAATGAAAGGTCGACCACGGCGATTAACTTTAATTTCCTTGAACTCTTCATTGTAGTTATATCGATAGAACAGAACTCCGGGGCAAGACTTTCTGAATTTGAAGGACTTGACGTGAAGCCAGTTAATGATGTTTCCATCTGTGTCTTTGCGTCGATTATGTATAATATTTTTTGCTAAATTTTGAAAGTTGATAAACTCTTCATGGTGCAATTGTACCACCATATACGGGTTCCTTCGCCTGGATTTTCTAAAGATGTTTATCCAATCAATCATAGTGAAAGTATCCACATACTTCTTCTCATGTTCTATTGCTGAATGCATAGAGTCAACTTCCATTTCCGAATGGCCGCTCTCTAGAAAGTTTTGGTTAATTGTGTCAATTTCTAGTTTATTAACAGCATACATAAACATAGCAGCTACATTTTGATTCCGATTTTGACCAGAACAGGTGTCTGAGTATAGAGAAACAGTTTTAGTTGTACCAGGTAAATTGCGAAGCCATCTGAACAGACAAGTACTAATCTCATTACTGCCCCTGTTTCCCTCAACTTCATTCCAACAGTAACAGTAGGCATCATTTGGTTTACGAGCCTCCCAAATGCAAAGATTATAAAGACAAATTTTCCTACTGTAATACATTAAAGATGCATTACTGTGGATAAGCTAACTTACACTGATCAACATAAAGCTGATACATTTTTGAAATCGTCAAAGTTTGGTTTAGGTATTTTCTGTGGGTATCTTTCCGAGTGTAATGTGACTCGACAAACGGGAAACTCTTTATATGATTTCGAACTTGGTCTAGAGCATTCTGGGGGGTTTTATTGACAGGAACGTGGCAGCCTCTTTTATCTTCATCAATAAATACTTGTGTACCACTTTCTGTACTCATCCGTTTAACAGCTTTATCAATAGGACCATGGCTAATATCAAGTGTATTTTGAAAAAACTTCTTACATACTCGTATGTCAGTGTTGCCTGTTTTGAAATAATACTGAATAGATTTTGACTTCTCTTTCTTCCTCGTCCTTTCAACCGACATCTCTCTGTCCCCAAAACTCTAATACTAGAAAGAATAAAATCGTTTTTCCTGGCATAATCTTCAAGGTTCCAGTAAACTGTACAAATATCATTTCTTTCTTCTACAGAAAATTTCGTATCACATTGGAACCGACAATTTAAACAATTATTCTGTCTAGGTGCTCTGGCCGATTTCTGTTTTCCCGTACTGTCAATGTGTGCCTTACCGAGAGAATTTAATTTCTTTCTGACAGACTTCTTCCAGTTACTTGGGTCACTCTTTCTCATCCGCGTATGTGTTTTTTTTATTGGTGGCAACTTCATCACCATCAACAAGTTCACTACTACTACTACAATCGATCGCCAATCCATTTTCTGCATTGGCTTCATCTTCAATTGGGCCTACTTCGGGTTCAATGATTTCAAAAACATTATCACCAACTATAACAGCTTTATCTGTGATCAAAACATTGGTATCATTGAGCGCCACTAAATTCTCTAGAGAAGGATTTTCAGGCAATATTTCGCGGAGTGTTTCAATTTGGCGTTTATCTACATCGTCAGACAGTTCAGATTCTGAAGAATGGTGAAAATCTGGATCTCCCACAATATCGTCTTCTTCGTGACATTCATCACTGTTGCTACATTCACTCTCAGTCTCCATTAACATGTTAAGGACATCTGTTGCAGTCAATTCTGAAAAGACAAACAGCTCAATATCTACAACAACTGACTATTTCAGAATTTAGAAAAAAATATAGAGACAATAATTGCGAAAAATGAGATCGTGAATGGGAGGTGTGTGGGGTTTGGAGGACGTCCACTTAACGAAAACCAAGCCAATTAGGCACTAAATGTTATAATTTTATTTCAATGATTAATGGGTAGGGGTCTTTAGCAGTTGAAGGGGAGAGGAATAACATTACTTGTTAGGAATGAATGATTGTTTTTAGGGCATGCCAACAGCGTATTCTGACAATTTGCCGCCAAAAATATATTACAAACCACTGTTTTGTTTGACATCAAAACCATAGACATACAACAATAATTGAGGTACTAATTACAAAGGCATGATAAGTTTGAACTAAAAATGGGATAATGACTGAAAACTCTCAAAGAAATCTCACCTTTTTGACGCTTTTTCTTCTTCAGCAATTTGTTTTTGTTAGGCATGTCATTGTTCTCCAATTTGCTAAAGGGAAGCTCCTCTTAATAGCACAAAACAGTTCAACCAGAATTGAATATGTGCCACATAACCATTTCTGACCAAAGCATTTTTGTGCCAGAAGTGACCATATCCCAGATATCCACTTCTAGCTGAAACAGTTTTATTCTGGTGGACTCTAATCAAAAACAGACAGTGTATTTTATGTATTTTGATTGGCCACAGGCCTTAGACACTTCTGTCACATAAAGATACCACAAAATTTAGTCAAAAATAAACAAAACCTTAAAATCGCAAAATTTGGAGATATTCACTTCTGGTTCTGAGCCCTCGATATAATTTGTTGTTAACAAATACGCATTTAGAATAATTTAGACTTCTCTCATTTAGGCTCTCCTAACCTTGTCCGATGAAAGTAACTCCCTTTGTCGACTTCCTTTTCAATTAACGATTTATGGAATTGGTCAATCATCAAGGGCGGATAACTTGAAAACGTGTCCGCCCATAGATTAACCCAGGGGTTTGTGGAGTAGAACGGAATGAAACCACTGGGGATACCGAGGATGGTATGAACACCCTAGTTTTAAAATGTACGCATATCCTTAAAATCCTTTCAAATCTGGACATCTTGTGTGCATTTGCTTTCAAAGGTCACACTTAGAACAGACCGGACGCCATGTGTTCAAAGACCAGTAAGGAACGCTTGGCGTCAATAAGTGTTGTGTTTAGGGTTTACACCGCAAAATCAATTTGGACACCATGTAGTCATTTGACATCGGACATACGCACGGCGTATCACGTGATGCAGGTTATTTTTTAAAATCGTCATTTGCAGGACGCTGGTTTCACAGAGTAAAAATACTGTGCTCGTTTGACGTGAAGCGCTGACTGTTGTTTATTAAGAATTGGTTTTTATACGCCAACATTTTCATGTGGACGTATATTATTGTCGTCACACCTGTCCGTCTGTCTGTCTGTCCGTCCATAATTTGTTTGTGGACACTCTACAGGTCACAAATTTTATCCGATTTTGACGAAACTTAAAATATAGGTCTATCCCCCAAAGATCTCTGTTCCTTTCTATATTGGCTATCGGACCATAACTTCATGGGTTATGGCTCCTGATCGTACGAAAAATCACGTTTTTAGCTTGTGGACACTCAAGAGGTCACAATTGTCATCTGATTTTGATGAAACTTGAAAGATCCTGGTTCCTTTCGATATTCGCGCATATCGGAGCGTAACTTCTTGAATTATGGCCCTTGATTGTACGAAAAATCGCGTTTTTAGTTTGTGGATTCTCTGGAGGTCACATTTTTTTTATCCGATTTTAAAACCGTTTAAATATATCACTATTCCACCTTAATGAAGGGGAAAATCGAAACTAACTGCGCGAGAAAATGGCCGCTTTTTGTACGCAAAGTGTGTAAAAGTATGTAATACGAAGGTTATGGACCCTCTAGAGGTCACAATTTTTATCCGATTTTGATGAAACTTAAAATATATCTTTATATCCCAATGATCTCAGTCTCATAACTTTCAGACCATAACTTTCTGGATTATGGACCCTGATTTTAAGAAAATCGCCCTTGATTTTAGCTTGTTCTCTATCCATCTCTTTCTTGCAAAATGTGGGCGTATCTTGCCTGACAGCTGCTGGTTTTAATTTTCAAATAAGGTAGACAAGTTGTTTCAAAAGTAACAGGGAAAATTAAATATGTGAATTTGGAAGTAGACTGGAAACGAGGTTAGATTAATAGTATAATAGCCTATATGCTTAGGCCTAGACCTGGGTTTATTTCATTCGAATTTGGTGCCCAAATCAACTATTTAACTCTCGTCATGCATATTTGTGTTAATAAATTATTCCCTTATGTCAAAAAGCGCATGTATTAGAGATTTTGGTTCAATAGAATTTGACAAATTATTTTCTTATTCCTTTTGTTACAGAACACATTCTGTTATATACAGAATATCGTATGCAAAATGAATAATCATCTGGCATGGGTTTAACGTCATCAGCAACCCGGGCCATTCAAGACGGAACAGATAAATAAGGTATAGAAGACCCAATGGATTATCCACATCTATGATTCTCAATATATTGATGTCTATAGATCTAAAAGTATTACTGTTTTCAGCCATTTTTCGGTAGAATATTTATATCTAGTAGAATGGTCTATTTTAAAGTAGCTAAGTCTCTAACTCAATATCATCTAAAATCTTACACGTTGAAAATACGAATTATTTGTCAGTTCAAATCAACATTGATGTTGTGATCTTACCAGGAAAAGGCAGACTTCTGATATCCAATATTTAAGACAAAAAAACATTTTTTACCATTGGTACACGAATCGTGTACCATAGCGCGTTTTAGCGTCATTTGCAACAAGTGACCAGAAAGAACGAGGCTAGACATTATCAATTGGAGACACAGCTCAATAGACTGGAATAACAAGACGCTAGAAATTGCTATAGGATAGAGACATATGCCGTATTTCGCTGGACATAACTGATTTGAAATTAGAGTCAAAACGGAAACACTTGAATGTAAATCAGTTTATATACAATCAGATTACATTATTATATGCGTTGCGACCCATTTGGGTCAATTTCTAGGTCCCAAATATTAGCGATTTAGCTCCTTTAATCGTCTTCATTAGCCCAGTCGGAGCAGAACAGTAGGACGTTAAAACCCTCCATTTTGATAATTAGCCATCTTTCTTTCCCTAATAGTGCATGGTAACAGACAATGAAGAAAACATAAAATATACTTCTACAAAAGAATTTTGAAGCAGATTCGTTCAAACGCTAAGTTTATGCTTAGGTATTATATCAAATTTCTTAACATATATTTTACACTTTCGCACTTTAAATGGGCAATATATAACTTATTATACCGGTTTCCTGGGTTTTAAATGATGCTAATATTTCTATTGCAAGGGGAAATGAAATGGAGTTGATAATCCTAGGCTTATGAAGAAACACGATCATCACGTGTGTAATGGGGGAAATTTTATCCAGACGGTGTTTTTTCCGCTTATCTTCTTGCCAATGGTTAGGTACGCGCCAATGTGTACACGAGTCTTCGGTTGCTCGCCCATCCTAACGACAAGATGCTGTGCAGCTGAAAAGAGAAGAAGGAAAAGTAAACGCAGAAGACAGTGCAAGTGTACCGTAAGACAGATAACATTTTACTTGCCAATGACATAATTATACCGGTATGTGAATCTTTTTATTTGGGCAATAAACAATGTCGGTCACATTATCGGCATCGCTGCCCGTGTTGTATTATAAAATTATGGAATTACAATAAATTTATAAAAAAAAGTGTTTAACTTGTTTTTAAATTGTGTCATGCTTTTTTTTATGCGATATGATTAAATCATTGGAGTATGTCTATCACAAGAGAACGTCCGGTGTCTGCTTAGATTTAACGCTTGATTGCCTGTGTGTGTGTGTGTGAAAGTCAGAATGAACGGTGTTCAAAATATGATCATCGAACACATTTTAGTGTTCATTATCTTTTTCATGCAGTTAAACACCTTATCGTATTCTAAAAAGAACACGTTTTAAGTGTCCGATGTGTTTTCAGATCCAGGGGAAAAAGTTAAACGTATAGTGTTATAAAAACAGAACACATTTTACGCGTCACAAGTGTTCTTGATTAATTATGTTATGTGCAACAAAGAATATTTATATTTTGTGTGCGTCCAAATTGACCGACTTCGATACTTAGCTAATCTCGGTCATGTCAGAGGCTTGATCTATTTGAGTTTTCAGCCCACGGATATTGCGTAAATGACACACGGAATGTTATATTCAAATTACGCCTAGAATATTTTAGATTTATTGTTTCAGAAAGGAAGGGGTTCGAAATGAAAATCCCAGGGATCTTCACAGAATGGGGAAATTGGAAAATTCACCTCATATCTTTGAAAAATATGGCATCTCTCTAACAAAAATTTCGAGACAGAATGTTAAGTTCAATAGAAAGTAAATTTAACGATCTCCTTGCTGAATCTTGCGGACCTAACCATAAAAGAAATGAAATGAAATAGGGTTTAACGTTCTACTGTTCTGCTCCTATACTGGGCTAATGAAGACGGGCATACTCTTATATCGAATTCCAACTGCCAAGGGATCTTTTACATGCATTCTAATGGACCTAACCATAAACTGAGAACCTTCGGATTATTCAAAATGAAATCCAATAACACTCCAAAATATCTAGAGGTTGTTAATAATAAGAAGTTTAAAATTGCGATGTCTATCCTACGATTAAGTACTCGCCAGCTTGCCATTGAAAGGGGTAGATATTTTAAAATACCACCGCAGGATCGTCTCTGTAAAAAAAATGCAATGCAAACCAAATTGAATCTGACCAACATTTTCGTATGGAATGCTAAAAATATGAAGATTTAAGAAAATAATATATATAGCCAACCCTTGACAATACTGGTCTAACCTTTTTATTTGAAGATCTATTCGACCCACCGAGAATTATAGCCACAAGTGTCGCAGCCTTTGTCTACTTCTCTTTTTTGCGGAGAGACAAATGAACTGTTAAATATGCATGATATTTTATTATCTTTTACATGCGCACGTTTTGTATTTTACGGTGGCTGATTTAGGACACGCAAAAAAAAAAATATAATATTATTATATAAGTCGAGCGCTCGAGATAATTAACTCGACTCAAGATACTAAGTCGAGCGCTCGAGATACTAAGTCTAGCGCTCGAGATAATACAGTCGAACACGGGTCAACCGATGTTTTAATCTGTATAATTTGCAGAATAAAGATATTCATTTGTTCGTTTTTACAGCCCATCCAAAGCTAAGAGGAAAAGTCAGTCTCTCCTAGCAAAACTCTGTAACCTCGATATATATAATTATTGATTCGTATAATTTATGCCCGTCCATATTTTTGTTCCCGTCCAAATTTCTGTACTTGTATTTAATACTTGTATATTGTATGTCGAATTCAAAGGACGTTCCGCTGCAACAAAATTATTCCTCTTCTTCATACTACGTACTGCCGTGGTTTGATCGTCTGATCAAATCTCCAAACAATCAACTTTTTCATCATTAATTCATCATCGTACTTATGTTTCATTCTTGAAAATGCACCTGCGGTTTTTTTTGTTTTTTTTTTCCAAATATCACATTTGTTATTTATGACAATCATGCACATTTATGGTATGTTGTCCTCAATGTTTTGATACAATAAAATCTTATCTTATCTATCTCAATCCTTTGACGTCAAGAGAATTATGACGTCATTGATAATAATAACAAAAATAATAGTTGCACTGCAATCACCAAATTACGTCAGTTCACGGCTGGATTCGGAGGAACAAAGCCAGCCAAATGGATGTCCCATCTTGCAGCATAGTGTATTCGATGCAAAAATCTACATATACCGATGTTAATAATGATAATTCTGTTTGGGGTTATTATCCAGTTCCACACTTTGATTGTGAACAGGATGATAACGATGTTTGCGACGAAGCATTGGATAAATTTATTCACAGGATCATTCTGTCAGCTTCCATGAATGATAAAGATGAAGATATATTCGGAATCGGTATGTATGCAGGGGCGGATTGGGGCCGGAAACCGGCCCGGGCTACCGTGTCGGAGCGGCCCCTTTTACTGACCGCGGAGCCCGGACGGGGGGTCCGGGGGCTTTCCGCCGGGAAAATTTTAAAAAATGTAACCCAAATATGCGATTTTGTGGCATAGGCCCTATCTGATTATAATCTCTGTCAAATAGTATATCTCATAAATCGATTAATTTAGGCCAAACCCCGACGTGCAAGTAATTTACAACCATCAATCTGTGAAATCATCATATCGTCATATTATGCAGGATTCCGAATTCCGACCCACACCCAGCACACCCGGCCCAGAAAGTCTAGTGATGGCGTGGCGGTCCGTTAAAGCCACCGGCCACATACATGATCATCGCTCCATGGCCGGTCCAATACCCCCCCCCCCCCCCATATAATGTTCAGCAGAAAAAGTTTTTTTTAGACGAATTGGACAAAATTATTTTTTTCAGTTTTTTGTCCGGCTGGCCCGATCGCCCAATCCGCCCCTGTATGTATATACTAGACCTATACAAATAATATAAAAGAAAAGAACAAAGTTGTTCCTAGGACGGTGGGAAGAAGAAACAGCGAGCTAAAATATGCGGTCCCATGATATTTTTTTGAACTTAGAATAAGTAGATCTAATATTTATTCCAAACTATGATTTCAGTTAACTGCGATGACGGGAATTTGGGTCCATTCGATTTTAAGAGAAAGCCACGAGTGAACGGAGAGAAAGCACAAGAGCGATACGATAAAAGTCAACAAAGATCAAACCCCAATCGCAAAAAAGAACCAAGGAAAAATAAACGGGGTAAAACAGAGAGAGTAAAAGGGACATCTGACGATATGCCGAAAGGAACGACACAACAATTGGAAGGAAAAAGTTATGTTCATGTACCACTTGAAGTTTACAAGTAAGTCAATTCTTATGTGCTATTTGATGGAAATCTTGCCAGCACATCGTTGCCACGGCCTACTCTCATTTCAAATTCCAAATGTAAAGTTGTTTTTTTAGGTGCCTTTAGGCTAGTGTACGAGGGACGTTGAATTTTCGTCCCATTACTAAACGCCGTTTCTTGCCATCTTCTTCTCATTTTACATTATTTTAGAAAGATGATAGAATCTGAGATTGACAGTAAATTGAAACAGATACAAGATTACTATGATCTACAGTATAGACGACAAGAAGAATTACAGCTGGAATCTATGAGAGAATCTATTTACTGGAAAGGTAAATAAGGCCCTGTACTTAACTTAATTAAAGGAGCTCAATCTCTTTGATTTAGATTTTAAAGATAAAGTATTGGACTTTGTTGATCTGATGTGTTACATCAATTAGTGTTGGGACAAGCTCTGAAATGGGTTTTTACGTCCTACTTTTTCTGCTCCAACCGGACTATTGACGACGGGCATATCATGCAAGTGCCGTGAGGGGAATGCCCGGGCAGCGGCGCAACCAGGAACCTCCAAGTTAGCGACCGCGGCTTCCTTGACAAAAATAGAAGTCGGTTTGTTTATTAATTTATATATAGAGATGTAAACCCTATTTATCAAATAAGAATAACTAATAAAATGAGGTTTAGCAACCTACTTTTTTGCACCGACATGGAAAATGAATTTGCGCGCGGGAAGTCACGGTGGCTAAGTGAGTAAGACGCTGGCTCGCTATCCTAGTGGTCGCTGGTTTGATCCCGGTGTTGTCCTGACAAGGACAGCTGTCTCGTTCGGATGGGACGGAAAACCGAGGTCCCGTGTAGACCTACACATTGGCGTGCATGTAAAAGATCCCTTGGCAGTTGGAATTCGATATAAGATTAGGCCGTAGCGCCGCTGTCCGAGCAAAATTTTCCTCATAGCACACTGTTCGGCGTATGCCCGTCTTCATTAACCCAGTAGTCCCGAAATGACCTAGTTTGTGTCGAGTGGACGTTAACCCCCATCCCCCAATGAATTAGTACATGGGACCTCGGTTTTCCATACCTTTCGAACGACTAGACACGGTTCATGGTCAAGCCCTTCGTCCTACGCCACTGACCAGGGGAAATCATATCGGAAAATACTATGTCTTACTCACTGAGCCTCCGCGGCTCATAATAAGAAAAAAAACCATCTTTACAGAAAAGTACCATATTTCTTACTTTTATTTTGTACTAAATCTTATGCCTTTATTTTTACAGATTGTGTTAATCGATTAGAAATGAACTTGTCTATATCTTATTCTGAGTTTGACAAACTCTCTCGTGCTTATGAAAATATAAAACAGAGGGTAAGCAACATATCTAATACTGTTTGCGGTGTCATCCCAGTAAAAGTGGAAGTTTCACTCACAACTAATACTAATTCCTATAAAAAATCAAACCAATTTATTAACAACAATACGCATTCTATAGCGGCGATAATTATGTTATGTCGACCGGATTCTATTCATTTTATTTAAGATGCATTATGTAGGCCTATATAAAGAGCTAAATCTGCCCATTGTATATATTATTGTTTAGACATTTATTTACATGGCAAGCCCACAACCAGTCATCGAATTAGACCACCCACTCCATTTAATCGGTTAACGTTAAAATGGTAAATCGAAACCTCGTTTATTATCGTAGCAATGACAATAAGACTCTCACTATATATTATACTATTCTTGTCCAAGCTTCATCTTTAACTGGAATTAAAGCTCATTTAATTGAACGTTTTGAATTTATTTTGCAGATAAACAGAACTGAATTAAAAGAAAAGAAAAACACAACACCCCATAAAGGTAGACGATCTAACGACAAGAAGCAAGTAAAACAGATTGTACGTGATATGTCAGGTGGTGATAATAACAATCTGGATACAACTCTATAGGCCTAATACAGACCTATACTTTTAAATAAAACAGCTATAACTAAAATATTTTCAATCACGCATTCTTTGTTCGTATTTTTTGGGAATGATACTGAATGAATAAGGGAGCCGTAGTTGCTCAGTGGATAAGTCGCTGGATAGCTAACCTGGAGGTCCCCTCATATCTCAGGGCCTAAAATAACGTTACTTTCTCGTAGCACGGATTCTGTGTCCGCCCGCGTGCGCCGGTCCTAGGTGCGATGTTCAGAGCTGAAAAACGACACCTGTGGACTATTCTGGCGCAGTTTACATAGGAGTTTTTTTGGCTATGCGCAGCCTTTTTTCGCATGAAAACTCAGCACTAGGAAGATAATACACCACTTTTGTTACGATAATTTTTGAATTATAGTTCAAATTCTATCATCACATCAACACTCAAATTCTAGAAGTAACAAGGGTACAAACAAACAAACAAACAAACAAAACAAAAAAAAATCAAAAAAAATCGGATTATTGTCTTCTTTCTCTTCTTCACTTTCACTTTGGTCTTTTACCCTTTCAGGAAAATCCCCAATGTCGCTTGCCGACATTGTTTAGGCGGCGGTGGATCAAGCTCCGGATTGCCATCCATATTTAAATACTTAAAATCGCTGATGATACCGAAAATTCATGAAAATTATGTCAAAAGAAAACTTTTTCAAAGTGAAAGTGAAATGACGGTCAAGGACGCCGCGGATAGGACATAAAGCCTATTGAAAAACCTGACTAGTGAGCTGATGCGACTAGCGCTTACTCGCCTCATCCAAGGGAGTTGATCGAGCGCCAGCTGACCTGATCTGGGAAACTGACCACGACAAGAGGAAACACTCATATGGGCTCAGGAGGCATCGCTACCTTACACCATTTTTTTTCAGAGTCGCGTTTTTTTATTTTCGAAGCACGGGTTTTTCATTTCGAAGCACGTTCGTGCTCCAAGGCACGTGATTTTAGACCCTGTCCCATCCAGGTGTTGGTCTAGAACGTTCCTAAACTTTTACTGGAGTGGTTTCCCTTCGTCGTGCAAGGAGCAGCGTCTAATCGTTTGCATGGAACGAAACACAGAGGTCCCGTAAAAGAGCCCTTGACAGTTGGATTTAATAAGAGTAGGTAGTGGCGCCGATGTCCGGAAAAATTTCCTCATTGCACACTGCATGGCGTATGCCCATCTTCATTAGCCCGTGTACAAACTGGCGTTCGTGTAAAAAAAAAAAAACCCCAAAACACTGGACAGTTGGAATTTGAAATATGAGTATGACCGTAGTGCCGCTGGCCGGGGGAAAAAAATATGGTACACTATATGGCGTATGCCCATCGTCACCAGCACAGTCGGTGCAGAATATTAAAATTGGAATATTCCCCTTTCAGTCAAGGTGTTGTCTCTGGAAATGAGGATTACGTTCGATACACGGTCCATGGTTGAAGGCATATATTTATTTAGTTTATCTCTCCCTTCCGAAACTCGATTGGACCACGCCTGTCTTTATGATCCCAAATGTCTAAGAACGTCATCTTGGAATGGGTTAGATTAGAGCCCGGTCTCCCCTGCTCTGAACTAATTGGTCGTTCATGTACGGCATATTGAAAGATAGGCTGCCAGGCAACGAAACAAACGACCACAGCAACTAAGTCGTCTGGGAGTCAATAAGGGTTGTCGCTTATTACAACACACGAAAATCTGATTACAAGTAACAACCCATTTGGCTTCTATTTCTTCCCTATTCTAATATTTAGCATACAAAACATTTAATATAAATTTCCATAATCATCGGAAATCGTTGAAATTTGACAGGCTTCTTCATCTTATGACCTTAAACACTGTGCCTAGAGCGTCCACAAGATATTTCACAGTAATAATCGGAAACCGTTGAAAAACAATAGGATTTTTCGTCGCATGACCTTTTAACACTGTGTATAAATTTAAAGTCAATCGGATATTAACTTTAGCCTCGAGAGCGTCTACAAGTTTTTTTCAAAGTGATCAAGGACCATAACTCTGGCAGTAATTATCAGATATTGTTGAAAATGAATAGGCTTCTTCGTCTCATGACCTTAAACACTGTGTATAAGTTTAAAGTCAATCGGATATTAACTTTAGCCTCTAGAGCGCCCACAAAATTTTTCAAAGTGATCAAGGGTCATAACCCTGGCAGTAATCGGAAATCACTGAAAATCAATGTATAAATTCGTGTTTATAATATCCTAATAAACAACCCATTTGATCAGATTTTTGGCCAAAGGACGACGCGTGTACACAATACAGCAGTAAAATGCCAAATCTGTATGCTTACTATAGAGCCCAGTGAGCGTGTCGAACCACATATAGTGTCCCTTCCGGTTTAATAAAAATTAATTTCTCGCATACAAAAACTTTTTTGCTTGTGTTACAGAGGGGATTATTTACCAATATATATTTAAGATTTATGCAAACCTTGATGAAAATCGTTGGTCTTCCCCTTTAAATAAGTGGAATAAATACTTCTCAAAATTCTTGAAGTATACTTAGTGTTTTCGACTAAAATCATTGATTTAGCATAAAAGAGTCCTAATGTGGTAAACATTCAATCGTGAGACAGCAGCTTGATTCCAGAAGGGAAAAGATCTAGCAATTTCTATCAGCAGACTCGCCCATCGAGTCTGTCTGGCTAGTGTTTGAGAATGACTTTAGTATTGTAATCTATACTATGCTTGTATCCGGCTATGATATATATATATATATAAAATGTAAAGATAGGTTGCCAGGCAACGAAACATACGACCACAGCAACTAAATCGTCCGGGCAGTCAACAAGAGTTGTCACATATTTTTACTTTTTTCGTCTCATGACCTTCAACACTGTATAAATTTAAAGTCAATCGGATGTTAACTTTGACCTCTAGGGCGTCCACATTTTTTGAAGTGATCAAGGGCCATAACTCTGGAAGTAATTATCGGAAATCGCTGAAAATCAATAGGCTTCTTCGTCTCATGACCTTAAACACTGTGTATAAATTTAAAGTCAATGGGATATTAACTTTAGCCTCTAGAGCGCCCACAATCAACTGTGGACGCCGGATCGCCGGGGGCTACGACAATATACGACCACATTTCAATGTGGGCGTATAAAAACGAACTGTTGCATTGTTATAACTACTGAGAAGACAAACGTCTTAAGAAAACGTGAAGGGCGAGCAAAGACAACCGGAGTCAAATTCTAGACGATCACAAGGCTACTAAATTATGTAGTAAGAAAAGATGCATGGGTCGTGCGTAGGATGTGGCGACCGGTTTGATCAACATCCGCTCTCCACGTCTGACAAAAAGCCCATGGTGCTACATATTCTCAAGTGGAGCTAATTGTAGACAGCATCAGTTTTGTATGGTCAGTAACGTGTGTCCACCCACCTCAACGACGCCCCTCATGCAACGTGGCCGCATGGAGGAGACAAGCCTCTGAATCAGTGCCTCAGTGGTTCTCAACCTTATTTTGCCGACGGCACACCTTGAAATACGGAATACAACCGTAGACAGAAAAACACAGCTATGAACTTTCAGCAGACACTAGTGAATACTCAATTGGGATCACACTGCTCTGAATGATTGTACATGTAGTTAGATGAGTGGGCTGTCAAGTCAAAAGCAAAATTACATAGGCTTGTTCCTCTCATTCATTCCAACAAGTATAAATTTTGACAAGCTTTTATTTTCAATCTCCGCAAATTTGAAATTTGTCAAGAATTCTACCCCATTACCCTATACAGCATAAGAAATAGGCAATAACTGGAAGATATTTTATTAATAATCACAGTAGGTTACATAATTTAAGTGACCTATTTTATAAACATAATAATGATGAATCGTAAGGCTAACAAATTAAAAAGCTAGCATAAAAATATAACAGGCAAATATCAGAAAACCTTTCCTTGGTTTTCTACTATGTTAAAATAACAGTTCATTAACTATAACCAGGGTTTTTTCTTAAATCATAAAACATTTAATATAATGACATGCCAAAGGACAATTTGAAAAGTTTATCCCTAAAACTATTCTCTATTGAGACCTTTTCACTTACTGAAGATTGATCATGAACAAAGTAGGTACATGTACTGTACAGTGTGATACCAGGTAAAATTAAGTTAACAATGCACACTTAGTAATAATTAACTTGTTTATATCATTGATGGTTTATTTAAGTCTACAATTCTTTTTTTCTATTGGGGGGTGGGGGCATTATATATATATACCAACCTAATACCTATTATCCCGAGGGAACACATTCAAAACAGGTATGTTTTAGACATGTTGATGAATGTATTAAGTCTATAATAGCCATTTCTTGTATTTGCCCCTGCCAAACTGACTGTTAGTAGATTTTTGATCCGACATCATAAACAAGTACGCAATAAATTTACAACAAGGAATATCTGACAGGGCATTAAAAATTATACACATTATACACTAATAAGTTCAAAATACATGTATATTTTCATTAAAATCATAATGGCATCAATATCAGGAATGCTCTATATTAGATTCCTCCAGGGATTTAGAACAGTTTAATCTAATATCGCCAGCAGACATTGGATTTCTACGACTACTGACACCATTCTATCATCTAGCACTAAATAAGTATCATAATAACAAAATATATGTATATATCTAAAATATATACAGCTACTAATGGGCATCATTCATTTCACTTCATGCCATTCAATTATATTTTTAAACAATAGTCTCTTTATGATTTAAGCAGGGGATCTACCCTTTCAAAACCTAGTGCTGAGTTTATATAAATATTTTACTCTAGCAAGCATAAATAAAACAGAATCTAAATTTTCACTTACCCCTGCAACCAAACCATGAAATAAAGGATACACATATTACTAATGGTTCTTTCATGAAGAAGTTGGCCTCCTCATAAACTGTTGACTATTTTTTAATAATTACAGGGCTTATAATGATCCAATTACTCATAATGCAAACATTAATAAGTTGTGTAGAGTAAATTCTGATACTGTGTTACATAAAAAAAACTAACACTGACTAGGAGATTAATCTCATTTTGGGAAATGTCTTGAGTTTATTTTGAGCCAGAGAAAAAAATGATAGGTTCCCTGGCAACGAAACATATGCCCACAGCAGCTAAATTGTCCGAGCGGTCAACAAGGGTCGCATATTTATTCTTTTGTAGGTAATTCGGGGCATTTACAATACAATTTTATACGGATAAGATTATAATTTCTATCGTTTGAGGGTTCACAAGGTTCTACAAACTGCAACAAGGGCTTTAACTCTGGAAGTAATTTACAGAAATTGTTGAAATTTGACAGGCTTTTTCGTCTTACTAATTTAAATAATGCATATGAATTTCATACAGATAGGATGATAACTTTTGGCATTCGAACATTTACAAAGTAAAACAAGAACCATAAATCTAGAAGTAATTGACCGAAATTGCTGAAATTAAATAGACTTCTTTGTTTCACTAATTTAAATAATGCGTATAAAATTTTAAAAAGTTTGGATGATAACTTTTGGTGTTAGAAGCTTCACAAGGTTTAACAAAGTGAAACAAGGAACATAACTCTAGAAGTAATTAAATAAGCTTCTTCAATGCACTAATGTAAACAACATATATAAATTTTAAAACAATCGGGTGATAACTTTTGGCGTTAAGAACATTCACAAGAAATTGTGGACAACAGACGGATGGACCGATGGCAATAAGAACTGTTTTTGTTACAACTGCACTCAAATTTATAACCATATGCCTCAAATACAAAGTTGACATACATGTAGCTACAACTTTCAGTTACCTAACAACAAACCAATAAGCAACTTGATTGATTTAGGATCCAAGAAAGAGAAGTAACATGGATAAAACTATAACGAGCAACAAACCATGTGACCATTAAAAATAAGTCAATATCTCCACCAATCACAACAGTTGAAACAATCCGTCTGCTTTGGTTTTGATTACTGTAGTCAATTAGTCACTATTGTACTTCCACCATACCAATTATTAGGAATGACAAAACACGACTCGTGTCACTCATTGTAGTTCTGTCAATCCAAAATTCCGAAGAAATCATAATCAGGTTAAACCAAAGCATATATACAAAAAAGTGCACTAATTCAAAAATTGGCATGAACATAAAATTTACTGATTAAATAACAATGCAATATATAGCATACTATTGTCTTTCTAAATATAAGCTCGCTAAATGTAATATTAGTAATATTACTAGATTAAATCATGTTATATAACATATAATCAGTAAATATGTGACTTCACTACATATATTCCAGTTCTCACATAGACATATTAGGTCGGTGAATGTTGACATCACTAAAATAAGGATGTAATAAGGCAGCTTTTGCAGATACTCTTCGGCTTGGTTCGTAATATAACATTTTCTGAAATGGAAAGAATAGGTTTTAACAGTTTCTCGAGATAAACTCACAGATGATTTCAAACAAGTCATTCAGAAACATACAGTAGGATTTTCGAAGCATTCTCAAGCAATCTTTCTAACTTGGGATGAGAAATAGCACAATATCAACTTTAAAGTTTTGTATGATTCTGTGGCTGATCTGTATAACTTACTGAATGGTATCCGAGGTGCACCACCTCATTTAAAAAATTCAATGACTATTTATACTAGTCCATGTAAGGCCGCAGTTAATTAATTGTATGTTTCTCATGACCTGAGATTTTGAAAACAACATGCTATATGAGGTAATTATTAATTATTGAGATGAAATCCAAAACTTGACGAAAAAACTAAAGCAACATAAACTCTTATAGGTATGGGCATGCTGTGGTTTATAATATAAAGCTCTTCAGTCCATTGATAAGTACACAGGAAGAGATCTTTTTAAAGAAAACTCTGGGCTCAGGGCTAGTATATTTCATAAGATTTCTTAGGAGTATGCGATCTGTTTCTAAAATATAAAAATTTATTTGATTAAAGATAAAGTCTTTAGCAACTCCTAAGAAAGTTCTTTGAATTAAGGCATTTTTCTCTCTCAAACACATTAATTTCTGAGTAGATATATTTTTTAAATTTTTGAACACAATTAATATCTATAGGGTATTTTAAAGTTTCCAACAACTTTAGAGTAATAATATCAAAGATGTCTGGTCAATAGCGATCCAGTCGTTTCCATTTCTGACCAAAACTTCGTCAACTTCGAACGAATTTTGAGTCAGCACTAAGTCTAAAAAATTGACACTCGTACCGTTGTTTCTACTTTCAGTTTCACTATCAACATGTGCGAGTCAATGTCTCGAATTTCTCTATGAATGAGGCACATACGGTTGTGTAATCGACTCTTTCTCTGGGAAAATCTTTGCTGTTGGTTTTAACAGTATAAGTGAATTTTTCGTTAGGACAACAGTACATGTGCAAACAACCATTTTGTTGTGCAAAGCAGACAAAATTTATCAAAGGAAAAACGTGACTGGTTAATACTTCCATGGATCTACATTGTATTACTGTTGTCATTCCTTTTTAAATATGTCTCAGCGATAATTAGAAATTAACATAAATCCTTAATGCAAACAGCGGCTGCCAGGCATGATACGCCTACTTTTTCGAGAGATGGATAGAGAACAAGCTAAAAAAGAAAGTGATTTTTCCTACAATCAAGGGCCATAATTCAGGAAATTACAATTCAATATGCGCAAATATCGAAAGGAAACAAGATCTTTGTGTTATAAACTTACATTTCAAGTAACAACAAAATCGGATAAAAATTGTGACCTCTATGGGGTCCACAACCTTGATATACCATATTTTTACGTTATTTGAGAACGAACAGCGGCCATTTTGTCTGTCAATTTTGGGCCGATTTACATGAAATTCGAACTCAGCCATCCTTAGGGTGTAACGGTGATATAATACGTTTTTTTAAATCGGATAAATATTATGACCTCTATAGGGTCCACAAGCTAAAAACGTGATTTTTCGTACAGTCAGGGGCCATAATTCAGGAAGTTACGGTCCGATATGCGCGAATATCAAAAGGAACTGAGATCTTTGGGTTATAAACTTACATTTCAAGTTTAAACAAAATCGGATAAAAATTGTAACCTCTATAGGGTCCACAACCTTGATATACCATATTTTTTTACGCTATTTGAGAACGAACGGCGGCCATTTTGTCTGTCAATTTTGGGCCGATTTTCATGAAATTCAAACTCAGCCATCCTTAGGGTGTAACGGTGATATAATAATACTTTTTTTTAAATCGGATAAAAATTATGACTTCTATAGGGTCCACAAGCTAAAAAACGCTATTTTTCGTACAATCAGGGGCCATAATTCAGGAAGTTACAGTCCGATATGCGCGAATATCGAAAGGAACCAAGATCTTTGGGTTATAAACTTACATTTCAAGTTTCAACAAAATCGGATAATAATTGTGACCTCTATAGTGTCCACAAGCTAAAAACGTGATTTTCCATACAAACAGGGGCCATAATCCATGAAGTTTCGATCCGATACATGCCAATATCAAAAGGAACCAAGATCTTATGGAGATAAACCTATATTTCAAGTTTCGTCAAAATCGGATAAGAATTGTGACCTGTAGAGTGTCCACAACCAAATTGTGCGGACGGATAGGGGCGACATGAAAATGTGGGCGTATAAAATGTTTAACAACCGAGTTTATGGAATTTATTCGATAATATACGACACCATGTATTAAAATTTCTTCCAAGACGACAGTCTTGTTAAAATCACTGACTAAAATGTGTCTGGGTAATCGTGATGGCTTCATATTAGAACTTTCGGTTTTACGGAAAGACTTCGTATTTTTGCCGATTTAATTATACGCCATAGACCCGTGGAGTTATAAATAGAACAGTTTAATAGAACAGTATAATATGCTTTATATTCAGTTACATATTTATGGATACAATAAACAGATTATCGCTGAGGCAAAAAAAAAATGTGGCTTTACAAATATTATCAATGAATTTTCTCCTTACTAAATTTGACCGAATCATTAAAGAAGTGCTTGATTATTACGGATGAAAACAGACATGCGGGCGGGTCATGAGAAACAGACAATTAATTAACCGCAGCCTAATGGAAACAATGATAATGTCAATTGCATTCATTTTTTCTGTCATTTAGTTCTTTTAGGAAAAGTTTTGTTTATTTCAGAAAATGAACACATGCACTCACTGTTATTAAATCTTTGCCTTCTTCAGCTAAGACAGTGACTACATTAGCTATTGGTTGTGACGGCCATCTTGGAAATGTTGTTTTAAAATCAGGTAACTGTGATATGCCAGGCCATGTTGTTTCATCTGGTGTACCTGAATCCAATTACATACAAATTAAAATCATATTACTGTATGGTGTTATTTTGTCCATTGCCAATTTGAACTAGGCCCGGGGCAACCAGAGTTTGAGAATTAGCCTATAAAGCTACTGGAAGACGGATTCTTAATCTTTTAACATTAATTAGAAATTTTGAATAATAAGTCCCAAAAACAGTGAATCAAGTCTATAATCAGTGTTTCCGCTAGCCTTCAAAATTTACCGATACACCATACCTGTAAAGGTTAAAAATACTGGTACACTCGTAATTTTACCAGTCTGATGAAAACCAAATTTTACCACTTATTAATCTTGTAAATGTATTCAAATAGAGGGAGAAAGAGAAATGGGGTTTAACGTCCACTCGACACAAACTAGGTCATTTCGGGACTAACATATGGTTTAATTTTATTTCAATAATTCGCTTGCGCGTAGGGGTCTTTAGCAGTGGGAGGAAACCGGAGGACCCGGAGAAAACCCACAAGGTTGGACAGGCGAACCTACTCCTTGTCACGTACAACCGGGGATTCGAAACCACGCCAGTCGACTCAATGACAGACTTTATGATACAGCGCGCACGCGCTAACCATTCAGCCATCCAACCCCCCTGTATTAAAATAAATAAACACTTCACTGAAACATATTGTGAAAATAAGCCAGCTGAATCTCATCATGGATTGTATTGTGAATCGCGAGAATCGCACGTCCTTGACGCTCCATATGAATTCCAGGTAGATATTAAAATAATAATTGGATCATACATTTGATGGTTTCACAGACCAGTTGTTAGTTAAATTTAAATCTTCATTGAATATGATCCACTGATAGAACACCGAATGCTCCGAGAAACAGTCATTAATAATATATTTTCCCAACAAAATCTCCAATGCCGAATACCGATAAAACTGCTGGAATTAGGTCAATGAATCAGAGATGTTAGCTTTAGTTTTAAATACTGTTTAACGTCATGATTTTTATTTTATACTTTATACACATGCTGACAGAAGCTCTATTTTATAAATGTTGTCGTTATTATTGAAGGCTATGACATAGTTAACAAAATTTTATTTTAAAGCACAAGATTTTTGACACAAGTTATGAATGGAAAGATAAAGTTGTAGTCAATTTTGTTGACGTTTACGATTTTCCATTATCACTGTTTACCGGTCCCATGGATCGTCGGGAAGATAATTTACCAGTACCCGTTAAAATTTACCAGTATAAAACTGAAAAATACCGGTTATCGGAAACTCTGATAATATGATCTGACTCCATGCAAATTGAAATATTCCTAACTATTTAGCCATCCTATACTTACCCAAAGTTCGAAAAATTCGGAAAAGTTGGTCAATTTCTGAATCTCCAGGGAAAAGTGGTCTTCTTGTAATCTGAAAGAATTACGAAGAATATATATACAGTGGACTCTGTCACATCCGACATCGTACGGGATCGGTTACAATAATTCGGATCACACAGCGTTTCGGAATACCGAGCTTTCTCCAAAACCGGAAATACTGTAACTTCGAAAACCGGAAGTATTTTTATATTGTAGCTTCGAATCACCAGAATGCTATTCCCTTTATAAATGATAAACTTTTCTGTACTTTCAAAATTTTATTACATTAAATAATTAACAATAACAATGCATGCGTACAATAATTCATAAAATCATTTACATGTAATATCAATGCATGCTTACAATATATTTATAAATATCAATGCATGTAATCGTTTAAAGTAGTTTGCTTAAGATTAACGGCTAAATCCTTCTGCGCAGGTCATGGAACTTTCTCGAAATCTGCTATAAGTTGCCGCTTTACATCTAATGTCAAATCTGTTCGGGCACGCTTTGCAGGACGTTCAGACATTTTGAATACAATAATGTATAATGATTCTTCAATCACGGCAATTTTTATATAATGTCGCGGTAAAGTATTCAACAAAGAATTTATAACATTATCAAAGTAATCAACACAGACCGGCGCTTGCGAGTTTTAATCTCACCGATAATTGATTGGTGATTGCTTGTTAATCTTTTCTGGCTCCACACCCATTGAGTTTTAATCTCACCGATAATTGGATGCTTCACACCCACCGTTTGAAGTACGGATTATACGGTGTCGTTTCAATGGAAATTATGTGACGGGACGGCTGATTGATGTCGGAATCTGGAACATACAGAATTCGGAATTACCAGCGATTTTTTGGCTGAAGTAATAAGGAAATAAATCGGGACATGAAAATCGTGTCAGATGTCACATCCGGAGTGATCAGAGATCGAATGTGACAGAGTCCACTGTGTATATATATATATATATATATATATATATATATCTGGTGTACCTGAAACCAATTACCTACAAATTAAAATCATATTACTGTACCGTGTTATATACGTCATATAAAATATCTGAAGACACCCATAGAAGGCAGACAGCTAGCTTATATGATTTAATGTATGTCAGAATGAAGTAAAGTGGAGAATTTTTTACCTGGATGTTTTTTTTAAAATTTATTTATGAATTTATCTACCGTAAACAAAGAAGTACATTTACTTTAATATATATATATATATACTTTAAATCAATACTTTAAATGGATTTCAAACCGCAGGCCAGTTCCTGGTGTGACTTAAAGGGATAATCAACTGGTCAGTTTATTTTACTTTGTAAACGTTTGCCTGCTAGACACTAAATGTTCACGTGGCTGATGAGAGACACTGTTAAGTTTAATACAAACAGTAAGAAACCACTAGACATCTACTTGCAATGCAGTTCTTTATATGGGATCAGCTTCCACTTAACACAAACTAGACAATAATTCTCTTGTATATAGTGGGAGGAAACTGGATACATAATGGTAGTGTAGTGTCTCTACTCCTTGGTCACATTCAAGTCTGGGATCAAAATAACAACCCAAGCCACTTCTCATTTAAAGTAATCCAGCTAAATAGTTTTAACTGTGCACAGCCCCAAGTACAAATTTATTTCGTTTTTTATAAACAGGTTAATACATGTATATCGGCTGCAGCTTTCACTCACTGTAAACAAGTTATGGGCATATTTAATTATTTTAAAAGCCTTTCGAGGGTTGCCCTGATAACAAAACAGCAAGCATCTTAAAGATACATTATGGGAGATTAGATAAAGAGCTGTCAGTTCTCACACTATATATAGTTAAAAACTAGATAATGTAAAGGGTATTTGCTGAAAATTTCAGTCAAATTGATCCACTCTGAACTGAGAATTTAGCGATTGAATTTTCGGGCTAGCCTCGATCATCATTACTGTACTAAAGTCGGTACGATAAAAAAAACATAGTCTCGATTATCCATTTCATGATTTAATCATGAATGAGAGTTGAGCAGAAAATCCGACCCTAATTCAGTAAATATCGCAGGCTAGCGATTACATTGAGGTGGATTATGGTCTGGATGAATTAATTAATGTCTAATTAATATTTTAGGTAACATTTCAGGCCTAAAGAAAGACCTGCAATAGGCAGATTTAGCTCCTGTATAATGTATGTTTAACTGGTTAATCAAACGATTTGTACTTCAGGTTCTGCATTTTTGACACTATATCAGATAATGACTTTTCTGTTAAATGTAATAGAAACTAACCATTTCGGCAAAGATACATCCCAAGCTCCATACATCTACAGGTGTTGAATAAAATCGACTACCAAGAAGAATTTCTGGAGCTCTGTACCATAATGTCACAACCTTAAAAAAAATAACATCATTAGGCTACACAAAATAAATGTCTTGTTTCTCGGGCAACTGACAGCTGAAACTGTAGGGGGGGAGGGCGGTTTATTTTTTTTTTTTATCTCATTTATGGCTAGAGGATGGTGCAAAATAAAATTTGCCTATTGTTGAAAATTGTTTGGGCGGGAGGGCGGCCTTGTATTTTTTTTTTTTTTTTAATGAGAAAGTCATTACTTGTCTACGGTTTTGCTTTCAATTATATATTATACATACTTAGAACATAAACCCAAAAATCAAGTCTACTCAAACACTGAACACTGACTGAAAGGAAAATAATTTTCCATATTTAATTCACGTAATGTAGCTTACTAATGGTAATGGTGACAACCATAATTGAAATTGGTTTAAAATAAAATTCCGTACGACTATTAATAGCCGTCCATAGTAACGACAATATTTTAAAGAGTAAACCTCTGTCAGCATGTGTATCAAAAATAATCATCACGGTAAACCACACTGCGATCTAAATCTAGTACCGCTGGTTTATAATGATTGACCTAATTCCAACCAATGTCACGTGTCATCGGTATATGACTGTTTCTCAGGTTATTCGGTGTGTTTCTCAGGATATTCGGTGTTCTATCTGGGGTTTATATCGAATGAGTATTTAAATTTAACTAACAACTCGTCAGTAAAACCATCAAATGTGTAATCCAATTATTATTTTCCGGATTATCAAAACTATCGTTAAATGTGCTAATGACCCAGATTCTGACTAAGGTATGGTGACTATCATCGTATCGTATTCGTAGCCACAAGTTATAATAATTAACCTGTTCTACGATTCATTGTTTTATAAGTAGGATTTTTTCAAACATGGACCGACTGAAGCCAGCAATAATGAGCCGATTAAGATCGAATGATTGAAATACATTGCATTGTTGTCAATGACTTTCGATGTTTAACATGAATCAAATTCTAGTTCACAAGGGGAGGTAATTAAAATCACGTGATACAAAAATGGAGGTTCTTTCGATATCAATAAAAAAAGACCCGTAAATGAGCGTTTACATCTGAATCAGTTTAATACATTTGAATGGATATTCACGTATGGGGCATGTAGATACATGCGGCATATTTTTTTTATGACTTGCTTATCGATGTTCGGGCGGGCGTTACATATTTTTTATTTTTCATCAAGACTAATAAATAGGCCGCACGCGCAACCAATTTTGCGTGCGGGCGGTGCCCGAGAAACAACTTATTTTATTTGTGTTGCCTTAAATACTTTTCACAATGCTTTGTTAAAACAATCTCTAGACCTATAGTTAGGTATAAACAGGGTCAAGAATTGTTATTAATTGTGAAACACTTCAATTAGAACTTACTTTTGAAACATATTACATCAGACTTTTATTATGAATCATTTTCTTACCTCATGAGTATATGTCCTTACAGGAACACCAAATGCCCTTGCTAAACCAAAATCTGCCAGTTTTATATTGCCTTGCATATCGATTAACAAATTTTGTGGTTTCAAGTCTCGGTGTAAAACTCTGTGGGCATGACAGAAAGCAATACCTTGTAACAGTTGAAACATATAACTCTGGAAACAGATAAATCTAAGGTATAACAAAAATAAACCTAGGATATGGTAATCTTAGGATCAGATGAGATCATGGAGGACAAAAGAATTTGCAAATGTAATCTTTTGAACGTTAAGTCACTATTTGGCTATTGTAAATCTTTCGTAGTGTACCCTCAGGCTCTATTGTATTTCTGCTGATATATTATATTAGGATCTCAAATTTTTGAAAATAAGGTACCGATCGCCTGGCAAAGAAAAGTATCTAGATGTGGGAATAGTACAAAAAGAGTGCTAAAAAAATGCCTGAAATTTGGGGTTTGATGAAGAGTATGCAGAAACATTTTACCTGACATGCCCTATCCCTGCCTTCATTAGCCTGGCTGGTGCATAAAAGTAGGACATTAAACATACATTATGCAAGAGCTAAATCTGCCTATTTCAGGTCTTTCTTTAGGCCCGAAATGTTATCTAAATTATTAATTAGACATTAATTAACCTATCCAGGCCATAATCAACTCTAGATGGCAGCACTAGCCTGCGATCTTTAGTGGATTGTAGGCCGATTTACTGCATAACTTCCCTTCTCTATTAAACGATTAAATGGGTAATCGAGACTATGCTGTTTATCGTACTGACTTTAGTAATGATGACCGAGGCTTATGGGAATTTCAGTCGCTCAGTTCTCGGTTCATAGTGGATCAATTTGAATGAAATTTTCACCAAATTGCCTTTACATTATCTAGTTTTTAACTATTATAGTAAGAACTTTCAACTCGTTACCGAATCTCCCATAATGTATCTTTAAACAATATTTCATTTCTTATAAATGTAAATGAGGATTGTATATCAACACTGATTTCAATATCTATTAAAGCAATCAGTATTGCTTGCTGACTGTGATAAATTATTTCAGTTGCGGTAACTTAAATATCTAATGGAAGTTACACACCATCTTTGTTATATCAGCTAAGCCTTAGAAAATGCATACAGGCCATTTAAAAATAGGTATGATTGTACGTAGGTATATTCTAAAGAGTAAATGTTTCAGTTCATGTAATACCTTCACAAGCTGTGATGCTAGACCAGAAGGTGGTGCCATATCCATATATTTCTTCAAATCTTGATTTAAATATTCAAACACCAAATACAATTTCATTTCACTGTGAATCACATCCAGTAATCTGAAAAACATAAATATAATGTACATGTATCACAATTAGTAAGAAAAAACAGAAACAAGCAACAAACAGCTCAACTTTTATTTTTAGACGTCATTGGCTGCTACTAATTCCCAAAGATGGTCAGACATGAAATGGGGTTTAACGGTTAACTAACCAAGCTATAATATGAACACACCATGCAGTGGGCTATGAGGGAAATTCAAACTTTTAAGGGTTCTTTTATGTCCATGCCAACATGTACATGGGATCTTGGTTTTTAGTTCCACCCAAAACAACTAGCCCAGATGCTTTCTTGACAGTATTGAATATACATTATGGCAATGAACATTAGTATTGAACCAGTGTATCGAATATTATCAGGGGTAGATCTAGGAATTTTGAAAAGGGGGGGCGCCACAAAATGAGGGCATTTGGGGTGGGGGGGAGTCCCCCAAGAAAATTATCTGTCATTTCCTTGCATCTGTAGCCATTCCAAGAGCTATTTGGCTGATGTTTTCGTCTTAGTAAACGTTCAGAAATTGTTGAAAAAGAGCCTTAAAATCGAGCAAAAAAGTCAGTTGAACATGCGACTCGAAAATTGTCAAGGCGAGCGAGGCATTATGATGGAAAAAAAAGACAAATCTATTCCCTAGCCCCTCACTATTTAAGCCTTGTAACTTGTACTTTGTACTGTCCACACATGAAACAATGCTACATCAAGTTGCACTCATGCGCGTCGGTGATGGGCATGAGTGTATACGCCGCCGATTCCACAAGATGTCTGTCTATAGTCACTCTATAGGATTAGGGCACCGTCAGCTAAACAACAAGAATTCGTTTGAAAGTGGAAGCATTAATTAGACCAGACTGGTGTGTTTGAATCGATGGTTTAAGTCATTTGGGATCCCTGCAACAGGTTGGGAACGGACATATTTGGGTCTGAGAAAGTGCACTTTCAGCAGTAAAAAAGGGCACTGTCAAAAATTAGGGGGGGGGGGCGCCCCTCGCCCCCCCCCCCTTAAATCCGCCTCTGATTATTTACCAGTTTGTTCTACTATGGTGGTCACGACTATTATTATAGTAATGATTAAGTCAGAACAATGCACAGATTATAGGTGCAAAAGACATCATTACCTGACAACATTAGGATGTTCTAATTCTTTCAGAAGGGATATTTCTCTTATGGCTGTGCTTGGTACACCTTCAGACTCACTGAAAAAAAAAGTGGTGCTTAGATACTTGGAAGCTTAAGATTTAGTTTGTTATTATAGGCAGTATGCAGTTATTTATCTTTTTATTTACATTACAGATAGTCCATCAAATCTGAAATCTCCATGTATGTACGCCTACACTAACACTGTCATTACCGGTACCAAATTTTCTTACGCATATTGTGTTGACCACCTCACCTGGTAAATTAAATACTCCATACTGTACATACTACAGTATTAGTAACCTTATTTCATTGCAGGCAAATCCTGAACAAGAATTAACAACCTGTCCACCACTTGCATTGTGTAGGGTAAGAATCAACAGGCCTGGTGTAGATGACTAGATCTACTATTGTTAGCCTTCTCTATCGTCTCCTGTTTTAATTTTGACAGCACTAGCCTACCCTATGTAGCCTACCAGTAGGCCTAAATGATATTAATAATCACAATGGTAGGACTTTTCCTGAAGGGGTTTGTATTCCTGCTGCCTTTCTATGTTTGGTTCAGTAGTTGACATTTAAAATGAACACAACCCTACTCATCAAGAGAAATGAAAGTTTTTGTTTTCATGTTTAAAACCAAATTATTTATTTTATTTGCTTACGAATCAAGGCGTATTTTCTTGAGTGCAACTAAGTGGCCGGTGATCTTGTCTCTGGCTTTATAGACGACTCCATAAGTTCCTTCGCCGATCTTTTCTATCTTCTGGAAATTCTCCATGATTAGTGGAACAATCCTACCCCATATATCTCAGTATTTTGATCCTGATGATCAGTGATGTCCCGATATTTCCAGACGATAACAACCCTCCTTTCTTCACGCCTGGGTGTTTCCCGCGCTACCTATTGTGCGGGAATATTTTCATTCATTCCATTGGACACATTTGGTAAAGCGTGGGTCAATTTAGGTTCAAGGGGCGGGGCTAATCAATGTTTTTGTTTACGTCCGTATCGCATCTTTCTTTCCGGCAAACTTTGATGCATTTATTTGAACAACTTCTTGTTATATAATCTAGTTTTGAAGATTTTTTAGTTGCTAAATAAGAAATGTAATATTCTACGTCGATTTTGAAACGTGTCTTGAAGTATAAGAATTTACAAATTACAGCAGACGATTTTAGCGGAGAACGCTAGATCGGAGACGGTCCTGCGCATGTGACGTCATATATAATGTGGATTGTGCGCTAGGGTTAGGCTTGGTCCAGGGTTAGGATTAGGGTTAGCTGCCTGTTTACATCTCGAGACTGACAAAATCTGCAGGTACAACTCTTAGCAGACCTCTGTTGGAATGGTTAAAGGGAGACTACTCTATTTATTTTAATGTCTCATGAGTTTCGTCTCGAATCCACAAAAAGTAGAAAAGAGGCAGCAGGTCCAAGACTAGGCTATGTTTAATTGACCTTTTACCCAGAAAAGGTACACCTCTTCGCGAGACACGCCGTCTTGAGCATCACAGCAAAATGTGTCATATTTTTGGTCCCTACTTTTAAAAGTATTCTGCAACACCCAACTAAAATGAAGCATAATATAAATGATAAACCTTACCTCACCTGACAGACAAGGGATCAAATATGATCTCCTGACTCATGAATAGTCAAATCAGTTGAAATGATCATATACTCTTCCAAAAAAGTATGGGATATTGAAATGCAAATACCTATGCAGGTTGTGATATGATAAATAGCCTAGTCATGGACACTTGACATATGGTCATATGCTTTAAGAGTAGGGCCAATGTTCACAAATCACAGATGAAGAACTTATCGCCCCTGTGGAATAGAACCACTGAGCTGCACATGCGACACGCAACAGCGCCATACACGTGGGAGGGGTTCATTATCAAATTTGACACTTCAAGGAAGGGTTGATGAAAACTTCCGTGTGTTGGTTTATCCTATCCATGTTTGCTTTCCTATCGGTTCTTGCATTACACTAGCGTATCTTTGCTTTAGTATGTTACGTTTAATTTGCAATGAGACGTCTTCAACATGATGAACGTCTACGTGCTATAATTGGCATGCTTCAAATGGGTTCTACACAGCGAGCAGTAGCCAACATGCTTAATGTGTCACAGTCTGTGATCAGCAGACTGTGGAACCGGTACCAACAAACACACAATGCCGATGATAGACCTCGTTCAGGTCATCCTATAGCATTTACACAAGCCCTGGATCGATACCTTCGTACACAGGTCCTGCGAAATCGAGAACTAACGGCCAATCAGCTTTCTGTAAACTTGTACCAAGTTACAGAAATTCGAGTTACACCCCAAACGATTAGAAATCGGCTACATGCAGCCCATATGCATGCGCGACGACCGCGTGTTGTGCCTCCATTTACTCGCCAACACATGGAAAACAGGCGTCAATGGTGTAGGCAGTGTAGAAATTGGGATAATCGTCGATGAGTGCGTGTAATGTTCTCAGATGAGTCAAGATTTACTCTGGATTTCCCCAATAGGCGTGCTCACGTTTAGAGGTGTGTAAGTTAGCGTCCTGCTAACGTTATTGTCAGACAGCATGAGAGATTCGGGCATTGGTCTGTTATGGTGTGGGGAGGAATCACCATGACTGGCAGAACGGACTTGCATATTGTTCAAGGAAGGGTCACTTGTGTGTACTACCGTGACCACATCCTGGCACCGATAGTTCTGCCCTTTGCTCAACGTGCAGGTTGACGTTTCATCTTTCAAGATGATAATGCTCGTGCCCACCGCACTTGTGTCGTGAATGACTACCTCCAGCGTCACCATATTGTCCATATGCCTTGGCCAGCCATGAGTCCTGACATGATCGGGAGACGTGTTCGTCGACGTCAACGTCAACCGACAACACTGCAAGAATTGGCCGTGGCACTGCAAGAGGAGTGGGTCAGATTGCCCCAAATCGTTATTGGACGGTTGATTAGGAGCATGCCACAACGAATTGCTGAATATCTGAGGATTGTGGGAGCAATTACTCATTATTAAGACAGAAATCAAAAACGTCATTTTTACTTTTGACACTGTATCTCTTTGCGAGTGAAATGGGGCCGTCAGTTAAGTCGCCCATATGAACTGTTTATGTTCATGTGTAGGCAGTTGGCCTATTATTAACATACACTGGTTACCTCTAATAAAAATAGCAGTGCATTACCGCAGTTTTGTATTGTTTCTGAATATCCCCTACTTTTTTTGAAGAGTATAATATAAAGACGGTATACACTGTTGTGCTGTGAGGGAAATTTTGTCCAGACCATGCCGCTGGCCTATAGGCCTACTTCTATATAGTTAGGCTACATGTAATTTCTCCAGGTACCACTATCAAAATAAACCCTGCATAAGTGAATTATTGAAGTAAAAATATACCTGTTAGTACTGAAATTATCTGATTGTCTCTCTTACAAACTTAATAATCATACTTAAAATGTATATTTTACTTGAAATGACCCAATAATCATACCTTTTTCAAGTAAAATATACATTTTAAGTAAATATGGTCAATAGTAATGATTTATATAATTTTTGTTTGCAGTAAATGTGAAACTGTTAAAGGAGCTAAGTCGCTAATATTTGGGACCTAGAAATTGACACAAATGGGTCGCAACGCATACAATAATGTAATATGAATGTATATAAATTGATTTACATTCAATCGTTTATGTTTTTACTGTAATTTCTAATCAGTTAGGTTCGGCGAAATACGCCAGTATTCTCAATCGAATTTCAATCTCTGGCATCTGGTTTTTCCAGTCTATGCCGATAGTATTTATTGGGCATGCTCTCCAGATAAGAGTATAGCGTCACCGTTTGACATGACTTGTGGAATATGCCTAGCCTCGTTTTTCGAGTCCCTTATTACAAATAGCGCTGAAACGCATTATGGTACACGATTCGTGTACCAATTGTAAAATGTTTATTTTGTTTTAAATATTGGATATCAGAAGGCCATTTTTTCCTGGTAAGATCACAACATCAATGTTGATTTAAAGCGACAAATAAATCGTGTGCTCAATGTCGAAGATTTTGGATGATATTGAATTAGAGACTTAGCTACTTGAAATCTTAATTAGAAGACGGATGTTTTAAATTTGTCTAAAGCAAACAACTATTTGACGAGGACCATGGATTTTAAAGATTTTATTTCACAATGTAATGGACCTCTGATATTTAACAACAACTTGAATTGCCCAGCTATTGAATGGACTCCACAAGTGTTAACAGATCTTCTCAACAACAAGATGATGAAATGTAAAATTGGTCCAAAAAATCCTGAAGGTAAAAATGAAATGCCCGACTTGAAGTTTATACATGTATGTCATAATATCCCCACCAGTTAGTTGGTTCATGAAATCAATGAATCATCAATATTGATATTACTTTTTCCATTTGAAAATGTTGCCAGAGCAGCAACATACTCCGGTTTATATACACCCGCTCAAAAATTAAGCACCACCAGATTTTTTTGATATGATTGAACTAACCCCCACTGTGTATCAATAACTGCTGCAAAACTTTCCTTGAATATGCCATCTCTGTGTTTGTATGACAGCAAACTTGTATTACACATGATAAATGACTACATAAATTGAGAAAGAAATGTTTAATGAACAATATTTCAATACATGAATATTTCAGCAAATTTGATAGCCAATAAAGTATCCCTGTCCACAGAAACCGGTCAACTGTTTTTCATCCGAAAGGTCTTGAAATAACTTGTTAATTGTCTCTCTTACTTCACCCAAATTGCAGTTAATATCGGGTGTAACCTCCTCTGACACCGATGCAATTTTCCACACGCCTCCTCATGCTGGAAATGAGTCGTCTGATTTGATTTTGTGGAATATTATTCCATTCCTCTCGAAGAGCCTGTGTAAGTTCAGAAAGATTTTGTACACCAGGGACCCGTGCTCGCACCCTGCGATCCAAAATGTCCCATAAATGTTCAAACGGATTGAGGTCAGGGCTTCTTGCTGGCCAAGGGAGAGTGTCAATGGCGTTACGTCGAAGATATTCCCTCACCACATTGGCTCGGTGGGGCCGGGCATTATGGTCCATAAAGATTGGTCGACTCGCCAACGCGTGGTTGTCGAAATGGGGCACAATTTCCCTTTGGAGGATTTGATTTTGATATCTGTCGCCATTGAGGTTGCCTTGAACTTGAATCAGCTCCAGTTTGCAGTCATATGAACAGCATCCCCAGACCATAACAGAACCACCACCGAATGGAATCTGTGGCTGGATGTTATGCTGTTGGTAAGCAGTGCCTCGTGGACGCCAAATCCGGAATCCCCCGTCAGTTACATGTAACAGAAACCGACTTTCCTCCGACCAATGGACACATCTCCAAGACCGGATGTTCCAACCACTCCTTGCGTTGCACCACTGTAATCGTTCTTGGATATGTCTCTGAGTAAGGAGAGGACGTCTGATAAGTCTATGTGCTGCCAGTCCACCTGCTTTTAGTCGTGGTTTCACCGTACTAAGAGACAATCGGGTGTTGATTAGCCACCTGTCTCTGAGACTCCGACTTGTCGATCTCGGGTCCTGTCTGGCATGTCTTACAAGGAGTCGGTCATCACGAGGTGTGTTTTTTCGTGGTCTTCCACTTCGTTGACGATCTTTGACTTCCCCCGTAGCTCTGTGCTTCCTTACAGGACGACTGATGACGCTGTGGTTTATGTTATGTTGCCGTCCAATTTCCCTACATGACATGCCAGCATTTCGCATTCCGATGATTTGCCACCTCTCATTGTTATTAATACGCCGTCGAGGCATAGGTCCAATGCGTTTTTCAATCGCTTTACGCCTCTGAAACCTTTTAGCAATGACAGGACTAAACTTCGATTTTTACAGTTGTATGGTCACCTTGCTACAGTGACTTTCATCGGGCACGTGCATGTCATGCAAAGTTGTTTTTGCATGTTACCGCTCTATAACGTAACCTAGTTTTAAACATCATTGACCGTTTTCTTCTATGTTGAATTTTCGCTTCAAAATTTATTATTGAAGTTGGTGGTGCTTAATTTTTGAGCGGGTGTATATTATAACTTCTAAATAAAGTATAGATTTCCCCAAGCAATGAACTGTAACTTCTGGTGTGGTATTGGTCTTTTCTGGAGGTTCTCATTGGTAAAGTAAAATGTTCCTCTTTGGGGGTTTTGGGGGTCAGTCAGTGATCTAACTCGTGCACTGTAGATCACAAGGTCTTTCACTGAATCAAGTAATGATTTTGAGCCCAAGCTTGTATGTGACAAGGAGTAGGGTCGTCTGACCAACCTTCTTGGTTTTCTCAGTGTCCCCCAGCTGCCTCCCACTGCTAAAGAGCCCAACATGCAAGCAAATTATTGAAAAAATATTGTACCATATGTTAGTCCTGAAATGACCATTTTTTGTTGGTGGACATTAGACCATCATTTCTGGCTCTCTCAAAATATTCCTCATAAATGTTAGTTTTTATTATAAATACCTCCACCACCTGTATTAAACATACATTATGCAAGAGCTAAATCTGTCTATTGCAGGTCTTTCTTTAGGCCTGAAATGTTATCTAAATTATTAATTAGACATTAAATCGGCTCATAATCCACTAAAGATCGCAGTTGATTATGTTCTGGATAAGTTAATTAATGTCTAATTAATAATTTAGATAACATTTCAGGCCTAAAGAAAGACCTGTAATAGACAAATTTAGCTCTTGCATAATGTGTGTTTAATGTGTGTGCGAAGTGAACAAATATAAGAGTTCAGATAAGCAATATAGTAGAGAAAAAAGTGGTGGACAGATTCTGAAATTGTTTTACATATTAACTACCTGTTGTTTTCCTTTTCATATATGGAATTAGTGTATCTTATTTGTTATGAATTTTACAGATACAGTGTTTGAAACTGATTGTTTATATTTAAATGTAACATTAAGAGATTTTATTGACTGGTGTGAAGGAAACGTAAAAGAATCTAACTCTTTAGCAGAAATTGACAAGGAAAAGTTCTTTTGTTATGTAGATTATAAATATATGCCTGATTTATTTGAAGACAGTCCTGATTTATTGGAGGTATTTTACATCATATTAATTTATAATTAATGATGATCAAAGCATTTCATATCCAAAATTTAAATGATTTCATGAAAAATCGACAAAATTATGGATGAGTGAAATTAACAAAAATACACTGTCTGTGATTAGTAAGAGCATTTTTGTCCAAATTGTAATCCATAATTTTGTAAAAAAAATTTATACAGTTCAGTAATGAATAATCGAAATAAATAAGGCATGTTTTCCCTATTTTGACACCTGGGCAGTTAAGAATATCATTGATGTAAATCATGCATTTTTATACACCCACATTTTCATGTGGACGTATACTGTCGTTGTCCCAGTCCGTCTGGATGTACCTGTCAGTCCGTCCGTCGACAATTTGTTTGTGAACTGTTTGTGAACACTCTACAGGTCATAATTTTTATCTGATTTTGACAAAACTTAAAATATAAGTCTATCTCCCAAAGATCTTGGTTTCTTTCAGAATTAATATGTATCGTACTGTAACTTCATGGATTATGGCCCCTGATTGTACGAAAAATCACATTTTTAGCTTGTGGACACTCTAGAGGTCAGTTTTCATCCGATTTTGATGAAACTGCAAATGTATGTTTATAACCCGAAGATCTTGGCTCCTTTCGATATGCGTGCATATCAGATCGTAACTTCCTGGATTATGGCCCCTGATTGTACGAAAAATCGTGTTTTTAGCTTCTGGTCCCACTAGAGGACACAATTTCTATCTGATTTAAAAAAACATTTGAATATATCACCGTTACACCTTAATGATGATTTATTTCGAATTTCGTGAAAATCGGACTGAAACTGCTCGAAAAAATGGCATATATTGTAAAAGTATGTAATACCAAGGTCATGGACCATCTAGAAGTCATAATTTTTATCTGATCTTGATGAAAATAAAATTTATGTTTATATCCAAAAGATCTTGGTTCCTTTCGATATTCTTGCATATTGGACCCTAACTTCCTGGATTATGGCCCCTGATTGTACAAAAAGTCACATTTTTCTTTAGCTTGTTTTCTATCCATCTCTTGCAAAATGTGCACGCTTCATACGTGGCAACCGCTGGTTGAACAATTTATAATTGTATATTTTGTTTTATATGTAAAGTCAGTAAGCTGGGATAGTTTTGGTTTATGTACTCGTAATGGTAAAGACTGTACCATTTGGATTGGTTCAGAAGGAGCGTTTACACCGTGTCACTATGATACATATGGTTTTAACTTGGTAGCACAGATATATGGCAGGTGTGTTCTATATATTTCTCTGCTGCAGGATTCTAACCGGTTTGCAAAGATTTTGGAGATGAATATATTAAGAAATACGTCACAATTGCTTTCTCAAATTCATGTTTGATTTTGACTATTCCAATATAGCTAAAGTTTTATTTTAGCTTGTAGACAATGAAAAGTATGGTGTTATGATTTGATTAAATTAAAGCAATAATTTTTATACATCCACATTCTTAATGTGGATGTATTATGTCCTCGCCCTGTGTATCTGTGTTTCACCTACAGGCTGCAGTTCTTAACAGATTGTCTTGAAACTTTGCATACTTGTTCCCTATACCCTAAGGATGATCCGTATTGTTGTGTGTAGGCCTGTTTTGCCTGCAGGCCGCAATTCTTAACGGATCGTCTTGAAACAGATTTTGTTCAAATTTGGCATGATCAGTCATTTCAATAACAGGATTGCGCTTATTTATATTGGTCTATAATATATCCAACCTCCAGGGGCAGTGGCACACCCACTTTTTTGTTAATATTTTGTGTCCATAACTCTTAACCGATCGTCTTGAAAATGGTCACACTTATTGCCTCTATCCTAAGGAATTGCACCTTCTAGGGGTGTGTGCCACGCCCACCCTTGGGATAAATTTTTGATTTTAAACACTGTAAGGGCTGCAGTTCCTCACATATATTCTTGAAACTTGCCATGTAGATTACTGTACACTAAAGTTGCACAAATTGATTATCATGCATTCCCATCCCCCAGGGGGCAATGCCACACCCACATTTAATTTAATCATTGTACTAAAGATGATCCCTGGTTACAAAGTTAGATGTATCTTAATACTCTTCATTTTAACAAGTACCATATCAATCAAAGTAGGAATGTTGACGTATCATGCAGCTTTAGAGTTGGTCTTGTTAGATGTTTTTGAAGATAAGGCCAGCAATTAAAGTGTGACAAAAATTATGCAATAACTTTCAACATGGTAAATGCCATAAAATAGCTGTATGAAAACTATAGACAAATAGACATAGTATATGTTCCAAAGATCTACGATAAATGTATGTAAATTGTGTTTAAGCATTTATTTATGTTAATATATTTTGTTGAGGAAAATTCATGTTTTCAGCAAACGCTGGTATTTATTTCCACCATCAGCCACAAAATATATGTATGCAACTAGAATACCATATGAAGAATCAAGTGTATTTAGTGAAATTAATATTAAACAACCTGATATACTATATTATACAGAGTTTCAGGTAAACTTTTTATTTGTTACTCTATACAAAATATAAATACTGGTAGTTCTCTTTTCTTCTATTTATTTATGGGTATGAAGTTTGATGTCTTGATTTGGCAAAAAAAGTTACAGATAAGATTTATATGGAAAACCAGTATTTCAAATCTGTCTTCTTCAGAGAACTTTTAAAGAGCATTTATCACTTTAAGCAGCAAAATAAATGTAAATAATTTTGAAATACACCAAACACTGACCACATTAATTATAATTAGACCAAGGTGTTTTGCATGAGCACTTGTTGAATTATTATTGTTACGAGTTCAAACCTTGTTATTTTCCTTTATTAAATTTATTAAATATAAATTGGGTTATTTTTGACAAACAGAAACTGTTTTACGGATGGGACAAAAAATAATCTCAGATTGCCTATATCTCGGTTATTTCTCAACGGATCTTCTTCAGCTTTTCATTTTTGGATTCTTGGGACGAATCCCATATGGGCTCTGTCTAACGTTTTTTTCGAAATTCGGGAAAGATTTGCAAAAGTTTTCTTCATCATTTTCTCGACATTCAAGATGGCGTATCTCTGTCACTATTTGAGGTATCAAGTTGAAACTTGATAGAAATAAGGAACACATCGATTTTTTAAAAATGGCATATTCAAAAATTTCGTGACTGCTTCCAGAAACTTCTGGAAATTATCAAGGCCTTCCGATTTTTCCCGAACATGAATAGTTCTCTCCATTTTAAAAATAGACCAAAAATGACATATGGTGGTGGTAGCCCCAGATATTATATTCCATTTTCAGAGATCTTTTTCGATAACATTTTCAACCATTTGGCTGCCATATTGGATTTAACAAAAAATATTCAGCTGCCATTTTGATTCCAATTTTCAAAAACTTTTTTTTGTTTTGAACCACTCAAAATGGCAACAATCTTTAGAGAGCAAATTTCTTGAAAATCGGACCTAAACTGCCAGACAAAATGGCTGCCGCTCGTACGCAGATGATGCAAATATATGGTATATTAAGGTTGAGGCCACAATTTTGATCCAATTTTGATGAAACTTGAAATATATGTTTATATCACAAAGATCTTGGTTCCTTTTGAAATTCACACATATCTGATTGTAACTTCCTGGATTATGGCCCGTTCGAAAAATCTCATTTTTAACTTGTGGACCCAAGAAGTTACAATTTGTATTTAATTTTAAAAAAAACATTTCAATATAACACAATTACACATCAATAAAAGTTGAGTTCGAATTTCGTAAAAATCTGACCCAAACTGCCTGACGAAATGGCTGCTCCTTATACGCAAATAGTGTAAAAGTATGTAATACCAAGGTTGTGGACTCTCTAGAAGTCACAATTTATATCCGATTTTGATGAAAACTTAAAATATATCTTTATATCCCAAATATCACAGTCACTCTAGATATTCGTGCATTTCAGACCATAACTTCCTGGATTATCCCCTGACTTTACGAAAAATCACTTATTTTTTTAGCTTGTTCTCAATCCATCTCTTGTAAAATGTAGGCATATTTTGCCTGGCAACCGCTGATTAGTAAATAATACTATTTAGTTTGGGATACAAGACTTTTGCAAATCTTGGTCCTAGTTCTATGCAACTATATGAACCTCTTAAGTTTCTTTTCGGAAGAAAAATTTGGGGATGGGCACAAATTTCTTGCTGTATAAGGTCAATGAATAAAACACTTCATTCCAATCTACCTACATGTAGCTGTAATTTTAAATGGGCACCTTTAGGTGTTATACGCAATTACACAAAAAAACTGCTGTGTGCTCTTTTGGGCAGAATATGTTCTTTTTTTTTCCTAAGTTTTAAATAAGATTTGAGATAAAGGGAGTTAAACATACTGTACCTGTATCCTAAACATCAGGGTAGTAATTGTATAGCACTTTAAGGGATTATATAATTGCTGGATAAGCACCTATATACATGCTAAAGGTATAGTGGTAAGTGATGGTTGCTATTGTCAAGCCACTCATATGGCTCAATACTTGGATTTGAAATGTCTCATTTTGACATTTGATTCAATCACTTTTATTTACGGTGTCCTGGGACTGCCCCTTCTATATGATTTTGACAAGGACAGGAATATTTGTGGTTTATTTCAGAAAAGTCAACCATATATTGTTACTTTAGAGCCAGGTCAAGTTTTGTATGTTCCGAAACATTGGTGGCATTATGTTGAATGTTTAAATACAACAGTTAGTATTAATACATGGGTAGAAATGGTAAGTTATCATTTCTTACATACTCCTCGCAGTGTTTCTTTGATTAGAGCTAATCCCTCTACTCACTGCTGTAAACAAAGCAAATTCTTGTTCTAAATTATGACTGGTCAATAGTCCGATTAACAACCAATAGTTAATTGCGTAACAATACCAAACAGAGCTCCAAATTGGACCAAATATGTTTACATAACGTTACGTCAGGACTCACGATTTTATTATGCCCAATTAACCAGTGCATAGCAGAATATTGCAGAAAAACTAATTGTGTGACAAACAAGGCTATCAACTGTCAACATGATTTTTACTCTGTGGATATAATGTAAACAATATTGTTTTTAATACCTTAAATCACTGTCCAAAGTTTTAGGGAAGACCCCTGATTAAACGAAGGGCTGTCATGTTGCGGTGCTTTTGGATAGATTTGATTGAACGGGAAGAATAGACACACTCCCTCAAAAGCACAAGTATCAGAAGCTAATCCAGCAATGGCCAGACAGGGATTTCTCGGGCCATTCCATTTCTTATGTAATATCAATACATTGACTAAGTTTGATGATGATAATTTTCTGCTTAGGCGAAGTGGTGATAAGCAATTTGATCGGTCAAGATCTGAAACGTAACAATTCTGCTTTTAATTGAGGAAGAATGTTCAAACTTGGTGTACATTTTCCTCTAAAAATAAGCAGAGCTAAGCAGCAATTTCATTGATCAATGCTTTTGGTCAAGATAACTTTGATTCTAACTGATGGAGAGTGATGAAACTTAGTGTATAGTTTCACTACCAGGTACTTCAAAACCTTGACTGAGTTCGATCATGAATATTTTTTGCTTAGATTAAGTATAGATAATCAGTATGATTGCTAGATACTTTTCAAAAGATAAATGTGCAATTAATTAATATTTTGGGATTGCTACGGGGTACATCAGTCTTACTGTTGGCTTGTTTATAATATGTTTATTTACAGAAAGATGATAATGAAACAAGAGTAAAAGAAGCCATTACAAGAGTGTTAATATCAAGTTTAGTTTCAGACTTCCAGGAATGTTTTGATACACAACACTGGATCAATCCCAATGAGGTACCATTTACTTAATTACATATTTTTATACGCCCACATTTTCATGTGGCCGTATTATGCCGTCGCCCCTGTCCGTCCGTCCGTCCACAATTGTTTGTGGACTCTCTACAGGTCACAATTCTTATCCGATTTCAACGAAACTTGAAATATAGGTTTATCCCCAAAAGATCTCGGCTGCTTTCGATATTGGCATGTATCGGATCGAAACTTCATGGATTATGGCCCCTGTTTGTACGAAAAATCACGTTTTTAGCTTGTGGACCCTATAGAGGTCACAATTTTTATCCGATTTTGTTGAAACTTGAAATATAAGTTTATAACCCAAAGATCTTAGTTCCTTTCGATATTTGCGCATATCGGAAAGTAACTTCCTGAATTATGGCCCCTGATTGTACGAAAAATGACGTTTTTAGCTTGTGGACCCTATAGAAGTCATAATTTTTATCTGATTTAAAAAAACGTACTATTATATCACCGTTACACCCTAAGGATGACTGAGGTTGAATTTTGTGAAAATTGGCCCAAAATTGACAGACAAAATGGCCGCCGTTCGTTCCCAAATATCGTAAGAATATGGTATATCAAGGTTGTGGACCCTATAGGGGTCACAATTTTTATACGCCCACATTTTCATGTGGACGTATTATGCCGTCGCCCCTGTCTGTCCGGACGTCTGGACGTCTGGACGTCCGTCCACAATTGTTTGTGGACACTCTACAGGTCACAATTCTTATCCGATTTTGACGAAACTTGAAATATAGGTTTATCTCAAAAATATATCGGCTGCTTTCGATATTGGCATGTATCGGATCGAAACTTCATGGATTATGGCCCCCTGTTTGTACGAAAAATCACGTTTTTAGCTTGTGGACACTATAGAGGTCACAATTTTTATCCGATTTTGTTGAAACTTGAAATATAAGTTGATAACCCAAAGATCTCGGTTCCTTTCGATATTCGCGCATATCGGACTGTAACTTCCTGAATTATGGCCCCTGATTGTACAAAAAATCACGTTTTTAGCTTGTGGACCCTATAGAGGTCATAATTTTTATACAATTTAAAAAACCGTATTATTATATCACCGTTACACCCTAAGGATGGCCGAGTTCGAATTTCGTGAAAACGGCCCAAAATTGACAGACAAAATGGCCGCCGTTCGTTCTCAAATAGGGTAAAAATGTGGTATATCAAGGTTGTGGACCCTATAGAGGTCACAATTTTTATCCGATTTTGTTGAAACTTGAAATGTAAGTTTATAACCCAAAGATCTCAGTTCCTTTCGATATTCGCGAATATTGGACCGTAACTTCCTGAATTATGGCCCCTGATTGTACGAAAAATCATGTTTTTAGCTTGTGGACCCTATAGAGGTAATAATTTTTATCCGATTTAAAAAACCGTATTATTATATCACCGTTACACCCTAAGGATGAATGAGTTCAAATTTCATAAAAATCGGCCCAAAATTGACAGACAAAATGGCCGCCGTTCGTTCTCAAATAGAGTAAAAATATGGTATATCAAGGTTGTGGACCCTATAGAGGTCACAATTTTTATCCGATTTTGTTGAAACTTGAAATGTAAGTTTAAAACCCAAAGATCTCGGTTCCTTTCGATATTCGTGCATATCGGACCGTAACTTCCAGAATTATGGCCCCTGATTGTACGAAAAATCACGATTTTAGATTGTGGAGCCCATAGAGGTCAGAATTTTTATCCGATTTAAAAAGACATATTATTATATTACCGTTAAACCCTAAGGACAACTGAGTTCAAATTTTGTGAAAATCGGCCCAAAACTGACAGACAAAATGGCCGCCATCCGCTCTCAAATAGCTTAAAAATATGGTATATCAAGCTTGTGGACCCTATAGAGGTCACAATTTTAATCCTATTTTGATGAAACTTGAAATGTAAGTTTATAACCCAAAGATCTCGGTTCCTTTCAATATTCGCACATATCGGTACGTAACTTCCTGAATTATGGCCCCTGATTGTACGAAAAATCGCGATTTTAGCTTGTGGAGCCTATAAAGGTCATAATTTTTATCCGATTTAGAAAAACGTATTATAATATCACCGTTAGACCCTAAGGACAACTGAGTTCGAATTTCGTGAAAATCGGCCTAAAACTGAGAGACAAAATGGCCGCCTTTCGTTCTCAAATAGCGTAAAAATATGGTATATCAAGGTTGTGGACCCTATAGAGGTCACAATTTTTATCCGATTTTGTTGAAACTTGAAATGTAAGTTTATAACCCAAAGATCTCGGTGTCTTTTGATATTCGCGCATATCGGAACGTAACTTCCTGAATAATGGCCCCTGATTGTACGAAAAATCACGATTTTAGCTTGTGGAGCCCATAGAGGTCATAAATTTTATCCGATTTAAAAAAAATTGTATTATTATATCACCGTTAGACCCTAAGGACTAATGAGTTGTGGGTTGTGGACCCTATAGAGGTCACAATTTTTATCCGATTTTGTTGAAACTTGAAATGTAAGTTTATAACCCAGAGATCTCGGTTCCTTTCGATATCACTTTCTTGTTAGCTTGTTCTCTATCCATCTCTCGAAAATGTGGGCGTATCCTGCCTGGCAGCCGCTGGTTACATTGTGTTGTAGACAGCTTTGAATTTATCTTGACATTAAGATTGAATTTTGGTACTCAGAAACTGTCAGGGCTTATGTCGTAGCTGTCTGTTGTCTATCCATCTGGTGCACTAAATGTATGTTTTATGCCCATAGCATAAGACTATTACTCTTTAGGCCATTCCATACTTACCTCGTACAAGCATATATTTAACTACCACTACCAGTACATTGAAATTACATTTTGATACTTGAGAACCTCCAAGAAAGCAGGAGATTATTAAAATGGGTGTGTGCGTCTATCTGTTTGGGACATAATAACTCTCCTTCTAATTGAGCTAGAATGTTCAAACTTGGTGTAGGTGTTTATTAGGTGAATGCCTTGATGGAGTATAAAGAAGAGCATTTTCTGCTTAGGGTAAGCAAAGATAAGCAATTTGATTGGTTGATGCTTTGGGACACAATAACTTTAGTTCTAATTAAGTGAGAGTGATGAAACTTGGTGTATAGTGTCATGACATCAATACCTTGACTAAGTTCAATAATGAGCATTTTCTGTTTAGGGTAAGCAGAGCGATAAGCAATTTGATTGGTTGAGACTTTGGAACACACTAACTCTCCTTCTAATTGAGGTAGAATGTTCAAACCTGGTGTAGGCATTCATTAGGTGAATGCCTTGATGGAGTTCAAAGATGATCATTTTCTGCTTAGGGTATAAGCAGAGATAAGCAATTTGTTTGGTTGATGCTTTGGGACATGATAACTTTAGTTCTAATTAAGTGAGCCTCAGTGAGAGTGATGAAACTTGCTCTATAGTTTCATTACATTAATACCTTGACTGAGTTCGATAATGAGCATTTTCTGCTCAGGGTAAGCAGAGCAATAAGCAATTTGATTGGTTGCGACCTTGCAACACAAAAACTCTCCTAATTGAGGTAGAATGTTCAAACTTGGTGTAGGCATTTATTAGGTGAATGCCTTGATGGAGTTCGAAGAAGATAATTTTTTGCTTAGGGTAAGCAAAGATAAGCAATTTGATTGGTTGATGCTTTTGGACACAATAACTATAGTTCTAATTAATGGAGAGTTATGAAACTTGGTGTATAGTTTCATTACATCAGTACCTTGACTTAGTTCGAAAATGAGCATTTTCTGCTGAGGGTAAGCAGCAATAAGCAATTTTATTGGTCAAAACTTTGGAACATAACAACTCTGCTTTTAATTGAGGTAGAATGTTTAAACTTGATGTAGATTTTCATTAGGTGACTGAGTTCAATGATTAACATTTCCCACTAAAGCCAAGCAGAGCTAAGCAGCAGTTTCATTGGTATAGATAATCAGTTTGATTGCTCAATACGTTTGAAAAAGATAACTGTGCAATTAATCAATATGTGTCATATATTTATTTTGGGATTTTGGCGGGGGACATCAGACTCACTGTTGGTTTGTTGAAAATGAGTTTAAACTTAATTCAAGTAAAATGGGTTGTAGGCTGAAATATCTTATTTCAACAATATACTCAGTCACTACAGTCAGTCAAGAACTGATTTATTTGAAAAAAAGAAAAGTGCTATTGTATATATGAAATAAATGTAATTTAAGGGAGCTAAACTGATTTGGGTGATAAATAAAGTACAGAATGGGATTGATCTGATGTTGTGTCAGGCGGCAATAGATTGAGTGGAAGTCAGCTTGTTTACTAATTTAATTTAAATTGTGCTTGCCATTTCCATATGGGAACACAAATTTGGTTATATATTAAAATTGGCTTTATCTGTAGATTTAAAATTTTCAGTGGAGTTAGATTGTTATCAAACAAACTAATTTAGATATCCAATAAAATGGACAATTTTATTTTTATACGTCCACATTTTCATGTGGACTTATTATGCCGTTGCCCCTGTCCATCCATCCACAATTTGTTAGTGGACACTCTACAGGTCACAATTTTTATCTCATTTTGACGAAACTTGAAATAAAGGTCTATAATCCAAAGTTCTCAGTTCCTTTTGATATTGGCATGTATCGGACCATAACTTTATGGATTATGGCCCCTGATTGTACCAAAAATCATGTTTTTAGCTTGTGGACACTCTAGAGGTCACAATTTTCATCCGATTTTGTTGAAACTTGAAATTTGTGTTTAGAACCCAAAGATCTTGGTTCCTTTCGATATTTGCACGCCACACATATCATATCGTAACTTCCTGAATTATGGCCCCTGATTGTAAGAAAAATCACATTTTTATCCGATTTAAAAAAACGTTTGAATATATCACCATTACACCGTAATGTCAGTTGAGTTTGAATTTCGTGAAAAATCGGACCAAAACTGCCTGACTAAATGGCCGCAACTCATACGCAAATAGTGTAAAAATATGGGATATCAAGGTTGTGGGTGGACCCTCTACAGGCCACAATTTTTATCCGATATTGACGAAATTTTACATTTATATTTATATCACAAAAATCATTGTTCCTTTCAATAATCGCCCATATCCGAACGTAATTTCCTGAATTATGGCCCCTGATTTTCGAAAAATCACAGTTTTAGCTTGTGGACCAGCTAGAAGTCACAATTTGTATTCAATTTTAAAAACCGTTTAAATATAACACCGTTACACATCAATGAAGGTTGAGTTCGAATTTTGTAAAATTCTGACCGAAACTGCAAGACAAAATGGCCGCTCCTTGTATGCAAATAGTGTAAAAGTATGGTATATCAAGGTTGTGGACACTCTAGGAGTCACAATATATACCCGATTTTGATGAAACTTGAAATGTATGTTTATAATCCAAAGATCGTGGTTCCTTTTGATACTTGCACATATCGGACCGTAACTTCCAGGATTTTGTCCCTGTTTGTAGAAAAAGTCACATTTTTAGCTTGTGGACTCTCTAGAAGTCACAATTCTTATCCAATTTTAAAAAACTTTGAAATTTATCACTGTTACACCCTAATGATGGTTGAGTTCAAATTTCGTGAAAAACAGACCAAAACTGCCTGACAAAATGCTGGCTCCTTATATGCAAATAGTGTAAAAGTATGTCATACCAAGGTTGTGTATGGAAGGATAACGTTGCCAATATTATTTCATTGTTCACGGTGCAAACTGCAAAATGTCAGTAGTTCAAAATACGTATTTTAGTTTTACAATTTACAATTTCCATTGGTCAACAATACCAATGTCACGGTGTTAAAATACAGAATACACTTTTCAATAATACAGTAGAATAGTTATTTTGCACATTACACTTCTGCACTCTGCATTTTGCATAATAGACAAATGCATAATAGAACCTTGCATAGTAGAACATATACCTTATATGGGATGTACGACGTATGTCATTTGCATACGGAAAAAAATCTGGACTATGACGGAGTTTAGGAGGACGGTGTCCTCCCAGGCCCCCATTAAACAACAAGTCCACCCGTATAAGTGGGCCCCCCTGAGAGCTCTAATTTTCACGCGGAATCCCCTCAAAAAATTGAGAGTGCGCACGCGAAAAATCATACATACACAATGATTAGTAAAATATATTATGCTGACGTGCAAATGTCTGTCATCTTAAGGTGAAATGGTCTTTGATACATGTATTCATGCCTCGATATGTATAAGATGCAATTTATTATTTGGATAGAAATACATTGTATTAGCATTATATTAAGCAGACCTGTCATGAGTGTCTTGTGTAGTACAGTAGTATGTCTTGTAGTCAAAATAGCAGCATAAATTTGGAAAATATGATACCTAGATTTCTCCCAGAAGTGCTTGCAAAACGTGTTTCCCGTTGTCAAATTTCAAAAATTTTCTGGGGGGAGAACCCTCCCAGGCCCCCCTACCAGCGGCACACCTTCGGCGGGGGGGTCGACTTCGGCGTCCGACGGGCACCAAAGGGGCCCATCCTCCCGGGCCCCTTTGGGGCCAGCACGCCCCTGCTTGTAAAATGTGGGCATATCTTGCCTGACAACTACTGGTTAATACATCACATGCCCTTTTAAAGCCACCTGCTATCTCTGTTGTGCACAATAAAATTTGTTGTAATATCATTCAGTAATTCCTTTTTGTAGGAGGTGAAAAATTGTCCTGTAAATATTGGTTATTTACATAAAGCTGTAACAGATCTCAAACTATCCACAACACATGGTAATCAAGAAATGGATAATTTCAAACTTTTCTGTGATAAATTCAAATCTCTTCAGGTCACTCCATCATCAGATAACATGTCAGAGTCTTTGGATTTAAACAGAAAAAGACCAAAGATGTCCTCCGAGTATTTAAAAAATACTGATTCTTCTGAAACAACAAATAATTCTGTGAATATTAAACAGGTTCAGTCATATAGTTTTAAGGAATATTTAGAATTTATAGGTTATTCTCAAGTGAAACTCCCAGGGAATGAGCAACAAGAAATAAAGGCTGATCTTTGTTTAAAGAGTGAAACAGACTTGACTAAGCATTTGGTGAAAAGTATCTTGAAACCTGAAGTGATTAATATTTTGACAAAATCATTTTTAGATTTTAAATAAAAAATGTTAATTTTTTTATTTGATTTTGATCAAATAGGGAAAATCTGGCATCAAATCATTTATATGCTGATTTTCTAAATCTAATAATCCCAAATGATTTATAATTAATAATGATGATTAAGTGTAGTTTAATGGTCGAGTGCGAGATATTAAGTAATATATTGATATTGCAGGAGTGCGTCCAGCATGAGTGCTATATCTATATATTATGCAATGTCTTGCACGAGACCATTAAACAACTTAAATACAGACACTATCCAGCACGTGCATTGCAATGAAATATGTCACACGGGTCCAATATTTCAACTAGTATAAATAATGTACGCTTGCCACATTGCCACATGTACGCCAACATCAAAGGATGACGTTACTTCTGTATTTTAATCAGATATATGTCCCTTGCAGTGAGGTGTGTATTGGATGAATCTGTATTAAAAATCATCTTAGATTTAATTAAAGTTAAATTATACTTTATATCATTTACTTCGATTTCGATACTGTAAAGCGATTTTAAACCCTCTACTTTATATTATTATTATCAGTTTATCTATCTATACTAATATTTGTGACTGTCGTTTGTCTGTTTGTCTGTCTGTTCGCGGTTACACTAGGTCTGCCCCGAGTCTGAAATTTGGGGTATAGGGGTAGCTCGGACCGGGGAGTAACATAGGCCAGGTGGCGTTAGTCTACCACTTCCGGTTTCGGGGTTATGACCCCCGAGCGAAGCCGGGTATCCTGCTAGTTAGGTAATAAGATTGATAGTTATAGATTACAATACCCTATCTATGTATTATAAACCCAACAATAGTTAGCCAGATTACATGATTGATCTATGGACATTCATTTCATTTCATTACTTCTGTTTTGTATTATTGTCAGATTATACCGGGAAGACAGTAAATTAATGTCATATTATGTATTATATATTCATAAAATCTTTTGTTCTATTTTACCTGATATTATTTATAATCCATTTTCATGTTAATATATTATTATATGTATGTATAAAAATGTATAGTTGATATATACTTATTTATATATCTGAAACCCTTGAGAATGAGCAGACAGATAGCTAATGATTTATCAAACAAAGTAAAAAGTAGTTTATTTTTTTAATGTGCATATTTTTTATTTATTTATTTACATCCAGTTTTTAAAAACATTTATTGTATTTTCTGATCAGCTGTGTTTGGTAAATACGTGAGCAGTCCAATTTGAATGGCAGTCTTTGCGCCTGTTTAATCCAATGTCATCAGTAATATGGTTTCAAAATGTTCAAGAGCCCATAATTTCACTGTTAGTCAGCAACATCAACGTCAAGGGTTTGTCCTCTCATGACCACGATTCCTCACTGCCGCCAGTGGTTGAAGGGGCAGAGCTGGGGCAAAGTCCAAGATTAAGGGGGCAAAGGCACAAGCTTCAACTAGGGGTAGGGGCCCTCCCCCAGAAATTTTTGAAAAACAGGCTGCCGGAAATACAGCCTGGTAGTATTTCAGGCACTAATTATTGAGATAAAGTGTCAAACGAACGGACTTGCGAACCTCGACGAAGGCCATTCACGAGCGCAAAAGTAGGAGTGTATGGGGGACCTCCTCCAGAAAATTTTGAAAAATAGACTGCCGGAAATGCTGTCTGACAGTATTCATTCAGGCACCGATCGTGGAGGTAAATAGAGCTGACCAGATACCATCCGTCGCCTGATCACTAGTTTATCCGACCAGAGAACAAAGTGTCAAACGAACAGACTTCCCTCATGGGCGCCAAAGTAGTGAGTCCTTACGGGGGGTAGTTGGGACCTCCCCAAGAAAATTTTGAAAAATAGACTGCCGGAAATGCTGTCTGACAGTATTCAGGCACTGATTGTCGAGATAAATAGAGCTGATCAGATACCGTCTGTCGTCCGATCACTAGTTTATCCGACCCCAGAGAGGAAAGTGTCAAACGAACGGAGTGAGTGAATCAAAGTGAATGAATATTTTCGCCATGATATTTTGAGAAAGAAATAGACTGCCGGAAATGCAGCCTGGCAGTATTTCAGACACTGGTTGTCGTCGAGATAAATAGAGCTAAGCAGCTACTGTTCATCGCCAAATCACCAGCTAATCCGAACAGAAAGGGAGGTGTCAAACGAACGAAGTGAGTGTATCAAGTGAATACATATTCTCGCCGCTTTGAATCAAAACTCAAAACCTTTGAGGGTCGTAAAAAGAACTTCTCAAGTGGTTCACGTGTTATTATGTTTATAGTAGGTTAACTGCAGAATGGGCTTGGTAAGAAACCACTCAGGCTCCATAACATGCAAACAGGGGCGGATTGGGTGATCGGGCGATCGTCTAAAAAACCCTTTTCTGCTGAACATTATAGGAGAGGGGGGGTATTGGAGCGATGATGATCATGTACAGTATGTGGCCGGTGGCTTTAACGGGCCGCCACGCCATCACTGGAGTCTGGAATGGGCTGGTATAATAGACTTTCTGGGCTGAGTGTGGGCCGGAATTCGGAATCCTGCAATGAGGATTCCGAATTTCATCCGAAAATTTCATCGGATTCACTCGACACTGTCGCCCGCAAATTTACTAATTATTAAGTCACCTGCACCCTGTTTGTTGGGATACGCCAGAAACGTCTGCCGATGGCTCGTAACTCCCAAAAAATTCAATTTTAAGGCCTCGGCAAAATTTGATGATAGCTGGTCTGCTGGCCGAATTTGACAGAGATTATAATCAGATATGTCACCAAATCGCATATTTGGGGTTCATTTCACGGTGGAGAACCCCTGGAAACCCCGTCGGGGCTCCGCGGTCAGGAAAAGGGTCCGCTCCGACACGGGAGCCCGGGCCGGTTCCCGGCCCAATCCGCCCCTGCATGCAAGTCTATGACTGAGTGGAGATGTGGGATTTAATCACCATGGAAGGTATTGATTACCAAAACGTATAACAAATACGGTCTGGTCTGATGGCCGAATTTGTCCGAGATTATAATCAGATATGCCACCAAATCGCATATTTGGGGTTCATTTCCCGGGGGGAGAACCCCTGGAAACCCCGTCGGGGCTCCGCGGTCAGTAAAAGGGGCCGCTCCGACACGGGAGCCCGGGCTGGTTCCTGGCCCCAATCCGCCCCTGCATGCAAGTCTATGACTGAGTGGGGATGTGGGATTTAATCACCGTAGAAGGTATTGATTACCGAAACGTATCACAAATACTTCGTTTTATTTTCTAAAATTATTGGTGGGGGGGGGGGCAAACAGAGGGCAGACTAGATTTATGCCCCCCCCCCCCCCCGGCCCTTGCCAACGCCACCGTTCCTCACGTCTACAGTAATATGGGGAAAAAAAACCCTATCAAGTTCACAAGGTTTTGGCAAAGGGCATACTCCCCGTAGTGTTTCGTTTGATTAGAGCTAATCTCACTAAACACTGCAAACAAATTTCTGTTTCAACTTATGACTGGTCAATAGTCCGATTAACAACCAATAGCTAACTGCGTAACCATATTTTGATTACCCTTTAAACATAGCTCCACATTGGACCAAATATGTTTACATAACGCCACGTCATGACTCACGATTTTATTATGCACAATTAACCAGTGCATAGCAGAATATTGCAGAAAAAACTAATTGCGTGACAAACAAGGCTATCAACATTGATACAATATAAACAATACTGTATGGAGACGAACAAGACTTTCACCGTTGTTAATACCTTAAATCACTCTACAAAGTTTTAGGGTAGACCCCAGATTAAACGAAGGGCTGTCATGTTGCTGTACTTATGATAGATTTTAATGAACGGGAAGAATAGACACACTCCCTCAAAAGCTCAAGTATCAGAAGCCAATCCAGCAATGGGCAGAGAGGGATTTCTCGGGCCATTGCTTCAGGTATATGGGCAAAGGGGGGGGGGGGGCGTGTGTAACTCTAGAAAGGAAAGTCATAGAACACTTAAAGTTGCAATTGCAAATTTTCAAGTTATATTTTTAAAATGTATTAAAATAAAGCCTTAAAATAGATGGTATCCATAAACAGTCCTACCTTGTTAAAGAATAATCCTATTAATCCTATAATTCGCTATTGCCAGCTGAGAAATTGGCAAAAATATCATTTTTAACTTCAAATTCCAACGTTGGAAAATGGCTGCCCCATGTTGTCAATAGCAAAACAGGGGAGGTAATTGTGTTGTTATTTCCTGTGTCATACATTTTTAAGGGTGGGAAAGAATGCCCATGATCGTATAATAGTGAGTTGATAACCTATTGAGCAAAAGACATAGAAATAATTATGTTTTGACTTTCTTAGAAAATTTGAAATTCTCGCTTTAATATCGACATGGTTCGTCGTCTAATGACCAATACTTAACACCAAATTGGAAAGGAATCTGTCGAAAACTACAGCCTCTATCGTTCACCAGGTTTTCGGCAAAAGGGGGATAACTCCGGAATGGTAAGTCGTAGAACGATACTATGGATTGGGTTCATCCTCTTATGACGACAATACTTCACACCAAATTTGAAAAAAATCCGTACAACCTCTATTTTGTCAATGAGGTTTTTCGGCAAAGGCGTGTTTGTGTGTACGTGTGCGTGTGTGCGTGCGTGCGTGCGTGTCTGTATTCTGGAACAGAAATTGCTAGAATTCGTCCTAGCCTGACCACAGTAATTCACACAAAATTTGAAAAGAATCCGTCAAAATGATATTGCCTCTATCGCGTTCGTTCTTTCATAATCATGGTAATTCACACCTCATTTGTAAAGAATCCGTCAAGAACTCTATCTTCTTTCGAGTTAACAAATCAATTGTTGACGGACCGACGGACAGGGTGACGACATAATATGCCCACACTTAAATATGGGTGCATAAAAAAAGGCTTTTACCCAGTGATCTTTTAATTACATGCAACTTTATCTAAATAACAATTTTTATAGGCCCACATGTTCATTTGGACGTACATGTATATGGTGGACGCCCTCTGGACGTCGGCCCATCGGTCCGCCCGTCAACAATTGGCTTGTGAACGTTTTAGAGGCTAAGAGTTTTTGACGGAATTGGTGTGAAACATTGTGGTCATGAGAGGACGAACCCTATCGATTTTCAGCGTTCAACGACTTTCAGTGCCAGAGTTATCCCCCTTTGTTGAAAATCTTGTCAGCGCTATAGCGGCTCTAGTTTTTAACAGATTGGTTAGTGAACGCGATAGATACAACAGTTTTTGACAGATTCTTTTCGAATTTGGCGTGAAGCATAGTGGCCATGAAAAGACGAACTCGATCGATTTTCAACGTCCACCGATCTTTCTTACAAGAGTTGCCCTCTTTCCCGAAAACCAACCATTGGGATTATGAGAGAATGGGCCATATTGATTTTCAGCGTTCTGCAAAGTTTCACTTGTTAGTAGTCACCCATGAACTTTTAGAACGGGATACAGATTTTGCGAAGCATTGTGTTCATGACACGACGATTGCTCGCGATATTCAGCTTTCTACAACTTTCTGCTATGGAGTCACCTCCCTTTGCTGAAAACCTTGTGAACACGATGGAGGCTACATTTTTAACGAAACTTTGTTCAAATTTTGTTGTAAACACTGCGGTCATGAGTTAGAGTGAACCCTATAAATTTCCAGCTTTCCGCATCTTTCTGTTCTGGAGTAATCCCCTTTCTGCCGAAAACCTCCTGAACGCAACAGAGTCTATAATTTTTTATCAGATTTTTTTCAAATTAGGTAGGAAGCATTGAGGCCATGAGAGACTAAACCTTATTGATTTTTGCGTTCTGCGACGTTCCGTTCCAATCCTTGTGTACGCGACAGAGGCTACAGTTTTAGACGGAATTTTTTTCAAATTTGGTGTGAAACATTGTGGTTATAAGAGGACAAACCCTATCGATATTCAGTGTAATGTGACTTTCGGTTCCGGAGTTACTCCCCCCCCCCCCCTTCCAAAAATCTTGTTTTTAATGGATAGTTTTCAAATTTGATGAGAAGCATCGAGGAGGAGGATTTCTATTGATTCAGAATTTCGTGAACGCGATAGAGGCTATAGTTTTTAACAAATTTGGTCGGAAACATTGAGGTCATGTCACAGAGTCGTGCTGGAACATCATTGGGAGGGTAGGCAGAC